GATAGAATGACTTTCATACACTGAATATTAAACAAGTTTACAATAACTTCACTTTTTTCTCTTCAAGACCAAATTAAAAAAAATCTTAGAGACTGTCTTAATGTGAACTTTTTATAATTGAAAGTACTCAAAAGTACCCGTCGTTTCAGAAACACTCAAACATTGTTTCAAAACATGCCGTTCACTTCCTGCTCCATACAGTCCATATGTAGAAACTAAGCTGCAAAAACAGCACTGTTGAAAAAAAAAACACACGTTTGCATATATCCAACTATTCAGCCTAAAGCAGTTGAGTTCTGTCCATTCATGCTGAAGTAATTAAGAGTGTTTCAGCTTGGAATGCTTTTTAAATGATGCACAATGATACAACCAATCAGAACAGAGTATATTTGCATGTAACAGTCTGAAAGGCACATTAACAGATGTTTTATTCTAAGGGATAAAGAAATTGGTTGGATGTCATATATGTCATAAAGTGGACTTACAATACTTAAAATATAAGAAAATGATATGGGCCACATAAACATGACCTATGGTGCATGTGGAGAACATGGCTTGAAAGTTTATGAGGAAATCTAGGTAGATGGTACCAGCTGCTGTTAGATATAGACAGTATACATACACTGGCTTTGTCCGATGGAAAGGTTTCTGTTGATAGTTGGTACCAGCAACTGGTCAATGATAGGAAGTTTCTCTATGTCCTTTTTTACAGGCCTGCAGCATAAAATGAATTCCCTTTTTAGGGAACTGCAGAAGTTGTCCTTAGGCAGGAACATGTAGAGACTACATCACCACAAAACACCAAAAAAATGTCAAGCCAAACAGGTTGTGTTTGTTTGTAATGTGCATGCATTAGTCCAAGTCAGAGTACTGTAGCGAGATTTAGGTTGGGCCTCATTCAGTAATCAGTATGTTGGGAATGTGCTGGCAGGACTGGGTCAAATATATATGTATTTCAAATAGAATAACCTTTACCCACTTGGCCAGACTGTAAGTCGGGTGGTCGGCTCAGTCTCAAAACATCTAATGGTTTTGCAATGAGATGGAGCGCTCATGTAAGAGGAAGTTCACTGCAAAAAAGTACATCTTTGCAAAGGCAATCTAATATTTTTCATTATAAGATTAAACATTTTTTGTTTATGGATCTTTCTACAGAATTGAATGTCAGAGTTGAAAATCCCATTTTGGACTTTTAACTGACTTAGACTTTAGATTAAAATTCTTTTGCTTTGACCCTGTACCTTAATTCTGTTTATTTTATTAAAACAAATGATTGAACATTCCATTTAGTCACTACCAAAACAATCATAACATGACCGAAACATTTTACCAATTGTTTCAGTCATGACAATTTAAGCTAATTTTGAACATAACTCAAAAACGATAGCCATGACATGACTAGCTTTGAACAGTTGTACACACAGAAAATCATAATATTTTTCATTGAAACACAAAAAGTTTTAGTAGTGACAATTCTTAATGTTACACACTGATTTTCAGACTTTGGGACACATTCACTTCAAAACAGCAGGACCTAACTGCTGACCATGTGGTTATAACGGACAGAGATGAAGTAATACAATAATAAATAACAAGATTTTTATTTATAGAGTACTTTTCATACTGGTGGCTGCTCAAAGTGCTTAGTGTCACTTCCTTCTCTAAAATGCAGGGTGTGTGGCTAAAATAATGCTCTGCCCACAGACTAACACTCTTTGTGTTTTGGTATTGACATGAAAACGTGGGACAGCATTTTTTGAGAAAAGTTTTTTTTTATTTAAAAATTTAATTCATGATGAATCTAAATCAATCTAAAGGTTAAAATTTAGAGGTTAGTGTTTGGGACAGCCAAAACATTTTTACTGAAATGATTTACTGCACTAATAGATATTCACATATTCTTCATTAGTTTTTAAAACAAACTCATTTATCTGCCAGTGCAATATGATCATTTCACTTGTTATGATCACTTTATATAAATAGAACTGTGAATTGTTGAATATTCTTCAATAATGAATGATGTGATAATGATATTATTGTAAGACTTGAATATAAACATGAGAAATATTACATATATTGTCTACACTGAAGTCGCTTTACTTATCATAGATAGAATTTTTTACAGTGTACATTTAACTCTAGAGTGCACAGGTGTACTGGAGTACATGAGCGACCGACAGAGACAGACTGGGTGAGCAGCAGATGGGGAAAGATTGGGACAGAGGGAGTAAGGCCTGAGTGAGGTCAGTGCACTCTGGGAATCAGGCGATTGTGAGAAAAAGGCATCAAAGGCAGGATTGGGTCACGCTGATCTTGAGTCATTGGTCTGACTCCCTTTACCTCTTGCTAACGCCCTATACGCCCGATTCCAGCCAAAGGCTGCACAGCCATTTACCGCAAGGCTTCAGCTACTGATTGACAGTAACTGATATAAGTGAAGTGAACCTACAGAGCCTACAGAGAAGTGCTGCCTCACTCCTGACTGCTATAGCATGCTCAACAAGGTCTGGTTTCCAGCCAGGGCTGGTGATAATGCTAATGGCCAGAGATAGGAGGCCAGGGGATGCAGGAGACTCAGACTGGGTTGATAAGAGAACGCTTGGGAGTCTGAAGTCAACAGCAGATGGACGGAAACCATGCCGTTCCCACAGAGGTGTCTCTCTCTCTCTTTCTCTTACTGCCGTTCTGAATCATGTTTTCTCTGCACTTTAACGAAGAGCAGCAGCTTGGTTTCCTGTTGTGGAAAATAAGATGTTGCTTAGCCTCCTCTGTGAACGATGGTTATCAGCACAACAGAAGTCTCTCCTCTGACAGCACGTGGTAAGAGCACGTGGTAAACTTACCATTATTCATGACATTCAGTACAAAAGTCAGAGAGCACCCTTCATTTATTTCATTTCCAGTCAAAATTAAAGTGCAAGTTATTAATTTTTCTACGTCAGAGAAAATACATATCACATTTTTCAGTATTTAGTGTGTCCACTCTTTTTGGGAGATTTCCTTTACATTTTTTAAAGAAATCTGCAGGAAAAGTTCAGTATTAGAAGTTTATTGCATTTTCCAAATAATCCCAAACACATTCAGTGATGTTGAGGCCTGGACTCTCGGCTGGTCAGTCCATTGTTCTGAGAACACCAGCAGCTCACTTGCTTGATTAGCCAATTTACACCCTTTTTTTGTCTATTTTCTTCTCTCTGTAAGGGCTTCTTGACAGCTACACATGCTTTCAGACTCATAGTGTTGAGTTGTCTTCCCACAGTGGAAGGATGGACGGAAGCACCTGATTTTTTTCAGATCTAAAGCAAGAGTGAAAATAGAATTTGATTTTCTCCTCTCTCTCAAAAATGAAGGCTTTAAGTACTGTTGATCTGATGGTTAAAGTTTTGGTGGTCTACCATGTTTTACATGGATGTTAAGAGTCCCATTTTCTCCTTTTCTCTTAATAATTTTTTGAACTCCAGTTTTAGAATCTCCTATTTTTTTCATTTACTGTCCTTTGACTTTCCCTCATCTTGGACAAATAGATTATTTTATATCTAATGTAATCATATCTAATAACTTACACTTATAGGCCCTTTTGAGTGGAAATTAAATAAAAGAAGTATGCTTGCAGAACAGGGACTTTCAGAACTCCTCAAAGGTTTTTGTGAACTGAAATCTGTCTTTCCATAAGAAAAACGAGCAGGCAGGTGCGTTGTGGCTGATAATGATACTAATGAACTTTTTTGCATTTCAAAACAAGTTCACAGTAGAATCCATGTAGAAAGATCAGTGAGTATAAGGTTAAAACTCAGAAGATGGAACAAAGATTAATTTTACATAGCCAAATCAGACATGATCATTATTGTGAAGTTACATATTTACACTGTCTGAACAGCTGAGTCCCTCACTGCCTTCAAACCGACTGAAGACCGATCTCTTCATAAAGCACCTAAATGAACACTTAATTAACACTTGCTGAAATGTCTCGTGTTTTCACTTTTGGAATGCCTTATCTCTGCATTGTTTATCTTTCTATCTTGGTGTCAGCACTGAGTTTTTTTTTTAGCTCAAGGGTATTTTTGTTTTAGCTGTGCATTCTCTGAGTGGACAACAAGTCATTGTGGAGTCTATATGTGTCTGTTAAATGATGTAATTGTAAACATAGTTAAGAGTCTTGCCCACAGGCTTAGTGGGACAGCCGCTGGTGCAAATTCAGGGGGGAGAACTGGCTAATTTTGGGTTGCATGAGAGCTGTTAGTTATCAGTAATTATATAGTTGTTCATTACAGTTTCAAACTCTAAGTAAACCCACAATAGACTGTTATTTAGTTTAGTTATGGCCAGTAATGACAAACAGAAAAAAACACTGACCTGACCTGGAAACATTGACTTCTCGGCTATGATCATTTGTTCACTTATGCCAATTATTAATAGTCCTTCCTTTGTGTTCTTGTCATAATATTTATCATTATATTTATTTTTATATTATAAAGCATGATATTTCAATATGATAAGTATAATTGTAGGCATATTTTGTTTATACAGTTTAATGTTTAAATTACTGTATGTAGGCTTTAGCCTCCTGACATTGGTCACTCCCATGTCTTGCATCCCTGTATCCCTGGCATTCCTGCTTGGAGGGGGAATCAGAATTCCAGTCTGGCAAGTGTAGGACTGACGTGTTACCCAGTATGAAATCAGTTTGCCGGTTTCAGAAGAACGGAAATGCCAATCACTGAACTGAGTAAATGTGTGTCAATGCATGAACACACATGGACAGCAAGTTATTATCTGTAATTATCAGCTGTAATTCCTTTTCCAGTATTCCAATCCAATAATAATTTACATTTTCCTATTTATTGACCAATACTATATACTGTATTGGCCACCAATATATTTTACACCCTGAAGTTCCTCCAGATGACTCTATAAAGGTGGCTTAACTTCTTTTTCCACTCGTTTTTGTTATCTGCTTGGATCCTCATTTACTCATACTCTTCTACATTGGTGTATTTCAGAAGGAGTCCACGGGAAAACGTTCTGTGGCTGAACTGGCTGGAAAGTTCGCTTGTCAAATCCCTGTTCCTACAGGACCTGACGGGGTGAGGTTTCTCCGAGTGGGAAGAACCATCTCTCCGTTCTTCTATATTTCGACTGCCTCTCTCGCTTCTTCATGCTTATTCACCTTGTGCTCTGCTTAAATGAACTCTATCTCTGTCCCTCAATCAACCTAATGGAAATGGACAGTAATTCCTGTGACAAAGGGAAAGGTTTTTGAATCAAATAGCAGATGTAGCATCATGCAGATTACATCAGTTCTGTTCTGACTTGGTGGCAGTAGCTGAGTAGGATGGCTTAACAGTGAGTCAATTTATCTAATAAAACTTGATAGCTTCACTTCGCTGGAAGCATTTAATTCACTGGAAATATATGAATTATATGAATTACCTAGGGGAATCCTGGCTTGCATGTTTGCTAGGAAAGAGATACCACCACCTTGCCATTGTTGTAGACTGCGGCCTAGCACAGTGCCAACGTCATCTCGTTCTCCTTTTAAGACATGCCAAGAATGTGTCCAGATGTAAGTACAGTCAGTAAAAAGGTTTGGCAAGGGGTAGCTGTATATCAAGCCACAATCCTGAGTGGATATTAATAAAAGTGACTGTTACATAATGTTGAAAGGTGATATCCTGCAACTGTGTCAGGAGATGGCACGTTGTTTGGGCTATTTGTAAACTTCACTTTCCCTTTCTCCCAACAGCACAGCTTTCCCCTACTTTCTGTCACCATAATGGCTTTATTCATGAATTTCTTTGCGTTTATCATCAGTTCAAACTGTTGGACTGTTTCTTCTTTCTACTTTTCTTGCCCAGTGCCCAGTGGATGCCGCTCTTTCTTTGTCTTTCAGTCTGTTATGCACATTTGCTTCCACTATGCTTCCAGTTGTGTTCAATCCATTCTCTTTCTTAAAAGTAGCTGGTTACACCAGAATCTATACTTGTCTTTATTAAAGGGCCCAGTTTGCTGTTGTACGTAGCCACTGTGAAAAGTTAATATTTAGAAACTAAGGTACCTGTCGTGAAATAACTGTTTTTGTGATGTCACATTTGCATATATCCACCCATTCAATCTGCAGCGGTTTAGCTCTGCACATTCACACTTCAGTTAAAAAGAGTGTTTCTGCCTGGACTGCATTTTGAATAAAGCCCAGTACAGGCCAGGCAATCAGAACATGTATAAATGAATTACGACTGTTTCTGGTACAAAAAACCAAAAATAAATTAAAATTGCAAGAAAAATATGGGATACGGGATATTAATATAAATGCTTTTAAACCTGTGTTCAGCCTGTACTTTTCTTAACTGTGCTTGTCTTAGACACCAAGCTAAGAGAGCCAGATGTTATGAGATGCATTACTGTATAAATATAGCTGTTTTCCCGTCTTTCAGAACAAGCCTGTACGGAGGAGACCTCCACGCACGCTGGAACTACCTGCCAGTAACAACGCAGGCCAGGGCCAGGATGAGGTGAGACTTACTGAGAAAAATAAGGGGAAAAGCTAGGAAAAAAAAAACCCTCCTGTTAGGGCATGTCTAGTTGTTTTGATAAGACATTTATGAACAGTGAAAGTGAGCATGTTCTAATCTGAAGCTCGACGGAGGCATCAGGATCTTACTTTGCTTAACTACTGTACGTAATGTGTCTAAGTGCTTCACTGAAGTTAAGCAGTAATGCAAGTTGTGCACTGGACAGTTCTGCACTGACTATGCTTTTCTTATAAACAGCTTTTTACAGCTTAACTGCTTAAAATCCCAGGGTTATTACATACTAAGTCTTATTATTCAGTAAATCCAGGGACTTCAATGCAAACTGGCTATTCTGAAATTATAGAAGTGTGTAATAAAACTTTGGGCCCACTGGTAGGCCCTGGCCATTTAAGAGGTTAAAGGGCTGCCTAGAAAGAGTCATACTTCACTTGAAATGTTTACTAACCCTAGAAATCCAATGTGCATAAGAGATTTGTTCTTTTTTAAAGCAACAGAAAGGAGAGGCTACTTCTCATCCTCCGAGAAAGCAAAGAAACTCTGCTCTCATTGAGAAACTACAGGTGGGTTTGGTTTTTGTAAACATCTAAAAACATTCTCCAGACTCACCAGCACTGGTTTAGCTGTGTTGCCCTCTCCTGGGCAGACATGTGTATTGCTCTTGCAGCATCTCAGATGTAGTTTTCCGGCCTGTATTTCACAGGCTAACCTCGTTCTGTCTCCCACGGCCCTGCTGCCTTCACCAATGAGCCCTGGAGCTGCGAAACCTCCACCAGTGTCTTTCTCATCAAACTCACCCTGCAGCCCGGTCAGTCCAGCTGCAGCTCCCAAAGCCAGCCAGGAGGCCCCAGCCAGCTTTGAAAAACCTGCAGAAGGAACTGTTCTACTAAGCATTAACAAGGTGAAAATCATTTTAATAAAGATGGGCAATACAACTGCTTTTCATTTTGATCCAGTGCCACATGATACTAAAGTTGATAAAAACTCTTCTTGTCCACATAAAAAGAGAACTTTTGTTATTTCCACTCTTTTATTTACCACAGTTGCATGCAAAAGTTCGGGAGCCCCTGGTCAAATGACATGTTTTGTTGAATTTCTAAGTGAAAGTAAGTTAACATATCCTGTATCGAAAATACACTTCTGCACATGTTAATGCACAATTACTGTTTATTTGCAGAATTTAACATATGCGGGAAAGAAACTTAAAATGTGTCCTGTGCAATATTTTATGTTCATTTTTTAGCCTAGTATGTTAAACTCAGCAAATAAATAGAATTTTGTGTGTTAAAATGTGCAGAAAAAATGCCATATTTAAGCTTGTTCACTGTAGAGGACATGTTAACTTATTTTCACAGAATATCAACAGAACATGTACAACCCCATTTCCAAAAATTTGTTGGGATGCTGTGCAAAATGTAAATAAAAACAAAATGCAATGATGTGCAAATCACTTTAATTAAAAAGAGTACAAAGACAACATATAAAATGTTGAAACTGATAAATTGTATTGTTTTTTTGAAAAATAAATGCACATTTTGAATTTGATGCCAACAACACAATACAAAAAAGTTGGGATGGGGCATCAAAAGGCTGGTAAAGTTGTTAAAAAAAAACACCTGGTGTTATTTATAGGTATAAAAAGGGTATAAAAAGAGCATCTCAGAGAGGCTGAGTCTCTCAGAGGTAAAGATGAGGAGGGGTTCACCACTCTGTGAAAGACTGAGCAAATAGTGCAACAATTCAAGAATAACATTTCTCAACATAAAATAGCAAAGAACTTTTGCTTTTCATCATCTACAGTACATAATAATGCAAGGGACAAGGCCAAAAACCAGTATTAGATGACTGTGATCTTTGGGCCCTCAGGCAGCACTGCATTAAAAACAGACATGATTCTGTAGTGGAAATCACTGCATGGGCTTTTTCAGAAACACTTCTGAAAAACACTGTGAAAACAGTTCATCACTGCATCCACAAATGCAAGTTAAAACTGTAAAATGCAAAGTAGAAACCATATACAAACAGGATCCACAAACGCTGTCACCTTCTTTGGGCCTCAGCTCATTTAAAATAGACTGAGGCGAAGTGGAGAATTGTCCTGTGGTCCGATGAATCAATATTTTAAATTGTTTTTTGGAAATCATGGACAATGTGTCTTCCGGGCTTAGCTTGTTATCAGCGCACAGTTCAAAAGCCAGCATTCATGATGGTACAGGGGTGCACTAGTGCACATGACATGGGTGACTTCCACATCTGTGAAAGCACCATTAATGCTGAACAATACATATAGGTTTTGGCAACATATGCTGCCATGCAGATGATGTTGTTTTTTAGGGAAGGCCTTGATTTAAGCAAGACAATGCCAAACCACATTCTGCATGTATTACAACAGCATTGCTCTATAATAAAAGAGTCCAGGTGCTAAAATGTCCTGCCTGCAGTCCAGACCTGTCACCACTGATAACATTTGGCAAATTATGAAATGAAAAATACGACAAAGGAGACCCTGAACTATTGAACAGCTAAAATCCTATATCAAGCAAGAATGGGAAAACATTTCACTTTCAAAACTGTAGCACTTGGTCTCCTCAGTTCCCAAACACTTACAGAGTGTTGTTAAAAGAAGAGGTGATGAAACACAGTGGTGAACATGCTCCCCATCCCAACTTTTTTGAAACGTTTTGTTAGCATCAAATGCAAATGAGCACATATTTTTCAAAAAACAGTAAAGTTTCTCAGTTTCAACATTTGATATGTTGTCTTTGTAGTATTTTCCTTTAAAAATATGGCTTACATAATTTGCAAATCATTGCATCCTATTTTTATTTACATTCTGCACAGCGTCCCAACTTTTTTGTAAAGGAGGTTGTAATTTGACTAGCCCAAATACCCTATTTGAGGACTCTAGTGTGTGTACGAGGAAGGGAGAATAAAGTAGTTTTATAACACTCAATAACTGATCCTCATATATAAAAGGAAACACCAGTATTGCATGTTTTCATACTCTGCTATTGATCCACCCGCACCGACCTCTTAACTTTCAGGGGTCCACCAAGTCCAACTTAGCAATAACTTAGTAATAACTTAGTTATAACTTAGTAATAACTTAGTAATAACTTAACAATGTAGCCAAGTTATAAATAAAGGTGCCAAAAAGGTTCTTTGGAGTGAAGCCACCCACAAAAAAAAATATTATTGGTTCTTTAAAATGCTTTTCAGTGTATGGTACACTTTAAATGATCATTTTGGTAACTTGATGAACTTGATGAGCTTGTGTGAAAGTGTGAAGTCCACATAACAAAGGTTCTATGCAAATTAAAGGTTTTAGGAACCTTTAACAACCTTTAAAGGTTCATCGCGCTCACAAATCTCTTTAGGGAACCAAGAGTGGTTCCTCAATAGCATTGTTCAAAGGGCCCCTTGTGGTTCCTTTCTTTAAAAGTGTAGTGAACATCATTTTTTTTTATAATATTTATGTTTTGTAACAGTAACAAGTAATTTATAGTAGCTACTGCATTATAAATCTTAGGATTAATAGCTGAATCATATGCCTGCAGTTGAAGTTGTTAACTGCATTGTTATTGATGGTGTATAATAGCACTTAATATGTGTTCCTTCATGTGTGTTTATTTGAAAGTGTTACTCTAAATTTTACCCCCAGGGCAGAGCTAGACATTCTATCAAACGTCGGCCACCATCTCGCCGCCACAGGAAGTCTAGTTCAGACGATGTTGGTGCTGAAGAGGAAAAGACTGCCTCGCCTGTCTCTGAGTCTGCTGCTCCAGGTGGTAAGGAGGAAGACGTGTTCAAGAAGCAGAACGTGGAGGAAAAGGAGGACAGCAGTGCTGAGCCAGTGTCTTCTACCTCTGAGCAACAGAAAGAGCAAATCCAAAGTGCATCACCAGATTCAGAACAGCAGCCTACAGCAGAGGGAGAAAAGGAGAGCAAAGCATGTGAGGAGGCCCCTGTGTCTTCAGAGAAGGAGGAGAAAGTAGAAGAGGAGAAGGTAGAAGAGGAGAGAAGGTAGAAGAGGAGAAGAAGGTAGAAGAGGAGAAGAAGGTAGAAAAGGGGGAGGAGAAGCCTGATGAGCCCCAGTTAGCCAATAACACCTCAGAGACCATAAAGCATGAAAAGCCTAATGAAGAACCAGACACAGAGCCGCAGACTGAGCCAGACAGAGCGACAGAGGACAAAGAAGAACAGGAGGAGAAGAAAGAGGAGGATGGAGGGAGCCAGACAGAGGTGAGCATTACATTTTTAATGGTGGGGCCAAGCTGATAGTTTGTCACTCTTTGCAGTTAAATGGGAATCACACAGATTTTTAAAATTTCCACAAAATTCAGTGGTTGATAAGTAAACATAAGTAAAGTAATTCAGAGTGGGTTTATTCGAAATGGTTAATTGTAGAGAAACTTATGAACTGGCCAAAATGGCCAGCCAACCTACACGTCGTTGACATTGATGATGGTGCTGATGAAGTTTTCCATTGTACTATTTTGCCTTACACTGCTCCGCTGTTCCCCTCCACCAGTAATGCATTTATAAAATACGTCAGGCCAAAAGCTTTTCACTCAACTATCAATGTCTCAGGTATCAGGTAACATATTTGTAACTATCAGTAAAATAACATTCAGTGAGGGAGCTTTTAGAGGCATTAAATGCTTCATACATCTGGTTCCTGTTACCACCTCAGTGAACAATTCAGTAAGTTTCTCTAGAAGGGAGCATTTCACATCAAACCACTCTGAATGACTGTTTACACCTTAACAATTTAATGATACAGAATATGTGAAAAGTGAAAAGATGATTTTTACTGTTAATTGTGAATAGATCTGTCAAAGGGATTAACCTTAAAAATACATAAAATTATAATTAAAATTTACCTGCTCCTTGATCCACTTGGCATTTTGCATGATGATAATGCATATTTTAAATTCTCCTACTTGTCTCTCCTACAGTCAGAAGCAGAGCATTAAAGGCACATGCATTTTGTGTCATGTATTTTATTTTTATAATTGTCTAATGAAATCTTCCTGAATTCCTCCTAGTTCATCTGTTTCAAAGTATTTTTGAAAGCTATGCATGGTTTGTTACTGTCCAGTTCTGTCCATTTTTATTGACTGCTTGATTAATTGCCAAAATGATCGGGACATTATTCAGCTACTAATATAATCACTAGTGACAACCCTAACTGTGATGCAAGTAGACCCAGTGAGTTAGCCTACTGTGCTAGCGGCGCATCTAATGTAGAGACTGCACTGTTCTTGAACCTGCATTTCTTATTCATCAGAATATTTGTCTATTGTTACAGGAGTGTAAAGGATCCGAACAATGAAATCCTTGGGAATTCTCCACAAAGGACTGCTCACTAAATCCTAACTGCTTGGCCAAACCATTGAGGTGAAGGGGAGGCCTGGGAATTAATAATGTGAACAACATGGCTTGAAACTTCCCTCCAACAAAGCTTTAGCAGCAGTTCTCCGCTTTTTGTTAAATTCTTCTGTTGGATGTACAAGTTAACCATGAGATGAAAAGAAAAGAAAAAACCTGTCTTCTTGTACAGATGTGTTAATATTTTGGTAATATGTTTTGTGCTGGTGGTACAAAGTCAGATACAGCATTGTACATGTGATTAGTTTAGTTCTGATATTTGCTTTTTGTATATACCTTGAACTAAAATTAATGTGAAATAAAGGATTAATTTTTGCTGACTCATTTTTAAAACAGAAATAGCAAACTTTTGTTTAAAAACAAAACACAAATGAATTAACAGGGCAGGGGTTGTGTGTCCGCAATAAGCATAGGTGAGCAGTAATACAGTAAGTAAAGGACATTTGAGCACTCAGCCAAGGGGCATCTTTACATATATATATATGTTCTTATTTAATATTATAGTATGTAACGTATGTAATATTACATCCCCAAGTCTCAGTTGACTGAATTCACAATTTAGTATCTTTTGTGTCCATCAATGTTCTCTCACTACAAAACCCAGCATACATTTCACAATAAATCACACAACCACTGTGAATCCTCCTATGGCAATAGAGAAATCCACTGATGTACCACTGATGTAGAGGCTAATAAATACAATCATGTCTCATATCTGCCTTTCCAGAAGTAATGTTAGCTAAGTGTCCCTTTAAATCTTAGTGATTGATTTATATTAAGTTTCAGAGTTCAATGACATCCCTGTTGTGACTTAAATAAGTGTGTTACTGCCATTTCAGGATTCCAGAAAGTCCATCTTAAACTGCTACTACTACAAGAAATTTAATAACCTGAATAGACGATGACAAGGAGTCTGTTTTGCTATGAAATGAAAAGCCAGAGTATTCTTAGGGCACTTATTGTTTAAAAACAAAAAAAAACACTGTGTCCAATCAAAAAGACCCACTAAAAAGACCTTCAATATGAAATGATTTTTGTAATATTAAAAAAAAACAACAAAAAAAAAACCAAGTGGCATATTTTAATTACGCATCCAAATATTACCGTTTCTTTTCAGGTCATTACAAGTTTTAGAAGTACAAGTGTTACCATTATATTATCTGCATTTTGTGTGTAAAAATAACATGAGCAGTGTGTTTAACACAAGTGGACCATTTAAACATGTGTACATGCAAGTGTGCATCAGAGCTGAAGACATTTAAGAGTCTTTCGATGGTCTGAAATTATATTAGAGGCCTTTTACTATATTATATTAGAGGACTAATAATATATTATATAATATAGGACTAACTTTATAGCCTTATGCTATACAATACATTAAAACAATAACTGCTGTTTTATCGGTTTGTGAATATTTGCACTGCTTAATCACATTTAGACGTGAAACGCATTGTGAAAGCTGTAGAGTCATGCTAGTCTGCCAGAAACACTGAAAAATATCTAATGGGGGAAAGTAGAGGAAAGAGAACTGTGATAAAAGTCACAAAGACATTCCACACAAGACAAAACTGCCTTAAGGACAGAAAAGCAATAGAATGCACCAGCTGGACACAAATAGAAAGATGCTAAAAACCACTGAACTACAGCTTTTAGAGCCCAGTGGACATACAGCCCTTTTTTTCAGTATTTTATCCCTCTACTCAAAGACACTGATATTTGTAGTGCAACACACACTAACACGCAGTGCTGAGAGTGATCCACTTCCCAAATAATACCTGCTCTGTGGTGGTCCTGTGGGGATACTGATCACTGACGAACAGGGTAAAAGGGGGCTAACAAAGTATGCAGAGAAACAGATGAGCTACAGTCTGTAATTGTAGAACTACAAAGTGCACCTATATGGTAAATGGAGCTGATAAAATGGAGTGTAGATATAAGGAGGTGAAATGGCTGCTCAGTGTAGGACAGTGGTGAAAAAATACAAGCATTGTGCACTTGAAGGAAAGTAGTGGTAAAAAAGTACTATATCCAAATACTGTACTATATCCAAATATCCACTATATACTGTATCCAAAGTAAACTTACTATGAGTTATTATAGTTCATTTTAAATTATTTTAATGAATTTCTACTTTTAATCAATTACAAGTGTTTCTATTTCAGGCAAGCCCAAAATTTTTGCACTTTGTCAACCACTGATCCTGTATTTCTTATGGATTAAATGCATCTTAAGGGCTTATGTAAGGACTAACCGCATGGACTAATGTAAGGACTAACGTGCAAATGGGATTCAATGGAAAACTGAATTTTAACTTTTTTTTAATAAAAGTGTTTGATGTAGCATGCAAGTTGCATACCATTCGGTTCACAGTCCAATCTGTTGATTTATGGACATTAAGCTGCAAAAACACTCAATTCAGTATGTTTTTACATTAAAAAATGCTCATGAATACGGTGAAAAAAGACCTGAGGTGAGGTGAACATTGAGTAATATCTGATTGCTGTCAAAAACTGAGATAATGTTGTGATGGGAAAAGAAAAAAATGACCAAAAGCACATTTTACTACATAACTTCATAAGAACATAACTTCATCATAACTTCATCGCAGGTTGTGGACTGCTCTCTCACACAGGGACACATGAATCAGAGGCAGAAAACATTTGAGAGACATTCAAGTGAAGAGGTGATTAATTGGATACTTAATTCAAAGATATAAAGCCAAGGGTGAAGGGATTAAAGTGGATAAAGTGTCTTTCCAGGCATGATCAGCCCTTCAGAGAACTCTGTGTCACAACTGTGATGTCATGGCTGAATAGGATGATGTAAAATCAGAAATGAAGAGAAATGAAAATATGTTTGTAGAGTCAACAATCAAAGGGCTCCTAAAGCCACCAAACATCAATTATTGAGGCCGTTTTTATGTTAAAATCCTCAGATTCAAGCAGAAACAGAGAAACATTCTTCCTGAAAGTTCTGTTAAATTACGAATCAATTATGATAAAATCATAATCAATGTAATCAATGCAATGTAATCAATGTAATGGATCATCTTTGTAGCTTTGCATGTTTTTCATACCAAGAGCCTTTTAACTCCATATCTTTTTCATCCTATCTTCACTCCTTAGTCCTTTAGGTCAATAATCTTATTGCCCTTTTACTGTCTGATTGGCTCTGTAGGCTGGTTTGGAACATGCTAAGCACGCACAGCTGAAGGCTCACTTTCATGTGTTGTGCAATGCACAAAACCCCTTAATTAACCCTCCATCAACCACAATGCACTCCATTAGCACCTTAAAGTCCGTATTTTAAATGTCCTTTGGTACATTCACTACATGTCCAAAAGTATCTAGACACCTCTACTAATAAGTAAATTCAGCTACATTCAGCTGTTGCAATGCTTGTATAATCTCCAGAGAAAACACTGCCTATATAATAAGATGCTCTGGAGCAGCTGCGCATGAAGCTAAGGTGGTCAAAACCAGCCCAAATACAGCAAATTTAATAAAACAATAGAAGTAAAGATGGCAGTGAAATTCACAGTTACGCATTACAGCTCTGAAAGCGCCAGAGTCAAGCTGCAGTGCCTTAATCCACTTTACTGTAATGAGCACATAGCCGACTCACAAACTTCACGCGCCTCAAGAGTGTAGCCTTTTATTCTGGACTAAGCTTCATCACCGTGAGCTCCCCACTCTGCTAATGGTAACTGATCCAACTGGTAGGTGTGGCACTGGTTAATTCGTCACTGTGAGAACATCCTGCTGGTTTGTCCTATATACTATTCATACTAACTGATACATTGCATACAAGTTGCATATGCACTACCACTCAACAGACTGGATTCACTTGCCATGTTAGCATCTTTTGTGATTTTATATACAAAAAAAAGTCTTATTTAAAAAAAAAATAAAAAATGTATTTACAAATTACCAACAATTCACCAAAGGGTATTTTTCAATGTTTTAGCCAATATTTTAATCATTCTCATCAAGAAGTAAATAAAATTAATCAATTTTTGAACAATTTTGACTTCACTCTCAACATTATACATCGTCCTCAGTCATTTTAGGATCTGGTAAGGCTTTGTTTTTCATTCTTGACATAGCTCAAATGTCTTTCTTTCTGAGTGTCCTACTAAATAAGCTCTTCCAAAAACCATATATTAAAAACATTATTAAAAAAAATAAAGCACTCCAACTTTTTTTGGATTATCAGTTATTTGGTTTTCTATTTTATTTCGTCCAACCTTTTAGATTCAAATACGTGGGCTATCTGTAAAAACAAACAAAAGCTCATATGTTTAGAATAACTTATAAGTAGTGATAGTATCAATAAGTAACTCATAACAATTGGTTATTATTTAATAACCATGTGCATATAATTATTATTCATCCATCCATCCATCATCCAAACCGCTTATCCTTCTGGGTCGCGGTGTATAATTATTATTATTTAGCCTAATTATTGCTCATACTTACAATGAGCAAACTGAATGAACTGAATGAAGCCAGTTGATGTAGTTGATGCATGTTAAAAGCCTTTTATTGTCTATTTATTGGTTTTTAATGGTGCTGAACTACACAGATCTCCACAAAGAGGAGCATCAAGTGACCTCTTCTGCACTTTCCCTTGCAGTGGCAGAACACGGAACCAGTCCTCAAGAGACAGGTGAGCTCAGGACAGGTTGCATAAGTATTCTCTTTTTCTGTGCCAGAGATTCTTTTAAAAGATGCGCTCTGTATGTTCTCTCATTCAGCCCAGGAAGGCTGCCATTATCCAATTACAGACAGTTATTTTAAGCGACTACCCCTTTTTAGTAGTACGTAGACATAAGAGGTTTAGATGGTCAGAATCTTGTTCTCGAGCCCTCTGAAGCGGCCAGTCTGCAGACAGCACTGTCCAGGTGTGGCTGGTCAGCAGGGCTCCTGGACACTGGCCTCATCTGAGAACATCTGAAAGGAATTTTAGCAGTCTTGGAGCAGGAGCATCCACCTGGAGCAGAGCACCAGGCAGCAAGTGAGGAAAGAGCAGTTTCCTCAGTGTAGCACGGTGCAGCAATGGGTAACAACCACGCCAGCCTGGACGACATCCTGGCCGAGGACATGCACCACTGGTACAACAAGTTCATGAAAGAGTCTCCATCAGGTCTGATAACACTCTTTGAGCTGAAGGCCATCCTCGGACTGCAGGGCATGAATGAGGACGCCAACAGTTACGTGGACCAAGTCTTCTTCACATTTGACATGGATGGGGTAAGGATTACTTTGTACTGTACCATGTCTTTGTTTCTGTCTTTTAAGCAATGTCAACTACTTGTTATATATCATCAGTGTATGAACAAAACATTGCATCTCCATTTTTTATTGCTTCATTTTTTTCAGAATTTGAAAATGCCAGCTGGTTTGGCAATGTTTTAAAATTTAATGACGAATGGAGCAATCAAAATGGTCTGGACTTCTTCCATTAACTTTCAAATAAAAAGATTTTTTCTACTTTTTTCTAGGGCTGTTTATGGAACACTGACACTCTAAATGTAGAACTATATTTTTAAGTCATCTATATGGTTGGATATGACTCATTAGTCACATTAGTCATTCATGTAAAATTAGTCACAGCAGAGCCTAGTAAAGACACTAGGGAACTCTACATGCACTGCCAGAAGCTGAAATGCATTGCTAGGTTCAACTCTGCACTGACTGTTGAAAAGTAAGAAAATGTGAATAAGATATTTTTTAAATTTACCTCCACTATGATTGTTGTCACAGTAAATGGACATTTCAAAAGGATTTCTGTACCAAGAGATAAAACTCTGCATTCAATAATGACATTCTTAGCAGCATACTAGGAGCTGTGCAACAATTTCAAGCTGGTACGTGAAAGAGCTGAACAATGCTTGGAATCAAACCTCCCAGCAAACAGCTGAATTCTGCTTTGTCAATCCATTTGATTAGACCAGGCTCTGGGTGCCTAAACTTTGTTATAGGGCACCAAATTGCAACTGTGCAATGTTGTGGTGGGCTGAGAGGAAAAAAGACAAAACAATACACAAACTGGTTTCAAATTATGTTTTTAAACATGAATTTTATAACTTTCCTTGATACTTTTTCCTAAATGTTAAGCTTTTACTAAAGGTTAAGAATTTTATCAATTATATATAGCATAAAAATACATTTATGTCTCCCTTAAAACCAAATCATGGCATATACAGAAATAATAATAAGTGGGGCTTGCCATCATTATTACTCATCAATAAGCCCTTGCTTTGAGCCTTTTGGGTCATGTCTGGTATTGAGTAAACAAGTTTACTGCCCCATTGTCATTTTAAACAATTTCAAACAAATGTGAAATTTGGAAAAATCTGTAAAATATAAACTGTAAGCATATTTTGAAATTAGATGATTTAACTAAATGAAAGACTGTAAAATAAATAGAGAATACAGAATAAATGAAATATTGTAAGCAATGGAACTGCTGAATGAAAAATTCATAAGACTGTGCAGTAATGAACATGTAGAGCTCAGAACACAGCACTACTACATAGGCATGTGAGGATATAGATCGGCATACTGATATTTTTCACGCATACATCTGTCAATGCCAATAAATAACCATTCATAAAATGTAGAAAGACTACATCAACGTGGATTAGCTTTACACACTTTTTTCTATAGGTTTCAATGCAGACATTTTAGTGCAATAATCCTGCATCGCCTAAACGTCCTGCTCTTCAAAAGTACAGTAAAAATCAGTTTTATCAAATAGCGGTTTGAAAAATAAAATCACATCTGAACTTTTGTCTGACACAGATTTTTTTTCTGCAATTCTCTGCAGATGCTGATTTGATTCTGATATCATTGTGCATCCCTACTACTAATATTAGTTAGATTTGGGATAAAGGTGAAATGCTAACAAAATCTGTCTCTTGTCTGTTCAGGATGGATATATAGATTTTGTGGAGTACATTGCTGCCATCAGCCTGATGCTCAAAGGAGAAATCAACCAAAAACTAAAGTGGTACTTCAAACTTTTTGACCAAGACGGCAATGGAAAAATTGACAAGGATGAACTGGAGACAATATTCACGGTAAATGCAGTAAAATAATCAAACCTTTAAAATATCTGGATATTTATCATACATTATATTTGTCATATCTGACCTCAAAAGCACTGATTAAAGAAACGTTTGAAAACCTGTGGCCAAATTATATGTTTTGTTGATTTTCTAAGTGAAATAAGTTAACACATCCTCTACAGAGAACCTAAACATTCTTCAGCAAATTTTAGTCTATCTTTTAATTTGTTTGCTGGGTTTAACATATTGGGAAGACAGTAATAGTGTGGCAAAATGTGCAGAAGTGTGTTCTCAGAAGAGGATGTGTCCCCTTTTTTACTTGGAAAATCAACAAAACATGTAATTTGACCAGGGGTGCCCTAACTTTTACAGTTATTTACTAATAATACATACAGTGTACATACATTGTCACTGGTTTGGCCAGTGACCATTCATGAGCATTATGATGAGTTGGAAACCATGACGCAATCAATCACATCACATACACATATTTACATCATTTAATATGATTTAATTGGATCCTTTTCAGTTAAAACAAAAGCTGTCAGTGAGACTGACAGCCCAGATAGGGTGAATTAAGCTGGAAACTGGACGACGCTACTTAGTCTGTGGATGAACTGATTTAATCCCATTCAAGAGTTGATCCCTCTCCTCTTCCCTTGGGTTGACCTCAGACAACCTCAGACGTCCTCTATATATAGAAATCAAGGAGCACAGCCGGTCTACGCTATTTAAAAGCTACTCAGATTTAGTACTAGGTCTGATTCCTGATTGATTACCCAAGAAAATTTCCACTTTTGTTTCTTCACGCTAATTGTCATTGTGTACATCACACATGAAAGGACAAATAAACAAAAAATTGCCCTCAAGTTATCTATGACAGATGATTTTTTCTGCCATGTTTTGTTCTTTACAACAGGCCATACAGGACATCACACGAAACCATGACATCATGCCAGAGGAAGTGGTTGCACTCATATTTGAAAAAATTGATGTCAATGGAGAAGGTAAGAACAGGCAAAACAGGCAAAAACCTGAGAGTTATAGACAGAATCCTTGGAATGGTTTTATCTTAGTGCAACAATGCTAAGCTCACATGTGACTTTTAAGTTTTATGTCTCTGCTGACCTGAACACACCTTTACCTTCCCTTTTACCTCCAAGGTGAACTGACTCTTGAAGAGTTCATTGAAGGAGCCAAAGGACACCCTGACATTATGGAGATACTGAGGAAAATGATGGACCTGACTCCAGTCCTAGTTATCATAGTTGAAGGACGACAGAAACCAAACAATTGCAAATAAGGATTTACTGCAAAGACAATTCAGAACAAAGACAAAGCCCCCATGATTTTACTTGAAAACCAAACACAGGAGAGAATAAGTGGACTTTCTTTGGACAAAAGGGTGTATGCAGCTCAATCTGTGACGTTCCTTCAAGAAGCACAATTTGAGGGAGACAGGTTGGAGATGTAAAGCCACACTGGACTGATCTGCTAATGCTTTAAGAGGTTCAAAGGAGACTGCTGGCAAGACTCGCAAGAGAACGAATTAAGAGGAACGTACTGCTTTTTAAAGAAAAGCAGATGTGAGTTTGCCAAGAACTGTTGGAAGAAGTGGTGCTTAGGCAACTTCCATGTCGGTAAGCGCCTTATTTGTACTGAATGGAATGGCTTGCTATTAGTGGTAGAGATATCAGAATGTATAATGGTTTACAGAGAGGAGGGGAAGACAGAATATTGCCTTTGCCATCTAAACTTCCCAAGAAACAATGGCAATACCAATCTCGGCTATACTGAAAGCTCATTTTGAAATACTGCAGAACACAAATTCAGGTAAAAACACCATAATATCAAAACAATAAAGCAAATCAATAAAACAAAAAAGGATCACAATCTCGCAAAGCATATTTGTACTTAAGAGCCCTCCTTTGTCTTTTTTACTTTGAGCAACTATTGTATTAAGCCATGCAAATTTGAATAGCTGCTTCACAGATTTTGTTCATTATTTGACGAAAGCAACTGAGCGATGTTTAGGAATGTTTAGGAAAGGACTGCGGTCACAGTGTTGTAGTAATAGCTGGCAAGCAGCTGGGCTTCAGGCTGGAACTACAGACAAATAGTGGCATTAAAAAAATTGTGGCACTGATAATTTATCGCTTTAACTCACTAACTTTAACACCTCTAAAAATCATATGAAATGGTGCTCGCCAAAAATATATAACGCAGTGAAGTAAAGTTCAGATGCATTTCATCCACAAACACAGCTTATATACCTGCTATCTTCTTATCAAATCAAAGTGACTAATTTTCCTCAGTGTCCCCATTTTTTGCATTTGAATCAAGTACATTAGCAAATATTCAAGTTTGCATGGCTTCAGAGCTCATTAAAACTAGCAGCAGTTTAATCAATCAATCAATGAACTTAAGACTGCTTTTGGAACATCTTAGCTGATGCTTCTGATCTCCTTTGTTTAGTTACTCAGCTTAGAAACCATTGTTGAGACAACATGGAGGGACTTCTGGTTGACAAGCTTGCTTAATTACTATTTTTAAGCAGTTGTATTTCTACTATCAGAAGAGTGCGAGGGTGATCACTCACTGTTTTCTAAAGGTGTCTTTAATCAAAGCTTTTGAATCAATGCTTTGTAAGTATACAGAGAATCTAATCTACAAAGGCTACTTTTTTTGGAGTGACCGTTATTCACTGTTCTTCACCTGTAAAGTCTGAAGACTTGATGAAAATAAATTTATTTTTTCATGCAGTATACACAAATTAATTTTTCAATCTCTTTGAAATTCAGGTAAAGTATGTCCTGGAATGCAATACATTGTGTTGTTGCCTTATTCAGAATAAAAATGTAAAAAAATTATAATGGTATTTTGTTTTATGTTCATCATAATAACTGGGGGCGATGTTTAGGTGCTAACTGTTAAGGTATTTGCCAAAAGTTCTTGATCAAGAATGAAGAATGAGATCTTTCAATTTGTTTAAAAAAAAAAGAGATTCTTTAATTAAAAATACTACACACAGTAGAAAGCAACTCTGCACCCCCACAAAATGTTAGCAATTACACATAACACCCATTCCCTGAAAACAACTTCCTCTATAAGTCCAATGCAAGCCCTGAAGTACCCTTTTTGGTCAAAAATGTATACTTATCATTTAATCGTCCTTCCACATTACCTCCAACCTCCATGACTTACTGAGCTTTAGCTTTGCTTCTGGAGTCTGCAGCAGTCAGCACTGAAAGGTAGAGTCTGATAAAGGAGTAGAGCACACCTAGTGCGCAGTAGATGGAGGTGAGGAGCAGGGGGATGAAAGGCAGCGTGTGCTGCCAGGAAGTCAGTGGGTAAATAAACTCACAGATGAGCTCCAGAGGAACCAGGCCCAGAAGATAAGCAGCTTCCACCGAGTTCACCAGCTGGCCAGATTTACTGGATGATAAAGCAAAACCAGCAGATATTAATGACAAAGCATTCCAATCAGCACATGGCAAAAAAGTCCAAAGTTTAATCATATACATATAGCACTATTCAAAAGTCTGGAAATTATAAAACATAATTATTAAAAAAAAAAAGTGAAAGTAATTGTGAAACTTCAAGTTTTGAAATAATGTAAGAATATAATTGCATAAAATAATTATATAAAATGATATGAGTTGCAAAGTTAAAATAGCTACATAAAGGAAGTTATTATAATCAGTTCTATTATATTATGTAACAACTTCTGTACATAAAACTTGTAGTATTTAAAATTGTTACTATACTGTTATACTGTACCTATAATATACCGCTATAATTAAAATAGAACAGGTTATTATGCAAAAATCCATAATAATAATAATACTACATTTTAAATGTATACGTTTTGTACATCAAATAGCAATAGCGATTTCAAACTTTGAAATTTTGCCTACAAAAGTTTTTAAATTTGACGTGAAGACCTAATGAACAGACCTGAAAAGCTTCTTCAGAGATGTGAAACTGAAGATTGTAAACAGCAGCATGAGAAGAATTTTGATGGGCAGCTCTGCAGTTGGAAAAAGAAGACGAGATGTCTAGCCAGTCAGCACAGGTCTTGTCATCTCGAATTGAGAAGGTGCCATAGTCAAATACTTACCCTGGGCTGTGAAGAGCAGTGGAAAAAGAGAAAAATGGCCTGTTGTGCTGAGGATCAGAAATGTCCTGGCATCCTCCTTACTCTCAACTGCAAGTAAACTGGACAAATACATAAGAATGTGTGAGCAAATCAACAAGCGTGACTAGCATTTGTTCTAAAAAATGAACATAACAAGAGATTACCTTAGAGGAAGTATTGCCATCAGAATAGCTTTCTCATGCACATGCCAGCCAAACATGAAAGATCCAAGTGCACAGATAACCATGCAACGCAGAAAACCTCTGGCTCCATTAGGTCTCCTCCACATACTGAGCAGAACAGGCTACAAGGAGCAAACAGTAAACAGTTGACAAGCAAACAGGTTACATGCAGCTTCAAAAAAATAACTGTCGAAAAGAGACAGTGATTACTAAACTGTCTGAAAATCTTGTTACTGGTGGCCTGCTTTGTTTTTAGCTGACAGCTGTGCTTCAGTTCTTGCTTGCTCTGGAAAACTGCAGTCTCAGTACATGAATTCTGAGGGTCTCTTATTTACTGTCATTTGTCAAAGCCACTGTCAGTGATTAAGGTGATTCAATGTGGAAAACTGACCTACTATGAATCAAAAATCTCTATAGCACATTGTAAATGTATGACTTCACAGTGCATGATATAAACCATGCATTTAGTGATAGCTGTATATGCATATCTGTAAGTGCATATCAGCATTATAATTAGCAATCCGGATTCAGTGTATTTCATCAAATATGTTACAAATACAAAGAATCTGCTAAAACAGATCAGACACAGACCACAACATATATTAAAAAGACAGTAAGATAGTAGCTAAGCGAAAAATACCATTAAAATAGAGTAAATGTACATATTGAATGAATTCAATACAAGTGCCAGAACTGAGGAAACATATAGTAACTATTATATCGCTGTTGTCGGAAGAAAACCTCCTAAAATCTCCAAAATGATAACTTTACAGGAAAAGGAAAAAAACCTTCTTTACTTTCAATGTAAGTCAATGGGACCAGACTTTTTTCAAAGCCATTTTGTGCCATTTTTTTTGGTCCATTAATCATGAAATTTACACACAATGTAAAGGGCAACAGGCATTTTATGTCAAAAACTGAAAAATGGAGACATGAGGTTTTGTCCCAACAGCAGTGATATACAACATATTACAGAACAATATGAACATGTGTGAACAATATTTAGGAGCCTGAATCTGCTAAGCAAATACTCACCAGGATTGAGAGTAATGTACAAATAAGTGTCATTAAAGGAGACACAGATGGAAGAACAGAGTGCTGGAATTCTTGAACCAAACCTCCGGTCATCGAGGCCTTGGGAAGTTTGTTAAGGTCAAGCAGCTTGAGTTTTATACCTAAAAAAATGCAAAACAAAACAATAACCACTGTTAGTATGAGATTGTAACCAAATGACATAATTTCTGATTGCAAATTTGCATATTGCGAAGAGTAGGGAACATCAAAATGATTTTTCATACCCAAAATGGAAAGAGCTTTGTCTGCTATGTTGTAAAGAGCCCAGATATTGGGTGCCCAGTAGGCATGACATAGTCCTCGCTTGAAAGGGAAGAGTCTGGAAATGACTTGTGAAAGTTGTCCCTTGAAGAAAGTTATGAAAAAGAAAAGGAATTGAGTACTGATATTACACTTTATTAACTAACACAATCATAAGACAGAGGGCTTGTAAAATGTTCTACCCTTCACAGAAGGGCGACATACCATTATAATGAAGGGTCCAAATGACACTGCAAAGGTGGACAAAACAATCGATCCAAGTGCTACTAACCGGAAAAGGCTGAAACTCTTCCACTGTAATGAACCATCTAAAGAGGAAACAAAGCAATTTTAGGAGGATTCCTTGAATTTCATGAGCAAAAAGACCTTTTAAAGAAATCTTTAAAAAATACCTGCATTATTTTGAGTGAAGCAGAAACATCTGAGCAGGAAGATGCCATAGGCAGGTGCAATATACAGATATATATGCTTCAGATTTAAGAGGATGGAAAACAAGAGGGCCCCTTCCAGGTGTCTGCCCTGTTTAATTATATACACATAAAGAAGATATTAAGAACATCCAGAATAAGAAAAACACAATACAAGAGAGTCTCACACCAGACAGAAAAATCTTTCAAGTTTGTATAAGGTGGACACAGTAGTGGCCAGGTGTACTGAATTCATTTGGCCTTTGCATGAGTGCAGCCATCACCCTCTGTGATCGATAGCAGTCGTAGATTGTCATATTTGCAATATTATTTAAAAAATATAAAACTATGTCTTGAAAATATAACCAAAGGTCTAAAATTACTGAAATACCCTGTTCCACAAAAAAGTTTAGCTATTATGTTATAATTCTTATTAGATTTTGCTTGGCATGTGTTTACAAACTATGTATAACAAGATCATTAAATGGGTTTGTTAAGAAAGAAAAATGAGAAAGACTGAACAACCACACCTGAAAATGTCGTGCAACTGACAGAAGCAGTACACCAAAGAGGAAACCATTATACTGGAAATGAATGTCTATATGACATCATTTAAGGTCAAACCATGCATTCTAGTTAAGAGCTCTTAATTATGTAACACTATTGAGCATTTTCATTTTCTTAGGATACGGTCAACGATGAGAAGACCAAAGTTCCACAACAGCAGTGTAGCCAGGATGAAAGAGGGCTTCCCCAGCTGATCCTTCCCCTTCTCTTCTCGCAAACATTTGCAACATCTAGGAACAGTTAAAACCTAATGATTAAAGCTTTCAGAAGCGTATATATATATATATATATATATATATATATATATATATATATATATATATATAAATGCCAAACCATATAAAACCATTGTTTTAATATAAACATCAGCTTGAATTAGATCAAGAACAAAATATATATGCTGCTAAGATCTCATTTTAAAAACAGTAAAGGAGCAAAGGTGCTGTATTCCTGCCACATACTTACTGTATTATGAGGAACAGTCATATGCAAAGGTTTGACAAGCCCTGGTCACATTTCAGGTTTTGTTGATTTTCTAAATGCATCATTTCTATTTTTTTTTAGTTTAACATACTAAAAAGTAATAAAATGTAAAACATAACTCAGGTGCCATTACTTTTGCACATGATACATTTTAGATTTAATTTTTTTCCCAATATGTTAAATTTAGCATAGAACCTGTAATTCTGCATTGAAATGTGTGTTCTCTGTAGAGGATATATATATATATATATGTACTTATTTTCAAATAGAAAATAAACAAAACACCATTTGACCAGGGGTGCCCAAACTTTTGCATACAACTGGGTAGTAACAATAACAGTGAATCGAAGAAATATACAATTAACATGATCTTACTCTTTAACTGCATAAATGAAGACCACATCGGTGACAATGACGGACAGTCTCTGGAACAACACAGTGGCCGAGCTCGCATAATTCAAATTCTGCACCACCAGCATCTCCGCATCAAAGTATCTGGCGATATGCGACAGTCCATACTCAAACCAAGCAAACAGGGGAGGATAGTCCAGTGTCCACTCAGACGTTGCCTAGAATGCACAAATAAGTAACTGAATGAAAATCTAGACACTTAAAAAACCTCTTTTGGTAGACATGTTGTGTCTTTATATTTATGGTAATTTAAAGTGAACTGATTTAAATACAAACCTGTATTGATTAAGAAGACATTAGACATTGGATAACTTATTTAGAACTTGATGGCAGCAAAAAGACTTGTTTTTGTATCTTAGTTCTTTTTCTAACTTCGTTCGGTGTTTCACTAAGGGAACCATAAACCATAAGGACCGGGAAGTGAATTGTACTTTTTTGAACGCTGTTTATATACTATGTCCAACATTTATTACAAAAAAGTGAAGAAACTTCAATTTTCTATGATATGGGCTCTTAAACTTACTTCATAGTACCACTGGGACACCGGCAGAGAGTGAGTGACAGCAAGCCAGTTCCGGTGAACTTCAAAATCTGTGGAATGGCTGCAATAAAGTGGTTTAAAAAAGTTACATTCTTTGATTATGTATTGACGGTACAGTTAAAGTCGACAAAGCTATGGAGCTGCACCAGCCAAACGGACTGTCTGCCGCATTACAGCCAGTTCATGAATGAACCGTAGAAGTTAAACCGTAAATAAAAATATTTGGAAAGGTTTACACAATATTGTTCCAGTAAACATCTTAGCGAATATGAGCCAACATTAGCACCGACCGTGAGAGAAAGCACAAAACTGAAGTCAGCTTCTTACTCGCAAGCTTGTTGTTCGAATTTCCCCGTTCCATCTTAAATAGTGCTATAGTTACACAGCGACGCCTCGGGCGTTGTAGTGATATCTGCAGCACCATTTAAGGTGGAACGGAACTCACAGTGGATTCGAACAAGAAGCTGACTTTAGCCTCATAGAGAAAGCGGACTCAAACCGCTGACAGGCTGTCTACAAAGAAGAAACACAACTTAATGTTCTGTGATTCTTCTGTGTTTAAGTAAACCGGACTTACTAAGCATTTATGAGGAGACATTTGATGAAGGAAACCCCGAGAGATAAAGCCACAAACCAGCAGCTCTCCCCACTCATGGGCGCAGCCATGACAGCGCGCAGAAATAAAGGGAACTTTATTTAAAAGCTGGGTCCTGTTAAAGGGAACGCTTCCTTCCGGCAGAGTTACCAAACGGCACCAACAAAATAGCAAGACAAACTAACTCGCGGTAGAAATTGAGCTGAGATAAAGTCTGAGTTAGACGTGCTGGCTCTGCAGACCCGAGGTTGATGAATTCCTGAAGAAAAGCTTTGTTTAGTCAGAATGTGGTAGCAGCTCGCTAACGCTACTTCACCTCAAATAGCTGTAACTTTCAAAAGTTTACGGGCACAACTGTTTTACGCTAGATTGCTGTTCACATAATTCAGCAGCAGCTGTGACTGTACCTAATTTGGTAGTCGTTTATTTGTTTTGAATCATGGTGTGTTGGGGGGCTGTTATGCGCAGACACGGCGCTGCTCTCTTCAGACAGCATGTCTCATCACCTCTTCAGTGTCTCCCAAGACCAGCAGTGGGTAAATATCAGAGAGGTGAGTAGTGTTGTGCTCTTAATCTCTACACATTAGAATGGATAATGTGTGTCAGTGTGTTAAAGAATTGTTTCTTTCAGGACTCCATTTAACAAGCACGGCTAAGACGTACGATGTACGAAAAGTGGAGCTCACACCTCTTGAGCAAAGGAAACTGACATTCGACAGTCATGCATTTGTGAAAGAACTGGAAGCTAATGGTATGTCCACATACTTTTCCTCGTATTTGAAAACGGTCAGGGAAAGTCTCAGGGGAAAAAACTAGTGTATATACTGTATATAAATCTTATTATTAGATTATTAGAAAAGCTTAGACTCACTTCTTTTACAGGGACTTTTATTGTGAAGGGCGGGGCTAGGTTCTGCAAAGGTGGTGGTTCTGTAGCAGACCTGGAGAAAGCTAGAGCCTGAGAATGGTTTCCCCTTTTGTATGCTGTTTTCTGAGTTGATTTAAAGCTGAATTTTATATATGTATAAGAAACCCTTAAGTATACACAGTGTTTAAAACCTCCAGCTACACTGCTGTGTTGGATGTAGTAATACCAGCTCTGTGCTAGTGCTCCCAAATAATATGTGGTCAGTGGTGTTCTTATTAAACTTACAAAGTGCACCTATAGTGTAGGTTTAAAGTGTACCTAATAAACTGGCAACTTTGTATGTGTGTATATATATATATATATATATATATATATATATATATATATATTTATTTATTTATTTTTTTCCCAACTTGTAATGTTCTTGTGTATCTGATTATTGTATGTTTTGTTAAGGCTTTGAAAAGAAGCAAGCGGAGGTGATTGTGACAGCACTGGTGACTCTCACAACAGCCAACATGGACATTGTGTATAGAGATATGGTAACAGGAGCCCATCAGGTAAAGGAAAAGGAACAACTGTCAGTCAAAACAGTTTTACTAATTAAATGTGCATGGTATTCTTCAATGTCCTTTCTGTTTTAGGAAATTGCCCTGCAACAAATTATGTCTCATCTCGATTCTATTAGGAAGGACATGGTTATTCTGGAAAAAAGTGAATTTGCCAACTTACGCTCTGAAAATGCAGTAAGGTTTCTTATGCGTTCTTTATAAATGAGAACATCATAACTTCACAGTGTACATTCTTTACGTTAAGACCTAAATTCAGCTGAAAATAGAAAACATTCATTTGTTTTTAAAGAATTTTGGAGTAGTTAGATTTTGAAGTGACCTTTTCAACTCTTTTCTGCTTAGAAAATGAAAATTGAACTTGAACAAATCAAGAACAGGTTGCTTGTAAGTATACTTTTTTATTATAAAAACATGCATTGTTTTAATATCAAAAGTCTAAATAAACATGTTCCTAATTGATATGTTCAGTCAGTCATATGTCTTTTATTGGGGTTTTAAATATTATATACTGTGTGTTGGAATTAATTGTTTAAGGAGGAAAGTCAAAGGATTCGAGCAGATGCCAAGTTGGACATTAATCTAGAGCGAAGCAGAGTTACAGACATGGTTGGTAAATGTATTGTTTACACAGTAGTTTTATTCATGTTTTTAATAACCTTTTAACATCAGATGTTTATACAGCAAGTATGAACAGCTTCTTATCCATCAGTTTACAGAGCAAGAGAAAAAACTAATGGAGGTCAACACAGATTTCCACAAAAAGGTATATTTTTGAAGGTGATAAATGTTTTTTTTTAATATTTTAAGAAAAGTTACATTGGTAAAATCTAAATAAAGTAGTTAAAGATTTCAGATTTCATTATAATCAGAAATAGATGATTAAACATAGTTTGTTGGTGATGTCTAGAATGCTGAAATTGAAAGCAGTGCTGTACAAACCACCAAAAAAATAGACATAGAAGTGGCTTCATTGAAGACTCTTCTGGAATCACTCAAACTTCAGACTGTTCGATATCTTGCAGGTATGTAGATATTCCCATTATGCGGGTGGGCTATCTTTATATTGTTTGGTACAAAACTTAACACTGGCTGCACTGAACTAACTGAAACTAATGTGAATCATATGTTTGTCATTACTCTGAGAAAGTGTTCTTCATTACTGAAAACACTTTTTAAAATGAATGTAATTTTGCAGTGTTAAGATTACAGAATAGCAATGTTTTTATACTTTCTACAGCATGCATCTTCTCCTGTTTGGCAATTGCCCTGGGTTTCCATCGCTTATGGAAGTGAAAATAACCAAAGAAACATTTTCTGCTATCATTTTGAAAATTTGTTGTAATATTGTAGTAAACATATCTTGACCATATTTATCCCAATGTCTTTGTAAGATGCTTTTTTTTATATATCATCATAATTTTGATTGTATTACGTTTAAACCAACCTTTTGTCAGTCCATTGACACTGTGTACAATCTTGTTTTCCCAGTAAAATATGTGATGTTCTGGCCAATGAGTGGTGCATTCTGTGCACATTTCACTACACTACCAGTACATTTGTCACCCGTTGTTTCTTGTTTAATCAGATAGCACCCTTTCAAATAGTGTTTATACATAAAAATCTATGAATTAAAATTAAATTTGCTGGACCAATAACATGCTGTTAAATCATTTTCGTCCAGTAGATGGTGCTCAAAACCAATGAGTTTCGTACAATTTTTCAGAACTATTGGCAACAGAGCATGATCAGACATCTCAGTTCAAGGGGCTGTACAGCATAGAGCATATCACTGTTGTTGGAAGATAACCTTGTATCTCCAAAATAGTAACTTTACAGGAGAAGGAAAAAACATGCTTTACTTTTTATGTAAGTCAATGGAACCAGACGTCTTTCCAAGTAATTTTGTGTAATTTCATTTGGTCCATTCATCATGAAATTTACACACAATTTAAAGGGCAACAGGTATTTTCAGATTGTCAAAAAACTGAAAAACAAAACAAAAAGATACAAGGTTTTCTTCTGAAAACAGCAATATGTATAATACTTATGATTCATCTGAGATCAGTTTACTAAATCAAAGCCACCAGGTAATTCAAGCCCAGAGAGCTGAACTGCGGAGTCAAAAGAATTTTGGGGGTGGCCACATCCTCTAAATGTAGTGGTTCTTCACAACATATGGTGGGATGCCTGTCATTCTTGAGACGCTTTGAGTGCTAAAATAAAATTCAGACAAGATATGCATCAATAACATTGACTCTTTATTTAGGATAAAAGGTGAAACTGACATGTTCAAACATGGGCCAAACAGCACACAGTAAACACTTTTCACACAAAGACACTTTTACTTTCATTTTATTGAATATTCAGTATCTCCAGCAAACTGCCCTTTAAACCTCTGAAAAAAAAGTTTTTTTGTTTTAAACTAAACATTTTATTAATTAGAACCAAACACATTAGTAAATGCAGTGGGTTTCTGACATGTATTTACATAATTAAGATTCAGGAAGAAAAAGTAAGATTATTCCTCATCCTTAGTAAATTCTATCATTAATAAATTAAACCCTCTGCCTTGAAGGAACTTCTCTCTACTGAAATGAGGCACTGTAGAAAAACCCATGTGTCCTTTATAAATTATTTAGTTGTTGTCCATTCCTCAAAAATCTGTACAAATGTCTCATTGAAGAAAAGAAAATTCTTGAAGAATTTAAATCCAAAGCCTTGTTTATCAATATTACACAAAGAATACCAAAAATATTTCTTTATTTATAAATTAAACTGTACACACATTTTCCCCATCATACATCTTTTACATGTCAAAGGGCATTCAGCAAAAAACACCTGGAATAAGCAGGCAATTGCAAATACAAAAATGTATTTATTGTATGCATAGCTGAGGACCCTGCCTCAGTGCTGTTCTATATAAAAATATTTTTCCTCAAAGCACAACTTAAGTAACCACAAAATGAGGAGGTGTTAAAGCAGCACTGTTTAAAAAATAATTGCACTAGTTGTTTGTGACTCTCCTTCCAACTTCACCTGAACCTCCTCTTTTACCGTTACGGTATCTGTGTTTTCCTCAGCTGGCTCTTCTTTAATACTGGAGCATGATGCCTCACCTTCCCTTTCTTGTTTTAAGAAAACATTTAAAGGATTTTCAGTGAGCATCTTATTGGGCGATGGTGTGCAATCCATAAAGGAAGATGTCTATGGTGTATTGGTTTAAATAAAAGACAAAAGAAAGAGAAAAACAAGTTATAAAGAGGCTTTCAATAAAGGATACACCACACCTTACACTTTAGACATTAAAATTGAGGTTGTCAAACTTTATTACATTTTTGCCATATCACCAATTTTAGCAGATAACATCTGGTGTCTGTATCGAATGGCCATTTGTATGCATAATCACGATACTTATATTTCCACAATACACAATCTAATTATATTTTTCTAACTTTTTGTGAGTTGGAACAGACAAAGCAGGGCCACATTTTAAAAATACTATCAAAAACTATGAATACAATAATGTGTATTCAATATTTTCCATACTGTGCTGCACCAAATGCAATTAAACAGGACTACTTAAGCTCTCTGTTATCAAACACACCACTGGAAAGTGTCTTTAAGTACTGATATTCACAATATGCTCCGCAAAGCATAGGGTGACATACTGACAATGATAAACATTGTCGAATTGCTCAGCTCTACAGCAGTTTAGTGATTTCCATGCTCAAACATATCTTAACACACTAAACCTTAGAACCTGACAGAGCAGGCAAATCTTAACTGGAGACGGGTACCCCTTTAGCCCACTAGTCATGCTAACTTATGAAACTACAAACAAATCTTGTTAAACCAAAATGTAGGGGAGAACGAAGGCTCTGATCTTACATTAGTTTAATTTATATTTCCACTAATCACAAGCTAAGACCTAATATCTCAGTGCCTTTTGCCAATTCAGGAATAGGAAAAAAGATCTCCTCCTGATTCTGTCTTCAGTGAAGTGTACATATGTAATATCTGAGATTTTGTTGTTTGCAGGTTATTCATTGACTTTGAAGCATTTTCAAAAGTAAGTCGAGTACTGTCTTGATTATTCATTTTACTGATCTCTTAATTGAAAAGGTGAGCTTTCTTTTTTTTACATTAAATAAAAGACATTTCCGTAAAAGTCGCTGTACAAATATTCAGCCACACGTCTCTACAAAGATTATGAGAGCTTGAAAAACGTATTGACGTACTACTAAAAGCAGGAAGTAGTAACGTAATACCAATTCATAATACCATTAAGCATGCACTCGGGACAGTGAATCAAATCTCAAGGCAACACTTACATTTTTGTAGTCTTCATAACATGACGGGTGATATGTCTGAGAGAAAAAAAAAAAAGAATCGTCACTCTGGTGTCATTACTAACACATAAGAGCTAATGAAAAAGTATTTGAACTGCTCATTTAATTTCATACCTTTCCATCAACTCTCATGGCATTTTTCAGGTGCCATTCCTCCTCTTCTTCCTCCCAGTACATCTCAAACTGCTCTTGGCATATCTCACAGGACTAATGGCAAACACAGACCAAGATGATGTTTAGACTGGATGTTATATTCAGTTTTCAAAACAATTGCCCAATCTGAATCACAGCTCACTTGCAACATTTTGTCTTATTGTTCAAATTGGACAAATAAAGGCTTTAATACAGACTTACTTCATCAACAACATCTGGGGCAGCCTTAACACTCTGGAATTCCCTCTCTTTTGCTGCTTCCTGGGTTTTCTGTACAACTTCTTCATGGACTTTTTCGAAGAACTGACTTTTTGCCCTTTCCTCAAGATCAGCAATTTCTTCAAATTCAATCCAGTCCTAAAAACACATCAATCTTCTTTAAGTCAAGTGATCAGTGAAGTTACTTCTTTCGTAATACAGAAAAATGAACACTCCTGCCCAATGTAGATAAAGTCAGTAAATTGTATAATAATACCTAAAAAAATAAAATAAGAATATCTGAATGAAGAATAAATAAGAGGTGTTTGTGCTATGCTCACCGTCAGACTGTAGTACCAACGCCGATGTGTCACTTTCTTACTGATATCTTTCTCAGAACGATTTTGTCTGTAGTGCCAATCCAAGTGATCTGCATAAACATCAGTCTGAGAAGCGGTAAAGCGCATCCCACAGGAATAGCACTGGATTCCAGTGTATAGTTTAGTGATGACACATTCATGTCTCCTGTAACGTGAAACAGAAATGACAGATTCTTTAATTCTGCATTGGTATTACTCATTTCTGTCTCAATTTTGTGCATTGTTATCACATTTAAAAACAATGCTTAACAGATCAACATACTGTTTCATGTCATCTAAAGCGAAGCTAGTCAGATCAGGGAGATTTTCATCTTCCTCTTGTTCCTCTTCTTCTGGTTCCTCCTCTTCTGGTACACTCTGAGACTGCGGCGCTGATGTGGATTCTGAAACAAAAGCAGATACATGAAGCATAATTCAGTGCGAACAATGGATATGAACAATACAGAGAATGAGACACTTGCCACTGCTCGAGTCTGTTTGTGTTGGTTTGATAATTCCACTGGATATCAGTTTGGCCAACAGATCATTAACATCCATTTGGCCCAGATGACTCTCAGGCTGTACAAACTGGGAACCTGATAAGCGACAAACATCGTTTGTCAATTCGTTTTTATACCTTGCCATAAAAGTACTTTTAAAAAAACCTGTGCATTAAATAACACATTATGACCAAAGTATCTTACTGGGAGGATTAAAAGGCACTGGGTTTGCTTGTATGATGGTCTGAGCAGGCAACATGGCCATCTAAAAACAGAAGAGGAAAGAGACACTTAACTTCAAGACAGTCAGAAGTATGTGCATTCAACATAAAAACAGGGACTCCAAGGCTCTGGCTATTATTTTTTGGGGATTACTCACAGGCTGAGGGGGGTTTCCAGCACCAGAAAACGGAGTAACTGGCCTGTATGAATTCTGAAATCCTGAAGGTGCGGAGGCTGGTACATTAAAGTTTGATACGTGTGAGACATTTGGTTGGATGTGAAATGGTTGTGGTTGACCACCAAATGCGTTTGGTGGTGCCATGTTGAAATTAGGTGTTGGGACACCCGGATTTAATACTGGGGCTTGACTCTGTGGCTGATCAAACATGGTCTGCCCTTGTAGTCTCAAAGCATTTTGCATATCTGGAGGTCCACAGTATCTTGGAGGACCCTGTGGCGTGTCGAATCTTGTCATGCCAGGAGGCTGCCCATCAAATCTCATGGGTGTTGGCTGTACTGGAGTGTCAAAGCGCATTATGCCAGTCTGATTCCCTGGCCCTTCAAGTCTCCGCCCCTCAAAATTGCCCGGCCCAGCAGGATACCTCATTGGGCCATCAAATCCTCCAGGTGGGCCTGGTGGTATGTGAGGACTATCAAACCTTGTGGGGCCATCAAATCTATTTGCCTGCGCTGGATTATCAAAACGCATTGGCCCTGGACCAAATCTTCCAGGACCTTGATGTCCCACTGGACCATCAAAACGACCTGTTCCAGGTCCATCAAATCTTCCGACACCATGAGGCTCCCCATATCTCCCTGGCACATGTGCCACAGGCTGGTTATCATACCTTCCAGGGCCTTTCAATAGTGGGGGTCTTTCAAACCTGTTTGGTGCATGGGTGTCATACCGACCATGTCCATCGTACCTAGAGGGTACATGACCACCGGGTCCATCGTATCTTCCTGGACCTGTATTTCCCTCATATCTTCCAGGAGGATGAGGTCTACCAAGACCATCAGGTCTTGGCTGTACCATGTGGCCATGTGGCCCTTCAAATGAAGGATGGGAACTCTTGTGTCCATCAAATCGTGGTGGGATGGTCATTCCATCATGCTTTAGAATATTCGTCTGCGTGTTAGGCCCTTCAGAAGAGTGAGGCGGTGTGTGCCCAGGAGATTCAACAAGGGTCCGCCCACTTCTTCCTGGTCCTGAGATCATATCATGCCTTAAAGGAGTTTCTAAACTTAGTGGACCTTCACTGTCTGGTCCTGTGCCAGAGTGAACACTGTTAGGACTTTCAAACCTGGGAGTAATCTCTCCCTCATCAAACGGCTCCATTTCCATGGGTGGTGATGACCCTTCAAATGGCGCAGCAGGAGATTTCCCAGAGATTCCATCACAGTTTACTGGACTTTGGGAATTTCTGATAACAGGTCCTGTTCGTGATGGTGGTCTGTCATTTCTTCTAGGATCATCATGCCCTGAGAATGGTTTAAGGGTATCGCTGCTCTTTTTGTGTGCATCTGAGATCTCGCCAAGTAGATCATCTTCCTCATGTTGAGGCCTGTGATGAAGCATGTTTTCACTCAGAGGTGGGTTCTGGTGAACTGTAATTAATATAAAATGTTAGAAATTAGAAAGGTATAAAATTATTAAAATGCACTTTACTGAATTGAAGCATCAATTACAATTAGTGTCAGTAACACAGAAATCTCCCAGGTCATACCGTCAGCATTTAAGTGTATCAAAAATCTTCTGATTTTTTTTTAATAAGCCCCACATATTACCTGGACGCTGCAGCTGGGTTCTTCTCAGCTTAGATTTGTGCTCAAAGTAAGAAAGCTCAGCATCAGACATCTGTCCATGAGATGGTCTTTTTGATGTGTATGAACCATCATCACTTGATCCTTCCCATGAATCAGAACGCTGTCTTTCTTCTTGATATTGAAAAAGCTGCTTGATTTGATGGGCCACATTGAGGAAGTCATCATGTGATAGCTCTCCATTAGCCAATCTCTGGCTAGCCTGATGGGAAAAAAAAAGTGTAATTAAAGACGAACTGTATTTTCTGATGCATACACAGAAGCACTTTATCAAGTAACAAACTAAAGAAAGTTCACTTTTTACTGCACTGGTTACTTGAATCTTTTAGAATATATTTTAAGTTCTTTCTTAACCTAACACCTGTGTTCCAAACAGGATGTTTATGTTCCAAAATGTGATCTTAGATCTACAGGTACTGGCCTTATTTAATTACAGAAAAAAGTGAAGAGGCCTGTTTCGCTTATTTATGCTTCAAGACTGTGGAAGCCAATCAAGCTCAGTACAAACAAACATTTAAAAGCATCTCTTCACTTTTTTCTCTTTTTCATTTTAATTGTCTCAGATTTTTTGTACCCTTTCACTTATTCAACTTTGTTTTATTACTGTTGCTATGGTTTTACTGTAAAGCACATTCAGAAGCTACCTGCATGAAAAGTGCTCTAGAAAAAAGTTACTATTTATTAATTCTGGTTGGTTGACAAATATGAAGGGAAAAAAAAAAACAAAACATTACTGTTATATAAGTTTTAGCCCAATCAAACCTATCATTTCACAAAATATAATTCTTTTAAATGTTTTTTTCTAATGTTTTATAACAATTACTGCATCTGGCATATGCTTTGTACCTTGCATGTTCGTTAATTCGAGTGCAACGTTCATTTAAAGTGCCCAACAAACAAATGAACTTATAGTGTGAAGAAATTTTCAACAATCAAAAGGGCAAACAGGTGAGAATAACAGAAAAAAAAAGGAAGTTAACATAAAAAAAAATACACAAGATAAGGTGACAAACATCAGCCTTCCAGTAATTGTGTGGGTAAGACATGGTAGCAGTTAGCATGTCCACATTCATAAAAGTAAAAAAAAAAAAAATAATACATTTTTCAACAAATGTTTCAACAAATTTCCTTAAGCAAAAAAAGCAGTAAAAAGACCAGGTGAATTGACTGCAATGAATGACAATATGGTATACCTTTCGTAAAAGATCTCTTTTGTTGGCAGAATTAAGCACTTCTGGTATTTGCAAGTTGGCATCAACACTTAGCCGGTGCTGTTTCGGTGTTCGTGGTGTGGCAGGTCTTTGATTGCTCCAAGTTTTATGCCTTGGAGGTCCAGGTTTGCCATGCAAAAGATCTGGCTCAGATTGTTTAAGACTGTGAATAAAAAAAAATGCACACACTTACTTATGTCTCTACATTCCTATGCATATTCTATTTTAGTGTTGAGAGGAGAGTAACTGAAAAATTCTATTCCTAGCTCAGAACAAGACAATTAGCCAGCTTGCTAACAATGGTGCATTTAATCTAATTAAATGTACATTGTCCAGGACATGTACATAAAAATAAATACACATTCACACATCAATAAATAAATGAGAAAATAATAAAGACAAGATTACTTACAGTTTGTTTTCTTCCCATCCACTTCTCCATTTCTTGCCATCTTTTGTACTCTTATGCTCTGCAGGTGATGCTCTCTGCTCAAGAGGTCTATCGTCCAGTGGTCTTTTTAACCGCCTTTGTTCAGCAACACTCTTCTTAGGTGTACTTCGGTCCTCTCTGACATTTGATTGTTGGATAGTGTCTTCACTGTGTGGATGTTTGCTTAACTGCCTACCCTTTCCAGATTTGGAAGGTGGAGTGATGCTCCTTGTTCTTCGCTTTGGAGATCGCCTCTCTTTTCTTTTGGGAGAGTGTGCAGTTGGTGAACGAGATCTGGACCGAGATCTTTTCCTGAGATTAGCTTTATTCACTTTAATCTCTTGTTTCTGAAAAGTCTCAAGTCTTTCATGCTTATTCAGAGACCCATTTACAAGTTTGCCTCTAGAGTTTGTGGATCTCTGCTGTTCAGTGCCTTTAGGAGCATCATCCCTTTCTTTTTTCTCAGATCTTTTCTTCTCCTTCATGTCATCCTCTTTTGGGTCAGCCTTTTCATGCATCTGCTTCCGCAACCTTGGGTCTTTTTTATTAACATCGGATGTCTTTGTGTGTTCGAGTTCAAAATCTTTATTTTTATTAAGGATGCCTTTGCTTGATGGTGACACTGATTTGGATTTCGCTTTTTCCTCAGTTGCAGAGAGATCTTTTTTCGGTATCCTCATTAGCTTACTTGGTCTTTCTGTGGATACAGGTCTTTTGTCAACTGTATTAACACTTAGTGTGATTTGGCTCTCCTTTTTGTATGTCCCTTGCTCCTTGGTATTTATCGATGTAGCAGTAGCTCTGTTTAATCTTGGATCTCTGGTTGACATCTTTTCTGCTGCTGCTGAAGGCCATGATTTGTTGTGTGATGTAGGACCTGGTTGGCTGACAGCTGGAACAGGATCAAACTGGACCTGAGCATTGACAGGTGGGTGGTTTGTACTGGCAGCCTTGAAGGAAAGAAGAAAAAAAAAAAAATCATATACTTTCAACTCATACTTAAGGTTTGCAGGTGCATGAATTAAAAAAAACAAAAAACAAAAAACAAGTAGAACAGAGACCGAAAAATCCCCGTGACGGCCACTTTTACACAACCTCCTAAATCAGCCACCAAACACAAGGTCTCGACAATTACGTTAACAGACTCGACAATGAACTGCATATCAGGTGCATGAGCAACTTACATCCATTTGTATTCTAGCTCCCCTTCAGAACATTTACAGCACAATGAATCCCCCCCCACAAAACAGGTGCATTTAAAAGTTCTAAAAACTACAGTAAACATATGCAATTTCTAAGATTCACCATGGGCTTGTCTCAGATCACATTACAGAAACAAAAACACCAAGTACTTAAAAAATATCACAGTTGAACTTACCAGTTGGGCTTTTGTTTGTTCAAGCTCAAGTTCTATCTTCTTCTGCTGAAGCTCTAGCAATTGCTTTTGCTTAGCAAGCAACTGTTGCCTTATTATCTGTTCCTTTGTCAAGCTCTTCTCAACCACTGTGGGATGAACCTGTGGCTGGGGTGTAATGACCCGCGCAGATGCTACTTCTTCAGTCTACGCAGAGAGAGAACATCGTTTTTTTGACATCATGATTAACTGTTCTCCCATGCACATGAAATTTCAGACGCACAACCATTTTTTCTTTATGCTGCATGCTTACCGGCTTTAAAAATTTGGGATTGACATGGATGCTGGCATTCACATTTGGTGGCAAAGGCTTAATGGGCCAAGCAGGATCAAGAGCATTCACACGAACATCTAACGAATACAGCTTCTTCAAGGGGAAAATTTCATCCCAGGTGGAACGCAATTTGAAGAGACTTTTTCTAGTGTTCTCATCCACCTAGGGCAAGGCAACAGAAAAAAAGAAAATGTCTGACTATTTCTAGCAGAAAAAGGCAACCAAATACTTGAATACATTACCATTATTTAAAAAGGTAGATTTCATTTTACTATAAATCTCCATAACCAATAACAAGGCCGCCGCTAATCTTCACCACTTCAACATTGCTTAATGGACTGTTTAACATGTTAACTTGACAAAACATGAAAGCACATTATTACCGACATATAACATGGGCAGATAAAAAAGGAATTATGTACCTTCTCAAAAACACATATAAAGGAAGTGACTAGGTTTTTAGCAAACACTTCAAGGTACTCTCCTCCAACATTCTTCACTATGGAATCCACTAAGTACAAAACAGGAAGCTTCTCAGCAGGAGGTGCCTACAGTGATAGAAAACTGACAAGTTTAGTGCACAACATGAGAGAAATGTACAGTTACAATGTGATATTCCATTTTAGCTTGCGTCCTTCATCCATTGGTGATTAAAAAAAAAGCTGAACCTGGATGAGTGGAAAAAACACAAAAAAGGACAAAAAAAAAGAGGCAGATTTCTTCAGGTTAATTCTGTTTTCTTCTCAAGTCCTTTACACAAAAAAGTCCAAAGTGTTTATTTATGAAAAGTAGAAATCCAGTGGGGAGAAACGTTCACAGGAATACATGGTAACTCAACCACCATGCATGCAAAAGAAAAAAATGTCTTCCACTGTGGAAAACCCCTCCAACGACTAGTCTTCAGTGATGGTATTCCAAAGAAGAAATATGGTGAAAGGATGTCCACATTGTTGGCTTTTATTAGTTATTAGTAAAGTCATCAGGTAAAAAATTTTTTTTTTTTTAAGTAGTGCTCTTGAAGAATAAGATCTTTTATGGAAATACAGGGGGAAGAAAAAAAAAAACTTTTCCCCATTTTAATGTGTCTGAATGGACGTGGTCCAATTTAACATCTTGTTGACCGTTATCACCATCAATACCTCAATGCAACAGTGCGCTTTAGCAATTAAAAAATAAATAAATGAATAAAAAGTTAGTCCATTGCACGTTGAAGTCTTCTTACCGGTATTTGCCCTCTTACTCAGGAAATTTTAGGAGATGCTACCATTTTTCACCCAGACCAAAATGGAATTATGATAGACATACCTTGATTCAAGGGGACAGCTAACGTTTCTTTAGATTAATCTAAGACACTAATGTTACACAGGTGAGGCAAAGTTTGACCATTAAAGTGATGAGACCACTGATCATAAACTCAAAATTACAGAAAAGTGTTTCCACAAAAAATTACACTGGTAAAGAAAGACAAAAGCACATTTCATATAGTTTATTGTCACATTTATATACCATTCAACAACAATGGAAATCAATATAGGAAAATTACTCAGCAATCTAAACACGCCAAGAAGCCTTTATTTGTAAATACAAAAAGACAAATGGCCCACATAGCTAGATCTCCTCACTTTCATGGACCACCAAGGGTGGACTTCAAGACTCATCTCACGGATATCAAGTTTGACTTTTTAAGCCACATCTTAACATTACTTAATTAACATTAAGCACTTTAATTTTATCTTGTCATTCACTTATCAGGTCAGCAAGGGCCTTAAAGCAGTTCATAATTACAGTTAGGTAACGTCCCTACAGTAAGAGGCAGCTTGGAGTAGCCAAGTTATTTGACTACCACGCCTCTGCTCACCATTATCCAGTGCAGTTACTACCAATATTAAATTCATTTCTATTAATAAACTCGCAAATCTATCCCAGACTAATATTAGAGCACAACGATTAACCAACCCGCCATATGGCTAAAGTAATTATGTAAGAAATAACGGCAGCATTTCTATGTAGGCCTGACCATCTTAGGCCATGTAGCCAGCCAGCGTTGGTCAATAATCATGCAGATAGGCAATATGTATTGACAGCCACGACAGTAAGATAACATTTAGTCGTCAGTTAGACATTGGTTAAGAGGAATAACTTAACCGATTTGCGTAGCATGTAATGAGACGTTCAGCGAAGGCTTAAAGCTCTACGCAATCTTCCCGGCTGGGCCGCACGATGTAACGTTAGCTGCCCAACGTTCAATTAGCCAGCTAGCGTGCTAAGGTGACATGCTAATTCGTGGGACTGGATTTTTCGAACAAATACGGATAAATATTACAGATTTGACAGACTAATACGTGTTTTGATATAATTCAGTACATTGATGGACAGATACTTAAAGCGAGATATCAATGAAACGAGTGAATAATGAGGATTTAAGAACAAACAAGCTGTTAAGCTAGCTAGCTACCTAGCTTGCCCTGAGCCAATCAGCCTAAAGAAAAAAAAACTCGACATTCTCGTACAGACCAAGGTAAAGTAGAACGAACAATGTCTGTTAAACTAATAGTTAGCTAATAACTAAAAGACTGTTTCAGTTGTTAGGTTTAGGTGGCTAAGCTCAGCCCACTGTGGTGCTAGGCTGCTGTGTGGCCGCCGTTTTCAAGGCCTAGAAACACGATTAGCTGACCGCGCATGGCTGCTTAGCTAACAGCTAACAACGAGGACAATATGGCTGAAACAAAACAAACATCAACAACAAAAAAACTATTTTCATAAAAACCTTGGCAATTTGCGCTTCAATTATTGCGACGATATCCTTGGTGAACTGTAGATTCTCTTCGGCTAGGATGGTCAGCATGTTGATGTGTGGTTTGCTGTTGAAAGTCAAGTCTTCCAGAGACGACTGGTACTCTCGGCAGGCTTCCTTCCTCGCAGCCTCGTCCGACATCTTTGAGTCGGCTTGTGAAGCTGGTTTCCACCTAACTTCTAGAATAAACAGGTATAAACTCTGACACAGTCCATTTAAACGTCGGTCATTTTTCTTCTTTCTTCTTTAAAGGCGCTTCTCCCACGACAATGCTCGCCTTTTTTCCTCCGAAATATTGGTTTCTACGAGGCGCGAGAAAATGTCCGTCCTCCTTCAACAGATGTGTGCGTCATTATAAAAAAGAAAAAAAAGGTTTGGAACGAACAGTACGTCACCGCGCTGTGATTGGCTACGTTTGGGTTGCGTAAGCGTTTTCGAGACATAAGCAGTCTGAGTCATGGCATAAGCAAGCTTTCAAACCCCTGCACAGCTTCATGAATCATACACTGCTGTATGCAATGTGCATCATTTTAAACAAGGAGGTTGTTAATTCAAATTTAATAGTGTCCTCTTAAATCACGGGCAACCACAAGTGTAAAACTATGACACCACAATATCTGGGAAATGTGTAATAAAATTCTGTTCTGTTTATGTTTTACTGTAATCACAAGATATTCGACAAGAATGAATATATACACACACACCCTCCAATCAGAGTCCACAGCAAAATGAACCAAGTGCAATAAATGCAATAAATGCTGATTGAACACATAATTTAAAACTAACAAGCCAAAACATCTATTGAACAGGCTACAATATATTGTCAAGCTGATTTATAATGATGTGCACTTTGCTTAACCAGTATTTCCAGTCTGTTATAATGTAAAATTTTCATTTCTACAATTATAAGGCCTTTTTCCATACATATCTACTTGTTTTCTTTTTCATCCTGTTATGGCTATCATAAATATATTACAAATTCTATTCTATTCTATTCAATGTTCTGTACTGAACCACAGGTAATCCAGGCAAGTTTATACTATACACTGTTGGACGCCACTGACTCTTTAGTATCCCACTATATTATCCTTTATATTTGACAGTGTAGCTGATATATTTGTAAAAGTTTATCAAAATAAAAGGGTGGTCTACTTAATAATTATGTAACAAGGGGCACGTTATGCTTTACAAAGCACTACATAGCACACATGATGTACAAAGCACAAATCTGACAACATGAGGGAAAGGCACTTATCTATCAAAGTACAATTTATTTCCAGGAATTTATTTTACAAGGAAGCGATACAATGGCCTGATAATGATATCTTTTGATATAAACGTGTTTTAAAAATCGATTGTAATCACACTATAACAGCGTGGACAATGAATTTGAATAATTAATATCTATGGAAATAATACAATATTTACAGTACATGTACAATATTGTACAATATTTTAATTTATTATTATAAAATACATTGATAGTAACTAACAGTAGTGGTTGTGTATTTATTTTCATTGTTTCCTATTAAACTCATATGAGGTAAATGCTCCAAATCACAGAGCAAAGATGCTAATAAGAGTGTAAAACTAAAGATACCAAACATGTCTTGACCGATCGACATGCCTTGCCTCAACCTTTCAAAGTCAGGTTCATCACATCTCCAGTTAGGTGTTTTTGTTCTGATCTTTCCCAGTCAAAATGATCACTATGCATTTTCAATTGGTATCTGCCAATGGCAGAGAGCAACTACTCTGTGCCATTTCTGCCAGTCTAACTTCTCCTGTTTAGTTTTGCCAATACTTCTATGATACTTGGCACAAAGGAATTTCAACTTCAATAGTGCCAGTAAATACAGGTTTTTGAGAAAAATATTTCTTAAATGAAGAATTTGTTTACTTTTTTAAATTGTATTGCTACAACATAAGGTTAAGGTGATAAAAGATTTCTTGGCAATTTTTTACAAATATTTTTCATAATTGCACTTACTATTTATTTGTAAATATGTATTTTGATAATGTGATAATGTTCTTATTTGATTAATAATAATCACATTATGAAAATACATACTTACTTTTAGGAATGCGTTTTGGAAATTTGTTTTGATTATTTTGACACGATTATGGCTTTTTTGCCTACAGTCATTTGCCTCTGGTCCAAAATCACATTTGCAAGCAAAACATGGAACTCTGGGTTTTGTCCAATGACTATTCAAATTTCTTTAAATTTATAACGAGGGTTACTGTAGGGTAAGGACGTCCAGGACCAAAATAATTTACTCTTTGATCACCTACAACCATATATATAAAACTATATTTTAAGATCTAGCTCTAGATTTAAAAATGACTGCAATTTTAAACATTTTAAAAACTGGGGAACAACTCCTAGAATTTGTGACTGGAAGGCTACAAAAAATTGTAAACATAAACAATGAAATATGCTCTTTCTTTTCAAAGAACATTTAATCATTAGTGATTTTACTTGGTCATAGCTGTTCATTTACAATCTTATTTCATAGGATTCTATATACAAAAATATATACACCAGTGAGGTTAACAGAGTGTAAATTGCACTGTAGAATTCTCCTAGAATGAATTAGAAAAAAGGTCTCTGGACCATTCATTAGTGTTGGCGGGTAAAGCAGAGTCATGTTCTTCATCCCCTTGTACCTCAGAGGCACCTGATGAATGTCCAAAGTTTTCCGAAGCAAAGTCAGAATTCTCAAACACAAAATCTGAACTCTGGATTCGATTAAATTCTGGGTTTATTGCCTTTGATTCTTGTATAGTATTGTTGTAGTTTCCCAGAACCCTGATACTAGTTGTATGAGTCTTTTGTTTCTTAGTACATGGTGAGTCTGAGCATTTTCTGCTGAGCATACGCCTCTGTCCACGTGAGTGGCGATAATATGGATGAGCAATGGGGGTTGACTGCAGAGAAGGGGCAAAATGGAAGGAGGTGAAAACCTCGCGCTCAGATATGTTCACATCCAAGGGCCAGTCTTTCTTGATTTCCTTGGGATCTGAGACAGCCTTTTCAGTTACATCTGGAATAGTCATGTCTGCAGTGCTTTGGTAAAAGAGGTCTGCTGAGCAATTGTAGGCATCCTGATGACTTGGACTTTCTTGCTCTTTCATGCCTTGATTTTGAATTTTAGGACAAACTGCATGATTTCCTTGTGTGACATTCTTGTCTCTTTGGTCACACTGTAACCAGAAGGCCATGTTAACAGGACTCTTTGTCAAGCTGTTTAATACAATGTCCTTTACATCGCAGCCCTCAGGGACCTGTGACACTTCTGGTGTACCAGGGAGACAAGGTTTAGATAAAGAGGGTTTTCTTCTCTTCCGATGCATTTTTTTCAGTGACCTTTCATTCCTGTTAGTGATCACATTGGTGATATTGTGCAATGGTGTGAGAATATAATTTGCTTTTTTGGGTGTGGCTTGCTCTCTTTGTGTATTGCACCTACTTGCAGGTTTGAGTACATCCATGTTAACTGCCTTTGAAGTCTGGGGCACTGTGCTGACAAAACTTCCTAGACTTTCTGATAAAGGAGCATCTTCTAAACTAAAACTTATATAATGGCTGAAAAGTGATTTTTCAAAATAAGATGCATTGCACTGTGTACCAGCTAACTCTCCTGAAGACCAGTGATTAAAGACTTTAGGCAGATGACCATAGGAAGTAGTGTTCACGGGGTCAAAGCTCTCATGTGCAACTGAACTAGTCACGGCTACTGGGGAGTCTAATTTATTAGCTACTGGGGATGATGTGGGTAAGAACTCAAGTAAGCTAGAATGTCTGGTATGTGCTCCACCTCTTGATTCAACATACTTGGTACTTCTGGTACTTTTTACATGAGCTTCTTGGCTCTGAGACAGTAAAGACAGCTCCTTTGTAGGCCATCCTGGCTCAGGTTTAAGCCATGGAGTATGCACATTTTGTGATGAAATGCATCTGACATCATCCACAGTGATCTGTTGTAAAGTGTGTTCACTTGGGTTTTCTGGAGAGAAGAATGAATCCATTTCTGATGTTGGCTGCCATAGCCGTGTAAGTCCTCCACTGCTGGCTTCCGAGTCTGTTACACATAAGGGCAAAGTGTACTCAAAGCTGTTGACCAGTGAATCTACCTGCTGCGACAGACATTTAGCTTCATTTGATGCAGAACAACTTGGGGTGAAATTTGCCTGCAAGAGGCTTTGCAAGTAAGCAAAAACCGTCATTCCCAAAAAAGCTCCATTTGGAGAAATGATTTGACAGGCCACAAACTGTGTAGATTCAGCACTGGAACCCGGTGAATCACTGAGCAAGCAACCCTCTGCATCAAGACCAGAAAGCTGTAAGACAGAAACACAAGCAAGTTAATAGAGAAGCGAGAGAGAAACATGTAAGTAAATAAGAAAAAACTAGCAGAACAGACATAAACATACCTTAAATCCAAAAACAAAGCTTTTTCCAATAAAACAGTCTTCCACTGCTTTGATTAGTAGCTGCTGTAAACTCTGTGGGCCGTCTGATTTTCCAGACTCAACAAACCTATAAAAAAAACTTATCATATAAAATCCTAGAAAATATTCAGCAAAATTCAAAGACATATTTACCATTTTAAAGTTTGAAATAATAGCTAAAACCGTACCTCTGCAAATCACCAGCTGAAATTCCAAAGAAGGAATTTAGACAACCTCCAAAAACCGTCAAGCCAAATAGATTTCTGCCTCGAGACACCTTAAGCGACAGTCTGTATCTGTAGTCTACATTTCGTACATCGCATGTGAAGCCACATTTGACACATCTGCTTCTGCAAAAGACAACATGCACATTGTTAATATTCCTCCATATCTGACCTCTTCTTCCTGGTTCAATCACTGCACTTATAGAGGTGTGCAATATGACAACATTTTATCATCATTGTGGTAAATTACAACACAGTATGTTTTTCCGTTGTGAATACTGTCAGTACTTAACACTGAAAAACTCTGTGTTTCATTAAAAACAGCATTATCAGTCTAGTTACACACACTCAAGTAGACTTAAATGAAACGAAGTATGTGAAAGTTTGAATAAAACCTATTGTACTTTTTGAGAGCAGGTCCTGAGTGTATCACTACTGGTGGATGGATTGTGTGTGTGGGTGTGGGTGTGTGTGTGTGTTAAATTATCATGTCGCATATCACATATTGTGAAAACGTCTTCCATTATGTTATACTTCTGCCTTATCACTCACACCTATGCACTTGTGCATTTCAGTGCTGAAGACAGTGGCTTAGACTGTCAGTAAATACCATCAAACATACTGTGATTTCAGAAATACAAATCAGTGAGCTGATTAAGTTAGACCTCTGGACTATTAAATTGTTATTATAAAGGTCTGAAATTAAAACAATACCACTCTTTATACTGAACTTATGTAGGCCTTATGTAGTGCCTGCTACGATTCTGACGAGGAGGCTGAAGAGGGCTTCCTATTCGAATTTCCGGTTCCACCTTAAACGGTGCTGCAGTTACATTCTGTCTGCTGTACCATTTAAGACAGAAAGGTGATTTTGGCTGCATTATGTTGTATAATATGCGTGAAATATATAAAAAAAGTTTTAAAAATAGTGCACCATAGGTAATTATTAGATAGACACACACATAATTCTGCTACTGTATGCTATCATACTAGCATTCTAAACTTTGGCCAGCTAGGTCAACATGCTAGCTAGCTGAAGGGCTAACCGGTTTAGTTCTAGATGAAGAACAGCGGTAAAACTAAGAATTAAAAGAAGTTGAAGCTCCATTTGATAAGTAAACAAACTCAGAATTTAGCCTTCCTTTCTGTAGGTTAGTTAGCTACTTCCTTAAAGCTGACGCTGATGACCAAAAAACGAATTAAAAGACAGCGTAGTTAACACGTACCTCAAATCGGACTCTTCAGTTGATCTGGACAAACAGAATTTACAGCATGGATACACAAAACGAGTGTCCTGAAGTGAGATTACAGTGCAGCTCACCAGGACTTTTTTAGAGCTCATAAATGTGGAAGGAAACTCTCATCACTGACCTACATGAACAGTTACTCAGACCTCAGTGCTCAACAACAGATTACCGCTCTCACTTTCGGGTTTTATCAGGACGAATTTAGCAGCAAAGACCTTAATCTTAGAGGTATGTTAGGTAAATGCAGCTACACTAATCGGACTAGCTATGCTATCGTAAGACTTGTTCGTCTGTTACAAAAAAAGATAAACATGACTAAACTAAACTTTTCTGTTCGTCGCTCCTTGTTCGTTTGTTTTCTTCCTCTGTTCTGTGATAGTGAGGATGTACAGCAGCAAGCGTTTATATCGCCACCTGCCGGACAACAGCTAAAGATGCATGTGCATATATTGATTCTCAAGTCTTGTCAAAGTGGAATTTGCTCAGCATATTCATGCATTTTAAAGCATAAGTCCTCATTGCCTCGAGGCTGGAGCTGGTTTCTTATTCAGTAGACGTAAATGTACTGAACAGTGAATGTAAGTTCTTCTTCAGGAGTTTCATATTGCGGTATGTTGTATATCAAATATGACAGATTTTTTTAGACAAATCAGGAGGCAAAAAGCAGAAAGTTCTAACAAAGCAAATAAGTAGAAAGCATCAACACCCCATAGTCTATGGTGTCTCTGATTCCACACCTTATCCTATGGTGTCATTTATTAGCTAACGTTTCTACGAAAGAGAGGTAGGACTACAGCAATTAGGATGAAGGCTAAAGTATACAATACAGTCAATCCCGATGTATTGTGTTGTGCTAGAAAATGTTATTGTAAAAGATGTTGTTGTAAATTTGCTCATAATTCCCCATTTTAAGACTTCCCATGATTGGAAAGCCATAGGAAACAGGCACAGACTCACCCTTTAACTTGTCGCCAATGTTAGACTATAAAACATGAATATTACAGACGATCTGAAACAGACTCCGCTCTGCTCTAACAGCCCCTGTGTGTTTCTCTGATCCTTTCAATTCACCTACAGACAACAGAATATAACTGCAGCGTCATTTAAGGTGGAACGGAAAACTCGAATAAAAAGCTGGAGAACAGTACGCCAACTTCAGCCTCGTCTCAGTGCCAATGTTAGAAATTAAAACCCCAACCATATAGACAGATATATATTAATAAGGTAACAGAAAATGATACATAAACAACAAAAAAATCCCGGAAATGTTCAGAACACGATAACAGATAAGGAATGGTTAACAAAAATATAGTTTTAAAATGTACTTCTTTTTGATAGAAATTAATTATTGGTACTGACCACTGGTATAGTAAAAAGACTGAGGCGATAACTGGTCATAGGGCTTGGAGGGCTTAGCAGTAGTAGTAGTAGAGTTGCTTATTGGTGTTTTGATATTATGTTAATTCTTAGGGATTAATGCAGGTAACACACACTTCAGACTTGACAGCGTAGTCAGAGCTATAGTTCTGGACAAACTGGACTGGGCACTGGACTCGGAACCATTCGAGCAGAGCATGTGTAACTACCCGGACAGACACGACGAACCACCGGCGGGCTTTTTAATGGGGTGTTGTTTGTTTTTGAGAGCCAGTTTAAACATTTAGATTTATTCGTTTATACAAATTATATACGATTGATCTGTAATGTTTAGTATGATGCTGAAAATAAGTGTAGCGATTGACTTCGCTAAAGAAGATCGCAGCTCTTCACTGAGCTGAATAACTTGACTAGCTAGCTTTTCTAAAACTCTGGTCGTTTCTAAAATGTGCTTAAGTGAAAAGAGGAGTTTCGAAGACAACTTTAATTTCAGCTACTAAAGAAACAGTTGCAATTTTAGATGCCAAGTTGGTGTGATGAACAGTTCAGCACCGAAGAAGTTTTATTTGGGACAGCATCCTATCATAAAGAAGAATGGGTAAGAAAAAAGCCCCCGTGAATATTTAAATATATTGTGAAACACTGCGAGCTGCGTTGTTATGTAGAAAATGTGCCTTGTAAATAAGTTTATTTTCCTGGATCTAGCTTCTCACTGTTACTCTGATGAGCCTCTGACAGTAGTCATTTGTTATAATTGGTTAATCTATATACTTCCGTCCAATGACAGGCTGATTTTTCCTTTTCTCTATAGTCAGTGTTTTATATGAAATTGTACAATCTTATCATGTGTTCATATTTCTCTTGTTATGTTTTTGTTTTGCTATTTGCTGTTGACCAGAGGAGAACTGGTTCCCCTTTCGATGGTTTCTATCAAGGTTTTTTCCTTTTGCTCTTAGGAAGTTTTTTTCTTGCCCCTGTCACTCTTGGCTTGCTCATGGGGGCTTTACCTGGATTTTCTGTAAAGCTGCTTTGTGACAACACCTTTAGTAAGAAGTGTTATGTAAATAAATTTTGACTTGACTTGATATGGCACATTTTCTACATAACAATGCAGCTCGCAGTGCTTTACCATATATTTAAATTAACACAAAAACTCATGCACTGAAAGGCTGTTGTTTTTCCTTTTGTTCCTACTCAGGTCTGTTTCTGACAGAGTGCCTGCAAGTGAGAAATCTACACCAAGACGCTCAAATCGCCTCCATCAGGCACAGCCCTCTGAAACTGAAGTACAGAAAAACAGAAGCTGTGAAGATTCTTTTACTAAGGTAGTGCATTAATGTTTAACCAGAAAATTCACTATAGTTCCTTTCTGCTGTCCTGACAAAGTGTTTTCTGTTTGTAGCAAAATGAGAAAAAGCAGAGGATGCCTATTGACTCTGTTTTTGCCAAAGATGAGGAGAATTCACAAGCTTTGGGTGTGCATCAGCCTAAATTGACCAATCGAACACACATCAAAGTTCATCAAAGTTCTGTGCCTGTGAAACAAACAATATCAGAATCTTTATTACTAGAGAAGAGAGCTCACCTGACTGAAATCAGTGAAAATGGTCGTCGGGTACCACAGATGCATTGTGCAGAAAATAACAGGCCCTCAAGTCCAGGGCCAGCATCACCCATACAGGAATGTGGGAGAGCAAAAACACAAGCAAACAAGGCAAAAGACTGGAAGGACTTGGCGCAAAAGCTGCTGTTCAGCGAAACTAAAAGCAGCAGAACAAGAAAGCAGACACATGATCATGAATCAACATTTGTGCAGGGTTCAGAAAACTGTTCACCTCAAAAGGCAGCTGCTTACACGAAAAAAAGTTCTAATGGCTCAAAGTTAAAGTTCACAGGAGAACGGTCAGTAATCAGCCCTGATGGCCCTATGAAAACGACAAAGGATTACATTCTCTTTAATCCTGCACAAGTGGCTGCTGCCAAAGAAAGGTCTGTTTTGCAGAAACGGACTCATGGAAACATGTCCATCTCTGTGCTCACTCCTCCGCCTGGCCTGGAGCTGACCTTGCTGGGTGGCTCACAGGCAAATGCAAGTAAGGTTCTATGTTCACTAGAACTTTCTGTTAAATTGTAAGCATGTATCATGTACAGTAGGGGTGAGAAACTCGAGACACTCCACGATTATAGTTGATTTCAGTTCATGGTGCCTAGATGTGATTATAATACGATCTTTTAGGCATCTCGATCTTTAATTTCTGTTTTATTCATCTTCACAATTTTTGTTTTTATTCATCTTCACAAGTAGAGTTATCTACACCATACTTAGTAAACTATATCTTTTTGTTCTTATATTTAACTGTAACCAATTCAGCCTATAAGTATGTTTTTTTTTTATGAATGCATGATCATATTGGAATCATATCAGCATCAGGAGATATTTGCTTAAAACAAAATATCAGACAGATGTTTTGATTTGGCCAAGGTTTCACACAGATGTTTGCTGACACATTTAATGCACTCTGCAAGAGCAGAATGTTTAGGTGACACTGGACTACAGCTCTGAAATATCTGCATGTAATTTTACTGCATTTTACTGCATTCAAAACCCATTACAAATAAAACATTAATTCAGAAGCTTATGCAAAGTCAGATTATGCTATTTTGTGCATAGGTGTATAATTAAGATGCATCTGTTATCGATTAGATATTTTTCATAACAGTGCAGAATGTGTGCAGTCACTGTATACTTATACCCATACATACATTTTGTGAAAACAATTCTGAAATGAAACCGTTGTTCTCAAACTGCAGTAGCACAAATGTGCTGATCTAGGCCTTGATCACATAAGTTCAGTGGTAGTGTGAGTATTTTTGCCCACTGTGTCTTATGTTAGAAAGGAGTAAGCACTATAATGTATAATGCTTGAGAAACAAAATAGAAAAAACAGTCAAAATCTGACACTGTGGAAGTAATTCACTTCATCTGTCTCCTTCCTAATACAGCACACAGTATCCACATGGCGATTCCTGCTGATCAGGCAGACAAGCTGTTACTGTCCAGCTGGGGTCTCCCCAAGCCTGTGCTGGAGAAGTATCAGAGTCTGGGTGTTAAGCAGATGTTTGAGTGGCAGGCAGAGTGCCTCACCTTGGGTAAAGTGCTGGAGGGCAAGAATCTGGTGTACTCAGGTAACTGAACCCGTTTTCTCTGTAGCAGCTTTTTTTGACCTTATGTAGGAGAGTAGCTACTAAATGCTCAAGAAGGCTGTGCATTAAACTGAAAAAGGTGAGCAGAGCAACCAGAGCAACCAATCATCATGTATCAATCAAACACCACCACACTTTTGAGACACTGATCACTTTCCCTCTGGCAGTTGTTTTTTAATAGTATGCTGTAAGTGCTATCGCTATGTACTGCATTTTATGTAGTCTTTTATATACAAAAATGCTTTGACATTTATCTTCCACATGTAAACCAGGGAGTATGGACACTGTGCATGGTAGATGCCTCCATTCAAACCTTTGCATTTTATTTGTAGTTGCTCTGCTCCCCTTTTACATGACCTTACTTTTAAATGTGCATTCCACCAATTTTCCAAATATCTGTATAATTGAAAGGTTCCGGTCTTTCAGAGTGGTTTGATGTGAAATGGTGTAGTGTAGAATAATAGGTGAAAGGAATCAGAGGTTGCAATGCAAAAATATCAATTTTATTTACTACCCAAAACAACCAGTGAAATTACATGTTTACATGTAATGGTGACAGTAAAATAGTGGTCAATTTAAAAAAAACTTTTTTAGCGCTGTTTTGCCTTACAGTCCCCCATATGTACCTCTCTACAATTAATACATTAAAAAAGTTTCAGCCCAAAATTCTATCCCAAAATATTGTAAAATGATCATCAGGCAGCCATTTCTTTAATTGCTTTGTGGGGGAGCTTTTAGTGGTATTAAACTTTTTGGACATTTGGTTTTTATCAGCACCACTGTGAACAGTTCTGACTTGGTAAGTTTCTCTAGAATGGAGCAGTTTGTGTCAAACCACTCTAAATGACTTTGTAATAATTTAATTATATAGAAATTTTGAAATGTTGTGACAATATCCTTTAATTCTGAACAGCAAAAACTGACTTTTTTTACTTTTATACTTCTGTCTAATTTTATTTTTCTTAATATTGGTTTAAATGAGTTTAAATGTATTTCTGTTTTTTTTTTCACCACTTTCAGCTCCAACCAGTGCTGGGAAAACATTGGTATCAGAGTTATTAATATTAAAAAGAGTCTTGGAGACTAGACGCAAAGCCATTTTTATTCTTCCTTTTGTGTCTGTGGCGAGAGAGAAAATGTTTTATCTGCAGGTTGGTTTGCATTTCTCATCAGTCTCCATCATTGTCCAGATGTTGAGAATACCTTAGCTTATCTTTCTAAACAGTTTCTTCCTAAAACAAATTCCTTAGCAGTAACCATCATATAAACAACCTGTCACTGTCATAAGAATAAATGTTTTTTTAACAGTCTTTCATCAAATCTTATCTACACCACAGAATTTGCAATTTTGTGGAAAGAAGAAATTGAAATATGGAGATGTGCTTGTTTGTAGAACGTGTTTCAGGAGGCAGGTGTCAAAGTTGAAGGGTACATGGGGAGCACTTCAGCCGCTGGTGGGTTCTCTGCATTGGATGTGGCTGTATGTACAATAGAGAAAGCCAATGGACTCATCAACAGGCTTATTGAGGAGGACAGAATGGATTTGCTAGGTATTTAATATTGTGATTGCATTATTTGCAGCAGAAATGTTTACTGAGATGCTGGATGATGTCCATGTTTGATTTCTATCCATGTTTGATCTTCTGTCTCCAGGGATTGTTGTTGTAGATGAGTTACACATGGTAGGGGACTCTGGTCGTGGATATTTATTGGAGCTTTTGCTAACCAAAATCCAATACATTGCAAAAAAATCTGCAAAGAGGTAAGTCACAATGTCCCACTCCAAAGTAGGTATCATGCTGTTCTTAAAGCTGCAATCCAATAATTCAAGGTTTCAGAAGGATCTTGGTACTTGAATAAAGTAATGTGTCTTTAAGATTTAAAGATGTGAACTTAGATGCTGCAAGAGAATTGCTGTTCAAGAGCAGTATTGGAGATACCTGCATTAAAGTTAGAGCAAAGTAGATAATGTTGAATGATAATCAAGGAACACCTCACAACAACTTAAACATAAACCACTTTCTCTCTGTAGGTGTGCTGATAAGAGTTCCACTGATAGTGTACAGATTGTGGGAATGAGTGCCACATTACCAAACCTGGACCTCCTTGCCTGCTGGCTAAATGCTGATCTCTACCATACAGACTACCGTCCTGTGCCACTGATGGAGTGGGTGAAGATTGGCACTAAAATATATGATGGCTCCATGAATCTTGTTAGACCATTCACACCTGCTCACCCTGTAAAGGTCAGTATTAATAATGGCACTGAAAGCTCCTGACAGCTGACAGTGGTGCTACCCGGCTATAGAAAACTGTAATGAAAGAAGGTTGTTCTTCTGTCTTCAGGGTGATGATGATCACATAGTAAGCCTCTGCTTTGAGACTGTGCAGGCTGGTCACTCTGCACTGCTCTTCTGTCCTTCGAAGAACTGGTGTGAAAAATTGGCAGACAGTATTGCCAGAGAGTTTTACAACCTTCATCACCAAGGTTTGTTTACTGACAGTCATTGCTAACCCAATTATGTCTTTTACATTTATTTTGATTTCTAGTTTATACTAGTTTATGTACTTCACATTTTACCTTGCTTTCAGTGTTTATTTGTTGCTTTAAATTGTGCCTAAACAAAAATATTAACAACAATAATAATAATAATAATAATACATTGCATTTATTTGGCACCTTTTTATGAAACGTTTACAAAGTGCTCTACAAAAATATTAAAAAGAAAATACAGAAGGGAGAAAAAAGTGATAAAATTTAGTAAACAGGCAAGAAAAGGTAAAAAATAACTGACAAATAAATGACAGTAAAGTAACGTGCAAAATAAAAGACAAACATACTGTAATTCCAGGAAAATGCTGATTCTATTTAAGTACATTATTAAATAAGTATGTGTTAAGCCACCATTTGGATGATGTCAGTGCTGAAAGTATATATCCTTTTGCAGAGAAGCAGTCAGACTCTGGAGTCCAGTCTGTGTCTTTGAACCAAGAATGTCTTCAGGAAGTGTTTGCTCAGTTAAAACGTTCTCCTGCAGGCCTCGACCAAGTCCTTCAGCGCACTGTTCCCTGGGGAGTTGCGTTCCACCATGCAGGTAACCACTGTTAGAATGTACTTATTCATTATTATAATCAGAGGTGTTCATCAATCCACGCTTTTTGATTTTATGGTAAGTTTTGCAACTTTTGCTCCTCAAAATAATCTCTTGTAAATACCACAAGAAAGACACCTTAGAAAAGCTTGGAAATTCTTTCATGAAACACTGTATAAAGATATATGATTCTGTTGGTTACACATGGTGAAGGCATGAATAAAACAATATTTAATAAAAGTGCATTAAAAGCTGTCTGGCACAGCTATCACAGAGTGTACCTTTTGGCTTAGGTTTGACGTTTGATGAAAGGGACATCCTGGAAGGTGCTTTTCGTCAGGGCTACATCAGGGTCCTGGTCGCCACTTCCACTTTGTCATCTGGTGTAAATCTGCCTGCCCGCCGTGTGATTATCAGAACCCCAGTGTTCAATGGGCATCTGCTTGACATACTGACCTACAAACAGATGGTGGGACGAGCAGGGCGTAAAGGAGTGGATACGGTTGGTAGGTGCTGTTTTTTATATGACCTCAGTATTATCAGATTTTAAAATGATAGAATTTAAGAACCATACCCAATATAAATCTGAAAGGATGTGTAGCAGTCCAGACCTCAACATCATTGAATGTGTTTGGGATTACTTGAATCACAGGAACTTCTAAGACTGAACTTTGGTGGTGTGGAAAAATATCCCTGCAGATTTCTTTGAAAAGTTGAAAGTATGTCTCCCAGATAGAATGGAAACTGTTATCAAGGCAAAGAGTGGACACACTAAACACTGAACCAATTATGATTATTATTTTTAGTCGTTGAGGTCTCTGTGTAATTTTCTGTTAAATATATCTTCTCAGTTTAAGTAATGAAGGATGCTCCCTGACTTTTGCACATTACTGTATGGCTGTACATGTTAAGGAATAAGGTTGATTCAGCACCTGCATCTACCTAGGATTAAAAACTGTTAAAACCTGCATCTATCTAGAAAGTTAAAAACTTTTCTGTTGTCTTAATTATTGTCCATGGTAATTGACTGTATGCTACAGATAGAAGAGAGATTTTCATTTAAAAAATGGTGATATATTCCTTTGAATTTTTGCCACTAGTCAGTGCTTCTTCTGTATTTTGCACCAGGTGAGAGTGTGCTGGTCTGTAAGGAAGCCGAGCGCATGAAGGGGGTGAGTCTGATCCAAGGCTCCTTAAAGCCCATCAGCAGCTGCTTGGTGAAGCGGGAGGGAGAAGGCGTCACTACCAGCATGCTCAGAGCCATCCTGGAGGTATGTGAGCAATTTATGACTTCACATATAACCATACACATGCAAATTTTCAGATAATTTAAACCTCTTGTCTCTTCCAATGGAAGATTATAGTTGGTGGAGTTGCCAGCACACCAGAGGAGGTGAGGACGTATGCATCTTGCACTTTGCTGGCAGCCAGCATGGCATCTATGCAGCCAGATCAAGGTGGTGAACAGCCAGAAACTGCTCGCAGTCACGGGGCCATTGAGGCCTGCATGGATTGGCTGATGGACAACGAGTTTATTCATATCCAAAAGGAAGGCGATAGTGAGGAGATCTACTTTACAGCAAATCTGTGTCACTCATTGTGTGGGTAAAGTGTGAACATTGTCTAACTGTGCCTTTATTTTGCAGCAGAGAGATACTGTCCAACACATCTGGGTTCTGCCACTCTGTCGTCATCTCTGTCACCCCCAGAAGCCCTTGGAATTTTTGCAGACCTTCAAAGAGCAATGAAAGGGTTTGTCCTAGAAAATGATCTCCACATTCTTTATCAGGTAGAAAAATCTATACTCACTTGATTGCTAAATATTAGATAAATAAATTCTGAAATTGAGATAATTGTACCAACCGATTTTGGATTGTTGTTATTTTTAGATAACACCAGTGTACGTTGACTGGACAACAATAGACTGGTACCAATTCTTCTGTCTGTGGGAGCAATTACCTTCTGCAATGAAACGGGTTGCAGAAATGGTGGGCATACAGGAGAGCTTTCTGGCACGCTCTGTCAGTGGAAAATTAATAGCCAAAACAGAAAAGCAGCGCAGACAGATGGCCATTCACAAGCGGTAACTTGATTTCTAAACTTGTAGCCAGAATTCTCAGGCAGATGTTTGTCTTAAGAAGGGGATTTCCACAGATTTTTTTTAATTTCTGCAAAAATAAATGTATAAGATGTAAACAGTCATTCAGGGTAGTTTGATGTGAAACGCTCCATTCTAACTTAGTCAGAATTGTTCACGGGGTGGTGACAGGAACCACGGTTCTAAAGTGTTTGATGTCTGCCTGATGCGCGAGACATTGTGTTACGATAGTTTTGAAATTATATTTAGATATTTTTTAATCCATTTAGACCTGAGAGGTACATGAAGAGTTTTGTAAGAAAATAAAATGGCTATATTTGCATTGTAGACAATGTAATCCCCATCACCCTGTTTCTGTCTCCACCTCTGTACAGAAATTGATCAGGTTTCTTTACATTGACCATTACATGGAAGCACTCTGATCGATTGACTTTGGTAATATCTCAATGATTGAATTATGCAGGAAAATGGAATTCTTCTTTAAGAAACTGAAATAATTCAGGAGATGTTTCCAAAAAAAATGTTTACCTCCCACTTTGGGCAACAAATTGCAGAACTATATGCATGACAGACAGCAAAGACAAAATGATTCACTAAATGGAATTACACTTTATTCATATATTGCCAAAGCAGATGTAAGGCAAGAATGTCACTCTCATTATGTCTTCGCAGCTTTTTTACTACCCTTGTGCTGTTCGATCTGGTCAGTGAAGAACCTCTTGGAACAGTTGCAAAGAAATATGGCTGCAGCCGAGGACAGCTGCAGTCACTTCAACAGTCAGCTTCGACCTATGCAGGTTTTCTTGGTTCTTTATTTAAAACTATACAGCTTTGCAAACTCTCAGCATAGAATGATCAGTACTGGTTATCTGTGCCATTTCATAACATGCCTTTTTGAACTGCAGGTATGGTTACAGTCTTCTGTAATCGACTTGGATGGCACAACCTTGAGCTGTTATTGTCGCAGTTCCAGAGCCGGCTGAGTTTTGGAGTACAGAGGGATCTGTGCGATCTGGTGCGTATCTCCTTGCTGAATGCGCAGAGAGCACGTGCACTTTACAGTGCAGGGTTGGTCACTGTGGCGGAGGTGGCAAGAGCAAAAATTGCTGATGTGGAGAAGGCCCTAAGGAAAGCCATTCCTTTCAAAAGGTATAGTTTGTAGTAGGTTTAGTTTTAAGCTATATCAGGTTTGGCTGTTTTTTTATATGTAAAAGCCATTAAAAGATCTTTTAATTCAAAACATTTAGTGTCTTATTTTATTTTAATTTTGTTTTTTTAATTGGCAGTTCTAGGCAGGCAGTAGACGAGAGTGAGGAGGATGCTCAAGAGCGCAGGAGCATGCGCTGTATCTGGGTGAGTGGAAAGAAGGCCTTGACTGAGAGTGAGGCCGCAGAGCAAATAGTGTTGGAGGCCAGGATGCTCCTCCAGCAGGACTTGGCACTCCTTGGAGTGGAGTGGAACCCCAATTCTCTCTCGCCAGAGGCCAGAACAAGTTCTTCTGATGAATCATCCCAGGATTCCAAATTACACATACCTGTAGAGCTACAAACTGAAAGTTTATCTGAAGAGAAGAACACTAACTTTAATAGAGAACAGAGACTGAGGAAGACCATAAAAGGACATCATATATCAGCTGATCAAAATCCTGTGTCTGAAAATGAAACTCATTATCCTGCTAGACCACTAGAAAATCCTATGGATGTGGATACAGCAGGTCTGACTAAGAAAACTACTACAAGTCATTTATGTGTGGCCTGTACTAGCACAGGAAACACTGAACAGCAGTCTATTGCATTACACAAAGTGCTCAAATCCATAATTGCTAAAGACAAAGACTATCATAACGGCCACAAAACTACTGAGATGTCATCATCCCTTCTGAAAAAATCATCTCTAACGGGTTGTGGACATGATTCTGGTCTACAAAATGAGTCTTCCTCACGCAATGACAGTCATTCTGTAGGTCCACTGTCAAAACGTAGAAGGATGGAAGGGGATGAAATTAAGACCACCGAAGCTGAAGAAGCAGGCACCCTAGCAATTGCAGCCCTAACAGATCTAAACCAAACAGCGTCAACTGTTTTTGTGGGTGTTCCTGAGTTGAATAGTAGTCACTCTGAAGTGAACATCAAAACACCACAAGAAGCAGCTAGATGTCAGAGTTCAGATGCTGTATTAAAACAACATCTACTGTGTGAGTCCATGATGTCATCTACGTCATTTGGTCCATCACATCTCAAGGAGAATCCATTGTTAACTGGTCGTCGTTTTCCATCAGTTGATGGGAAAAAATGCAAATCTAAATCAAAACATTTAAATAAAAATGCAGATCTCGAGATGACACTTACTGAAACTAAAAAGGGGAATTACCAAAACTCCGACTGTTACAGGAATGCGAATGATGAAAACAAAATGCCAGCACAATGTGATTATGAGAAGACTTCACTGGACTTTTTGTTGACCTCTGAGGTAAAATCTAGAGTTGCAACTGATGTCATAGGGAATTCAGGGGACAAGTGTAAGTCTCCAGACTTGTACACAGGTGAATCAGAAGAATTTGGTGATAGTTTTCAGCTTGATACACAGACTGAAAGAATATTACTACAGGAGGACAAGATGCCTTTTTACAGCAGTTTAGATGTCATTCGTGAAGTTAAGACAAGAAATAATCATGTTGGCACACTAGATCAGCTGTCCAACCAAATCTCACATCCTGAAAATAAAAATTTAGTACCACACAGCACACCTGAAGACAAAAACAGCAAGAAAGATGAGGGCATGTCATCCTTTTCCAGCAATGTTCCAAAGGAGCAACATCTGCCATCAACTGAAGCCAAACCTAAATATAACATTTCACTGACAGACAGCCAAATAGAGAACATTCTTAATTTTACCAACCATATGCCTGAGGGAGAATCTTGTGAAATGAAATTAAACTCTGAGGAACCTCAAGTCCAAAAGGAGAGACCTGAAAATGTTATGGAAAATAGTCTCAATAGAAGCAGCAGCTTCCTATTTGATAGTTTGTATAACAGCTCTGTCTTGGAGGCCATGGAGGAGGAGGAGGAGGAGGAGGCAGGAGTAGATAAAGACGCAGAGGGGAACCAACCTATTGAAAATACTAGGTCACATGCCCCAACCACTGCATTTAATGAAGAAAAGAAGGATGATGTGGAGGATCAAGAAGCAGTACAGTGGGGTGAGTCTTCCTTCAACCTGTCAGAATGGGGAGACTCACTTCTTGTTGGAGAGCACTATCTAGAAAAATTTAAGGTCTGTGCTGCACCAAAAATGAGCTCAAGTGAAGCAGAAAAGCTCTGTTACACAGATGACTTTGTGTCTGAGTTACAAATATCACAAAACAAGGCACCTTGTTCAGAAACTGTTGTTAATTCCTCATTTAATTTTAGCCCAGGAATGCAAGACATTTTTGATAAATGGGTTGATCATTTTTCAACCCTCCACGAACCTGTAGAAAAAGCAAACACAAATGTGGCACATCATAATGTGTCTGTAGTTCCAGTAACTAACACACACTCTGGGCTTGAACATGTAAATCAAAAAGGCTTGAAGTCAGAAGATTTCCATATAACCAAACCACATACAGTGAGCCATGATCTTATTCCCCCGACACCTGTTTCTGAGCCTGTCACGCCCAGGGTCAAAATGACAACTTTAGCTGTACAGTCACCTGTCAATCCCAACGGTGACCTAGAGGCTAAACTGAATTACCATGCAAGTTCTTCTCCCAAAGATGATCAGCCTCCTTGTTTGGAGCCGAAGGCCACATCACAGTTAGACACATCTGTGATAAGGGTTGATGAGGGCTTTTCACTGCAGCTTTCACAGGATGCCTCTCCTTCTGCCTCCAACCCAAGCAGTCCAGAATCCTTCTCGATTATTGATGTAGCAAGTGACAAACGGCTTTTTGAAACATTTGTAAAGGAATGGAAAACGAAGAAGAGATTTTCTCTTTCTGTTGCTTGTGAGAAGAAAGATGGTGCAGGGCAACCAGAATCAGCTATCGGAGGCAAATTTAAAAAAGGTACGTCTTTAGATAAATCTGAAACATTCTGTTTAATTAATATGGAAACTGTATCCCACTCACTAATGTTTTCGGTTTTATATTTAAAGCAGCTACCCCAATGAGGAACAAAAGAAAAGATGGGTTTGTCATCAAAGGACATGAAAATCTGGTCATCATTGGCATATCTGTATGCTGGGGAGGAAAGGATGCATATTATTTATCACTACAAGAGGAGCTAACAGACACTGGTACAAAATCTAAATCTTTCACTTTTGGTATTAGCATTAAACATCCTGCCTTTTTACTAACTTAAATTGGTGTTGCCAAACAGCTGTAAGTGCTAGCTTAGCACCCCCTCCACTTGATGAAGGTCTGGCAGTGGGAGAGAGACTGGAGAAAATTCAAGCATGTTTGTCAAGGTCATCTTCAGGTGCTGATAGAGTGATGGTTGCTTATGACTTCATTCAGTTATACAAGACTCTACTTCTGGCATGTGGACTTGCAATAAAAGGCACATTTGAAGATCCTAAGGTTAGTGAATCAGCCACTGACATTGCTTTTGATCTGTCGGTCAGTGATTTAAGATTGCTCTGATTGCATTTAGCTGGGCAGCTTGTCAATTTATACGCCCACTGATAAATGTGAATTTTAATGCGAATTCCAGGTTGCTTGTTGGCTTCTGGATCCAGGCTCCAAGGAGCGCACCCTTCACAACATGGTGACAAACTTTACTCCTCAGGACCTGCCCTTGTTAGATGGAATCAGCTCTGGACAAGGTGTGGAAAGTCTGGGGATGTATGGAGATCCTAGTCAGTCTGGACGCTTCAGAGCAGCCATTGAGTCGGTCCTCGTTTTCAGGATCATGACACAACTCCACGTCCTTCTGGAAAAGGATGGTTTCTTAGGTGCCAAGCTTTTTTTTTTTTTACATCAAATGAAACATTTGATGTAGTTACTGCTTTTCATGTTGTGTAAAGTCTTCTTTTTTGTTTCAGATGTGTTCCAGAAAGTGGAGATGCCCACTCAGTACTGCTTAGCTCTGTTGGAGTTGAATGGTATTGGCTTTAGTGTTGCTGAATGTGAAGCTCAGAAACATGTGATGCAAGCTAAGCTCAGTGACCTGGAATCCCAGGCCTACCAGTTAGCTGGTCACAGCTTCTCACTGACCAGTCCTGAGGATGTTGCTGAGGTCAGTGTTTTTTTTGGGGGAAAAAAACCCCTATAAAATGTTTTTTCCTATGGATTTTTTCTGTTCTGTCCCCCCTTCCCTCTCATAAGGAAACTAAATAGTGCTATTGCAGGGATGTCAAATTCCAGTCCTGGAAGGCCACAGCACTATAGGGTTTAGTAATCCACCATTAATAAATTATGAAGGTCTTGATGAGACAACTTAAGTTTTAAAAAAAAACAACAGAAAAACATTAAAATATGCAGGCATGTTTGACACTCCCTGTTCTACTGTTTCACCATATTCAGGTACTGTTTCTTGAACTGAAGCTGCCACCCAACGGTGATTTGAATAGTCTAAAGAATAAAAAGACTTTGGGATACACGAGAAGGGCAGGAGCCCGCATAAAACTTTCCAAGCAGTTTAGCACAACCAAGGTACATATTCTAGTCTTGCAGTTATCTCTTTTACACTTACATATGTTACAGAATTAAAAATTTCATTATAATTCATTATTAATGTTGATTAAGTTCACCCTTCAAACAACTAAAAGTTTTAATTTTAAATTTATCCAGGATGTACTAGAAAAGCTCAAGCCATTCCATCGGTTACCAGGAGTCATCTTAGAGTGGAGAAGGATAACAAACGCCATGACAAAAGTGGTATTTCCTCTACAAAGAGAGAAGACCTGGCACCCTAAACTCAGGATGGACAGAATTTACCCTGTCTCACAGTCCCACACAGCTACAGGTGCAAAACAAAGTCAGAGAAATACTTAAATTGTTTCTTTACATTTGTTTTCCAACATATTTACAAATTATTTTTCTAACTTAGGGAGAGTGAGCTTCACTGAACCCAATATTCAGAACGTGCCAAAAGACTTTGAAATCCAAATGCCAACTCTTATTGGAGAAAGCCAACCATCTCAAAACAACATACCCAGTATCTCCAGCAAGACACGGTAAGCATCTGTGTCCTTGACAGAGTAATTTAATGCATAATTTAATTTTATTTTTCTACTCAGTTTTTTTTTTGGTATGTTTTTTAGGACTAAAATATCCAGGGCAAATCATCAGTTAATGGATTTGCTCAAAGATTCAGACAAATCTCCAGAAAAGGGGATGCCTTTTTCTGTCAGCATGAGGCATGCTTTTGTTCCTTTCTCAGGTAAGGGATCACTTGCGATAAATGGGTGCATGAAATGTCAATTTTGATTTGATTAATATACTTCTTGATTTCCTAGGAGGACTAATTCTAGCTGCTGACTACTCCCAGTTGGAGCTGCGCATATTGGCTCACTTGTCCTGTGATAAACGGCTTCTTCAAGTGCTCAACAGTGGTGAAGATGTTTTCAAAAGTATAGCTGCAGAGTGGAAGATGGTGGACCCTGCATCAGTTGATGACTGCACAAGACAACAGGCGAAACAGGTAAGACTTAGCTGTTCCAGTACTCAGAAATATACTAATGATGTAGCATCAGTAAGTGAGTCTGTTGTGATCTTATTTTCACAGATTTGTTATGGAATAATTTATGGCATGGGAGCAAAATCATTAGGGGAGCAAATGGGTATTGATGAAAACGATGCTGCCTGTTACATTGAAACGTTTAAATCCAGATACACAGGTAAGTAAATCCAACTAGTTCCAGGCTTGAAAAACAATTATATAATTAGGCCTCATCGTGAGTTACTTTATTTTCCTCAAAGGTATACAGGCATTTCTTCGTCAAACAGTGAAGAACTGCAGCAAAAACGGCTTTGTCAAGACATTACTGGGCAGGAAGAGGTTTCTGCCTGGGATCAAAGACTCAAACATGTACATCAAGTCTCATGTAAGGTTCATGTTAGATGTCTTCAGAACACATAGAAATATTGTTGAGCAAATCAAACACTTTTAATAAGTAGAGCTCTCCCACGCTTCAGGCGGAGAGGCAAGCTGTGAATACAACAGTCCAGGGGTCTGCTGCTGACATTGTAAAATTGGCCACTGTCAATATCCAGCACAGACTGGAGGCAGCTTTTCCTGAAGTGCCACCATCACATCACCATAACCAAAGTGAGACAGGTAAGCCAGCTTCCATTCTCTGAGGCTGAGGTGATCTTATTATTGATTATTAATGGCGAGTTGCTCAGCAGAGAATGGACGGTATAGGCCTCGATCCAAGCCTTTACGAGGGGCCTTCTTCGTACTTCAGCTACATGATGAACTCATCTATGAGGTTGCAGAGGAGGATATCATCCAGGTAAAGTAGAAATTTCTTTTGCATGTTAAACTTCACATGAAGGCAGATCAGGGTGCTAAAAATCTCTCTTTTTGGCAGGTTGCACAAATTGTGAAGTGGGAAATGGAATCTGCTATGAAACTACATGTGAAGCTCAGGGCAAAAGTTAAAGTGGGTCCAAGCTGGGGAAACCTTCAAGATTTGGATATCTGAAATACATTGATTTGACTCACTAGACTACAGTCCTGTTTGCACAAATATTTGAAAACACTTTAAATACACTAATGACATGCACTTTCTCTTTCAGCTGTTTTAATTAGCCTCAATGAATTGTCAGCTTTTTAAAGAAAATATCAGCTATATTTTTGTACTGTAAAAATAATCAATGGTCATGTGTCACTTGTTTCAATTTCAACTGAAAGGTAACCAAAATGAGACAGTTCAATGGAACACAATTTAATCATTTAATAAAACTTTTATTTGCCTTTTCTAAAACTTACGTACTTGCAATGTTTTAGTATTTTGACTTCACAATGAAATTTTGATTTTACAAACAACATTCTGTATTTTAATACTTTATTAATTTCCAGTGTTTGTCAAGCACTGAGCTTGAGAGTTGTGCCGATTTCCTAATAACATGTGATTTTTTGCAACATTTCAACTGTTCAGTTAAATTATCCTACTAAATCACCTTACTTTGGAACAAATCTGCATACCACAATGAAGGGGAAAAAAAAAAAAAGTACACAAGACATTCTAAAAATGTCAATTAAGGAAACTCCATGTGTGTAGTATTTACCATTAAGACAGAAAGGTGCGGACAGTGCCTTTTACCAAGCCTCTACATATGGGACACTTGCGTAGAGATGGAGCACATTCTTTACACACCACCAGGTGCCCACAGGGAATGAAAACAATGTTGACCTCCTTATCCATGCATACTTTACATGTGCGTTCTTCCTGAAGTCTCCTCAGCTGTTCCTCCATAGGAAGGTCTGTAAGACAAAAGGAAAATTTTTAATTTAATTATAATAGCTCCATTAATGCTCACTGTTTCAGGGCAGGCTCTATATCTGATTCCCTTAGCGTGATGGCTAAAAACTTACAAACAAAAAACAAAACCTCTCGTGTTTGAGTATACCTGAAAGATCTTGACTCGGTGATGCAGCTTCATTTGTCTGGGCTGAAATTGCAGTGAAAAGAACATAAAATGGATTGTCAGTATTATGTAGTGATGTATGCTTGCTGTGGAATTCTCCCTGCATACTTTAAAAATGTATAAGAAATGTTCTTTGAGCATCACCTCAGTTCTTTTAAGGGGATCCCATTTAAGTGTTCCTACATGCTAGCCATGACACCAATATTGACTACAAGGGTTTAACAGACAACGACTAACATGGAACACTGAAACTTAAGACATTTTAAGCCAATACAACTTAAGTTAAATACCCATTAGCTCTCTTAGGAGGTACACGTCATTCTTTTTGATCCAGTTGCGGAAGACCTCTGCTGCCGCATTCCCTTTTGACAAAACCAAATCGATGAGCTGGCCTGTCTGCTGCTTGACTGAAGTGCAGTTGCGTATGGTGTCATACTCCTTCTGTGAAATAACATTCTCTTCAAGGAGATGATCCATTAGACTCTGAACACTTTTCAACCGCTGAGTCAAGGCAGTATGATGCTTTTTCAGAAAAGTAAATCCATCTGCAAAACAAAAATTAAAGATAACAGGAATGAACTTTTGCTTGTGGGGAGATCACAAAACATTTGTACAGACGCCAATCTCACAGCATTTGCACCAATCAACAAACTTCAACTAAACTTGCCTGAAGCCATTTCCTCTGCAAAAAGCTCTCGCTCCTCCTCTCTTTTCTCATCCTCAGCACTTAGCAGGTCAGACACCAGTTCCTGCACAGTTTTATAATTTTCTCCACTGGTGAGAATTTTGCTCTGGACAGTCTGTTTCACTAAACTCCGCTCAAAGCCCATTTCTAAGGCTGACTTCACCACAGGTGTGTTCATCATTACAGCATCTTCTGAACGCTCTTCTCCAGGACCCAGATGTACAACTACACATAAAGGTAATAAGAATAATCAGGGCATGTAACAGTACGTTAGATCATTTTGGTACAGAAACAATACTCCTGCCATGCTCTACTTTTTTTTGTACTCACCAGGTGGATCAACAAATTCCCTTGAGTTGTTGTCTCCATTAGTTAATAGCTGTGGAACAGTATTAGAGTTTCTCTTACTGTAACCAAATTCAGAAATGAAAAATAACAGCAACAACAACAAAAGTTAATTATTTTACCCCTACCTGTTCAAACAATCTTGGAAATCTTGCTTGAATCTGATGAACAAACTCTTGTCCTTTCTCTTGCAAAAGATACTCACACCTACAACAACAAAAACAGTTTTAAAACAATGTCAATTATATTTTGCAACAAAATCAAACACTGGGAAGCAAAATTGCCTTTTCACCTTGGAAACCATTTAGCATGTTCCACCCATGGATCATCACCCGATTCCCAACATCTAAGTCCTCCATCACAGCAAAAGCACTTCACGTCATCATTACGACCTACAGATAAACAAAAAAAAGTTGTTTATTAGATAATACTGATGGCAGGAAAGTGAAAAAACAAACCTTATAATATTGCAAATGCCCTAAACATAACCTTACCAACATAGTAAAAGCCAGCCTTGGCCAGCTGGTCTGGTCGAACTGGTATTCTTGCAGGCCAGTTAACAAATGTAAGCAGCCTCTCATCACACTGCTGCATTGCTGGGTTGGAAACATTAGCCAGTCCACTACCTGTGGCAATGGACACGTTATCTGCTCGGTCACCTCTCACAAAGCGGCAGTTAGGGTAGTGTCTCTGGTGCTCAGATACTGCCCTATCTCCAGGCTCCCAATTGCTGAGCTGCCCTCCACAACTGAAGCAAGCCACTCTGTCTCCCTGGCCAAGATAGTAGAAACCAGCCTTTGCAAGTTCAGCAGGGGTGACTGTTGCGACGGTCCAGTTCTGGAAGGTGTCTAAACGATCTTGCTCTCGACGCATGCTTGGATTGTGGCAAGCAGGAGGACGCTGATGAGACATATCCTCAACGCCACGAGATGAGAGAGGACTGGAGGGGGCAAGGTTGTTAAAACCCATGTTGAGGTAACCAGCCTGCTCATCTGTCTGGCCTGATGTTGAAGCAGCTGCAGATGAAGTACTGGTTGCAGTAGAGGCAGGAGCATTGATCTGTAGGACAGCCACATTGCGAAGAGGAGAAAAGGCAGAATGGGAGGATGACAGGAGGTTGGCTGTGGAAGGTAAGCTCTGGATGAAGGTGCAGTTGGGAGACAGCTGTTTGTGCCTCTCTGCTGGGCATTCCCCTGACTGCCAGTTCTCAGCAGTCACGTTGCAGCGGAAACACTGAACACGATCACCTACACCAGTGTAATAAAACCCAGCACGGGCAAGGCTTCGTTCTGTCACAGGAGTCGTGGAGGGGAACTTTGCGAAGGTAGAGATACGATATAGTTCACTTGTATTATCATACTGTAGGTCTGCTGGTGCACTGTTTCGGCAAAGACCTCTTAGGAAAGGACTGTTTTGCAGAATTTCCATTGTAAGCAAGAAAAGAGGGATGTCCTTCAGGGAGAAAGGCTTTACTGAGACGGCTGAACTCAAGATGACATAAAAACAAAGATGATCAAAGATCATCACTTGCGGCCAAAAATCACAAGATATCAAACTAATCAACCAGTAATCCAGATGTTCACATACTCACGCCTGATGGAACGACACCTAACCAAGAGTCCGGACGAACGCAAACGTAACTGAGATCTTGACGTGTGAAACTGCCAGAGAAAACATAACTGACCCACTACAAAGAACGTGAATTAACGTAAATTAAGTCTGACTATCCATATGACACATCTGCATTCATCCAGGATCACTAATAAACACAACATAGCCATACAGACAAGATCTTCTTTTTAAATGAGGCATGATATAATAATGACAATACCAATGTTAAAGTGAATACTACTCATTGTTAACTGACTCCCTGGATGTGCCAAATAAAGCCTTTCTCCCTGCTGGACATCCCTCAGGTCGGTGTTTAGGTATCCATGACAGAAGATTAAATGTAATTATGAAATGAAAGGATGTTCTTCAAAACAAAGATGTTTGGCTTAATAGGAGATATTTCCTCACGTCAGTGTTGCAGTACCTGAAGATAACAGAAGAAAGGACACATTGTAATTTCATGCTTTGGCAAAATTCAGATTTAACTGAACACAGTACTGGGACTGGCTGAACTAGTTAGACACTTCCACTTGCAGTCACTGCAAACACAGAACACTTATGTCAACACACTTTCTTAGTTTCAGCTAGGGGTGAGCATTATGAAAATATTAATTATTGTGATAAATTATGTTACAATATGCTTTTCTGAGCATATCATGAATATCGCCACTACTCAGAAAACACTTCCCAGCTCCATGTTTCATTACGAAAGCATAATTAGTCCTGTTCAACCTGACTCAGTGCTTCCATGTATGCGAAATGTTATTCATAGTTTTAAATAGCATTTGTTTTAAATGTGGCAGTATTTTTCTGTTCCAACTTATCGGATGTTTGAAAAATAAATGTGACATATCACATAGTGAAAACATCTCTAGTTTCAGCTCTTGCTTATTTCTAGATATACCCTTTAAAGTTAGAAATAATGAATATGTTGCTTAATATGCATTAACATAAACAATCATAGAGACCTAAGAAATGGCATATTAAGAAGATGGTTGAGGGAAATAACTGCAAATTAACTGGTTTGTCCTCTTGTATTAGCAAAAAAATAATCTCCTTTAACTGAGTAAAACTGGTAGAATTTACTAAGCATTTGCAAGGGCTTTTTTTTCTTGGTAACAACTCAGGCAAAATTTTGGCAACTTAGGTACTGAACCATAAGCAAGTTTTAAAAACTTGCTGGCAAATTCCTTTTTATATTAATCAGAAGCCACATTAAATGAAACCAATGAGTAAGATTAGTTTTATGATGAAACCACCCAGTAATACAAGTGTTGCTAGTTTCATTATGAGATTTTAACTTCTATTTTATGCAGTACTAAGGTAAAATACCAGACAAACTGAAAAAGTAGCAGCCCCTTTACCTTAACTACTAGTTAACGCTTCACTCTGATGTTCATCAGACTGACCTGCCTGACAGCACTGGATTTGGGTCTGATGCTCTGTCCTAGCCTTTATGCCCACTAATGCGACAGACTATTCAACCAAGTAGGTTTGTAGTAGTATGAGAGATACTCAAAACTTTTGGGACAAATCATAGGCCTTTCCTGAGTTTCCTGGATGAGTAAAATATTAAATAGCAGGACCGTTGGACTAGGACTGAAAGGAAGGATAAATCTGTGTGTACAGGAAGAGGAAGCAGAGGAACACTGTGTGCCGAACATATTTGGTTGCAATTAGGTCTACGATCAACCACGCCTACAGAACAAATATGAATCATTTAACCCAAGTCAATTCAAGTCAAGGTTACACGCCTCATACTTCTCATATGTCGTCACTTGTTCGACAGATTATAATAATTTGGCTACAACAAGGTAGCACAGCGAACTTAATATTCAACGTAAAGCTGCCGAGACGGAAACCTAGCTTAATTTGATAGCTATTAGCTATAAACGCTGGAACGTGGTTTTTCTGAGTGTAATATGAATAAGATAAGCTTATCAGGCTAACGTTAGTCGTGGAGTTTACGTCTGCCTAGTTACCTAGTTAGCTAACGTAGTTACATGACCCGACAGCCTCCATTTTGAGAGGGTTTTTCCACCTCACGTAGTTAGCTAACCAGAAATAACGTAGCTAGTCCGCTTAACAACGAAGACAGATGATGATAAAAGGAAAGCAAAGGGAAATTTAACAGTTCCACAAGCATTCAGTAGGCGGGGGTGACAAACTCACCAAAACACACCGATAAACCGAGCTGTAAAGCTAAGCGTTGAAAAAACAGCCTCGCCTGCCTGAAAGGAAAGAGGAAAATCAGAAAATGGACGGAACCCTCTCTGACTGCTGACGTCTCGGCCTCTGACGATGAAACCACATTAAAAGCCACCAGTCGTGTCCACATACGAGAAAGACATCAAATACTGTTCGACTAAAATACAAAATATGTGAATACTTCTATTTATTTCATATTATACACGTGTGTTTGTATCCTACTGGATATTCTGCAAGGTCTCAAATACTTTACATTTGTATCCGCAGATTGAACTGTGATGTTACAGTGACATAACTTATTTTATCGTATATTGTTGTTGTTGCGTCTCTTTTCTGTATATGTGATATTATTAACGGCATTAAAGCAAAAGGCCTCCCAGAAGCTGCAGATGAGCCATAACTTTAATGTTCCGAGAGAAGAATGGAAATTTTTACATGAATATACATGTCTGTATATTGTGACCTTACAAATGAGCGACACTAAATGCGCAAGACTGCTGTTTGATTACATGAGAAACACTCGGCCCAGAGCAGTAACCTCAGCTCCATTACACAGATAAAGCAGACTGAACTCACCCAACGTCTGATCAGCCTAGGAGACCCCGGATGTAAGTTTAGTCAGTCTACGATGGTGCTCGAGTTAGTTAGCTTACGCTACTAAAGAGGACGTCCGACCACGCAGCACTGACAGACGTTCTCCCACGTGGGTTTATGAAAACCATGTGAACACCCCGGTACTTTCCAGTTAAGCAGAAGCAAAAGAAAAATTCCCCTTCATCGCGCCAAGTTCCGCCTCCGAAAGGAACGCATGTTATCTATGGGTCAGCAGTGTTTACTGAGGGATCAGGATATGACTGCATGGTGGAAAATCTTGAAATGGGACGGAGTAAATTAAAAAGAACTTATGTTCTTCCAGCTTTTTATTTTTTAACTTTTACAACGACCGAAACTAAATGCGATCTACGCAGATGCACTTTTTTTTCAGATGAATACTGTGGGAGAAAGGAGAGGAGCAGAGGACGTCCAGAGTGCCGGGCGCGTCTCCGCAGCCTGCCTGTAGTTAAAAGTAATGTTCTACATGTTGATGTGTATAAATAATAATGTGTCTCGCGTCTTGTTTATATGCCCTTTTTAGCTTAAAGAGCGTGGATGAAGTGTCCACCCTTTTTGTGTGATGCTCTTTTTTTGGTGACCTTAAATATCAGCAATGTAGGTATGTGCTTCTAGTATCATTTATTTATCAGCAGCATACAACCGTTTTTATATAGTTAAATTAATAGCACTTATTATTTAGCCACAGTCATTAAAGGCATTCTCATTATTAGAATAATTTAGTTTGTGTGTATAATTACAACACTATTTCTTGATTAACTGATTGATTGATTAAAATGTCATCGTACGACCCTGAAGAGTAAAAAGATCCGACACATCTCGTTTTAGTTTTTTAAAAAAGGCTATTTCAAGCTCGTAGACATTTTATATTTGCTGTATATAAAATACTGTTTAGATCAAAAGGCCAACATTTCAAAGCATTGAGTAAAGGTAGCACTGAGTTTTTAACAAAACATCGCAAAGCGTACAGGACTTCCCAACAGGAAATCCTGTTTAAATTGTGTTAGACCACTAACGCAATTTTGCGTTTGGAGTTAAAGGGGAACTCCACCAATGTTTCTAAATTTCTGCATATTTAAATGGTTGAGATGTAAACAAAGTCATTCAGAGTGGTTTGATGTGAAATGTTCTGTTCTAGAGAAACTTACCGAGTCAGAGTTGTTCGCAGTGGTGGTGACAGGAACCAGACGTCTGAAGAGTTTAATGCAGAGCCGGTTTATGAGGAGCCTGGCCTCTTCCTGTTTCTCACGCTAAAACATGACTGCAAAACGCCAGAGGGCGCCCGAGTCCTCAGTGAATCATAGTCAAAGAAGCTAAACGGCTAAAAATGAAAAGTTAAAACAGTTTCTAATGACTTGTCTAGAACGTTCCTTTAATATTAGAAAGTAGAAAGATATATTCTACTGAAAAACAAAGAAAACACCTGTATGATTAATTTTTTTCTACACCAAACGGGTTTTGGGCAGCAGGATAGTAGCATTATTGCTGTTGAGTGCTGAATGGTTGGCGAGCGGAGCAGCTCATTGGCTGTTCACGCTCACTGACGTCATGAACGTACATGAGGCGCCGTTTTAAGCTTCCATAACTCTAGTTCAAAAGTGCTCAAAAATATAACAGCGGTGTTAAAATGTTTTATGCGGTTCTGTGTTCGGGAAATGAATATAATCTTCCACTTTAAAATGTTTAAGCATTTATAAACTATGATTTTGTTCAAATGCTCCATCTTAACCCTTTCATATTGGACTTGATCAGGAGCGCCCTCTAGTGTTTGAGAAACCGTGACAGGGTGGTAAATATCCTCTCTACAAGTTCTCTAGTTTAATGCCTCTAAAAGATCCTTTACAAAAGGGTACTATGTTATATGCATATGAATATGCTGCCTGATGTCTGAGGTAAGAATTTGGCCTAAAACATGTATTTATAAAGTCATTCATGGCAGAGCTGTACATAAAGGGTACTCTGAGGCAAAATATTTCTGAAAGAAAATAAATTTTTCCAGATTTTCACTGTTTTACCATCATCAGCATCAGAAGGTTCACTGGTTGTTTTGGATAGTAAATAAAATGGTTATATTTGTGTTGTAGACATGGCGAACCCTGATTCCCATCACCACCACTGTAAAAAAAAATCTAAGTTCTCAACCATCAAACCACTCTGAATGACTTTGTTTACATCTCAATGACCAGATTATACAGAAATTTTGAAAAGTCAGTGGAATTCCCCTTTAAGGCCCTCCTATTTGGAGTTGGTCCAGCCTGCAGGTATACATACGTAGAGCAAGGTTCAATAGGGGAAACAGTCCCTTTGAGGGAAGAGAAAGAAATTTAAACTAAAAGTAAAAAACGAAAACGAAAATTTTTTAGATGTAACTTTCCAGTACTTCTTCAACACATTACACAATGCACTGCCCTACACCTAAAATACCGGTGCCGTGTAAGTTATAAATACATGCATAAAGCCCAGAAAAAGAGGTTAAGACTACACGTCAAATAATGTAAAATATCCTAAAATTATTGGATTATAATACCATTATTTATTCTTCCAAACTAACTAAAGAGAAAACTTCTCTTCTAACTAAAGAGATAAATAGCTGTTATAAATTAAAAACAAGTAGCCCAGTTTCCAACTTAACTCCAAATTCATATTCATGTAGGCAGGGTTTGCCAGCAGATGTATGCTGATCTACCAGCTTTTCCAAATTCTTAAAACCAAAAATTTTGGAGAGGGTGAGAGTTAGTTTTTCATCAAAAGGCCAACTTGTACTAATATGTGAGGGAGTGAAAAATATCATATGAACAATCACACGTTCAATAAAATATTTTGTTATATATATATATATCTATATATATATATATATATATATATATATATATATATATATTGTTGAACATGTGTGATTGTTCATATGATATTTTTCACTCCCTCATGTATTAGTACAAGTTGTCCTTTTGATGAAAAACTAACTCTCACCCTCTCCAAAATTTTTGGTTTTATTGTTTGATGACTGTCTTTAGGGCCATGATTCAAGCAACCTGACATCTGAACCCCAAATGCGATGGTATGCTTACTTATTTTACTTACTGAATACTATATATACTAAGCAAGTTAATAGGGAGCAACAGTCATAACCAATATAATGAATATTTTTCATTGTTGAATTGAACACATCACTTAAAACAAAGATTTACTAAAACAGCTGATCCCAGTTTTAGTCCAGAAGATGGTGCTACAGCTGTAGCTTTTTAAAAAAATCTTTTTTTCTCCTTTTGTCTCTCTACTTCTTTCTGCAACATCCCTGCTGATAAGTAGCCTTTAGCCAGTCTCTTTAGCCAGTGTCTATATTAGTGGTTGTTGGTGATGACAATTTACACATTAAATATATAACTTTGTTTTCAAAACATTCAAAAAGCTTTAACAAGTAAATATTACTTGGCTTTTGTGATCTGCCACAGGAAGAAAGACCTGTTGTCCATATTCTTCCATTTTAGGCTCATTTTAGACTGTTGCTGCCATAACAAAACCTTGTATCTCCACAAATGGTAGCTTTACAGGAGGAGGAAAAAAACATTCTTAAGTTAATATAACATTTATTCCAAGTAATTGGTCAGTTCTATTGGTCCATTCACTGTGAAATGTTCAAACAACATAAAGTATACATAGAGTTTTTGATAGGACATCAAGCTATTTTCTAACCCAAAGTTTAACAATAACATGAATTCATAACACACAGCTAGTGAAAGGAAAAGCTCCTAATGTAACAGAAGATCAAGAACACGGCACACTGTTATTAGACAAGACACCAATGCCAAAACTGTGGTACAAGACATACACATGTCTTTTGAAAGGATCGATACACAGATAGGCGAATGTCTGCTCGTTGTCTCTTCCAGAAGGATAGCACAAGCCGTTTTCATCCTAATATGGTAAAGATGAAATGACATCATTATGGTTAGAGCTGTTTCCTTATTATGTTATAGTTTCATTTATTTGGTATTAATGGGGATTTCCACAGATTTTTCTAAATGTTTCTGCATAATTTAGTCATTAAGATGTAAACAAAGTTGTTTACAGTGATTTAAAGTGACTTATATCATTCTAGAGAAACTTACCCAGTCTGAATGGTTCACAATGGTGATGACAGGAACCAGGGCCCATATTCACAAAGCTGATCTAGGATCTAATCCTGTCAGTAAAATTATAGTGAATAACAGCAGAATCTGACCCTAGATCAGCTCTCCTACTCTAACAAACGTTGTGAATATGGGCACAGATGTCTGATGGGTTTAAAGCTTCTAAAAGCTACGTATCTTACAGAAGGTTATTACACAAAATTGTTACAAACACACTGCCTGATGCCTGAGGCATTGTTTTACGATAGTTCTGTGTAAGTGTTTGACCTACATCACATGCAAGGTGTTGTAAGACAAAATAGAATCCAAACAAAATTGATTTTTTTTATTTACTATATTTACTCACTGGTTGTTAAGGATAGAAAATAAAATGTCTATATTGGCATTGTTGATATCATGGCCCCTGGTTCTTATCATCACATTTCTCTCCAACGAACCATTTCACATGAAACCACTCTGAATGGCCTTGTTTACATCTTAACCATTGAAATATGCAGGAATTTTGAAACGTCAGTGGAAATCCCCTTTAAGGATTATAAGATAAAGGTAAGTAGTTTTTGGTATTTTTTAATAAGATGGAGAGTAAAACAGATGCATAGAATCTTCAGCCAAAATGACAAATGTGAATATCTTTACAAAACAATACAAGACTACATTCATAAAAGTACAATTTCAAGGGACACAAAAAAAGAATGCGGACACACACATGAGCAGATACTTTCAAGATCGTTGAGGCAACTTGGATCTCTCTTGTGTCCGAGTCCTTCTGGACACTATGGAGCAAAAAGTAAACAGGGTAATTTCCATAATTAATGTAAACTGTTTCCTGTTCAGTTCTTTTTATTTGTCTCCACCTTGGCAAATCATTAAACCAAATTAAATGCAGCACACTATGAAAAACATTTAGACATTAGATGACCGCTATTAGAAATGTACACATATCAAATGATTAAAAGAAGTCATCAATAAACTATTCCTTTGCTCACCTACCTCACCAAATCTTTGTAAATCATTTTTGCAGTTTCAATGTAAGGACTGATGACATCTTCATATTGGCACAGTTCACCACCCAGTACGATGTGCTTAAACAGTCTAAACAGGAACTCCTGACGGTCACATGGACTGACCACATGATAATTTTCAGCGTCCTCTTCCAGCAGCATCTGTCAGAAAACTTAGGGATCAGTACGTTTTGCGTGAATGATACTGAAACATACATAATGAGATCAGATGAAATGACCCAAATACTGAAGAGTTACCATTCTCAACTCATCAAAGTCAGGGTGTACTTCATGGTAACATTTGACAATGTGGCCGGAGGGACGCACGATTCCACTTGAGAAAATTGGATCGAATATGTCTACAGACACTTTAGTGCAGGGAACAGCTTCCACGTCCACATGTGTAATGTCACTGCCTATTTAAATGATCATAAAGGCATTGCTGTATTCATGCTATACAGAGATGCAGACATTACATTATACTGTGTATAAGTCTTGACCATAAAAACAGCCAACAAATCTAACTTAGATTTGTCATTCAGAGTGGTTTAAGCGGTGGTAAATAAGAATTGTTTACAGCGTTTTTGATAGGAAGCAGACATCTGAAGACTTTAATGCCTCTAAATGCTCCTTCACAGACAGTTGTCATATGACATGGTGACATATACCCTATGTGATGCCTGAGACATTGTTTATGATAGCTTTTTTTGTCCATTCATGGTAGAGAGCTACATGCATGACACAGCAAGCCAAAATAGACCACAAAAAGAGTTCTATTTTACCATTATCAACATTAAATATAAAAATTCAAATTACACTGTTGGTTTTATAAAATGGCTTTTTTTGCACTGTAGATGTTACGACCCACTGTAAAGAATTCAGTGTCAGTAAGGGTCTCTACAATGAATTATGCCACTCAATGAGTCAAACCACTCTGTATGACAATCTCAACGACTGGGCTATTGATCAGTGGAATTCCCCTTTAAACCCAATTGTGAAGCTGTGACAACACTGGTATACCCAGAGGTTTCCATGCACCAGAAGCATCCAGGGTCTTTAGGTTGTTTTTCACACAGGGATCCTGAAAGAAATTCTAAACAAAAAGGCAGAATTAAGTAATACTTATGGTCTAATAAGTATGTAACCTGCATTAATGTTGTGAATAAAATATGAATACCAAACTCACTAAAGCAAAGTCATTCTTCCTATAAGACTGGAATGTCTGGTCAAAGTAAAAAGCCAGAGCAGAAATTCTTCCCAACATGGACCTAAAGGAAACAGAGAACGGTCAAAGATAGTAAATTAACAAAGACAAGCTTGTGTACGCTGAGAATGCATGGAAGCATTGCGAGTTACTGAAGTTGCAGAGAAGCACTGAAAGTGATACCCCATTTTATTTACACACTTTACTTACATTTAAACTTCTACTGTAGTGTGGTAAGTGACGTTATAGCTATATTAATTTGCTAAAGTTAAATACAAGTTCGTTGCCTGGCTAAGTTTACTTGGTTAGCTAGCTAGGTTAGCTAGCTAGCTAGCGTTGTCTGCGCTGTGGGGACCGAACGTATATGGATTTTATAGGCTTATAACATTTCTCCGCGCTTCAGCTAAACAGCAGGTTAGCAGGTTATATGCTCACCATTTCATCAACAGTCCTGTTGTATGTGAATCTTGCTGAAATGTAAAGGTTTTGTTGGGAAGCAGACTGAAAGTGTAGGTTTGCTCAAACGCATGCGTCTCCTCAGCCATCTTGGTTGTTGTCAAACAGTAACCATGGAAACGTGAAACGAGTCTCAGTCCTCTCTTACCAGAATAAGTGACATCTTCGTCAGATTGAAACTACATACGTATTAAAGCCAGTACATTATACATATATTTTTTGGTATTGTTATTCTTATTAAGTAATTATTATGTAAAAATAGATGCAAATTAGTAACAAAAATAAACATTAGTTTTATTGAAAATTACCGTTCACATGTTGGGGATCTTAATGATAGTTATTCAGTAATAGCTTTTTGTTATAAATTAGAGACCAAAATTCACAACTTAAAATTCCTACATCCATCATATTTGTTGCATTTTATTTTTTTTCCCTTTAGGTCTACTTATAACATTTGTGTAGTTTTATATACCAAAAATGGTCATAATTTATTTTTACATGACCATTTTCTAACTTCATTCAAAAAGCACTGAAATACTCCTTGCAACTTCAGTATGAATGGGTGGAGCTAAACTGAGTTGGTTCACATCACACAAACAATGAATTCAAAACAGGCTGTTTTTGCATTATAGTTTCTGCATATGGATATTCACGTATTACTTCACACTTTTTTATTTTAAAAAAGCAAGGGAAATCTGGTTTTCTGTGATATAGATATTTCAAAGTATATTGGGAACAACAAGAACTGTGACATGGCAAAAAATAGCAAATTCAAAGTAACTGAAAAATAAAAGGCAGAAAACCCCCAGACAGGTCGCCAGTCCATTGTAGGGCAGGTACGCAGACATACGTAGTCACGCCTAGGAGCAATTTAGTATTTTCAATTCACCTGGCTGCATGTCTTTGTACTGTGAAGGGAAACCCGCAGACACAGGGAGAACATGCAAACTCTGCACTGTTCGCCTGGGCGGGGAATTGAACCCAGGCCCTTCTTGCTGCTTGTTGTGAAATTTACTAAGGAAAACTATTTGCTTAGCAAGATTTTAATTATTAAAATCTATATTATATTAATTTGATTATACGTTCATTCTCAATTCTTATACAGCATTTTCATTTTTTGTGGAATCTCTGTCCATCACAAAGCAACTTTGTCTCTCAGTGTCTTTTTAATGAAAATTGGTGTATATATTAATATACTGAATATTTTTAATTATAAATAGTCATATGCTTTACTTATTTATTATTTTTGTAGCATTTATAAAATCTTTGTTTGTGTGTGGATCCATAATGTACCTGTAGAAAATTCTTATACCGCCATAGCAAACAACAGAAAACAAATATAGTTGGAATGTAAAGGCTTTTACATGTAAATTTGTTGCTTACTTTCTCTTCCTTTGCAGTGGCTGATGTGCCTACTCAGCAGGGCTATGTAATGCCCAACAGATGTGTTTCCAGAAAACCACTGAATCTGAAACCTGTGCGACCGTGACTAGTAGCATTTTCAAGACAAAGCAAGCTGAGATCGAGGGGCCATAAACGGGACCTACAAAAAGTTACCTCCTCCACGTTTGTTGCCATTCCCACATATATTGCTGCTTGTATAAGGCCAGGCTGGACCCCGCTGTGTTTCTGGAAGGAATGCATTTACGTATGCGCTGCCGCTTCACACCTCTTCTACAACAGAGAGGAGTGTCACATTTCCCTCTAACATCTGGATTTCATAGCTCACACAGGATGTTGTCAAAGTGCAATAAAACAACAGTGGTTTACAATGAATATTGTATAGTCCGTGACAACCAGCCTTTTTGTTGTGGTTTGGGCAGCAGCATGCTCTTTTTGTTGTACCGTGGCCAAGGAGGCAGTCCTAGACCAAAAGACTTCTCAGTGTCTTCTCTTCTCATTGAGAGGTGTGCACTTTCATGCTCTTACGGAACTCCACGTAAACTGACATGATTTGGATCACTTTGTTTTGGCTTCATATTTTCCCAAATCTTCTTGCATTACCAAATATAACTGTGGTAAGTGGTTTTAAACTGCCCTTTATTGTTTTTGTTTTACTTTTTGATCTATTTTCACTGTTCTTATCTGTTTTGTCCATAGTCTTTGAAAGGACTGTTGGACACGTTAGCAGCAGTTTACATGAAATGAGTATTAGATTCAGCTTTCTCTTTGTGTGAGATTTTCTCTGTTTCTTTTTTATGGCTCACTGCCATGCGAGCATGTGATATAGCCCACTGAGCATGCTCAGATGAAGAATACCAAACCACAGGATATATCTGTTTCATGCATACTAACTAACTTTGTCCTAGGTATCTAAAACAAACAATTTTAAATACAGAGGAAGTGTGCAGTGAATGTGTAATTAAACATATTGCTGCAGATGGAGAGGATGTAATGGAAAGATCATAATAACATGGTGTTCTTTTTAAATAGGATATAAACAACACTGCACTCAATGAATTTGTGACGTTATCTGAGAATGTTCAGGATGTGTCTCTCCGAAGCCAGAAAGAACGAATTGTCAAGGATGCAGGCAAAGAAAAGTGCACAGTCCCATGTGAGATGACTGCAAAACTCATGCGGGATGAGAAGCATACTTTCTGCAGTATGTATTCTGCCCTAAACCCACACATATGCTACTGTGCAAAAGCCAAAGACTACCCCTTTACCCCTTATTTGTTTAATTTCCAGTCAAAATAGCTATTAAGTACAAGTTATTCATTTTTCAGCATCAGGAAAAAAGCAGAAAACATATTTAACAGAAAGTTAACACAGAAACAAGACATGACTTGTAACACAGAATGACTGAAAATAAAAAAAAATCAGTATTTAGTTTGCTCACACTTTGCCTTTACTACATCTTTGATTCTTTTCAGGAGACTTACTTCCAGTTTTTCAAAGAAATCTGCAGGGATACTTTTCCACATCTCCAAAGTTTAGTCTTAAAAGTTGGTTGCATTTTCTGTTTCTCAAAAAGTAACCCCAGACACATTCAGTGATGTTGAGGTCTGGACTCTGGGGTGGTGACTCCATGGTTCTGAGAACACCAGCAGCTTCTTTGTCTGATTAGTAAATTTTCTTTTTTTTTCTTAGTTTCTTTCCTTAGTAACAGGTTCTTGCCAACTACACATCCTTTTAGACCCATAGTGTTGAGGTGTCTTCTCACAGTGGAAGGATGGACAGAAACACCTGTGGATTTTATCAGATCCGAAGCAAGAGTGGAGCTTGATTTTCTTCTCTCTCTCCAAGCTTTAAGTGCTGTTTATCTGATGGTAACAGGTTTGGTAGTCTGCCAGGTCTTGCACAGTTGTTAGGAGTCACATTTTTTCGCTATCTTTTATTTGAACTCCAGTTTGGAAACTGTTTTCCATTTATTTTCCTGTGTTTTTTTCCTTTCTTATGCAAGTGGACTATCTTAAATCTAACCTCCTCAGAAATGTTTCCTGAAAAGTAATTAACTTGCTCAGAATGGCTGTTTTGTGTGGAAATCAAATTAATGAAGGGTGGCCCTGACTTTTGCACAATACTGTACATGCTTGCTCAACTACTCTTGGAGCTAGAAAGGGTGTCTTTAAAGAAATGACTTTAACAGGACATTTCCAGCAATTGAATACATGTCATTTTGTTGAAAAGTTCTTTATCAATTATTCTGGCTGCACTTTTAATTGACCTTCTTTGCCAATCAGGTAACCTCCAGCATGCCATGACAACATATGCAAGAGGTACAAGAAAGCTGATCAGAGATCTTATAGATGAACAGCAGAAGACTCTGGAATTTCTTACCAGTCAGGTATAAACCCTCTAATCCCAGCTTGAAACTTTCCTCTGCATTCCTGCACAGATATAGAAAACACAGCTCTGTTGCCTTAGCTGGATGACATATTTCCTTTTCTAAGGTAATGGAACTTATGATCAAAGTCCACACTCTCAGCTCAGAGGTGCAGAGGAGCAACAGTGACATGTTTTCCTTGAAGCCCCTCCAAGCTCATGGTAAACTAATGACTATTCCTGCAGCACATCATAAAATTCTAAAACTGCATTTAAAGTCCTTAAGTACCAGCTTGAATTTCTTATGTTCACAGGGAGGGACTGTAGTGACATCAAGGAGACACTAGGGGCAGTATCTCCTAAAATTCCAAGTGGAATTTACATTGTTAACCCTGACAACTCTGAGCTTTTATTTGAGGTAAAAATTCCACTTTAATGTTTGTTTAATTATGAATTACAGTAAGTTTTGATACCTGCATACATTTTATTCAAACCTTATCCTTAGAATTGCCACTGACTTTGGTAAGCAAATATTTGCCAATAATTCAGGGACATTCTAAAACTCAATTAAATCAAAATGAAATCAAAAGTGACCTTTTTTTTACCTTGTTAGTTCATGTCTTACTTATAGTCAGTTGCACTATGGAAGTTTTGGGCATTTGGAGACCCCTCTGGTGAAAATGTGTAATTGCATGCAACATGAGGTAGAACATATTGTAATGTGGGTTGTGCTTCGGACCTCTAGTGGAGGAATCTCATGATTGCTAGCAAAAAGTATTCAAAGAGAACTCGGTCGAAACTTGATGAAGGATGCGTCTTCCGAGGTTGTAAGTGAATTATCTGCTTTTGTTCATCAGTATAATGTTGATTTTGTATTTTAGGCCTAGACATCAAGCTGAATCTCTTGTTGAGCCTGCCATAAAGACATGATGTGGTCCAAAATCCCACAAAATCTGACCCAACACTTCTGACTTTTGAATTGTTATTTCAAGCTTTACAGGGTGACTCACAGAAACACCCACACCAGATTTTAGTGTTTTTTTCACTCCTGACCATGTAATTCTACTCATTTTAACAAAAATCTATCATAGTGTAGTCTTGAGCACAACCTGTCATATCGTTTAAAAGCCAAAATTCTTGTTTTCCCATAGTTGTCCATTAAATTGTAGTAATGTCTTCTGAGCTTTGATTACATCATCATGCACCATAAATAATATTAACCAATAATATCAGTTTCACGTCCTTCTCCTACCACCCCCACCTACTGAGTGAAACGTTCAGCTAGCTCAGAGGCTCTCCATGATATCATGTTTCACTTGGAAATACATCATAGTTCATGTTCACATGAAAAAAGCTTAACATGGCTTAATTTAATAAAGCAATGGCCTGAGAACACCACATTTCTCTCCCATCTCACTGGTCATAAACATCATCTCCTGCCAAAAGAATGAACCCGCAATGCAGATATATTTTTAGTATTTTTGTATATTACAGATCAGTTTTTCAGACCTGGATTAAGCCTAAACCTAAAAAGAATTTGCACTGGTGATTCACCATTGACACTGCAGTTTAGTCCAAGATTAGGCTTAATCCTTGTCTGGGAAACTGGCCCTAAGTCATTAAACTGTTTCCTTGTAATGATTTTTAATAGAGAGGAAAGTTCTTAAGGTGAAACCTTATGCTTTGTCCTGACATTACATTATCCTTTTGGCAGTAGACAGTGTTTATGGCCAGTATGGTGGGAGAGCTGGTTCTAAGTCTTTGTTTTGCTACATTAAGCCATGCTAAGCTGTTTCCTTATAATGTGCTTCTGTGGAAAATGCTTAATTTAAAACTTTAAGTATTTTGTTTTTATTGATTGTTTGTAAATAATATCTAAGTCCAGTAATATATGAGAGATATTTGGCATTTCTAGATTATTGTTTTATCACATTAAGCCACAAGCTTTTCTTTTCCTTTCCGTTTGAATGGGTTTCAATGGAGGGAAAAATTATCTTGTAAAAATTATCATGTAAAAATGATCACTTTGTCTTTGGATTACAGTTCATGACAAGTGAGAGAAGTTTCTTGAGTTCAGAACATAAAGATTCATCTTCTAACCATCTGGTTTAGGTGTTTTGTGAGATGGATTACATGGAAGGTGGCTGGACAGTAATACAGAGACGGACAGATGGTTTCACTGACTTTAAACATGTGTGGTCAAACTATCTAGATGGATTTGGGCACCTACCAGGTCAGTGGCTCTGTATCCTCTGCTTTCCCTTTTTTTCCCTTATTCAAGATCTACACTGTATTATATTTAAACACTGTAATAAAGAGAAAAGTCATGTCTTGTTTCTCTGTGTTTCCTTAAGGAGAACACTGGCTGGGTTTGAGAAAGGTGTACAGCATCGTCAGTCAGAGGAATACACGTTTTGAATTGCACGTTTCTCTTGTCTCTCAAGATGACTCCATTGCGTATGCCTCTTACGACAACTTCTGGCTTGAAGACGAAAGCAAATTTTTCGCAATACATCTTGGCAGATACGCTGGTAGTGCTGGTGAGATTGTGATTATATCCATTGCATTAGAAGTACTATGACTAAGGAAATGTGACTGAGCATATTTTTAATATGTTTATGAGAGATACACATCTGACCATAACCATCATAGGAGGTATAATGTAAACGACTTTGAATCAATATATTAGTTTTTTGTAAAGGAACTATTCAGTATTATTGTGCAAACTGCATTCCTAAATCATCAGACACTTACCTCAAACAAAGTTTAGCTGTTAAAGGGACCCTCTAAACATGACTACATGTTGTAAACAGACTTGCATCCTACAGTGGTGCTGTAAAGGTCTCTAAAATAAGATTTTCCAGATTAAAGACTAGGCAAACCTCCTTCTCATGTATCTTGAAGGTGGGAGAAAATATGAAAGACTACAGCTGCTTTGGTGTGGATGTTTATGGGCAGGCTGTGTGTTAAAAAATAGCTGGTTGTTAGTTGGTAAATGCAGAAGGCAGAAGGAATGCACAAAGCTAATGATACTGCCATAACTTCTGTGGTGTCTTCAAATCATCATTATATGGAGAGAATAGATTAATCAAATGACTAAAATGACTCTTCAGATGAGGAGGACTGCAATTTAAAAGCTTCAGCAAAGTTTTATTCTGACCAGCATCAGTGGACCAGTGTTCTTTGGGGTCAGTTTAACCCCAGGCTGTTTTAGCTGTGTAGAACATAAGAAATATCTACACACATTTGTCTTGGTTATTTTGGATGATGTTGAAGTCACTATAACATGCATGAAAAAATTATTCCCACGAGAACTTTGATATTTCCCAGTTCTGAGTTCTGAGACAGTTAAATCGCTAGGGTCATATTGGCCACAAGGATAAAAGATGTTAGCAGATATGAGGATAACAAGAGGGTTAATATGCTGATCACCAGCAAAATCAGCATATGTTGTGTTGCTGGCATGCTGGTCAACCAGCACCAGACCATCATAAACCAGCATAAATCAACTTGAACCAGTACTGATTTTTTTTTTCAGCAAAGAATGTAGCTACCTGGATTAGATACCTTGTGGTCATGGTTGACCAGCATAATAGCATCCAAAACAACATATACTGGTTTTGGTGGTGATCAGCATAACAGCTTCCATTGCTGCTGACCAGCAGACCAGCATCCAAAAGATAACGTGCTGTTTTTTCTGGTGACAAGCTATGCAGGTTTATACTGATTTTTTTTTCTTTTAGCAGGAAGAATAAAGTCTGCCATGAAAAATAACATATTAAACACTAGTTTTAGCCCAGAATGCAAAACTATGTTTTAATAATCTCAGATAGGCTGCTGTATTTGGCTGCTGGCACTGCATGAGACTGTTTACAAAAGCACAAACAAAATTCATGTTTCAAGATGGGTGCCAATGTGATGTACTTCAGACCTTTTTATAAACAGTATGCCATACAGTTTTAGAAACCATAGAAGGAAGTGGTGGGGTATAAGCTCCCATTACATGCTAGCTGCATTAGCCTTGTAACACTTACATTTTAAAAAATTTAAAACACATCTTGGCTGACCAGCTACATTTAGGGTAAGGGGAAAATCATAAAAGTTCCATTTTTTGCCAAACTACTCCTTTAAAGCAGTATTTCTCTTTCTTGGCAGGTGATGCATTTAGAGGATATGACCAAGACCAGAATCAAGATACGGCACCTTTCAGCACATCTGACGTTGATAATGATGGCTGTGTCCCGTTCTGCACTTTTAATGAGACAGCTGTGGAGAGTTGCAGTGTCCATCACAACAACACGGGCTGGTGGTTTAACCAGTGTGGCAGCGCAAACCTCAATGGCTCCCCTTTGGACCAAGATCGCTCCGCTCAGCCACACATTCACTGGGACACATGGACTAAGAATGGAGAACCTGTCAGCATCAAGTCAGTAACAATGAAGATCAGGAGACTCGAAGGCTCAAACCTTAAATAAGCTTTTTGAGCTTTACAGTATGGTCAAAATTCAGAGACCATCCTTCATGTATTTAATTTCTAAAATGGTCATTAAGTTATTCATTTATCAGGAGACATTTTTTAGAAGATTACACAGAAGACAATCTGCTTGTTTAAGAAAAGGGAAGATCAAAGGAAAATAAATGAAAAAAAAGTTTTTTGAAGTTTCCAAAACTTCAAAAGAGTTCAAAAGTTGTTACTGAGAAAAGAAAATGGTAAAAAAGAAGAAAATTGGCACATCAAACATAGAAGCCGCTGATGCTCTAAGAACAAGGTATTGACCACCCCAGAGTCCAGGCCTTAACATCACTGATTGTGTTTAGGATTACTTGGATTTAGAACAAACTTCTAAGGCTAAGATCTCATTGAAAAACTCAAAGCAGGTCTTATGAAAAGAATGTAAATTGCAGTCAAAGCCAAAAGTGGACACACAAAAGACACAAAAGATTATCTTTAGTTGTTGAGGCTTCTGTGTAATTTTCTGTTAAATATATGTTTTCTGCTTTTTTCCTGACACTAAAAAAGAATAATTTAGTGGCCATTTTCACTGGAAACAAAATAAATAAAAGATGGTCTCTGACTTATGCAAAATACAGTATGTAATCAGGAGATATTTTTAAATGGTCTACTATTGGTTAGAAGGCCCTTTCCCAAAATCATGATACTCTGTGGAAAAAAAGATAGAGGGTTAAAAAATGCTGGTGTGTAAAAGGGATTTTGTTTCAACATAAATATTGATATCTAATTTTCTCTTTTTTGAACACTGGTCTGAAATGCTGATTATAATATCAGTATTAGCCCATTTTAAGTTTTTCATTGGTATAAATAAAGGCTGATCTGTTTAAAGAAAATGTATACAGTTTTCATCCAAAAAGAGCTGATGACTGCTGTTTGTGTCAGATGAAGAAGAGCAAAATGCCAGTACGCTTTCGTGGAAATTCCATTTTAACTGCACATTAAGTGCAAAGTCGCAGTGAGTCTGCTGTGCCTGAAAATCAGTCTGGAAAGGCAATTCATGAGGAGCAGAGAAAATATGAGCCATGTCAGCATTTTCCTACATGGCTGGGATAAAACCTGAAATGATAACTATGAAGAGATAAGCCCTTCAAGTCAGGCTCTAATTTTGAAACACAGCTCATCAAACACCTTGAAATGGATGATAATAAGACAAACTGTGCTGATGTGGGTGGCCCAATATTTGTACTAATCCATTAGCATGACAGCTATCTTTAACACACTTGAAAGGAGCTGCATAGTGTGTGGGCCTCTATTAGCATCACTGTCCTAATGTAAACACATCAGTAGTTATGTGTGTATGTTATACCATCTGTACTCTGTCTATTTAGAGCACAGAGTTCATTTTGTCCTTTCAGAGACTAAACAAAACGTCAAAGCTCCAGTGAAGCGCTACATGGCCAGGGCTTTGCCCACTGCTTGACTGGCAGCATTTGAGGGTGAAATATTTTTGATTTTTGTTATTTAGTATACTTCCAGTGCATATATTCTCTTCAAATTTATGCACATAAGATCTGATTTTGTACTTATAAATATGAAAAAATATGTATTCATTAGCATAAACAAAGATATGTTTAATAAAAGGAATTGATAGAAAAAAAGTGTTCAGACACCAAAAAGTAATAACAGTAGCACTTTTTTTATTTGTACAGCTTTGAGACGTCTACAGTAAGATGTAATCAGCTTTTTGCAGTTCAATTTTGGACTTTTCCTCCTGGCAAACTGTCTTCAATTCTGCATGGTAATGAGGATCTCTCTAATGGACTCAAAATTTTAAAAAATAGAATTCAAGTCAAGAGACTGGCTAGACCAAGGGTGTCCAATCTTATCCACAAAGTGCCAGTGTGGCTGCTGGTTTTCATTGCAAACATGCAGGAGCAGCCCTGACTCTTCTCGTTTAATCAGTCTCAGTCTTTAAACAACTGATCACGTGAGCTCCTGCTTTGTTGGAATGAAAACTTGCAGCCACACCGGCCCTTTGCAGAATAGACTGGACTCCCATGGACTAGACCAGGGGATGGCAACCCAAATGTTAAGAGGAGCCATTTTGTCCAAAAATCAAACCACCTTGGGAGCCACAACATTTTATGTCCATTTTAACATCATGGCTGTAAATATGTCTCAGTTTGTGCTAATGTCCTAGTTAAGGTTAAAAAACATAATATAAACAAAAATGCAGACTTACTTCGCTCTGCTTTAAGCTTTAGCTCAGCTATAACTGATTTACTTGCATCTCCAGCTGGAAACTTTTCCACAAAAGTAGATTAGTTCCTTGTAAAATGTCTCTCAATATTCAAATTTTTACAAGGCTGAAGTCAACCTCTCATTCACCAGCTTCTTGTTCGAATTTTCCCATTCCACCTTAAATGGTGCCTGAAGTGTCAGAGTGTAACTGCTGCACTATTCAAGTTGGAACAAGAAAATTCAAAAGAGAAGCTGGTGAAAGAGGAGCTGAACATCTTAGTGTTTGGCAGTTTCTTGTTGCAGATTAAACATATCAGAAAGCCAGCTGGACTGCTTATAAACGCAAATAAGTCCATTCATTTCTAAATTATCGATGTTCATCTTAAATTTTTCAGTTTGCCAGCAGTCTGTGCGCTGACCTTCAGGGTTAAAGGGTGAATTAGCAGATATAGACTACATTGACTCGAGTGTTTAAGACCATTTATTGTTAAACCTGTGTTAGAACGATCAGCAGAGCTTTATTTTACTGCAAGGAGAATTATTTTATTTTTACTTGAAAGTCTAATTCTGCTGTGGAGCCACAACAGGGCAGTAAAAGAACCCCAAATCCTGATGCTCCCACCTTCATACTTCCCTGTGGGTTTGGTGTTCTTGGGATGATACATGCAACCCCTTTTTTTCCAGACATGAGGGGCTAAATTTTGGCAAAGATTTTGTCTGACCAGAATACATTATTTGAAAAAAGATTTCTGATTTGTCTAATTGTTTCTGTGCAAATTTTAGACATGCATCTTGCCTCTTGTTTAGCATTAGAGTTTTGTGTGAGATGTAGGAATGGAGATGATTGTGGTATAGTTCATTGTTCTCTGGGTAGCTGTTGTTTATGCTGCTTACAGGTAGTTTTGCAACTCTTTTGAGTGACTACTGGCTTCTGTGTTACTGTCCTTATCAATAGTCTGAGAGAACGCTGCAAAATCTTGCAGGGCACATCTGTCTGGGGAAGATTAGGTTGTGGTTTCATGAACTTTCCACTTGCATATTATCAAACTATGCTTTGAATACTTTTTCCCCCTCACTACATGTCATATAAAATATGAATGTGACAGTTTTGTAACTTTACTTAGACATAACAGATCATGAGTCCAGAAGAGATTTCATTTTGAAGAGACTGACATGATATTAAGTGTAAATGCTAAAAAAAAATATATATATTTATTTGTAGAATCTTTCTCCACACTGAACTGGTCTTACTGAGCAGGTTGCTCTATCTGAATGAAACAAGCCACCAAGCCATCAAAACTACCTCAGACACCACAGCAAAGCTTCTGGTAAGTGTACTGACTTTAAGTCCAGTCCCTAGAAAATGAGCTTAAAATAGTTGATGACTGTGGCGGTCTTCAGTATGAGGCACTATTAACATGAGAAAAGAACCAAGACAGTGGCTTCCCATGACCCTCTCTGTGGTTTACCTTTTGACCCCATCAGCTGGGCTCATATATCCTTGAGGAGTTTTCTGGACGCCGCAGTGGCCATGCACGCACGTAGGCATGTAGTGATGTGGGTATGCATGCACACACATTAGTTAGAAGAAAAAGGGAGGACAGGGAGAAAGAGCAAGAGAGGCAGAAAAGGGAGAGTGTAGTGCATGCCTTCCTGGCTGCTGATTGGTCAGTATGGAATTCCATTGAAGGCATTTCCCACACTGACAGAAAGCTGGATCTTTAGCCCAACTCACAGGAAGCAGACGTTTTACTGGGAACAGACACTGACTGACTTCTGTCTTCGTCATCTTCTTCCTCAGTAGGTTTTGTGAACTGCAAGTGGAAAGCAAATTTTGCTCAAGCCTACTAAAGAAAGCCAGGAATTCATGGAAGGGATAATAGAATTGTATTTTTTGATTAGTGCATGTATAAAATGTACTTTATCTTAGTCGCTTTATTTACTCACCCAGCATTGTGCTTTGCATTAACTGGTTTTGTTAATTTGTTAATAAAAATGTCACTAAAACATTCACAAAGCAATTAAACTGCAGTTATTTATGAAGGACATGCGTTCATGAGAAAAAAATAACAATGCACAGCCTAATGCTAATAATAGAACATGAGCTGGGGGTCAGCTCGAACGAGCAAAGATTGCTAAATGCCTCTTTTATTGCCAAAGGATGGAGGAGAACACTGCCAGAATTCCTAGGTACTCTGTATTACCTCAAGGCTTAAAGAGGAACATAACAATGGATTGTAGGAGAAGGTGCTTTGCCCAAGAATAGATCCCAGTTCATCAGTTACTGCTGGATGTTTGGATTACGAGTGCTCTCAGCTACTGTTGCTTAGCGTGGTTTGAGTTTGATTGCTTTAGTTGGAAAAATGAATCAAAGGAGACCTGTTTTGGAGGATAATTGTCAGGCAAAATACTACAGTGTTGAAAAGAGGAACAGAAGTAAAGACAATCTTCTGATGAATGCTGATTTTGGTGAGGAGTGTTGTGGCAATCATGGACATTACCATAGGTGAGTTTTCTTTTTAATTTATATCTTATTACTGGGCAACATGTAATCCAGTTTTACGTATAGATTATGCGTCATATAACTCACACTAAACTCTTAACTCCTAGACTTATATGAATTGTTTTCAGACAAGTTAGCCATTCTCTCTCAGTTGACTGGCTTTTTATGTATTACAGTAGTTCTATACATCAGTCTCTAGAACTACTTCTTTTGGTATTATGGTATTAATTGAAATATGTACTATGTACTATTTGTACTATGTTTCATCATTCATATTATTCATTTCTTCTAATGTACAATTTCTTTACTGAAATAAATATATAATACCTGTCTTTACTTGACTCAACATGTGCTTTGCAAAAATAACTAATATGATCAGGGACCTCAGTTTAACATATTTAAAATCTATTAATGAAATTCAGATACTTAATATAAGTTGTAATGTGAGCGTCTTCCTTTGTGAAAACTTTAAATGTGTCAAATTTAAAAGCAGTCACATTTTTATGTTTTCAGTGTAGCATACCATATAATATATTGCACTTCAGCACATAGAATAATGCAATACATTTAAAAAATATATACATTAATTAAGTAAAAAATCATCTTCGGAGTATAATTTTATTGAGTTTGTTTGTTAAATGTCAGCCATTATTGTTTTGCATGTTGCAATTAATCTTAAATGGTTGATTTCTGGAACAGTTTCCATGTTGGAACAACAGAAACATTAAAATTAAATGCACTGTAATGGTTGTGTTTGACATGGCCTTATTAAATTACAAAGCTGCATTATTTGCATGATGGTTTTTCCCCGGGGGCTAATGAATATTGATGATGAGAGTAAAGAATGACACACACGACTAAAAAGGTTAAAAGGAAACCCAATGCCACAAAAAGGGCATGCGGTATGAAAAATGAAATTGACAAAACAGACAGTCAGGTAAAACATGCAGATGAGAAAAACAGAGATGGTCCCAGAATCAATCCTTGTGGCGCACCAAATGTTATACAACCTTTGTTAAAGGTAAACATCACTCACATCAGTATTGTTGAAGTCAATTCATACATAACCTGGGCTGGAGCTGTGTAAAATTGACTTATTTGAGTCTTAATAGTCTGGAACGAGAAACAATTTTCAAATCAGTCTCTCAGTTGTTTCACACAGTTGAGTTTCTAATCACAAATATTTTACATGACAGTCATGTGTCATCAATCAGACCATCAGAAATCATAAAATCTCATTGAACCTTTTATGTAATTTCATGTCCCATTTTTGCTCCAGTATATAATACCTTTTTTCTCCTTTTTCGTCTTAGCGACTGCATACATCAGGCTCGACAGACTTTGGCCAAAAGTAGGAGGCAAGCAGTGAGAGGGGCAGCGTACATGTTCAATGCACACCCCAACAGCCTGACACTAGTGGAGGAACGCTTCCTTGATGCTGCTGAGTATGGAAACATTCCTGTAGTGCGCAGAATGCTCGAGGAGATTCCTGGGCTGGATGTAAACTGTGTAGACTACATGGGCCAGAATGCATTGCAGCTGGCAGTGGCAAATGAACATCTGGAGGTTACAGAACTTCTGTTAAAGAGAGACAACCTGTCTCGGATTGGGGATGCACTTCTTTTGGCCATAAGTAAAGGCTATATACGAATTGTTGAGGCCATTTTAAGCCATAAGGCCTTCGCAGACTCCAGAAGACTAACAGCCAGCCCACGACAGGCAGCAATGCATGATGACTTCTTTGCATATGACGAAGACGGGTCACGCTTTTCTCATGATATTACACCAATCATCCTAGCATCTCACTGCCACGAGTATGAGATTGTGCACATTCTTTTGGGGAGGGGTGCTCGTATCGAGCAGCCTCATGACTACTTCTGTACCTGTGACGCCTGCAATTACCATCAGAAGTATGATTCCTTCAGCCACTCACGTTCACGTATCAATGCCTACAGAGGGCTGGCCAGTCCAGCTTACCTTTCTCTGTCCAATGAAGACCCTGTGTTGGCTGCCTTAGAGCTCAGCAACCAGCTCGCTTGTTTGGCCAACATTGAGAAGGAATTTAAGGTATGATTAATGTTGTAATTTAAAAAATTCCTACATGATTAGCAGTGTTGTACAGATTACTTATCCCCTTAAATGGCCAGGAGATGCAGGCAGGGTCTGGCCTCCTTCCCTCCTCCACACCAGAAAGCCATGGATAATGCAGAGATGATTACATTGGCTCACAAATATTTCAGATAAAGACAAAGCAAAGGTGTAGTACACCATGCAACATTGTTGTGAAACAAACAAACAAACTTTGAAGACTGATCCTCTTCCATCATGAAACATAACTTTAACTTGATTTTCTGTGCACTTTTATTGAGTAGGCCTAGGAAATAGGTGATGCAATTGGATTTCGGTGATGACTGAAATCCAATTACATTGTTGGGGATTTAATTGAGAACTAGAGAGGACAAATTTTATTTTAAACAGCTTGCTGAATAATATTAAATAACATGTACATGTAAACAATGTAATATTACTGAGCATTAATAAGCCATTAAGCTAGGATTAAACAGATTAAATTCCCATGGTCTCTGCTGCAGGTTTCTCTAACATACCATCTGAGGAAAATTTAAAGAATTTTCCGCACAGCTGAAGTGTCATAGCATTTTGGATGAGTTGTAAAATAATGAAAATATAGTACTTCATGGTTTTTCACAGGCATTTATAACTGACTTCCAGGGCACCTCCACTATAAAAATGGAAAACAATTTTTTTTCATGTAAAGCACATGGATGTGGATTCGGGGCTCACTCATTTACACAAGCATTTTTAGCAGTCTGAAGCTTTTCCACAAGGTGTAGCTATTTCATGTTTTTTCTTTGAGACTTTAAAATGGTGTTAAAATAGTTTATAAGTTGTTGTTCTCATTTCCCAGAATTCCCTTCATTTCCACTTTGTTTCTTCCTTTTTTTAGGAGCTAAAGAGGCAACATTCAAAACAAGTTGAGAAAATACATCACGCTCACAATCATCACAAATTCTAACCCTTAGTGCAAAGAAAGTGCAAATATTGATGATAAAATTGAGAAAAGCTACTGATAAATCAAATATTTTTGCCCAAAACAATCACAAATGTCACGAGATCCTGGTGGGACTATATACTTAAAAGGAGCAATCTAAGAAAATTTGTTTCATGAATTTTGATCCATCTGAAGATACAGCCATTATACCCCCTCCCTTTTCCTTCTTTCTCTCAAAACCATGCATATATATTGTTATCAGTCAAAGTGACAATAACTATTTTGCAGTTTATGGACACATAAACTGAAGAATTAATAGACTGATTTATTACCTAATCAAAAATGTATTGCCTAATATAAAATGTAACCATTAAAAATTGTGATCCATGAAGAAGTACTGTTCTTTAATAATGCTTATTTTTAAGTTTATGCTGCTTCGTTTACAGGTACTTGATTATGTAATCCAGATTGCATGTAGTCCTTTACTACCCAACAATGATGATTAAACATAGCTCAGACAATATGGTTATAAAATCTCTCTTCCCCACAGCAAAAATAATTTGATGTAGATGTTGGTGTTTGTGATTAATGCTGCTGTACTAAATGCATCTCATTGATCACTTTCCTAAGAATGATTATAGGAAACTCTCTCTCCAATGCAAAGACTTCGTAGTTGGGCTTCTGGATCTGTGTCGGAACACAGAGGAAGTGGAGGCCATTTTGAATGGAGAGGAGGACGACAGCTGCGAACTGCCTGGCCGCCCAAGTCTCACCCGACTGAACCTTGCAATAAAGTATGAACTGAAAAAGGTAAATAAGAATGAAATACTGTACGATTGACGGAACATAAGCTCAAGAAAAATATGTTTCAGATCTGTCTGAGATTATCTAAACGTGTCTGACTGCTGCCTTCAACTTTTTGTCCCAAACAGTTTGTTGCACATCCTAACTGTCAACAACAGCTCCTCTCAATCTGGTACGAGAATCTCTCTGGATTGAGGCAGCAGACCACAGCTGTAAAGCTGTTGGTGGTCTTGGGTGTTGCAATAGGACTGCCCTTCTTAGCCATGGTGTACTGGGTGGCACCATGCAGTAAGGTTAGTGGGCTCAGCCTCAGGCCTTTGAGCATGGGGGACTTACTATTGCGTTCAGAGGCAGAATGGATTGAATGCAAAATAATATCTTCGTCAGGTTACTGTATTATCAGAATTGCCCACTGGGTAAACAGCATATTTGAACATGATTATGTTGTCCAGGGTCACAATTCCCATGGTAATAATAATAGCATTGCCTAAAATATCATCTGTTTTCATGTGAATTAAACACACTTTGACAAAAGAAAATCCAGTGTAAATAAACACATTTGCTAAACAAGCATTTGTAATAGACAGTGAAATTACTTTAAACACGTACCAATGAGGACATAAGAAGGCTACAATTAAAGCTCTCTCGGATGTTCTCTTTTTTTATAAGCACTCTTTTTCTTCTTGACTGTTTCTGTCCTTCTCTACAGCTGGGAAAAATCATGAGAGGGCCGTTTATGAAGTTTGTGGCTCATGCAGCGTCTTTCACTATTTTCCTTGGCTTGTTGGTCCTTAATGCATCAGATCGTTTTGATGGGACTAAACTGTTGCCAAATATGACCATCCATGACTATCCAACACAGCTGTTCCGCATGAAAACAACTCCCTGCACATGGATGGAGATGCTCATCATCTTCTGGGTTATAGGTCAGTATTAGATCATTATTATATAATCTTCCAATGGTCCTGTTAAAGCAAACAAGAAGTCTGTAATGGTGGCAGTTTCCAAGACCATACAGTGACTTTCAGCACTGAATATAACATTAACCCTTAGGCTTAGAATTCAGTCACTACTATGAATTATCAGCAACTACTCTGAAACTAATATGTAAGTAATGTAGTTATGAGAGCAAGGAACTAAAGTATGTGTGTACACATGAACCCTTAGGGTTTTAATGGATTAAATGTCTATGTCTTCACGCAAGCACCCTAACCAATTTACTTTTGTTTAGGGATGATCTGGGCAGAGTGCAAGGAGATCTGGTCTCAGGGTCCGAGAGAATACCTGCTTGAACCTTGGAATATGTTGGATTTTGGAATGTTAGCCATTTTTATAGCCGCCTTTGTCACAAGGATAATGGCTTTCTGGCATGCATATGCAGCTCAATGTTATGTTGACAAGCACTACACGAATATAACAAACATCACTTTGCCTCTGGAGGTGGAGTACTTCAGACTGGGTGAGTAGAAGCACAGTAGAAGTGAAGAAAGGCTGAAGTAGAAAATGAACAGTTAAATACAAAACAGTGTTGTTCTTCACTTTGTTTTGTCCATTTTTAGCTCGTATTGACTGGCTGCCATCAGATCCTCAGCTGGTTTCGGAAGGGCTCTATGCCATTGCAGTGGTTTTGAGCTTTTCTCGAATCGCGTACATCCTCCCAGCCAATGAGAGCTTTGGGCCGCTGCAGATCTCTTTGGGACGGACTGTAAAAGACATCTTCAAGTTCATGGTGATCTTCATTTTGGTCTTTCTGGCCTTCATGATTGGAATGTTCAACCTGTATTCATATTATTTGGGTGCTAAACAAAACGACGCATTCACAACGTGAGTACTGGTGAAGATATTTGCCTAATGCCATGTGGTTCTTTCATGTTTCAAATAAATAATATGGTTATAAATATACAGTGGCCCTAAAGACATCTGTGTTATACTTAAAAATTTACTAAATTCATTGTGTTGGCAAACAAATTTGTTGCAGACTTCTACAAGTTTGCATCCAAAAAACAGTTGTCCACTTCTGAGTTCATGATCCCACTTTGAAAAACAGCCACAGACTTTTATATTTTCATCGCTGTGCTTTTCAGTACCCTCAATTCAGTCTGGCTGGAATTCTTCTCCAGGCTGACCTAAAGAACTTCATTAAAGTTTACCATAGTTAATATGTCCAGATATTTTTTGTGGCCATTGTAATATTGATAATACTAAAATTACAGTGCTGTAAAAAAAGTTGCCCTGATACCTTTTTTTTTTTTTTTGCAGATTTGTCACACTTAATTGTTTTAGGTCTTTAAACAAAATTTAATGTAAGACAAAGACAACCTGAGTTGATCATTTCATTTTATAAAGGAAAAAAAGTTATCCACCACCAGCTCAATCAACAAATGAACTAAGTTTAGTTGATAATTGGGTTAAGCCAGTTAAGCTAAACACACCCAGGCTTGATTACTGGCAGCCCTGTTGAATCTAAAATTCACTTAAATAGAACCTTCCAGCAATGTGAAGTAAGTTAAAAGGTCTCAAAAAAACAGTATACAGTGCCGCAATCAAAAGAAATTCCAGAAAAGATGAGAAAGTTATTGAAGTATGTCAGTCTGGTAAGGTTTACAAAGCGTTTTCTTAGACTCTGGGACTCCAGAGAACCACAGTGATAGCTATTATCTCTACATGGAGAAAACTTGGAACAGTGGTAAATCTTCCCAGAAGTGGTCATCCTAACAAAACTGCTTCAAGAGCCCAACCCTGACTCACTCAGCAAGTCACAAAAGAACCCAGATGAACATTTAAGGAACTGCAGGCCTTGTTCTCCTCAGATAAAGTTAGCATTTATGATTCCACCACTAGCAAGAGACTGGACAAAAATGGTAGGGAAAATCCTTGGGGGAGTTTCAGGGTAAAACAACTGCTAACCAACAAGACATGTATCACATTTGCCAAAAAAAATACCTTGATGACCCCCAAGCCTTTTAGAATAATGTTCTGTGCACTGATGAGTTGAAAGCAGAACTGTTTGGAACTCAGGGGTCCATTTGCTCATTGCATCAATAACAATATCATAGCCACAGGCAAACATGGTGGTGGTAGTGTGATGATGTGGGGATACTGTGCTGCTTCAGGGCCTGGGAGACTTGCCTTAATTGTCAGAACCATGAATTCTGCTCTCTACCAGAAAATCCTGCAGAAGAATTTCCAGTCATCAGTCTGTGATCTAAAGCTCAAATATAACTGGGCAATGATCCAAAGCAGAAGAGCGAGTCCAGCTCTCAATATATCAAAAGAAACTAATTTAAGGCTGTGGAGTGGCCAAGTTCTGACCACATTGAGATGCCTCCACAGCAATGTGAAAGACTGCTCTCCGATTAAAGGAGGCATTAAGGTGGCACAACCTGTTATTAAGTTGGGGGCCAATTACTTTTTCACAAGGGGGTTGCAAAACTTTTTACCTTTAAAAAATGAGAAGACTATTTCAGTTATTAAATTAAATAAGACCTTTTCTAACTTTCTCCTTGTCTTATATTACACTTTGTATGAGGAACCGATTGGTATAGGGGTCCATATCATGAAAAAGGTTTAAAAACTGCATTACAATGACAATTATACAATTGCTTTGGTTCTAGATCCAGGACATGTACAGTATATTTCCTCTTACTTCCTCTCACTAATCCCACAGCATAGAAGAAAGCTTCAAAACATTGTTCTGGGCAATTTTTGGACTTTCTGAGGTCAAGTCAGTGATTGTAAACAACGGACACAAGTTCATCGAGAACACCGGATACGTTCTCTATGGAGTGTACAACGTCACCATGGTTATTGTCTTACTCAACATGCTCATCGCCATGATCAACAGCTCCTTTCAGGAGATTGAGGTATTCACTCTTTTCCCTTATTTTCTTCTACAGTTTTCACATTTCTGTTTACTGTGCTGACATGATAAACATCTAAGCATGACCACAGCAGCTAATTAGGCTGTTTCTAGTAAATGGGAGATGAAGATATTTTGCTGATGAAGCTCATCTGAAAAAAAGAACAAGACATTGTTATCTCTACTGGTTGAGATAATTAGTTTTTGGAATGATGTCTTTCTGCTGTCAGAAATTTTAGAAAAGCAGTTGCCCTCGCTAAGAGCTTTGTACATATTACATTGTCTTCATGGCTCAATAGGATGTATCTTGATCTTCTGTTGCTGCTGTAATCTCAGTATGGTACTGGTCTCTCTGCTGACTGCAGGATGATGCAGACGTGGAGTGGAAGTTCGCCCGTGCCAAGCTTTGGTTCTCCTACTTTGAGGAGGGCAGGACCCTCCCTGTGCCGTTCAACCTAGTGCCTAGCCCAAAGTCTGTGTTAGGGCTGGGTTTGGGCGTGAAGGCCCTTCTTCTGAAGCTCCTTGAGAAACACAAGGCCATAACGAAGGGCGAGGCAGAGCTTAGTGAGGTGACGTATACATAATTATGCTCCTACACTCTTAAAAATGAAGGTGATAAAAAGGGTTTTTTTTTGGAGCGATGCCCAAGAGGAACCACTTAAAATAAATGTTTTTTTGAAAAAAACTCATTTGTAACTACTCAACTGGAAGGTTCTTTAGGGAATGAAAAGTGGCTCTTCTAATGTACTGTAGACAAAATGTACATACGTTATTTGTAAAGATACGCACTATAGTTCAAAAGGTTTGGAATCATTGGTTTGAATAATATTAAAACAATTTTGTTGCAGATAAACATAGAAAATTATTCTAACATGATGCTAATATTCTAGGTTTTAAACAATTTGTACAAAACTGTAAAATTATAAATTTTTTGGTGATGAACAGAGCTGTGGATGATTCCATATTAAGTGAGAAAGTTGTATTGAGAAAGAACTTGAAATAACATTAATATTCAGAAGGCCTGATACTCAAAAAGCAGTCACCAAATCTCACTGATCAAATAGTTATTCATACTAATTTCATGACAAGAAATTATAAATACATATAAATGCAATATTGTCTTTTATTACTGAATACCATTTGCCATTTTTTACCAAGTCATAACTTCTTGTTGTTCACAAAATACTTTGTTATGAATAATCCACCAGTTTATGTGTTGGTGTCTAGTTTAAAATGTTTAAATCTACTACACTGTAACACAGCATGTGTTATTATTGAATTACAGTTATTGATGTTTCCAAACTTTTAAACAGCAGTGTACCTTACTCCTAAGCACCAGCAAAACAAATAAAGTTCTCTTATTTCCTTTTTGCTTGTTTTCTTTGAAAACCTGTGCAGTTAGGAGACAACAAAGGCACCAGAGAGACAAGTCTTCGATATAAGGTATGAGCATCTCTGCAGTATTCCTAAAATCAAGCTCTGAAGGGCCACCCCACTACACAGTTTAGCATTTTTTAGACTCATTCAACTTGTGAAGGGCTTAGTATTTAGCAATAGAGACATGCTTATTCAAATGTAAAGATATCAGAACTTACCTTAGAATTTGCTTACATAGTTACATCCAGTTTAGAATATAAAATGAAACACATTACAAAACATATTATTTTAATAAGGTTTTGACTAAGCATGTGAACTACAAAGAATGTGGGGGACATTCAACTAACACTATGCCACACGTTAAAGGAACGGTTTGGGGAAAAATCTAATCTACACAATATTAGGCTTACCCCAGATGTAGTCAACCAGCCAAGGCGTGTTTGGTGTCTAAGTGTTGCTTCTTTAGATTAGAGCTGGAGCTATGAGGATAACGTAGCAAACAAACACTAGACATTAGTAGTCACCCAAATCTTTTCTGTAAGTACATCCTCAAAACTTCTCTCAACCCACTCGAACGTCATACAGGTCTTCATTAAGGTTGCATTTAGAACACAGTATAATACTTGCTTCATTCAGCTACAGTGAAGATCTGTTTAATTTTTATAGTTTACAGTGAGTCATACTGTGCAACAAAACACATGGACACGTCTGCGCAATCATAATAAAGACATGGATGCGGTTTGAGTGGATTGAGAGAAGTTTTGAGGATATATTTACAGGTAGGGCGGCACGGTGGCGCAGTGGGCAGCGCTATCGCCTCACAGCAAGAATGGCCTGGGTTCGATTCCCGGCTGAGCGACCAGGGTCATTTCTGTGTGGAGTTTGCATGTTCTCCCCGTGTCTGCGTGGGTTTCCTCTGGGTACTCCGGTTTCCTCCCACTGTCCAAAGACATGCAGTCAGGCTGATTGGACATGCTAAATTGCCCCTAGGTGTGAGTGTGTGTGTGAATGTGTATGTCTGTCTGTCTGTCTGCCCTGCGATGGACTGGCGACCTGTCCAGGGTGTATCCTGCCTTCCGCCCAGTGGCAGCTGGGATAGGCTCCAGCACCCCACCGCGACCCAGAAGGATAAGCGGTTTAGATGATGTATGTATTTACAGGTAAGATTTGGGTGTCTATTGACTTGTAGTGTTTGCTAGAAACATTAGTTTCTGAGTTCCAGCACTAAATTAAAGAAGCAAAATCTGGTTACCAAACATGTCTAGCCTGATCGACTGCATTTTATTTTGGCAATCTATTCCTTCAAGCAAAATGGCAGAGCTATATAGAAGAATATTTCAAGCAAAAAGATAAAAAAGTAGCTTATCGATGCCTAAACACACATATAAATCACTAAATCAACCAAACGATCAGTTATAGATTACATCTTAAGCAATAAACAATTGTTAAACTTTCTTGTTTTCTGTTTTTCACTCAAAAAATATAAAATGTGTACATGTTGGGATATTCAGAAGCTGTTTGTTTAAATATGTGAGTATTCCAAAAGCAAAAAACGGTTAAAATGCTCACCCTAATAAGCATATGACTTAGACATTTTTGACTAAAGAAATATCTCAAGTGTGCAGTGCTGTGGCCCTGTAGGAGTGATTCTGAAGAACAGTGCTGTACAGAATGCCTCTTGACTGACTGCATGTTTGGCTGAGATTCCATTTTAATAAGTTTGAAATTTCTTTTGAACTCATCGATTTGATTTTTTCATTAAATTTATACAGAAGATTATGAAGCGCCTCATCAAGCGGTACATCATCAAAGCTCAAATGGACAAAGAAAGTGATGAAGTCAATGAAGGTGGGTCATATTCTGTTTCTTATGTCACCTAGAATATAATCCTTTTTTACAACAATGGCCTATTTTACATCATAACTGGTTCACACTATAACTGTGTTGCAGGTGAGCTAAAGGAAATAAAGCAAGACATTTCCAGCTTGCGCTATGAGCTTCTGGAGGAAAAGTCTTATAACATGGAGAACATGGCTGAGCTTATCAAGAAACTTGAAAAGAATCTGTCTTGTTTGGACTGAGAAAGAATGAACCCTCACTGGGAAGTTTGCTACGATGTGATGCTATCTTCTGTGGAAATGTTCAACTTTAATCAGTGCAAGACTGTGTGCACAACATCTACAGATGTCTTTTTGCCTATATATGGATTACTGTCCTTGAGAGCTGTGAAGAGTAATTCTGTTTTTTAGTAGCCTATCAGTTCATTGGAGCTATTTATGTAATGACTGAAATTTTGTGGCCTTAAATGATAATGACTGAAAATATGGCGTTTACTGAACTTATAATACAAACCATACATCACCATAAACTATCATAGCTCATTGAATTGTTTCTTCAGGCCTCAACATAAGGCACTGCATGTGTAAATGGAGCCCTCATTCTCTTGCTTTCCACAGTCAGTGACTACTGTCCATAAACTGTCCATAAGCAAAAGTAACAAAATCTATGAAAATTTTAACAAATTTGATAGTGTTATACTGAAAAGCATTCAAAGGACGACACCAAAGAAAGAGTACATTTTTTTCTTTATCCTTTTCAAAAGGGCAATATCGCACTGGAATACAGTACAATGTTACAAAAATAATAAGAAATACAGCTTTAAATAATAAAATAAAAATCACATGGAATCAGTAAATCAACTTAATCAAGCTGCAACTGTTCCTGGACTTAAGAACTAGGCAAAATGACTACTCAAGATCAAGTTTATGCAGATAATAAACATTACCATTAATTATTTTACATAGGGTATCATGGGGTTGAACGCCCCCAGGTAAAACGTCCCCCAAAGTTATTTATTCATTAAACTACCAAATGTCCCCAAATGTCTTTTCCAAACTCTCGTTCAATGCTACCAGCCTTAGTCAGATAAAATATTTGATGATACAGCTCATCTCATTGAATTATTCCTTTACAACAAATCTGAAATCTAAGAGTCAACGTTCAAGCTGTCATTAAAGGTCTAGGATAAATAATTTGTACTTAGAAAAACATGCTACAGTTTTTTTTGCAAAAAGCATATTTTGAACTGATGTTTGAGGCAAAGGCCTTCCCTTTGTAGCCAATACATTTTGGCTGTATTTTACCATCCAATACATGTTAAATAAACAATAAATTAGTATGAAATTGTGGATCCTAACAAATTATTATATTGGCACAAATTATAATTCTGATACCATATATTAACATGTTAGCATGCTAATGAGCTATCTTTGCAAACTAGCTACACTGTAGGCCTAATCTACAGGCTACATCTGCAGTCATCAACATTATATTATCATTATCAATGCTCATAACATTCATGGTTAAGTGGATATTAATCTTCATTGTACAGAAGGAAGAACAGGAAGGCGAACTTTCAGATTTATGTCACAGTGAGAAAAGTAATTTTTCACTACACTATAAAATCTGCATTATCTGCTAAATATAACTTTGGGGGACTGGAATATTTTAAATTGTCTAGGTAACATTCTTGAAATTAGCTAAACATTTCTTCATTTTGGGACACTTGTCATTTTGTATTACTTGGGTAAGATGCACCACTCTCTTTAAAATATATTTTGTGAACTAATAAAATATATATATGGTACAATTTTATTTCCAGAATTTCTGGCTTATAAACTGTAACTTTTTTGGGGTAGATTTTATTTTTCTAAATGGGGCGTTTCCCACCTTGTACCCTTGTCAATCGAAATACATGGAAATGGTAAACCAGTGTGAAATGAAATACAGTAGAACCATTACTGGAGTAAGTGCCATTTCAGTGAGCACAAAATAACACATTTCAGGACACATACATACATGACAGACCACAAACATTTTGACCTTTTCTCATTTGTACCTCATCATAAAGGGACCCTGCATTATATCAAATATCCCCAAAGACAAAACAGACATCACTTTTCTTGAACGCAAATATTCTATACTGAGAAATTCAAAATCAGAGGACACTGCTGAGACTTCAATAGCATAACTATGAGCTCTTTCTGAAATGTAAGAAAGAAACAATGGGATGTGAAAAAATGACTTAAAAATACATAAAAATAATTTAAGAACTTTAAGCAGTTAATACTTAAGCAGCAGGGCACTTTCACTTTCACTACACAACACCAGTGATCATCAGATGTGGTCCTGGATGACCAGATTCCAGCACAGTTTGCTGATTTCTCTGTCCAGGTACACCCACTAATCCTGGTAATGACCTGATCAGTTGAATCAGGTGTATCAGAGCAGGACAAACAACAAACTATACTGGACTCCAGCCCTCCAGGCCCATAACTGAATCCCCCTGCTCTAGATGATCATCCTTAGAAGGATTTGATAGAGATAGATTGATTGATGAAGGCTAGGGTTAGCCTTAATACTAAACAAACACAAGCTCAAATATGACCCAACAAATGATGACCAGCATCTGTTGTATATGGTTCACTATGATTGAAATGTTTCTTTTAGGGTAACAAAGAAAAAAGAAAAGTGAAATGAACACTCATACCTGTTCTGAAAATCTGTTTAAGCAGTAACACTGTTTACATCAAACACTTTCTTAACTGTCTCTGACTGACTTCTAACCCCAGCAAAGGCCATATGTAATTAATACATTCTTGTATGGGCTCTGACAAGACAAAGTTACAGGAACTGAATAAAAGGATCAGCCTGTAGTATGAAATCACTTCTTTTCAATATACAGAGCTCATATTGTCCTTGACAACAGTACCAAAACATTAATCAGTGTGTTAACTGAAAGGTTCTTTCACAGAGATAGAACAATAACACGAGAAGCACAGGCCTTGTAATATGTCTATGGTTGTCGCATTATTGGTTCAACGTCAGAGCCAGTCTGCATTAATAGCCGCCACTCTGCATTATTACCCACCTATAAATAAAATACTTTAGATTTTATAGAGCCAACCACATGTCAATAAGAAACAAAAAATATTAATTTGTTTAGAAACTTTCTAATATCTACATCTTGAGTTACTATGGACCATATATACTCTACTGTTGATAGGGTGGTTATAACCATTTTTGAACTGTATTCAAACTATTCACATAGTGTATGTCATGAACGTACAAAAAACTGTCTCTTTTTGGAGAAATGAACACCATGGATACCATGGACTTTATCTGCTTCCAGGCCTTATTAGAGGAACACCACGTAATTCTCTGGGATGAGGCCAGTTCTGCCATTATATGTTGCTTGCAGCCACCCAGGCTCCACCGAGGGGTGCACTGTGAAAACAAGAGTATGATGAAAGTCAACTAAAACAACTAGAACAAAGACAAGTCAGAAAGAGACCTAAAGAAAACTTGGTGCCAGGAAATAAATGTGTTTTGGTTCTGAGAACATAAACACCAAGGCATAAATGAACATCTACATCTGTTTTTTACGTGTGTGGATGACAAAAAGCATGTATTTTCATTTTCACAATCAGACAAAACAGAACTCAGCATTAATAGCATTACAACCTTACTGGAGTTCCCCTATATCACAATGACGTAATATCCCACTACGAAACCATTACTCAGTCCCAAAGCAGTACAGTAACAGCACACCACCAGTAAAGTCTCAGGCACCTGAGAAAATTATATTTAAAAATCGGTAAGCGTTCAATTGTTCAAAAAAACCCTCTAATATTGAAATAAATACTATAATATTAATATAAGTACTGATTTTATGTATGTCAGTGGTTTAGTTTGACCATTTCCAGATCTCTCTTCACGGCAGCCCAGTATTAAATGTTAATAAATCATAGCTAGTTTGGCTAATTAGTACAAAATTAGGTGTGCTGTTGGTAGGATTTAACAAGTCCATACAATGGCTGGGAAGAAATTGGGAACCAAACCTTTGAACTTTTGTTCTTCTAACTAGCTCAAATAATATCAACTACTTCTTACAAAAGATGAAAGGTTACTTTTCTGTATTAATGTTTGTTTGTTTGCATCTATCATCTACTGTGCTTTACTGGCATAAACACACATGCTGCCTATTTAAACAAGTTTAAACAATATGCTTAGGACTTTTATAAGACAATAAGACTTTTGCACAGTACTGTCTACTTCATACAGCTTCTAGTATCAAGGAAGGATATATCTTATGGTTTTTCACTTTAAACTGAGCAAAGAAAAAATTAAATGTTTTCAGTCCTATTTTATAACTTATCTAGTCTCAGAATGTAGATTTTGAACCATGTGAAAAACAGATAAATAATTAAGGATTAGGGTTATCAGGGGACCTAAGGTAATAACCTGGCATCGTTTGATAAAGATATTACAGAACACATCGACAGACAGATTGGCAGAAAGTTAGAAAGGTTGCTATTGCACCGATATGGGAACTGTGGGACGATGCCGATATTTTTTTATCGATACGCAAACATTTAGAAAAGGTAGAGACTACACTGACCTGGTTTAACATAACAGAGAAATACATCACTTATTTCTGTAGGTTTACAAATGTAGTAAGAAGCCCATCATCACCTAAACATTCTGCTTCTTCAGAGTACAATAAAAACTTCATCAATGTGAATATTATCGTGCATCCCTAGTTACTGTAAGGCACCCATACTAATAAACACTTCAAAGGGTTGGTGTCCTGGAGGGATTAAGCCTAGTCCTGGAATAAACTAAACTACTAAACTTTCATTTTCATCAAGATATCCATTCGGTATGCTGTGTAGTCCCGGACTAGGCTTGACTCCTGTCCGGGAAATCGGCCTAATAAGCACTCGCATCCTAAAGCAGAGTGGTAATACGCAACAAAAACATGTTATATACATGGTCCACAACATGGTAGCCATGACAATCCTCCTGTCTGCAGGAAGCCCAAACTACTTGCAGTAGTCATTCTACACCTTTGTAGCAATGCATTATTAAGTATTTTTGTGTTTTTTCTTTAATAATAATATATTTACCATTGTAGAAGAGCGCCCCTTTAGGGAAGCTGAGCTCATGACTATGCTCTGCTTGGCAGGAATACATAGCCTTGGCTTCCCTGCAATCACAACAAAAGAGGTGAGTTAGAGGGGACACAGCTGGAGAGACAAGCTGCATGATGTAGTTTATGCTTGAAACTGTCTGTAGGCCTCTCAGTAATGATGAACTGGGAAGGGTGTTATGTCAAGCTGAGACTGGAGGGCATGCAGGGGTAACATCAACTGCAAAAGATCTATTTTGAAGCTTGTAAAAACAGCAATGCTAGATGTTGTCCCTTTAGAGGACAGCTTCACAACACAGAATGACAATCAATCCTGGAATGTTGTGGCACAGTGTAGCTGAATGTTATAACAGAATACTGAAACTAATAGATCTCACACTGTCACACATGCTCTATGGCTGATAATGTACCTTCCAGCAGGAGCCGGCTGGGAGACCACAGGGCTTTCAAAGAGAGCTGCTCTGGAGGCCACCCTACAACAGTAAACAAAGAGCGCACAATGACTTTTGTCATGCTTCAGTTCTGCTCACAAAAGGTTGATTTTTGAGTCAACATTAGCTGGACACAGTAATTTACTAATAGCTTTGAACAGCCTCATCTTTTCTGAAACACGTGCTCGTTTACAGCATAGTCTCATAGGTTATGACAAAGGGAAGAAAGCATGTGCCTTTGGAGCCTCTATGACAACATTCTGGCACTCAGAGAGAACTTTCACAGCTTGAGATCATCTCTTAGAGAACAGTCAAACAGTGCACTGTAAGGAATAAAGCCCCAAAGCCTGCTACTGGACCACAGACATGTGATAGTACTGTGGTAGATATGATGCACAGCCTTCATGTCTGCGTAAAACTGGAATGATATCTTTCTTTCAGCCCTGAAACGCTATATATATATATATTAGGGGTGCGGGAAAAAATCGATTCTTAGATGCATTGCGATGCGGACGTGAATGATTCTGAATCGATTAACAAATGTCAAAAAAATTTCTAAATATTTAATTTATAACGTAATGTTGACGGAACGCAAAGGGCGGAACTTGACAGTGCGGAAGTGTAGCGCCCGGACAGTCTGTGACGGCGCATAACAAAAACACAAGTGGATGAGCGAGAAATCCGACCGGCTCCCTCTGCATTAAAAGCCAGGTTAGATCAGGAGTCACAACCTGAATGATAAGAAGAGCCATTTTGTCCTTTCAACAAAAATCAAACCAGCTTGGGAGCCGCAACATTCAATGTTCAGTATGTCTCAGTATGTGATAATGTCCTAGTATAGACTAAACAATATAAACAAGAGCGCAGATTTACTTTGCTGTGCTTTAAGCTTCAGCTATAGCCCCTTTCCTCCCATCTCCGCCAGAAAACTTTTCCTCAGAAGTAGATCAGTTAAATGTCTCTCAACATTCGACTGTTTTACGAGGCTGAAGTCGCTTCTTATTCTCAAGCTTCTTGTTCGAATTTACCCGTTCCACCTTAAATTCTAACTGAGGCGCCGAGTGTAAATGCAGCACCATTTAAGGTGGAACGGGAGAATTCGAAAGAGAAGCGACTTCATCTTCGCCACTTTTTAGTGTGTGACAGTCTCTCATTGCAGATTTAACCGTACCAGGAAACCAACTGTGCTGCTTATAAATGCGAATAACGCATCGTTGCTACGTGACCTGCAGTCTGCACGCCGGTTCTCAGTCGTTGCGAAACAGGGCTTTCGTGCTATGTTGCACACGCCCCGTCTCAAAGATACTTTACTGACACAGCTATCCACCCCGTCTCTACAACGAGACCAAAACCGAAGTTATAAAATCACTAAAGAAAGCGGGTAGAATAGCTGTAACATGTGCTGCGTGGACATCCATCACCACTGGATCTTATTTGACCGTAACCGCGCATTTTATCGCAGATGAGTAGCAGCATCTTCTCGTGCTCCAGACAAGAGCACTGAATGAGAGCCTTCTAGTTCAACTGCCACATCACTTCCATTTGTTTTATTAAAAAAGATATTGGAAGTAAATTCATTATGGCTCATTACAAATACTTTGCTTTAAAAATCACTTTAAATAACAATAACACTGAGTCACTTAGTCACTTTAAAATGTATATTATCTCTATATTCTGTGTATATTCTGTGTATATTTTGTGTATATTTAATATATTTCAGTTGGTTTTTCTTGTATTTTTATTTTTACTTATTTACTTTCTGTAGAGTGATTAGCTGAGCCTCAGCACAAGCATTTCAATGCATAAATGTCCTGACATCTTATGCAAATGACAAATAAACTTGAAACTTACACTCGAAAACTTAAACTCACACAGTGAGAACATAGAAATGCTGTATAGAAAAAAAAAGATGCCTCGAGATGCATCGATAATTGTTTTATAATCGCATCGCAGCCCTCTGAATCGGAATCGAATCGAATCGTGAGGTGCCTAGAGATTCCCACCCCTAATATATATATATATATATATATATATATATATAGCATAGCATTAAACTTTTAAATGGCAAAGTTCAAACTGTTGTAAAAAGTATTAATGAAGAATGTAGAGAATATTTAAGTAAGAATACAAGATAGACCTTTAAAAAGACCATTACTGCAAACATGACAAACCTAAGACGGTCTTGGTAAAATGATAAATGCCATATTTGTGCTCTTTTTAAATGTGACTTACATAACTTAAGGCCAAAGGCAGGAAATTACTAGGAGTAATAGTAACATCAATGTGAAGTTTGCTTACACAGATCCAGGCCTCTGGTATCCATTGCTGGCTGATGAGTCCAGTCTGTATCTTCCTGTGTCTTTTGGGGGAAGATCTGGTAACGGCAGTGACTTTAGACTGTCTCTGTTACTGCGGGAAACCAAACTCTGGACAGAACCATGACAGCTCCTGAAACCTAAGTAAAATAGATAAAAAAGCCCTTAATGTGAATTTGGGAAAGCTATACTAATTAGACTTAGAGCGGGACAATGTGGCTAAAAATCTTATCACAATATACATTTTCATATCTTTCAATATTGATAAGTAACAATGTTTAGTATGTGCATATCATAGTGCTTAATTATAAGTCTGAATAGTATTTGAAAATATTCTAGTGTAATATACAAAATGATCAAGATAGAACACTGATATAGAAAAAAATGATTTATTATGGTAATTAACCCCATTGTATTAAGTTGAAAGTAGTAGTAATGCATAAAACGACCAGGTCGGTTAACTGGAATTTACTAATCCCACTTGCTTTACTTGAATTCAATGAGTACATATTACTTAATTGAGCATCTTAGAAGCTTTTTAACACAGTTATGTGGAACCACTTGACATAGCATTTTTTAATAAATCTAACAATTTGAGTGTAGTCAGGTAGGGAACATGGCCTTGTGCTCATACTGGCAGGGTTCTCACCCTCAGAGATGTGGAGGGACGTGAGGGAGGAGCAGGTGGACATGCTGAGGCGTCCTGCTTCGTGCTCCTCCGGGCTCTGATCCTCTGTTCTTTCAGGCAGCTCTGGAGCTGGAGAAGCTCGCCCTGTTGGGAGACTGCTCAGAGCCTCCTCCCACTCCCCGTCTGTCTTAGCTGCGTCCTCTTTGGAGCTGGAATCGGGACTGGTGGTGCCGGGTGGGCTCTTGGGGCCATTGGAGGAGGGGGAAGGAGTGGTCCAGCACAGGCTGCCTGAGGCTTTGTGTTTGGAGCGAGACGGAGAGCTTGCCTTGGAGCAGCCGTTCCGCTCAGATGAGTGAGAGGACAGAGACTCCATACTGCCCATTGGTGTGCTGCTGGGACTGCTGCTGAATGTGTCACCTGAGGCAGGAGCACAGGGAAAAAGAAAGACAGGAGACATTACAGTGAACTAAAATAATTTATTTTAAAAAATAGAATTAGGATAGTAAGCTTTAAGTAAAAGGAGGTGCATTAAAAACACATTTCTTGTACATATATTGCCTACTTTTGGACTTGTCCTGAAGCTTGTTTTGGAAAAAAAACACCAGCTAGGCCACATTTTGGTCTATTTTTGTTCACTATTTGCTCTAACGGGCTGTACTTGACATTTGCATAAAAAAATATCATCTTATGCACTCCACTAACTCCACTCAAAATAGTTTGGCTGAGGGCTTGAAATTAGGCCTATAGAGCCCCAGCTACACAGACCATCCATTTTATTAGAAACACCTGCACTCACTAGCCATGTTATAAAGTTTACCCACCTTAACCTACCGTTACTCTGAGACCACTTGTGAAAATGCTTCTATTATGCACTTTTTCTAATTTAATACAGTTTTTCATTACAAATTTCATTAAAAATTATTTTAGTGAAAAGAAGAATCTTTGAAATATGTTCATGATTTTCAGAATTTCCTAATATTTGGTCACTCTTCTGTAATGTAATGTAGTGTAATAACATGTCCACGTGAGCTGAACTCCACGGGTTTGTGCAAAAGCCTCTGAAGAGTTGATTAAAACCACCTGGGAGTCATCTGAAAAAATGTTTAAAGCAAGGAATAAGATAAAAAAAAATCTGGTCTTAACATAGTCAACGTCATAAACCTGTTTAAATATTATATTAAATATTTCTTCTATGTTTTACTTACTATAATTTTTCTTTGTTTTATATTTTTCAGAATTCCAGATTTTTTTGTTCTTTATTTCCAGGTTTATATGAAAAAAATCCCATATTTTCTAAGTGATCTCAGTACAATTACAGACCGCAGCCCCTCTGTTTTCATGCACAAATCGACACCCACCCTCTACCCCTTTTATCTCTGGTCAGTGTCTGACCACAGGACCGCTACTGAGCATAAATTATGTGAGCGGTGGATCATTCTCAGCAAAGCAGTGACAATGACAAGGTAGCGTTACAGTGTCGTAAGTGGTGCTGGTGCAAGTGTATCAGGAACAACAGCATTGCTGAGGTTTTTATAAAAGTCACTGTCACAGTGGTTGAGAGTGGCCCCCACCCAAAATTATCCAGCCAAGAGCAGCTCTGTGGTCAGAAATTGACCTACATGTAGATGTTTCTGATAAAGTGGCCCGTGAGTGTATTCTGAGTGTGACTCAGAGGAGAGAAACGCACTGTCAGCGTCGGCCAGGCACAGAGCAGGTGGGTACAGGCCTCTGGACTTGCGTGGTCCTGACGACAGGCAGATGGCGTTGCTGCGGCGCGAGCTGGAGCGAGACTGAGACTGAGGCTGAGACTGAGGCAGAGGCACGTTAGGATCTGGAGACTGATGAAAGATCTGAGGAATACCAAACAGACAATATTCAGAATACTTACTACCATAAATTACAGCAGGGACAAGACACAAGCCAGCTTAAGCTCAATATATACACAGCCTGATAGCATATTTAAAAAACGCCTGTCAGCCTCTGTCGCAGGAACTGAGTGACTGCTCCCTTCTGTTTGATAAACAGTGCCACCTGCTGTTGACTTTAATTAAAGGATATAACTTACCTTTTCATAATTCTCTATGAGGATCTCCACCACAATGTTTTGAAACTTTATGTTCATCATGGCAGCCACTGTCTCCTCCTGAGAGCGCATCAGTGTAGGTCCAAAGATCACTCCAAGGTTAGATACTGTCATTAGATTCTTCTGGCTGTGTGTGGAAACCCTGCAAAACACAGAGAAAAGTGTCCCTAAAGAACCCAGAGCACTTAAATATCTCACTGACATTCATAAACAGAAGAATGAGAAATTCACATTTAAAAAATTGATTAAAAAATTATGGTTAAGTTCTTATATATTGTTATCAATATATCTAACATTTCTCATTTTGAGATCGTTGTAAAAATTCTGTATAATTATGATAATTATTTTTAATAACTTTTTATTTTTATTAATGCCTTTCTAGACTCATTCCATTAGCAAATAACTTGCTTATTGACAGAAATAATGTAGATAATTTACTCTTTTTTCACAGAATAATGCTTGAAACAAGTAAAATTATCTGGCAATATATGAGAGGCTTTTTGTAGAAAAAATGTCTTAAAACAAGTAAAACAGGTCTAGAAATAGATGATATAATATTATAATATACATACAACGATCTTATAATGAGAAATATTAGATATTTTGACTAGATTTAAGATGACTTTAGCTGCCAAGAAACAGCCATTGGCAAGGGTTGAACAACCCTGGTGAAACAAAAAAACAAACAAAAAAAGAGAACAAAATTAAATATGACATGGCAAACTTAAATATGAGAGTGCACAATTTCCATTTATTTGCTGTGTTTAATACATTACAAAGAAACATATATTATAAAACATGCACAGGCCACATGTTATGTTTTATTTTTTTCCAATATGTTAACTTCAGCAAATAAACAGTTATTGTGCATTAAAATGTGCAGAAGTGTGTTCTCTGTAGAAGATGTATAAACTTTTTTTCACTTTTTTTCACAAACGTGTAATCTGACCATGGGCACCCAACTTCTGCATATGTATGTATCATATATCATTTTTCTGCAGTGCAGTTTGTCTCCTAAAATATGTTCTGCTAGATTAACCTACTCAAACAGATGCTTGATCAGGATGTCCAGCATCTCTTTGTTCTTCTCAGGTAGTTTGTATACAAGAGCATGGACGGCACGTGCCCTGTAGTTCTGATCATCTGACTCTGAAATGCAACAAGAGGTGTTAATATTCAGTTCATTATAAAGCTGCATGACTTTATATTAGATCTGTTTTATTAAAAATAACAGCAGGAATCCATTGCATCAGATCAAATGAAATCAAATGAAAGAGCTTCCACTAAAAAGTTACTGTAGGAAACAGCTACTCCAACACAACTAGGCCTGTCACAATTATTATATAATCACCAGATCTCAATTATTAGAGCTGATCTCAATTATATAGCTGACTGCAATTATCATATTTACAGTCACATGATTACATTACAACAAAGACTATGGGAATTGGGAGCGTATTAATCAGTTGGGTTGAAGCAAATAAATTTAGAAACTAGGATACGTGTTCCCTGAGACACACTCTTGGGTTTTACGAAAACAATAAAGTTTTTAACTTCTGACGGGTACTTTATTAATGACCTTAAGACGGCAGCAGTGAGTAATGTTCATTTATTTATGCTCAAGCTACTTCCATTGTCAGTTGGAAGATCTTAAGTATTGACAGCTAGGAATTAAGACAGCTAATCAGCCAATCTAGACACTTTGTTGCATACAATGCACAAAAAGGACAATTCAATTGTTTAATTGCGCTTAATTATATGTCAATTCATCATCAGCTACAATTCCAGAATCAGGACAGGCCTATGAAAAAAACATCCCTTCAGTCCCCCCACCCAGCTGTTACCTGTTTTGAACTAAGTCTTGTTTAAATTTCAGGCCTATTTTATTTGTACACCTTCCAGGCAGGAAATAAAGTATGCCAGATTTTCTCACATTCTTTGAATTTGTTCTTCAACATAAATCATATTTTCAGTGCAGTATGTTTGTCAATTCATTTAGCCAGCTGAAAAGTTTTAAACAATCATTTTCCATTTTTCCTTTGGAATGTGCAGACGATCAGGTTAGGAAAAAAAGTTGAGAGAAGGACACATGGAAGAACTCACTGACTGCCATGATGAAGTCTTTGTGAAGTCTGTAGGTTAGGAGGGGTTCAGCCAGACACCTGGAGATACACAGCAGCTGAATTATTGCATGTGTTTTGACATTACCCAGTAAATAGCCTTTGGTTAGATTATTTTCTTACCTGAGGTAATTCTTGAGTCCACTAGTGATAGTCTTGTTATCCCAAGTGTCTGGGTCGAGGTCCATATCTGCAGGAGCTTTGGCAGCTGTAGAAACATCAAAACAGTCAAGATTAAACTGTGCTGTAAAGCGAACACAGAACAATCAAAATGATTAAGGACATGACACAACAGTGATGAAAAAAGAACTTTACCAAACACTGAAGTCATAAGTCTCTGCACTTTAGAATTCACTCCTCCTATTCTGTACAGGCCCAAAGTTTGGATACCTGGAAAATAGAAGAAAAATGGTATCAATTCAGTTTTGAGCAGGGATGACAACAGTATATGACAGCATACTTTTGCTATGCCATTTGTGAATATGTATATATAGCACTGAGCAAAGGTCAGAGATCACTCTTCATTTGTTTAATGTACAGCCATTAAGTACATTAAATTTTCAGAGGAGGTGTAAGACAATCTGCTTGCATAAGGAAGAGGAAAGTCAAAAAAACATGAGGAGTTTCCAACAAGGGGTTTTCTAAACTGGAGTTCAGAAATTATTAAAAGATAAAGAGAAAATGGGACTCTTAACAGCTGTGCAAGAGCTGGAAGCCCAGCAAAACTGTCACCATCAGATAAACAGTAACGCTTTCATCTTTGAGAGAGGGGAGAAAATCAAGCTCCACTCCTGCTTCAAATCTGAAACAATCAACAGGTATTTTTGAACATTCTTTCACTGTGAGAAGACAACTCAACACCATGAGTCTGGATGTGCAGCTGTCTTACTGAGAAAAAAAAAAAAGAAAGAAGCTGCTGGTGTTCTCAGAACAATAGACTGACCACCACAGAGTCCATACCTCAATGTTACTGTACGTCTTTGGGATTACTTGGATAATGAGAAGCAGAGAATGCAACTAACTTCTAAGACTGAACTTTGGAGGTGTGCAAAAATATCCCCGCAGATTTCTTTGAAAAAACAGAAAGCAAGTATTTAGAAGAGAATGGAAGCTGTAATAAAGACAAAGTGTGGACTTAATACCGAAAAATAAAGATTTCTGTGTGATGTTTTGTTAAATACATGCTTTCACACTGAAAATAATAAAAAACGAATATTCAATGGCCGGTTTGACTAGAAAGTAAATAAATGTAGGGTGGTCTCTGATTTTTGCACAGAATTGTGGCTATAAATCATATTAACAGCTCAAGTATACACATGTTTGAGAAGGCAGTGGAACAGATGAGATATTCATTTGGGAAAGTAATTAGCAGACTCACCTCTTGTCTCCACAAGGTGAATACACTTCCTCACAAAGTTAAACCCCGCCTCATTTAGGAATGCTGCAAAGACACAGTAGTATATTTGCTGAAATTATGAGGTGTCATGATGTGGTTTTACCTAAATTAGGCTTATGGGCGATAATACACAAATTCACAGTGTTTGATTAAATAGTAAGGAAAGTGAACTTACTTTCTTCTTTCTTGCTAAGAAGGGCTGGCAGCGTATAAATCTACAGATAACAAGACATGTTTATCAGTCCCCTGGACACATCTTTTACTAGAGGTAGCAAATAACCGCAAATTCCCATTTCACCCATATATGCCATATAAGACTAATTTAGACCTGTTCCAAGACATAACAGTCATAATAACATAATATCATTATGATAGAGCCATTAATGAAACATAAATACTCCACTCTGTCATCTCCACTTCCTGGCTTTTGAACTTCCTCAGAACACAACACTTCTGATTGCTTCATGATGAAAAAGATTACAAGAACAACAAAACGTTAGTAAGAGCCTAACTCAGGAATGAGTCACTGGCTTTGTTGCAGAAAGATGAAAAATTTCTTCAATTTACTAAAGAACGCTAATTTTGGTTCTATCAGGAAAACGTTAAGTACACAAAAGGGCCATTCCTGCATTGCTAAAAATCAAATAATACCTCTGCTCTGATGTAAAGGCTTACAGCACCTCCTTTTCAACATCACACTTCCTAAGGTTCCTAAATGGCTCTTGGCATGGATGGTTTGAAAAAAAAAACATCACTTGTGTAATTTAGACTTTAAAAAAGGTTATTAAAATAATTTTAATGAAGCAGACATTTAAGGGTTCTTTTTGGAACCAAAAGAGATTCTTCTATAGGATTGTTCTAAGAGTGAAATTGGCCTCGTCTTGGTTTAATGTAGTAGTGTCTGGTAGGATAAACATCTAGAGCTTGAAAGAACTGTAAACTGTTAGTAGTGGCGTTTATTCAGATGTTTTTCCTAGACACAGTCACCATGACTAATTTATGTTTATATCTTGAACTCATGAGTGGAGGCCATGAGGTCTCCATATATGAGTACAAGGAGCTGTGAAGAACTGGCTGAGTTTCAACAGGAAGAGGAAGGAACTGCTCAGGAGCTCAGCAGTTCAATCAGTCTGACCAAAGCTGACTCTGGCATCCTGAATCTCTATGCGAGTCTGTCCCAGAACTCATACCCTCAAGCTAGCACCAACCACAGAGACTAGCTCCACCAAGAAACGTTTCAACACAATAAAATATCTCTTCACACTCCACGTCATACTTGCCATATAATGAATTTTCAGACTGGCTAAGCAAGCTTGTCAGAATGTTTGGATTATAGTGTCTCTTTTTGTTATTTTATATAAAATATATTTTATATATTAGAAGTGAGAAGTGAGATTTTCAGAGTGGTCATAGAGAACAAACATACAGACAATTGATTAGAATTTCATCTAACCATTATTTAATACCATTTTAATATTCATGTGGGCATTTTAAAGCTAATAAATTCTGTTAATACTACTGAGTTGAACGTACAACAGTGATCGATCACAATTTATTTTGATGGTCCCATTTAGCTTTTCTTCAAATGCTCAGATTATAACAAAGAATCTGGTGTAGATACTAAAGACAAAGGAAGCATCTAGAAAGCAGTGGACCATCCCAATAAAGGATTACCACATAATCTACAGGCAAAACACTTTGCAAAAGTCAGAGACTGCTCTTCATTTATTTAGCCAAAATAGCCATTAAAAATAAATAAGTTCATTATCAGGAAAAAACTGAAAACATATATTTAACAAAAAATACACAGAAGTCTAAATATAAAACCTTTTTTCCCCACAGTATTTAGTGTGTCCAGAGTTTTTCAAGGAAATGTGCAGGGATGTTTTTCCACACCTCCAAAGTTCAGTCTTAGAAGTTGGTTGTATTTTCTACTTCTAACAATCCAAGTAGTCCAAAACAAAACATTTAGTGATGTTGAGGACTGGACTCTGGGGTGATCAGTCCATTGTTCTTAGATAACCAGCAGCTTCTTGACAGCTACACATCCTTTCAGACTCATATTATTGTCTTCTCACAGTGGAAGGATGGACAGAAACATCTGTGTTTTTTTTCAGATCTGAATCAAGAGTGGAGCTTGATTGTCTCCTCTCTCGCAAAGACGAAAGCTTTAAGTGCTGATTATCTGATGGTGAAAGTTTTGGTGGTCTACCAGGTTTTGCAGGTGGTTGGTAGGAGTCCCATTTTTTCTACATCTTTTAATAATTTTCTGACCTCCAGCTTTGAAAACTATAGTTTTTTCATTTATTCTTCTTTTACTTTCCCCTTCCTTATACAAGTGGATTAATCTTATATCTAATCCCCTAAAAATAACCCTTAAAAAACAAATAACTTGTATTTAATGGCTGTTTTGACTGGAAAGAAAATAAATGAAAGGTGTTCTCTGACTTATGCACAGTGGTGTAAGTCCCAGAAGTTTTGTCATGCTGTGTAACAGAAGACTGGCACAGTGGATGTTTTCTCACCGGCTCTTTTCCATCCATGGCCTCCATCCACAAACGCCTATTGGATTCAGACAAAGCCTGCAGGGTGATGATGCCATGCCTGAGGAACAAGCAGAGGAGCGAGATTATTTAAGTTTTAACAATCAGCTGCAAAGCAAACTTCCCTACAACACATCGTCAGCTCCCAGCAGCATAATAGTGATTATAACTGCTTGCAACAGTGAGCAAAAAGAAAAAAAGTAAGAAATTCTTTAAAATATCTGTTTTTGTCAAAAAAATTATTTTATACTGTATATAAGGGCAAAGAATTTCCACCTTCCCTGGCCCAATCCTGTCTTCTTTGGGTTAAATGCACTCTTCTGAAATTTGTCATTAGTAGCAAGGTGAAATCAGCAAGTTAATGTGAAAGAGGCAAAAGCTAAACATTTTGTGAGAGTAGCTGTAGGTTGCAGGTAGCATGTGGCAGCACACGTGCAATCACAACACAGAGCAGGAAGAAAGTGACATACCGGCGGACTTTATAGAAACACTGAAGAGAACTGAACAGAATCCCTTGACATGTGTTATTTCTTCAGTTGAGAGGAGGAAGAGGAAAGGAAGGAAAGAAGGAATGTTGAAAATAGTCTCTTCTAGACTTCATAACTTGCCAACAAAAACATTGAAGTGGAAAATGCGCTCTTTTAAAATTCTTTACCACATCCTGCCGAGCCAGACGTCACAATGTCCTCATTGACCTCACAAATGCCTCATGGAAGGTGGAAAAAGTGCCATAATTTCAAGTGCAAGAATTCAAAACAAACCTTTCCACCACTTCAATATCAAAGCAGAAGCGTTTGTCGATGGAGTCCGTCCTCCTCCTGATACAGGACTTGAGCTTGAACATCTCGGGTGGGCTCATCACCAGTCCGTTCTTTAGACAGAAAACACAGAGGAACAATAATTACTGCATTGTAAAAGACTGCATGAAAGCTGAAGCTGGTAGAAGAGGGATATTTCAATAGAGCAGCAATTTAATAATCCACAATTTCACCTGTTTGCCTCCAGATTTGATCTCTGAGTTGCTCATGGTGAACATTTTGGTCTCTTTTTCATATGTGCAGTAGTGTCGGCTCCATGTGAATCCAAGGGGTCCTAAAAAACCAAGTAAGTTGTTTTTACTATGATCACAAATGTGTCTTAGGCATTCATAACTCTCAGAAATAAATGAATGTGTAAGAGTTACTTAAACTTTGCCAATTACTTAAATTCATGTACAGCCCCGGTTTTAAAGAAGCTGGGACGCTGTGCCAAATGCAAATAAAAAAGAATGCAATAATGTGCAAATTATCTAAGGACTATATTTAACTGAAAACAGTACAACAAATAAATGAAATACAACACATTACATGTTGAAACTGAGAAACTTTATTGTTTTTGAGAAATATATGCACATTCTGAATTTGATGCTAGCAACATGTATCAAAACAGTTGGGACAGGGGCAACAAAGCAACAAAAGACTGGTAAAGTTGTGTAATGCTATAACATCTCACAGCTAATTAGGTTAATTGGTAAAAGGTCAGAAACATGATTGTGTATAAAAAGAGCATCCCAGAGAGGCTGAGTCTTTCAGAAGTAAAGATGAGGAGGGGTTCACCACTCTGGGAAAGACTGTGTGGACAAATAGTGCAACAATTCAAGAATAATGTTTCTCAACGTAAAAGAGCAAAGAACTTAGAGATTTCATCATCTATGCTACATAATTTTAAAAGAGAACATAGAGAAATCTCTGTATGCAAGGGACAAGGCAGGTGTCACCGCATTAAAAACAGACACAATTCTGTAGTGGAAATCACTGAATGGGCTCAGAAACACTTCTGGAAACCACTGTCTGTGGTTAAAACTCTACCATGCAACGAAAAAAAACAAGTATAAGCAGGATCAAGAAACACCGCAGCCTTCACTGGGCCCGAACTTATTCAAGATGGACCGAGGCAAAGTGGAAAAGTGAAAATCATGGACCTTGCATCCTTCAGGCGAAAAAGTACAGGAACCACACAGCTTGAAATCAGTGCACAGTTCAAAAGCCAGTGTCTGCGATGGTATGAGGGAGCATTAGTGCATGTGGCATGGGTGACTAGCACATCTGTGAAGGCACCATTAATGTTAATACCAAATCACGTTCTGCACCCATTATAACAGCATGGCTGTGTAGTAAAACAGTAAGGTGCTAAACTGGCCTGCTTGCAGTCCAGACCTGTCACCTCTGTGCCCAAATGCTTACAGAAACATGTTGCTGGCATCATGTTGTCTTTATACTTTTTCAGTTAAATATAGTGTTTAAATGATTTGCACATCATTGCATTCTGCTTTTATTTACATTTTGCACAGTTTTACAACTTTTTTGGAAAAGGGTTATGTGTGTAGCAGTATTTTGTTTGCTGTTAGTTTTAGAGACTAATGCTAGGCTCATAAGAGAAAGGTTTGAACAACTGCACCATGTGTAGCAGGAAATGTGTAGTAGGAAAAACAATAAGCTTTTGACCATTAGCTTAAGTTGTGTGAAGCACTGATTTAAGTGTTGACTGAGATGCCAAACAGTGCTGTGGAATGTTGTATGCACTGCACAGGATAAAGCAGAAGACTTCAAATCAAATAAAGAGCAAGGTCATTCCTACAGTTTGTGAGTACCTTTATTGATGCTAGTTCGCAATGCGGATTGCGGGATTACAATGGCTATGGTTTAAAACTATGTTTTTACTCCCCACTATGACAGAAATGGTCCATAATGAGAAAGGGAAGTTTGGAATTTTGCCCAAATATGTGCATGAATTTTCTCAAAATACAAATACAGTATAAACGAAATTAGTAACAGTTCAGTCGCTGTAGAACAGATATGGAATTCTCTCAGTACATGTCTAGTGGGTGATATTGAGTTCTAGATGCTAATATAATTGGAAGGGTTTGCGTTGACAGAATACTCACGCTTCTCCTGCACATAAAGAAAACCCTCCATTGTCCACTGTCCAGGGGCTTTGAAGTCCTGCTCTGCTGACTTTATCCTCTTCATCAGATTCTCCACTTCCTGCCTAGTGCTCTCAAAGTTATTCCTTGTCTTCAAACAGCAAAACCAAACGACATGTCAGTTCAGAAGACGTATGGCTGGACTGCAAAGTCTACAGCAGTAGCAGCAATCAGTACCATCAGTCATAAGAAGCTAAAACCCCAAAAGGACGTTCATGATAAACGTGAACAGACTCACTGCCAAATCAGCTGGATTCTTGCCTTGTGTCGTACTAATTCAATTGACAACTAACAGCAAACTTCACAGTGTGAAAAGCTCAGCTGTTCCAACTAAAGTAATTTTGCATTCAATGTCCTGTGTGCCAGTTTTTAATTGTTTGGCCTGTAAAACCCCAATTTGCACACTTACATTCTGTAGGTTGAACTGCAGTTGCTGCTTGTATGGCTCAAACTCATGTGCCAGTTCATAACCTTCATGGTAGAATGTGAACAGACCCTGAAGGAATGCCAGGAGCTGAGAGAGAGAGAGAGAGAGGAAGAGAGAGAGAGAGAGAGAGAGAGAGAGAAATAAGGCTTCAAAAGAAAGTTTCAAGACTGCCTTTAAGCATGATTTTTTAGAGGGGATTCACTGTTATCTAAAAGTTCAAAATTTCTGAATCACTTGTAATACTGATCATTTCTATTTTTTTATTCAATAATAACTTAAACAGTGCAGATTTATATGGGGACACCAAGAAGTTATAAAAAAGATAAATAACATAATACAGTGTAATTCTCTATTTATCTGTCAGCAGTTCCCTGATGCATTATCTGCCTGGGGATCTGATCACTGGTTTTCAAATAAGAGGCATTCTACATGTTAATTTTGCTGTAACTTCACAGTTTTCTCAGTGTTCTGTTCATCATTCTGAACACATCTAATATTTCTTAATGTTCCACAGCTTCTTAAAAATTAACTGAAACCTATAAAGAGTAGGAGTATGTATATTACACACATATCTGCAACAAAATTGGTTGTTAATAAAAACAGTGATTCCAAACGTTTGAGCATAGATGATATGAGCATATGTGCAACCAGAAATCACTCATTTCAGCAAATTAAATCTCCTTTCTCAATCAGTCTTTTGTAACTGCGTGTTGAAGAGTGGTGTTTCCAGCATGTCTACATTAGGTTCTGATGCTATCTGTACCAGCCCCTGCTGAGAGCTGCATTCTACTGCAGATGGAAACCAGCAGGTGCAGGATGTGGCTTTAATCGTTCATCTGTCGGATTAAAAGCGGTACAAATGTGTCCCTGCGCATTTCCTCACATGTCCAGAAACAGATCTTCCAGCTGGACTGGTAGCTTGAGAAATCAGAAATGAAACTTGAATCGTGATATTTCACTTCCCTTCCTTACCGGTTCAACAAACTCAAATTTCTTTCTCTCCTGCACTTCTTGGATTTTGAAGACATATTCCAGAGAGGCATCACAAAAAATCTGTCTCTCCTTGTTGATCTGGGCGTCTGCCTGAAAAAAGAACAAGCAATAAATGTGTTAACAATGTGACACAATACAATAACAACATAGCCAGTTAGCATAAAAGAAACCAAAGAAAAAAAACAGGAGAAGCGTTTTACTCCACTGAACAAAAATGTGAACTGCTAAAATAATTACCTCTTGTAAAAATGACTCCTTCTTTTTAGAGGACAAATTCAGGTGTTTTTCCAGAACAGTATAATATTTCTCTGCTTCTTTGTCAAATTTCTTCTTTCCTTCCTTGAAGAAAAAAGAGATTGTTGACAGAAACTGGAATTTCCTCTACAGCAATTACAGAGATAAATGTCTTGCGCAGAACTTTTTCTGTTATATAAGGCTTTTGACTTGTAAACAAACATCATGCAAAACCCTCATTAAAATGTTTTGATGCTTTCCATTTGTTTATTTTGATTTGGACGAATATGGACAGAATGCACAGTTGTATTCTAGGCAGTTGTCTAACCAGCAGATGGCATACTAAAGCCTGACGACTGGACGGCCTTTAGTATGATATCAGCCTGAGGGCTGATCTCTGTATTTGAAATGACCACACTGAATCCAGCCCTGTCTGGAGGGATGAAGTCACTGACATACCATAAAACCGCACAAGACGGAAGACGCACAAGGGAAATGGATTAATCATTAGCTTCACATCTCAAATGACTGGCAGTGCAATATCTTACAGGAGAGGCAGAGCAGGGCAGTACACGTGTGATCTGTACACACAGCAGACCTCAGAAGACCAGCAATAATGATTCATATCATGGAATGTAAAGCACAGAAAGCAAGTGCTGTGATCATTACATCAACAGTACAGCTGTGCTTAAGCTCTCTACTCTAAACTTTAATAAGTATCGGTTAACCATACTCAGTTCAACTGTTTAACATGAATGCAAAATTATTAAATGAAATGAATCAAGCATGTTTACTGACATAAAAACACTGAGTTGCGACAAAATTTAACCACTTACGTTTAGAGACCAACACCAAACATTTATTATTGAGAAACTACACTGCAATATGATTGACTGGGTTGTTATAAGAGTGAAGTTACACAGGTTATGTAAGTCATAGGAGTGAGGAATGAAAATCAGGACAGGTCAAAACACAACTTGAGTTATTTTAATGAAGCGTTATGCTTGACTGTGAGTTATGCCAGTAGCATGCTATTAATGCAATCAAGAGTATATATGCCCTATATACTTTTATGTAAAGCTCACTCATATATTTTATAGTATTAAAAAGCCCATATCATGGAAATACAAAGTTTCCTCACTTAAAAACGTTGATGCTGAATGTGGACATTTTTGTGGACATATTTAAGTTTCAAAACAGATCATTCCCCAGCTCATACAGTCCATATATAGAAACTGAGCAGGAAAACTGTCCATTCTGAATTAATCTTTTTTTTGTGATGTCACACAAAACCTACAGTCCAGACTGCTTTTTGAACGAGGTCCAATAAAGGGCAGCCAATCAGAAAAGAGCCCCTTTACATATAGTACTGGGCAAAAGGCACCAAAGCGAACTGTTTAAAACCACTTATCTTGGCAGTATGTGTGCTGTGTGCCACCACATACCAGTGGTTGATATCTTTTGAGCTGATTAGAAAAACACAGGTTTGGTTTCTGATTTCTGACTGATGCTCTCAGTCATCGCAGAGATGTTTTCAATTCTACCAGCGGCACTCCTGATTTATTTTAGTGAAGCAATGACAGAGCCAAATCAGGTACTGGATTTTACCTACAATTCATGACAATGAATGACAGGATTGGAAATGGTTAAACAAACACACTGACATGCACAAAATCACTTATTATTGCATAAATGTAACTTGTATTTGTTCTAATATTTGTGTTTTTTCTGACCAAACAAACACTTTCTAAATAAAAACACAAAAAAATTTAAATACAATTTTAGCAGTTGTCTAAAACTTTTGCAGAGTACTATTTATCAACCTATTTAGCCTACAGTAGTTTAGCCTGTCTGTTCTGAGGAGTGTTTGAGCTTGGACTGCTTTTTGATTGAGGCACAAAACAGGGCAGGCAATCACAACAGAGGTCATTTCAATATAACTGTCTTAAAGGCCCAGTGCCAAAAACAGCCTGTTTGATTCTATGGGATAAAGAGAGGCTGGAAAATGGTCATGGAAAATGAATTTTGAGTACATAAATTGACATAAAATTCATAAATGGACCTCAGGGGAAAAATAAAATATGAGAAAAATGTAAGATATGGGCCCTTTAAAGTCCTTCATGTCCTATGCCCGCACTGACACCACCTCTTTGTGCTGAAGTGAATATTCATGCACCCTAAACCTCCAGCAGTCAGGGTCCCTTTCTTGAGAGCAACTGAAATCTGAGCCAAGCTGTTTGTTTTTCCTCTTTGCCATTAGCAGAACCTTTCCCATGACCCTTTTATGGCTGCTCGGCAGACTACAAACTAGCAAAAACGGAATCGCATTTCTGACATGACTTTGTCCAAGCCCCCAGGCCCATCTGCTGACTAACAATGACATCACCCTCCCTGGACCAGGACAGCTTTTGTTTAAGAGCTTTGATAGGAATACACACACTGTATCTTGAGCACAGAGAAAGGAAAAATTGATCTGTTTGCACTGTTGGTGTGAGTACAGTGTGTGGTCTCTTGAAGGTGTAGCTGTCAGTGTTTGTGTCCTTTGTTTGTGCGTGTGTGCTCTTGCGCGGGAGGTTGAACAGCCGGACAGCCGTTCCCTTTGGCCTCTGCGGTCGAAATGTCTAAGCTGAGCGAGTTCCATCTCAGCTCAGGCTGAAGAGTCTGGGGCCCGAACGCCCAAATAAGGCAGGGTGTTTTCAGCTTTGGATCTTTCAGCAGTGAGCTCATCAGACAGCACACTGCTCTTCTGAGGCAGCTGAAGGGGGGTGTCACTGTTTTAGCCCATCACAACTCCGCACTGTGCCACAATCTCCAACCTTTAACCACTTTCTACTTATCTACAGCAGTGCTAAGTTTCCCAATTGTGCTCCTAAAGTGCCACCACACTGCACATAGTTCTCCTACTCCCAAGACTGAAAGTTCTTTTAAAGGCATCATGTTAAACATTTTAATATTCTAACTTGCAATACTTTCAATTCCTAATTTATATAAGCTAAGACTAGGTTGATGTTCCTTTCTGTCTACAGGCGAGTCAAACCGGGCATACTAATTTGACTTTGATGAAGAGAAACATCCCCATTAGCACATCTAAAACAGGTGAAGAGTTCACAAGGTTAACCTAAGCGAACTAACATGAGGTTTAACCAATTTTGTATTTGTTAAACATTGTAATAATGTTAGGTGTGGCGTGCGCCCGTCCATTGGGCCCCGCCTTCCTGTCGGCTCTCAGGGCACGGTCGATGGGCGCATGCCACATTAGGCTCTTATTACAATGGAAGATAATTTTGCTTATTTCATGCATTATTTTTTGAATTTAGAAAAATTTCACTGAATAAAATTACTTAAAACAAGTAAAACACACCTAGACTAGGTTAAATAACTCTTACAAAAATTCTTACGACCATCACACAATGAGAATATGAGCTATACTGACTAGATTTGAGATGATTTCACTTCCAAGATTTCACTTTTTGCAGTCCAAGCTGTAACAATTTTAATACTTTTCTGTGTTCTGTCTAATAAACATTGGGTTTTCAGACAGAGCATAAAATAATGTTTTCAGGATAGCAGAATTTTCATACCGATACTGGTATGTGTATCCATAGCTCGATACTAAAACAAGAATGTTTATGGTTTTTAATGAAATATATATATATATATATATATATATATATATATATATATATATATATATATATATATATATATATATATATATATGTCAGAGCAGGGAAAACACTATTATTTGTGGTGGGACTGGGATTAGGAACCACTGATCTAGTGGAAATAATACATACCCACAAGCAGAGCACTAGCAGCTACAGCTCTGGCCTCTGGTTTAATGCTGGTGAATGTGGCATTACTGTATCTGGTTATAATTTAGCTGTTCCTTAACAGGTGTTTGCAATTTCCCCCCATTCCTGCAGACTCTCAGCATGGACCTATGTTAAATTATGTACGGGATCATGTCACAGTACGGCTAAAAATGACTCTCTGCTGATATGTGGAGCATAAATTCACAATGGGAGTCTTAGGAACTTACTTTGGCAGCCCCAATTTGCTCCTTGCGAAACTTCTCCAGTGGCGTGATCAAGACGTCATCAGCATTTTGTATCTAAATCAAACAAGTTTCAAAATGTTTAAAAAGGCAAGTGGATTCCAGTGTAATTCTCTGTTGAAAGTTTCCCCTGAGTGAAAAGACAATTTGTAATTTCAAAGAGTTACATTTTGGCTGTATCTGGGAACCTTGGAAAATATGCTGTGCTGCTTTGACCTTGTAGAATGGTCTAGAATAACTTTTCATTACTATTGTTGGGTCGCTATGCATTACTGTAGATAAAACAAATAAAAAAAATGGAATAATCCATTTATAGACAACAGAAGCTAAATCTGCTCTGTCTAGACTGGTTTTACATTGAACCAGTGTAGAGTTTATGCTAAGATTACAATCTGTAACATAATTAAATTCAAACTCCTTTAAAAACAGCTCGGTGACTAAATGCTATTCCACAGAATTGGCATCACAGTCTATCCCTGCCAAGAGTTACAGCAACACACATGAACGCCATCCAGCGCAATTGTTCTTACGCACTGTAAAATGATGGCACTATAATTAGTAGCACTTTCGTTTAGTAGCCCCAATTGGAAAAACATACAATTACATACACAAGTTCCTTTTATATACTTTCCCAGGCAGCGAGTGGTGGGCTTCTAGTCTCACTAGAGAATTGCCCAAAATAAGTTCCACATGCTTGCTTGTGCTCAGCCCTCCCCCTTGCCAACTGACAGGCCATCTCCACAGTGCTGATCCGCCAACATCAAAACTAATGGGACCTGTACCGAGAATGGAATTGTGTGGACTCCAAGCAGGACCAGATGTAAGATACGAAACTTACAGAGAGCAGTAACAAATTCACTGTTTAGGGACGTGTGCTTGACGTGCGCTTCCTGTACGTGTGTTACAGAGCCTAAAGGAAATATTTTGCACCTTAAACATTTGTATAAGAGAAGTAGAATCTACGTACAAACTTTGGATCAACAGTTTTAACTACAGTGCATACATCACATGAACACAATACAGGACAGAAAAACCTCACTTGTCATGTTAAGGGTTTGCACACTGAGGCCAACAGTAAGTGCTTGACTCATTACAGCAAGTGGCCTTTCAGCACTTCAGTTGAGCGTGAGGGGTTGAGGATTTCCTCATTTCAGCGTTTCAAGAGGCAGACAGCCACACTGTTGGCTCAATCCTTTCTCTCATAGCACCCGACGCAAGTTCCCATGGCCCTTTATAGCTGGAGAGGAAACGCACTTCTTACATCAGTCTGATCCATCATGTGGGAAAATGCCTCCCACTTAAAGCAGATAGGTCTGGCTGCTTGCATGAATTTAGAGTATATGTGCTAAGTGCCAGTAGACATGAGACAGCCCATAAGTTTTACTTGCTTGATCCATTTTGCTGTGGAAATGTGCCACAGGGGTGGGCAGTATGACCGTATGTATTTTTTTTGTGATAAATTACATCACAATATGCTTTTCTGAGCATATTGTGGATATTGTCAGTACTTAAAGAGCACAGACCAGCTGCATGTTTCATTAGAAAGAGAGCACCATTAGGCTTGGGCAGCGTAGCATATGAAATGCTTAATAAAAATTGTCATTGTCTTTATAGTTTTGATAGTATTTTGGCACAGTTTTATCTGTTCCAACTAGAGCTTTAATTGGGCTTGCAATTTTGGTCTGAACCCAAATAAGACCAGAAAATTAAACTGACCCAAGCTCAACAAAATTCTGTCCCGAAATGGATCTGACCTGGCTCATCATCACCTAAAGTCCCAAATGAAACCTGAAAGCATAGCGCCACTTAAATTACCTCATAACACCAATAAGAGATTTGATAAAATATGATAAAATTCTAAAATAATCATCTGTCCAAAATAACAACAATTGATTTTAGTCAGGATAAACTTCTCATTCAGCACTGTTCCCATGCTGTGCAATGCTGAAATATCAGAATACTATCATTCACCTGTTTAATCCTAAAGCTGTATTTCTTTCCATATAACATACAACATATTGAACATACACCATAAGAAATACTTTCTAAATTAAACCTCCTTAATGTTGCACCATTCTGCACTTTCCTGAATGGATTCACTGTTTATTTCCTGCACGTTCATTTTCTCATATGCATGGGCCTTATGGATCTCAATGTCTTCAAGCATGATGTTAAAACTCAGCCATATTGCCCACCCCAATAACCACTCCATAGTTTAACTTAGCCCCTCTACTGTAGGACGACTCTGAACAATGCACTGGTATAATGATTCATGATAAGCTGCAATAGTCTAGTCTAAACTAAACCCTCTCTGAATTGTTTTCATTTTCTTGTAACAATAATGGTGGGACTTTCCAGCCGCATCTCAGGAAGAAGGACAAAGCATTCACGTGCAGTTCTTCACCCCTTTCAGTCTTATTATTGTACACGTATGAATGAAAAGTCTCTCTGGGCCTTTCCCTCTCTGACGGAGGTGTTTGTTGTCCTGAGAGGCCTGAGTAACAGTCTGTGAGAGTCAAGCGTAGCAGAACCACGGTCTGCAGGAAGTAGTGAGGCTGAAGGGGGCTGTTGGGTAATTCTCCCCCTGGGGCTCCTCACACACAGCTCCACTGACCTCCGTCTCATTCCAGCATGCAACAATGGATAAGACTGAAGCCACTGAACAGGCAGGGTTACAGTCTGAGAGAGCTGAAAAAGGGGCTTGTGAATGCTGCAGGACAGGCTCGCTGAATTGATCCCAGACACATCCAACACATTTCACTGCCCCTACAAACACTGAGCTTTGATGTCACACTGAACAGTCAATTTCCATGCCAAATGTGTGTTAATTTTCTGCACTCTGAGTAATGAGTCCAAGCACATTCTCCATGTGTAATGCACAAGGGACAGAGTAGACTGTTCAGTAATATCGGCCTATTGCTCCAGACTGTATGTGGATACAGACAGAGAATGTAGAGCTTCCTTGTTTTTCAGAATATGGACCTTAACAGTTTACTTATTTCACTCATATGACCAGAAACTTAAGAATGGCACCTCACAACTTCATATGATGTGGCCTTAACTCTGTGCACTCTTGGTTTTCTATCTAAACCAACTACTTGATCTTTTTGTTTGATACGACACATTTTATATAGCTCATAGTCCTCATAGCAAGCACAAATACACAGAATTCACTATAGCTTTAATCTACTTTTTATTCTATTTTTAAATTATATGCCATTTTAACATTAACTGATTTCATTAAAATAATTATAGAAAATGACATTAAATAATATAATACTGAGTGAAAAGCTATTTTTACCTCTCACTTCTTAAATGACGTACACAGAGTGACTTGTCTGCTAATAGTGCCCCCCCAGTGGAGAAACCTCAGACTGCTCCAAGTGAGTTCCAAAGCCACATCCATGTGCATTACACATTGAAAAACAACATGTTAAAGGTTCCCTAGTAGCCCTATCATCAGGAGATGAGTTCAATAACTTGTGATGCTACCGCTCTCTATGCTAAGAGTCTCTCCGGGGGCGGGTACAATTGCCCTCCTTCTCATCTTATCACTCTGTACAATGCTAGCCAGTGCGGATGTCTGTCTGATGTAACAGAACTGGCAGTAAGCGTTCTTCTCCAAGCGTGTTGAGCTGTCCAGTGATCTGTAAGAGGCAGTTTGAAAAGATGCGGCGACACTTCACATAATTCAGATGAAGCATGTGCTAGCCTTCAGTCTCTTAGCACTGGTGGCAAAATGTGATTGGGGAGTTCTAGCTAGTGGGTGGAACTGGACATGGCTAAACTGGGGAGAAAATTTAAATAAAAAAGTGTTTTCCATCATTTTAGAGGAGTTGCTCTATAATTCAGCTATAGATGCCTGTGGGAAATGATGAAGTGTTATAGTTTCTAAATATTACAACTCATCTGGACCATTTTGAGAATTTTCTTCAGATGATTTGCTGCACTCTGGGAAACCTTGCTCTGCTGCGACTTTACAGTTAATCTTTCAGTAAATATAACTTCAAGCCAAACTGTAAACGATACTGGAATAGCCTATTAGCCATTCAGCATTCTCCTGGGCTGATGGTTAAACAAAGCCATGTTCTTTTTCAGGGTATTGTTTACATTTACTTGAATTTAAACTTAAACCCTAATTCTAAACATGACTGGATTAGTCTGTTAGCCATTTAGCATTCTCCTGAGCTGGCTGTTAAACAAAGCCATGTTCTTTTGTAGGGTTTTTGCTCCTATTACATCACATAAATGAAATTTCTGACAAATTTGTGACAACACAGATTTGTGATGAGTGACTAATTCACAATTGCTTTGAACAGGGATCAGCCAATCAGATAAAACCATCCATTTCATAAACATTAGCGATGTCTGTCTTTAAAACTAATGTTTTAATAAAGCTAAATGCTACTGTTACCTGACAACACCAGTGTCAGGCAATAGTTTTTGCAGTCTATACAAAGAACATGAGTCTGGATTAAACCCAATTCCATGCTGCTTTAAGTAAAGGCTCAAGAGTCCCATAACATTTTGTTAAGCAAAATAAATCTACTGTTCAAAAGTGAGCACAAGCCTGGATTTATGCACAGTATTACTCACTTATTGTTAACTGTCATCTAAGAGTAACTCTTGATGAATCATGGCCAAGACTGTCTGCCATTTTAGCAGATGTTTCCTTATTACATCACATGCAAAATAAAATTACTAAACAGGAGTATCCATCCTTTCAACATATTCAATACTTATTGTTTTGATTGTTTGCAAATAATAATTATTTTGTCAGAATCAGCCACACTGACCTACTTGTTTGGTTGCTGCTTTTAGTTTTGATATGACAAAACAACATTTCCCAAGTAAGCAATTCCAAAACATTCCAAAGACTATGAAGCAAATATCACAGTGGCTTGCTGATACGTGCTACTTCCCCTTCCCTCCAGAAAAGAAGTCATGACCCAAAGCAAGAATCTGTTTGACAAAAAGCATGTTTCCCATAACACTCAGACCTGACAGTAATAATCTACGAAATTCATTCAAACAGAACACAGTGTCTCCCTGGGGTGCAGCAGCCTTTACTTTAACAGGGTGCCAAGTATTTATGAAGTATTGTACAACATTTACTTCCAGCCTTATAATGTGATTGGCCGAAAAGTCTGTTGTTATTTGTGACAACATAATGTTTTTTTCACAGTAACTGTATCATTCTGCTCAACACCGGTTGCTGCAGTTAAGCATTACTAAGTTTCTACTTCAGTACATAAAACAACAGAAAATGGATACATTAGATAACTTCTGTAAGATAGCATCTGATCCACAGCATGTTATGTCAGATTTTAAGGAAGAGACTGAGTACATAGAAAACCTACATTTCACAGCACATTTCAAACCTGTTGTTGGCCCAAAAAAAGCTTATTGGTCATCAACCGTGATGGCAGAACAAATAGGAAGCAGGAATTAAAAATAAACAAACACAGTACAATTTGGCAAACAAGATGGGCTGTGAAATGCTTTCTGGTAAATATTATAATATATGGCTTTATCTGTTACTCAAAAGGTGAGTATATTTTTGTGGAAAGAACTGCAAATATTAAATTACATCTGATACAATGTTTGGAGCTTCTTTGCTTTACTTTTTTTCTGTACTTCTTTATTTTGCACAAATGTTGTACAAAACCATTAGAACACTCAAGGCTGTGTGTTACTGCGAATAACATCATGGTTTTGACGATCTATGGTACTTGTCCAATCAAAGTGCAATCTAAAACTCTGTCAGATATGGGGCATATCACACAACTGGAACTAGAACCTAGGGCTAAGGTTAGAGACGATAATTAGCTGAGGTAATGTACAGCAAACAAACAAATAAGATAAAGAAAGGCAATAGGTTTACTTACAAGTCGCCGTCTCTCCTCCTCAACTGTGTTTAATAGCTGAGAAAATTCCTTTAATGACTGAGCTGTGAAAGAGAGAATTCAAATTGCAGTCAAATTGTGGCTTAACATCTGCACACATTCTCTGTCAACACATTCAATTTTGTCCTCTGGGTGGAAGAATGATAGCAATAAAATGTGCCATTGTAAAATGACCGTGGCCACCCACAGCCTATCTGTAAACAGGGGAGATTCAGAATCAATGGTGCGTTGCTAAACAATTACATAGACAAGAAAAGACTGTATGCTCAAGATGTGGAAACATGACAGGACCATAAAGTATGGTTCCTGGATGGCTCCCTGGTGTGATCTGTGAACAGAAACACGCTACAGCAGAAAAACAGAATGTGTCAATTGTAGCTGACAGAAATATAGCTGCTAAAGCAATTCTTTTAAAAATACGTGGAAAGATATCAATCTTACTATTTCAAAACACTGCATATATTTATGTAAATGCATAACCTGCCCAGCACCTATTAAAAATGAGGGAAGGGTAACAGGAAAGTTCAATATCAGATTGTTTTAATGGAAAAGGACACACAGTGTCACTCGTGAAGCAGCACATGTACAACAACAAACCATGTCCTAGGATGATGCCACAGAACTTCTGATGGGTCTATAGTGAATTATATATTGGAAGAACATCTAATACATGCCATTTTCACACTTTGTTTACATTCACAAGTTTTCTGTTTTACAAATCAGTACTCTCATTTAACCAAAAAACATGACTTAATACAATAAATCTATAATAAAGCAACAACAAGTGATTTTTAGCCATATGGTTAGAGAAATTGTAAAACAGTGCTCAGAGAATATATGCAGGCCTTATTTAGTAACTACAATGGTAAACTGGTTGAGCTATTTTTAGGTCATAGAAGTATGTAGTAAAACTTTAAGCCCACTAGTGGGCCCTGGCCAGGTAAAGAGTTAATTATGTATCGACTGGCTGCTCAGTATTGTGCTTCATTCAAAAAGCAGTCTGGGTTAAAACACCCTTTATAACTTTAGTGTTGACAGGCAGGGCTAAACTGCAGCAAACTGAAAAAGTGGATATCGCTGCTGTTGGAACAAAACTCGTATCTCCAAAATGGTAACTTTACAGGAGAAGGAAAAAAACATACTTTATTTTTAATGTAAGTCAACGGAACCAGACTTTTTTCCCCCAAGTCATTTTGGGACATTCTTTTTGGTTCATTGTAAAGTGTGCACACAATGTAAAGGACAACAGGCATTTTGAAAATATGTCAAAAACTGAAAAACGACAAAAATGGAGATACAAGGTTTTGTCCGACAGCAGCGATATATGTAAATGGATTTTGTTTTGGGACATCACAGAAACACTGAATTCAAAATGAGTTGTTTTTTCAGCTACTGTACACATTTTGAAACATTGTTTAAGTACTACATAAAATACTTTTATTTCAAAAAAGCGAGGAACATTTGTTTTGTTCAAGATGTGGGCCCTTTAATGGGTTTTGCCTGTGGTTACCTCCACAGCCTAGCTGAAGGACTGTTACTCTGATTGAGTAAATATCAGTAAACAGTTAAACATAAGCAAATTAGTGTGTGAGTTACAAGCCAGAATCATGAGATGCTTTGCATCTAAAAAATGATAAGAGAGCGAAAACCAATCAACATACTCTTCCGCTAGAGTTATTTAGAGCGGTCACATGTACAATGCTGCATCACAACATCATTTTATTTCAGGTCGTTCAGGGTCAGTGGGATAGAGCTGCTTCAGCTACATCACTTCCTGCCTGGAATAAGCTGCAATTTCTTGTTTGGTGATATGAGAAGAAAGGAAAGCCCCCCTGCCAGCCTCCAGGCTCCTCCAAACATGCAGCCTGTGGCTATACACGTCTGCTTAGAAGCACAGGCCCCTGAGTAAACAGCCTCTCAGCCACAGCATGACATATTTCAGCTGTGTTAATACGCCAGAGGCAAACCCCTCTACATATACAGTGAGGCACTGAGGCAGTACGTTCACTCAGATTTGGGTCCTGCTAAATATCCATGAAAAATCAGTATCCGGTGCAGATATGAATGTGACGGAAACAGCACATTCAGAGCTCAGTCCACATCGCTGTGGCTAATCATTTTGGATGGAGCTGCATGAAATGCGCTGTATTAATGCAGGATGCTTAAGGTCATTCTGCATTGAGGTTTGCAATACATTTAGTTTAGCCACTTGAAGTCTATGCATTACCAAATTAAACATTGTGTTATTACAGGCACTTATAATTACAGCCACTTATCTTATATCTTAATTTGTAGCAATGAAATAAGTGAGATTCAGCTACAATATATGAGATGCTCTAGCGAATGTTATATAAATACATTTCTTATGATCAATATAAACAAGAAAAGGGAAAGTGTTTTGATAATCTTTAGCTTTTAAAGGGGCCCATATTCTACATTTGTTTTGTATTTGTGTGGGTTTATGTACCAAAACTTCTTTACGTTTTAGAATTAAGCAAGCTGTTTTTGTTACTGTGCCTTGTAAATGAGCTCTGTTTTGATTGGATGTGCATTACACCTCACTGAAAAAGCAGCTCAGGCTTATAACTTCAACATGAATGGGTGAGGCTTAACTGCAGTGAGCTGAATAGGGGATATATAAATGTGTTGTTTTACGTGACATCAGAAAACAGCTCCACCTTCTAGGCTCTACCTATAACATCTATGTACCAAAAACGGTTCATTTTAACATGACCATTATTATCCTCTCTTTATTCCTCAGAATTCAACAGGCAGTAACAGTGCCTTGTAAATAAGCTCTGTTCTGAATGGCTGTGTATAAAAGCCTGATTTAAAAAGTGGTCCAGGCTGAAGCATTCCTTATAACTTCATCAAGAATGGCCGGAGCTAAATGGCCGGAGGCTGGATAGGTGGATATATGTAAATTTGTTGTTTTTTGTGACATCACAAAAAAGTCTGTGTAAGTTTCCACATATAGATTATTGGGCTGAGGAGTGACTAGTATATTTTGAACATTTAACAGTGTTTACATACTCAAACTCTTTAGGTTCAGAATAGTGAGGAAAATTTTCCATGATATGGGGCCTTTCAAGAGGGGAATGTTCCAAAACTGTTCACTCCTGCACTAAATTTAGTGATCCACAGATTCGATAGACTGGATCGGTATCAGCACCCCTACTGACTTAATTATATGGATAGAATATCAGACATTACCAATCCTCATACTGTTTTCTAGTTATGTTTGTTATGAAACTGTTATAGTGCAATTTTTAAAAAAAACAGAATTTTAAAATCTGCAGAATCCTAAAAAAACGATTCGCATTGTATGTCTATATATACTTTACTGCTATGAAACTTTCAGAGCACCGCTATTGGATTGGTTCAGGTATTGGAATTGGTGTTGCGAGATAAAACACTTTTACTATTTATGATGTTAGAATACTCAAAACCAGGCAACAGCTGGTCTTTGTGTGATAAAGAGCCATTATTGTTTAGCACAAAATGACGCTGTGGTTGGTGCGTGGTGGTACTAGCAGCAGAGGCAATGGACAGGATTGTTCTCAGCAGTGGATCAGATAGAACTGCCCTGCAACTCAGCATGGCTGCTTTACTATATGGGGACATTAAAATGAAGTAATTAAAGGGGCTGCCTGCTTATATAAGCACAATTAATATGAAGGAAAAATATTCTACAGATTCAACAGAGTTTATTTACACAATTCAATTTCCAAAATTCTATATAATTCAATATTAAAATGTACACAAAGTACTTCTTAAAATTTCCTGCATGTGCCTCTTCAGCATCATGTATTTAAATATCAGACACCTAAGGTAAAACAATGTCACAGTCACCAAGCAGCACATTCATAACGATTTCATGTACTAACTTTCTGTGAGGTAGCTTTTAAAGGTGTTGACTGCTTTAGACATCTGGATCCTATCATTACCATTGTGAATAATTCTGACACGGTATGTTTCTCTAGAACAGAACATTTCCCATCAAACCAATTTGAACGACTCTGTTTATATATGTACTACTTAATTATCCAAAAACTTTGAAAACTGTTAGAATGTCCCACTTAATTCGAATTCCAGGTTAACTGAACTCAATTTTAATTAAATATGGGTGTCATTCTCAGCATGATCTTATTATTTTAACTGCATTAATGCCAGAGAATGATAAAAATAATCCTGTTGTGAGGTTTGGGTGAATTCCCATATGAGTCTGGTCTTAGTCACTTACCAATGTTAATCTCATCATCAGTTTCTGCGTCACCGATGCACTCAAACTGGAAATCCTGAAGGGACTGTGAAAACTTCTGTACAGCTGCAGAAAGGTCTGTGAAAGAGATTTTTGTCTCAGTGATCATCATAGTTCTTGTAAATCCATATTTCCGTATAACTATACTTCTCACAGTAGTTGCTTTTCGCTTACGCCAGACCAAGGCTTTTATTTCAGTCCATCCACTGTCAAGCATCAGATGTGTTTACATACAGAAAACTGGTTACAAGCCACAAAAATGAGATAAGCCTATATTATTACCTTTGTAAATCAAACCCCAGTATAATAGGAGCTGGACCTTTCTGGGAAGTCATTCAGTCTCCCTTTTGTTGGGTAAGGAAAGGTTTGAGTAGGTGCCATGTTGCCATGGCACAGAGCAGCGAACTGCCTACACTCTGTCTGACCATAATGGTCAAAGAATGAAAGAAAAGAGTCCGAGAAAGAATTCTAAAAAAGAAATCAGCACAGCCAAATCTGTGTTTCAGCAAGGCTAGGTTTTCACATTAGAGGTAACAAGTTGTTTATTTTTCAGGAGACATTTCTGAGGATTACATACAAGATAATCTACCTGCATAAGAGACAGTCAAAGGAAAATAAGCAAAAAAACAGGAGTTTTAAAAATGGAGTTCAAAAGATACAGAGAAAATAAGACTCCTAAGAACTGTGTTAGACCTAGTTGGAACTGTCACCAACAAACAAAAAGTACTTAAAGCCATTATCCTTGAAGGAGAGGAGAAAATCAAGCTCCACTCTTGCTTCAGATCTGAAAAAATCCACAGCTGTTTCTATTCATCCTTCTGCTGTGAGAAGAAATGTTCAGCGCTATGAGTCTGAACGGATGTGTAGCTGTCAAGAAGGCAATACTAAGTGGCATGCAGGTGTTCACAGAACAATGAACTGACCACCCCAGAGTCCAGACCTCAAAACTTAGTGTCTGGATCTTCTAGCTTAATGTTTGGGATTATTTGAATTATTATAAGTAGAAAATGCAACCAAACAAAATATCCCTGCAGATTTCTTTGAAAACTGGAAGCAAGTCTCATGAGAGAAATGGAAGCTGTAATAAAAGGAAGTGTGTGCATACTAAACACTGACCAAAGTGATATTATATTTAGTTGTTGAGGTTTTTGTGTAATTTTCTATCAAATGGATGTTTTCTGCTTTTCCCTGGTGCTGAAAAATGAATAACTTGTATTTAATGATCATTCATAAATAAATGAAAGGGTGATTTTTCCACAGTATTTTCACAATTAGGCACAAAATATACCTAAATTTATTTTACTACTTCAAATTACCCACCTCTAGAGATTTATGGTAAAATTTAGCATTGCCAAGTATGTCTATCTGTTTTCACACTCCAGAGACAGCTCTGCTTTTAGCACAATGCTAGCTAGCATGCATGATTGGCACTGAACAGACTGGCATTTGTGGAGTTCTTTAGATCCACAGCTATGTCACACAGGTGCATGGACAGATTAGCATCTGCTGATCCCTTCTGGTAGGTTGCTGGAGGCATGGATCAAAAATGAAATGGCTGTGGAGAGCCACTCTGTGATAAGCACTACTGATGCTGGAATCATAAGCAATATTCAGTGCACTGCTACAGCATTTAGGGCCTGGGTAAACCAGGCTGGTTTAGTAAATGTCAAACTATCAAACTGTCTTTTCAAATCTTATAAAACACTTCTGTCTTAAATGTTTTGTGGAACCACAAGATTTTGTAATGTCTGAAAATGTAGTTTTGACTTCTGTGTAAACTGAATCAGTTCACTTGCTGAAGCTGTCAGTGAGGATGTTCTGTGGTCTTTGTAGACAAATGAAGAAACACTTCTGTGGCATTTGAAACAACATGATAATTACGTCACAGTATACCATGGGTTTCAACAGTACTTCTTGAACACAGAACCACTGCATAAGTCTGAAAAAAGAGCAGTTTTTTGGATTTAGACCAGTTATTACAGAGCATGTAAACGACAGCCAGTGTATATTAACTGCATCAACCACATAGTAACCAGTAGCTAACTGGATGCCACTCTGTTTTTCACTAAATGTTTGATTTTTTTCACCTTTTCCTTCTCAAAAGTCATTGCACTCCAAGTTTTAAAGCTAACGAGACTTGAAAATCATAATGCTTTTTCATTCCATATCGTGACATATTTCTGAACGGTGTGAGGGGAAGTGAAACATGATTTGATGTTTCAAGAGAAGAACAAAAGCCATTAGACTTTTTGTTCAAATGTTTTTAAGAAAACAATAATTTTGTCATTTAAATTGTATGATGAATGATTGGTCCATTGCAAAACTCAGCTAAATATCATCATACATATCCTTAAAATGTCCTCAAGTATAGTGGTATATTTGGTCCTTATCACCCACGATTAGGTGAGAAGCTCTGGACCAACACTGGATTGAAAACACTTCAGAAAACAACAACAGAAGCTCTGATGACCTCCTATCAGTCAAATAGTAACACTTCTTGTACTCAGCGCTGGGAGGGAAAGAGAATCTTTCTGATATTTAACAGAACTCATTTTGAAACATTTCTGCATGTATACGGGTAGGGCGGTATCAAGGTCAGCAGGACTGAATAACCCATGAGCTGTCATTGCAAAGTGATGGCCATCAGTGGACAGTGTTAACAGTCTGGCAAAGACATCCATGTGTAAATCGGTTCTTTCAGAAATCAAACTTTTAAAACCCAACTGGTCTACAGATGACATTCCAATCTCATTGTAAATGCAACTGCACAGAGACAACTGCATCTGCATTTTGGGGGTGGGGGCATGATTTAGATCTGACCTAGATTTGACCTATGATTTTAAATCCAAACGCCCCCCAGTTGATGTATTAAAAGCACAGTAAGCAAGCATTAAAGTTGGAGTTATATGAGGTAGAATGTATTGCAGGGTGGACTGATGGTATTTGACAGGTCAGAAGGTCAGCCATCAGTCTGACACACAAGGTCCTTTTCATAATCCAGAAAACATCTCACAGGAAGCCACATTCCACAGTGGCCCATCAACCACACAACTCTCACCACTCTCACATCTCCATGTAAACACAGAGAGGCTGGTGCCAGCATTACTGACTCCATGGTGATAGATCACATTTAACTAGCTGATGAGAAAAAGTCCAGAATTCAAGAATGGAAACAAACGGCTACACAATTTACTCTGCAATGCCGGATCCAATGGGAAAGTCTATTAAAAATATTTTAAGGCTATTCATATTGGGGTTGAACTGCATAAAGGATGCACTGCATAAAAGTTTAATTAAAAAAAAAAAAAAATACTTATAACATTATTATTACGTCCAAAACTATGTTCAGGGATATTGGAATATGGAGTTGTACGTCTTATCGTAGCTGTTCGTTACTGAAAAAATAAACAAATAAAAAATAAAATAAAAAATTAAGAATAAAAAATAAGGGCAGTTTTACAAAACAAATACTTCAATATGATTATAAAAGGCCACTTCTCACAGTAATTCAATAGAAAAAAGACCCCGGCTTGCAGGGATAAGCCTAATGCTGTTCAACTTACTTTTCAGCGCACTGATGAGCATGTTTCCATCTTTGATGAGCTCCTTTATGAACGAGTTTGTACGGTCCAACTCGATTTCGTGACATTTCAGACGGTCTCTGAAATCAGGGCTGTCCAGAAAAGAGTCGCTGAATTCCAGAGTTGGAAGTCCCATTGTAAAAGCAGCGGGGAATTACAAATTAAATAAAACCTCAAATAACCTCTTCTGCGGTTTGGTAAGGTCAGTCCTTTTTTTCTTCCTTCGACACAATCCCTTTGCTGTTCCTTTAAACGCCTGTACGCCTTACAGTTACCTTAACAACTCCTGAAACTCCGTATCCTAAAAGTCCTCTTCCGGCATTTTGTTTCCCTCTCAATCACACGGAGATGAGGAGTTGTTTTTTCCCCACCCGTATTCGAATAAGTCCCGCCTTACTGAGCTACGATTGGCTAGCCGCAGCTCACCATGTGTGTTACCATTGGTTATTAGTTCATACTGCTGGTGAGTAATAACCAGTCATAGCGCAAGGGGTGTGGCTTGTCGGAATACAGGTGGAGTTCTCCTGGCGTCTTCACCACACTACAGGTAGACTGTGTGGAAAGGGCTGTGGGGAAGGGTTGTAGATTGTTGTTCTCCTTCGTGGTAAAGCAACAAGTTATTTATGCGTAAGATCTAGATAGTAGACGCTAAATAAAGAAGCTAGACGTTAAACTCTGACCAATCAAAATGACCACGGGGGGGACGGGTGCTAAAGAATAAAGATCTCCCAGACAGTTTCTTAGGGTTTTTTTGTGGGTGGAGGTTTAACGGATCTTAGTGATGGCTAGCTGTTAATTATGGCCGGTTAAGTTATGTTTTAGGAAGACCATTGTTTTAATGACTTATTTGATTCTGTTTACAATCTCACAAGGCTGATTAATAAAGTTCATAAAGATGATGATGGCCATGTTGTTAGCCAATTAGCATCATATTTTTTTTTTAAATATAATTATTATTGTATTAGACCTGTTCAGGGTGTATCCTGCCTTCCGCCCAATGACAGCTGGGATAGGCTCCAGCACCCCACGGCGACCCAGAAGGATAAGCGGTTTAGATTATATGTGTGTGTGTGTGTGTGTGTGTGTGTGTGTGTGTATTAGTATTATTGTATTAAACATCTTTGCGGGACTCCTATTTTATTTAGAGCATGGACTGCCATCTAGAGGACTATTTACAGAACATTCACCTACACATAAGAGCAGTGGTCACCAACCCTAGTCATTGAGATCTGCTTCCTGCAGAGTTTAGTTCCAACCTGCATCTAACACACTGTCCCTCCCCTTTATCTGATGCCAAAACATCTAATTCAGCCAATCACGGTCTTCTGAAGAAGTTTATTAGCTAGAGCCTGTGTGGCAGAGTGTAGTTGGATCAGGGCTGGTGACTGCTGCATTAGATAGATTCTAGCTTACACTGTTAGGATTAGAGATTGGAAATAATAATAACTCGATTTATATGACCTGAACAAGATGAAATACTTGACCATTACACTACAATATTTATATATTGGGACAGTCTGTGACATTTAGAGGTTGTGTAACTTAGTACTCATAGTACACTAAGGCAGCCTATTTTTAACTCGACCCAGTCAAGCTTGTTGCAGGAACACTTTGAAAGCGCAGGGTTTAGAGAGATAGTAAAGGCATGGTCACTTCTTTAAGGTAAGCCATCTTTCTATTATATCTGAGACAGGCTTGACTTTACTGACCTCAGCATTACTACACAGTTTTTAAGGGCATTTTCTTCTGCTGGACATTAAGCACTATGCTTTTTCTGCTTTTGGTTACTGGTCATAAATTGCCTGAATATAACATCAAAATATCTCCAATACTTAAGAACTGTCCTCTATTTTAAGGTCCTGCTGAAAATCCTTCGTCACAGAGTCACACATGGTATGTTTATTCCATTTTCTTATTAGTGTAGACATCTTGTTTGAATCAAGACAGTTGATGTTCTGGATTATCCTGTTACTTTTAACAAATGCATTCCAGATTTCTTATCTTTGGACACTGCAAGTCGCTTACAACAAAAATATGTTAATGATATTTCCAAATGAGAATTAAATGACCTGTTCAGTGACTTTTTTAAAAAAAAAGATAAAGCATAACAGTAGAATGAATTATCACTAATGCTTATATGATTTTGCAGGCGCTTAAATTTGTGAAAATAAATTACTTTATGCATTTTCCTTTCCAGAGCAGGTATAGGAGGTCAGTGCCGAGGCTGCACAGGCACTGTGATAGCTGCTATAGCAAGCGCTGTAGAGCTCCCGTAGAGGTCTCTGTGTCATGCATGGTCATCAACTGCCGCTTGTTCTGCGGCGCCACCTTTCACATGTGCAAAGAAGATGAACACATGCTGCTGTGTCCTAATGAGAAGGTGCCCTGTCTCAACGCCAACTATGGCTGTCCTTTCACCATGTGCCGCTCCAAACTAGCCAAGCACCTGGAAGTGTGTCCTGCTAGCGTGGTGTGCTGCTCAATGGAGTGGAACCGCTGGCCCATCGACAATGTAAAATCACCTCTGTACATCAACCTTCTGAAGGACGTTCAGGAGCCCTCAAGCTCTGGACCTCTCCATGGCCCTCAGAGATCAGAAGCATCTCTGCGCCAGGTTGAAGATGAGAAGTTTCTTTCCAGAGTTAATGGAGGAGCCAGAAGAACCTATTCTAACAGAGGAGGAGGGGGCAGTCGGGGGAGACAACTTTCCTAATGGAGAGCATGTCTCAATGAATGGAATAAATGGAGGTGAAGTCTCAATTAATGGTCCTCTAAAGGCTGCAGTGGAAGAGCATGTCGAGAAGGATCTCCAGGACTTCAGTGTCATTCAACAGAAATACATCCAATATGAGAAGATGTTTAGCATGGAGAGAGGGGGCTGCAAGCAGGCCAAGAATGAAGGATCAAAAACAGAAGACAAGAAAGACAAGAAGGCACCACCTAAGGGTTCTACTAACCAAGCTGTGCAGCAAGAAACCTCTAAGGAACCTGAAAAAGGTAGCGATGGAAGAGTTGCTGTACAGCCAGACATCTCTAAAACTGGCTTCGCTCCTTGGCAGGAAGGCGTGTTGGAGAGACTTGGTCGAGAAGTAAATCCGAGAGAATACAACATGTATATAGTTCACCATGGACGCATGCTGCTCTCTTTTGGCCAGATAGAAGCTTGTACACCAAAAGAGAAAGATTTTGTTTATGGCAGCCTGGAGCCAATACCAGTTCAAACCCTGCGTTCATTTAGTGTTCCTATTAGCTACAGGCACAAACGCATCCAACTCAAGGACCCTTCAAGCCGAGCACGTACCGAGCACAAGAGTGTGGACACATCTGATTTGGCTGTCCCTAAGGAGGATGCTCAGAAAATGGATGAAATGTTTGCGACCTTGCTGTGCTCTGCTGAGGTGGAGATCAGGGGACACAAGATCAGTGAAACAGTGGCAACAGATGGACTGTATGTTGACATTGCTACTCAGACGTATAACTTTGTCACAGCTCCATTCAAGTACAATGCCACTCTGGCTGATATTACAGCAGAAAGTGATTTGAAACTGCATCTCCAGACTGATACGGAGAGCGTCACTCTCAGACACAACAAATCCACCTCTGCATTCACGTTCCTCTGTGGACACTTCTTCAGACGGGATGAATTCGCCTCCCACTACAAGAACGTCCACTCAGATATCCAGTCTTGTCTGAACGGCTGGTTTGAGCAGAGGTGTCCTCTGGCTTATCTGGGCTGCACCTTCATCCAGAAACGCCTCCAACCCTCCACGCATAGAGCCACAGTCTCCTATAACCAGGACCTCAGCATTTTCACACTCAGGCCTGAAATCCCTACAGCTCTAATGGATGATTCTTACAAAGTCAGCATACAACAGATGCGAGCTAAACAAGAGGATTCTCTCAGTAATCTTCCGTTTGAGGTCCTGCGTCATATCGCGGGCTACCTAGATAGCTTCTCTCTCTCCCAGCTAGCGCTGGTCTCCAGACTTTTCCGTGATGTCAGCGCCACACTCCTTCAGGAGAGAGGGATGGTTGGCTTAAAATGGCGCAAGAAGATATACTCTCATGGCAGAGCCCGATGGAAGTCATCCGTAGTAAGTATGTTATGATGGATGCTGTGGTGGAACGTACACATTAAAGGAACTGCACTAGCCAAAGGCATTAGTGTGAGTCATTAGCTAAGATTAGCACACATTCTGTAATGTCTGTGTATAAACTTTCAACTTAATTTAAAATAATTAGGACAGGCAGTGTTTTGTGTACAAACATGAAAGTAATTCTGCTTTTTATCAATAATGATAATTGATATCTAACATGGATTCTTTCACACCACATCCTTCTCCCTCTCTTTTTTATGTCATTCTTTCTTTTCATTCTCTCTGAGGTATGGGAGTTCAGCAATCTGTTCAGCAGAGTTGGCAGTTGGTGTATTGATGGTTCTCCTTCCATGGCTGAACATCTGAAGTGCTGTCCATTTTACCAAACAGACCCCAAAACAAAGCGCTTCGCCCTTCCCAGCATGGGGGAACACAAAGAAGATATTAAAGAGCGGCAAAGTCTCGTCACACTGTTTATGGGACGGAGATAACTTTGTTAGAAGTTTTTTTAATGTAGTCTTTGTTTTCTGAATGCATATATTACAGCATATTAACCCCTTAAGGGCCTGTATGTGCTCCCATATTTGAGTTCCTCACTCTCATAACTACATAATTTACCTATTAGTTTTATAGCAGTAACTGAATAATTCATAGTTACTGATTAATAAGTCTTAATATTTATGACTGCGTTACAATTATATATGAATGAATGTGCATATATATTAGCAACATATTAGCAGATAATTACACAGAAACCTTAAAAACTAAATATAATTTTTTTTTCATTATGTACTGTTTTCCTTCATTACAACTCCATTAAAATCTGCAGGTATATTCTTCCACACTGCCAAAGTTCAGTTTCAGAAGGTGGTTTGATTTTCTCCTCAGAAACCAAGTAAATCCAACCATAAATTTAGACTCATCAGTCGATAAAACTTCACTCCACATCTCAGATGTCCAGTTTTAAGCATTGTAGAGCAAATGTTCTTTTTAGTCTGTTTTTGTTTTCTCAGGAACAGCTTCTTGACAGCTACACATCCTTTCAGCATTGAGTTGTCTTCTCAGAGTGGACAGATGGACAGAAACACATGCATTTTTTCAGATCTGAAGCAAAAGTCGTGCTTGATTTTCTCCTCTCTCTCAAAGATTTAAGTACTGTTTGTCTGATGGTGACAGTTTTGGTGGTCTACCAGGTCTTACACAGTTTTTAAGAGTCCCATTTTCTCTTTATCTTTTAATTATTTTTTGAACTCACTTATTTTCATTTGACCCTCGCCTTCCTTATACAAGTGGATTATCTCATATCTAATCTCCTCAAAATATCTCCAGAAAAATTAATAACTTGCACTTAATGGCTGTTTTGACAGGAAATTACACACAAACACACACACACCCACCCACCCACACACACACACACACACACACACACACACACACACACATACACGCACATACATACAGAGAACATAATGAGGACAGTTGTGCCATTGTCCTACTACATGTACTGGATTCTAAGCTACAATGAAAATTATGTATGCTTAAGATGTTATAAAAAGACTATTTATAAATAAATAAATATATAAATTAAGGGATAAAGAATATATTTTCAAGGTCAAAAAACTGAACTGCAAATATGTGTGTTGAGGAAAAATGCTAGTTAAGTCTTAATATTTCCTTGCCATTCAGTGAACATTTCCACTAAAAAGAAATGTCTCTGTATTAGTGTTACTACTACTAAGGTACAAATATATATTATAGCATATTAAAGTACATGACTGTTCTTTTTAGGCCTAGTGTGTTTACTTCACCATGTGGAATGTTTCAGCTCTTCTATTTTAGAATGATTAAGTCAATGAAGAGAGAAGCACATAGAACTAATAGCAGGTCACTCTCAGCAATGTTTGAAAACACTGATGCAACACTTCACTCTGTAATTCTGAGCTGCTGATCATTATAGACCTGTAACCGGATTCTGTGTTTCAGAGGTCACACTGTTCGTCCACCATGTGCGCTTCTATCTATTTTTAACATTCAGACACACTGCTGACATTAGTACACTCAGCCTTAAAGTGACTAAGCTGAACACCAGCAAGGAGCTGACCGTATTAACACGGGTGAGACGACCTATATTTTCCCTGTGTTTGAATTCGTTGTTATATATTTCTTGGTCGGTCACATCTGGTAGTGTAAGTTCTGTTATGCATTGCACGTTTGGGCTTTAAGCATGCACTCCTTCTTAGGCAGTATGTGCTGTTTTCTTGTCCATGTCAGCTGGGGACAGATGATCACTGAATACTGTTCCATTTTCAGCCACATGGGGGAGAAAAGATAAACAACAAATCAGCTCCCTGTATGATGTTGAATGCAGCTCAGTGTGGTCAGATTCACATTTTGATGTAAGGAATCATTTTCAGATGAGAATTCAAGCCCATGCAATTCATACTGGTTTGTAGACATGGTAAGTTCAAAAATCTCAGTCTCCAGAAATGGCAAACCATCATACAACAGCTGTTTAGAACCATCTTTTACATCTTTTACAACTTTTTCCTCAGGTAAGACAAAAGGCTCCAGCATCCAAGCTGCACAGACACTGTGAGAGCTGCTACAGTCGGCGCTGCAGAGCTCCCATTGAGATCTCCGTGTCATGCATGATCATAAAGTGCCGCTTGCTCTGTGGCGCCACCTTTCACATGTGCAAAGAGGATGAACACATGCTGCTGTGCCCTAACGAGAAGGTGCCCTGCCTCAATGCCCACTACGGCTGCCCTTTCACCATGTGCCGCTCCAAGTTAGCCAAGCATCTGCAAGTGTGTCCCGCTAGCGTGGTGTGCTGCTCAATGGAGTGGAACCGCTGGCCCATTGAAGAGGCTGAGCCTCCTGAGTTCTACCAGAACATCTTAACGAAGAATTACACCCAGGAGCCACTGGACCTGTCCATGGCTCTCCGGGACCAGACGTATCTCTTTCAGTCCCTTAAAATGAAGGCTCTTTTTCCTGAGCTTGTTGAAAAGGTAGAGGAGGAACCTGGAGTTCAGGAACTGGAAGGAGCTGTTGGAGGGGTGTTGAATGGTGTGGAGGAAGCCTCTACTTCTGAAGGTGCTGACTTAGTAGATGCTGAATTTCAGGAAAGGCCATTAACCCAAGAAGAGAGAGAGGCATTAGCAAGGGATACTAATGTCTCAGGTATTGGAAAGTACAACGTCTGGGAGAAAATGTTCAGCATGGAGCTGAGTGGTTGCAAGCACACTATTAAATCACTGGGTACAAACCCACCCTCCAATGGTAAAGAGCTCAAACCCCAAGCAAATCCAAACAGGCTAGAGATCTTACCGGAGGAGCCACAGAAACACGCCAGGGAATCCAGTACACTTTTGGAAACGCCATATTTCAATCCATTTGAAATGGACGAGCGCAAGTTTCTGATAGCAACATCATTGTTTGCTTGCGATACTCGCCCAAAGAAGAAACTCATATATGAGCATCTGGAGCCCATGAAGATTAAGACAGTGAGGACGTTCAAGATACCCACCAGCTTTAAGGCAAGACCAAGTTACATTCGCAATCCTGGTCGTTACAAAAGGGTTAGCAAATCTGTCGACACATCAGACCTGGGCATTGACATGGATGAGATGCCAAAATGGGATGAGGTTCAAGCGACCCTTTTGTGCTCTTTGGAAAAAGAACGAAGAGGACACCTGATCGCAGAGGCCACTTCTTCAGATGCCCTCTTGATGAGTGAGGGAACTCAGACTTATGACTTTTTCTCTGTTCCTTTCAAAGTAGATGCCACTCTGGCAGACATCACTGCAGATAGGTCTTTGCAGCTTCATGTCCAGATTCAGACCGAGAGTGTCACCAACAAACACAATAAATCAAGCTCTGCATTTACGTATCTCTGCTGCCATTCGTTCAGACGAGATGAGTTTTCTTCTCACTTCAGGAATGTTCACTCAGATATCCAAACCAATTTGAACGGCTGGTTTGAGCAGAGGTGTCCTCTGGCTTATCTGGGCTGCACCTTCATCCAGAGACGGTTCCAGCCTTCCACACACAGAGCCACTGTCTCCTATGATAAAGAGCTCAGCACATTTACCATCAGACCCGAAGTGTCGTCCATCCTTTATGAAGGTGTGAGGACGGTATCCACAGAAAGGAAGCGAGCGCGAAACCTGGACGCTCTGAGCAAGCTGCCTTTTGAGGTTCTAGTCCACATCGCTGGGTTTCTAGACAGCTTCACTCTGTCTCAGTTTGCTCTGGTATCCCGCCTAATGAGAGAGGTCTGTGGCACACTGCTGCAAGAAAGGGGCATGGTCTCATTGAAATGGGAGAAGAAGGTCTATTCTCATGGAGGCTGGTGCTGGAGAAGCAGACAAAAGGTCAGTTTTCACTAAGAACTGAAAGTGAATAAAATATATCGTGACATTCTACTAACAGATATTCTAAATCCATTTAGGTCTGGCAGTTCAGCAACGTGTTCTCGACTGTGGATAAGTGGTGCTTCGACGAGTTTCCTCCAATGTCTGAGCATCTTAAGGTCTGCCCTTATTATCAGACGGAGAACAGAACAGAACCTGTACACCTAACTTCTGTCCAGGAATGCCATAAAAAAGAAAAGAAGACTCAGAGTCTTGTTTCCATGTTTTTAAAAAATAAGTAGGATTTGCATTGCTCCTGTTTACTTATAACTCCTGCTACCCATAATACAACAAAGCCTGTACTTTGGTTTTGATTAATAAAACTGAAGTCTGCATAAACAGTTCAATGTATCACTTTAAATTATGTCATTACGATATTTGTTTGGTATTACAGAAAAAGGGAACTGCACGGTACATTTTTGTCCCGCAAGGTACGAACTATGTAAATACACTCTCAAGCACACAACATGGTCTTTAAGGTCAAACTGTATGCCTTAAATGAGTTTTAAAGGCATACTACATTCCAATGCCGAGGGAAAGGTACAGTGGTATGCAAAAGTTGAAACACACCCATTAAATTAAATATTTTGTTGATTGAAGTGAAAATAAGCGAACACATCTACTACAGGGAACAACCTTAAATAGGGCATTTCCTGCATAATTTACACTACAATTTCTATTTATTTGCTAAAAACCAACAATATAAAATTTTCTATAACACAGGCAGATGTAAGTTCTCTGTGGATGATGCCTTAACTTATTTTCATTCTCTGTAGATGATGCATCAATTTATTTTCACTGAGAAAATCAACTGAACATGTAATTTGATCAGAGGCACCCAAACTTTTACATAGGACCATACAAATATCTTCTTAACTATTTTAAGCAGCCAAAACAGAACTTTAAAAAAAGTTTAAAAAAAAATGCAAAATTTTACTTTGGAATATGGTGCAATTATGTTCCTTAAAAGTTTAGAACCCCCTTTTTTAAAAGTATATGACGTGGTTGTCATACCTTTATCACCAAATGTAAGTAGACACAGTCTTGACAGTGATAATATGACCTGAAACTCAATTCAGGCAGTTCTTTTCTTTATTGTTTTGGGGTCCAACAAAGAACAAATGAACAGTGAACATCAACACTTTTGTCCATTTTGCTTATACTGGACAGGCATCAAAGCTGCGCGTCAATCCTATGCAAAAATGCTGCCAAGTTTTCTCCGGGTCTGAGACCATCTCGGATGGTCCAAAAGACAGTGGAAATATATATATAGTGGAATATATTGTGATCAGATGAGTCCACATTTCAGCTTGTTTTTGCAAACAACAGACATTAAGTTCTCAATGTCAAAGATGAAAGAGACCATCCAGACTTTTATCTACGAAAGGTGCAAAAGCCAACATCTGTCATGGTATGGTGGTGCATTAGTGCCTGGCATGGGTGACTTGCAGATGTGGAAAGGTACCACTGACGCAGAGGCATATATTGGGATTTTAAAGAAATGTATGCTGCCATTAAGATGATGTCTTTTTTCCCCGAGAAGTCCCTGGTTATTTCAGCAAGACAGTGCCAAGCCTCATTCAGTGCTGCAACAGCGTAGCTTCTTGGACACAGATTGCATGTGCTCAAATGACCTGCCTGCAGTCTGTCTCCTACTGAAAATGTATGGTGCATCATGAAGAGAAGAATCAGACAACAACAACCACAGACTGTTGAGCGGCTTAAGTCTTGTATCAAGCAAGAATGGGCAAAATTTTCACCTGCAAAACTGTAACTATTGGTATCCTCAGTTCCCAAATTATTAAAAAGTGAAATTAAAAGGAAAGGTGATGTAACGTAGTGGTAAACCTGCCTCTGCCCCAACTTTTTTTTTGTGTGTTGCAGTCATCAGATTCTAAATTTGTTTATATATACAAAATACAATTAAGGTGCTCAGTGAAAACATTGGGAATCTTGTTTTGTACTTTTGTCAGTTAAATAAAGGTTCATGAGAATTAACAAATCACAGATTCTTGTTTTGATTGCATTTTACAAAATGTCCCAACTTGTCCTGAAATGAGTTTGTATTTTTAACATTTGCCCTGAGATCAAGTTTATTTCGCTGACTTTGGCAAAGTGATAGAAAAGCAGAAGCAGTCTTTCTGCATGTATTTGCACTTTTATCTCTTTTTTTATGAGTTGTTCCTACTTTAATGGGGAATTGAAAGAATTGGATTTGTTGCCACATTGTTTCTTTCTCATGTCAAGTAGAGGGAGGTGAAATCCTAAATTGTCATTAAATCCCCACAGAGATTCGGGTGAGTCTGAAGCATCTATTTACTGTTGTATGACTTACAATTCCTTACTGTAGTAACAAAATATGACTAAATATATAGTTTGAACCCTGCTAAAAGGTGAAATTGTCATTTATCGTCTGTAACTTTAGATTAGAATGAAGCCGGCAGGCCATCTTTTTGCAGCTGTCTGGGTGGTTGGACTTTTCTCCTTCAGTCTTAGCCAGAAAGATTGTGCTCTGCAGAATGGAAAAGCAGGAGAGCCAGGAATTCCTGGGAGAGACGGCTGGCAAGGACAGAAAGGAGAGAAGGGAGAACCAGGTATTTGCTATGCATTATGCTGATCATTTTGGCTAATTGGGATGTACAATTACATTCATGCATTGATTCAACTGCAAAGATTCTGAAATGTTATAATGTATTATCATAACATTTCATACAGTTAAAGTATGTGATACTTTTGGACCAAAATAAACAGCTCTGAGCTGTTCTTATATATTCTCAAATTCAAAATATTCAAATCTATTTAAATTTGTGACTTCAGATTTCACGATGCTTTGAACTATTTCCTAAAAATTGTAAGCTAGTTTTCACACCCCTACAGGCTCAATGTGTTCAAAAGTTTTAATGAAATGGTTTGGCAAACAATCTAATTTACACAGTTTTTCACTTATCCCAGAGTTGATCAACCAAGAAATGTTTGGAATCTATATTTTGTATACTTAGTGTAAAACTGGAGTGGTGAAGCTAACATTGATAACAAACGCCAGAACTCAATAGTCACCCAAATCATTTCTGTAAAAATACATAACCAAAACTTCTTTCAACGAGTTCAAATGGCATCCAGATCTTATTGATCAGCTTGTCAATGTGGTTTAGTACACAGTATGACAGAGCTGCCCCATAGGTCCACTTCAAAACTAAAGAAGCAAAATTTACATGCCTTGGTTTATTGACTGATTTTTTGCCAAACTATTCCTTTAACATTGCATGCATGACAAAGTGATTGAATAGTTAGATTTATTTCTGGCAAAGCTTTGTAAAGATATATTCCCTCAGGTTTGCAGGTGCAGCTGAGTAAGGAAGCCCTGGCTGCTCTTAAAGGAGATGAGGGTGAGCAGGGCCCTGTAGGAGGCATTGGGGTTAAAGGCTATCAGGGGCTCCTCGGCCCACCCGGTCCGGCTGGTCCTCCAGGGCCTAGTGGAAGCACTGGAGACAGTTTTGGAGATGCTGATGTAAGCAAGGCGGCCTTTTCTGTGATAAGAACCAGGAAGATGTACCCCAACTACAATCAACCAGTGGCCTTCGATAAAGCAATTATCAATGTCAATAATGACTTCAACATTGAGACAGGTCATTTCATTTGTAAGGTTCCTGGGGTGTACTACTTTGTGTTCCATTCTGTCTCTGAGGGAAACTTGTGTCTAAAACTGAGGAGCGACCGCAGTCCTGATGTTAGCCTGACATTTTGTGACTTTAACCAACGCCAAGTATCTCAGGTTGTGTCTGGCGGGGCCGTTCTTGAGCTCGCTAAAGGGAATAGGGTATGGATAGAACCTGTGAGGAACCCTGAGCGTGAATCTGTGGAGTACAACAGAATGACAATCAAAAGTGAGCCGTCAGCTGTGTTCAGTGGATTTCTAGTCTTTGGTACTGAGTAATGTGACAGTTCAATTCAGCTCCATCTTAGACTGCAGTTTCTGTGTTTAAAGGCTTGAATTACATAGCAAGTGTATTAGATTGTACTGTGACTCAATACTTTTCTCTGCCACTTCAGCTCATCACCTATCACTTGTATTTTTTTTAATTTACATGAATATTTCAGTTGTAATACTCATGCAATAAATTTTTCTTGTGAAAATTAAATTGTTCATTTGTGACTCTTTAAGATCTGGTTCACATTGAAGGGAATCCTCATGTAGTTGTGTGCCACAGGAAGAATAAAATGCCACAAAATAAGAATTAAGAATGAGACAATAATGAACCCAAACATAAACAATAACAAAAAACAGAAAACAAACATTTAAAGAATAAATAAAATTAATAATAAGCAAAAAACTAATAAGACATTAAAATATTATATTATATTATATTATATTATATTATATTATATTATATATTGTCACTGTTGTGCAAAAAAAAGCATTTTTGCTGCTTTTACTTTTTTTGCATAATTTGAAAATATCAGCTGTCATTTGTTCCACAATTACTTGGAAAATATTCTTGTTGTGTTCAAAAATGTCATTACAAGCTAATAATGTTTTTTCATCTCTTTTAAAGTTACTATTTTGAAGATATTCAGCTTTGTTCTGACAGTGATATTATATTATATTATATTATATTGTCATTAGTGGTCCTGTAGTGGTCCCTTTTCATGGATGGACTGGGCAAATTTTGGTGGGCCTGATTAATTGTGCATTAATTGATGAGCTACAGTCTGTTACTGTAAACCTACAAAATGCACCTGTTAGATGTTCCTGATAAAATCAATGAGAACATGAGTATGAAAATTTAATGGAGTGTTTACATGATTTTTTACACTCTCTGTAGCATTGTTAGACTGATATGAGGAAAAGCCAAGACACCTCCAAATGCAGTTTATATCTATCTTAATAAATGTGTTTGTGGATAAATTTAATGATTACAGTTGTTTAATGCAGGCAGTCAGACGTTTACTGTATGTACAGACTGTTTTGCTCATGATGATAGAAGTATTGCTTTAAACAGCAGTAATCAATTATCAGCCTATTCATAATAAATGCTTTCTAATTTTATCAACTGTACACAAGAACCGCATCTGAGAAATGATGTTAAGACAGATCATGTGGCTGTAATGCGCTCTGATACGGTGTAAAAGAGGAACATGCAGCACATTTCATTTGATTGGCCAGACGCAGTCGTGTTTGATTGGCTCTAAACGTTCCCTGAGTCTGCTGAGTTTAGCTGACTGAACCGTACAGACAGTAGCTCAGTGGATCAAGGAGTTGAACTGCCATGTTGAACTGTAAGCTCATTTTCGGAGCTCTCTTGGCAGCGTGTCTCTGTCCTATAGCTGCTCAGGAGTCCTGTCCTGCAGGGATACCTGGACTGCCAGGTATTCCTGGTTTCCCTGGACGTGATGGCAGAGATGGTGTGAAGGGGGAGAAGGGAGATGCAGGTAAGTGCTAAGCTCTAATCAACACTTATGAAGTTGCACCAAAACAGAGCTGTAGCTTAATTTACTGTCAGCACTCCGTAAAATTAAAGGTGCAAAAAGAACTTTTTGATCTTCTGTAAAAACTCAATAAACCAGTTAAATGAAAGGTGTTTTTTCTAAGATTTGCACCTTTTCTGAATTGACAATCCATTTTTTCTGATTCTGATGGAAACTGAAGGTAAAAACAATGACGTGCTTGTATTCATTTCAACAGGACACACTCTTCAATTGGACAAGCATGCAATAAAAGGGGAGAGGGGGGAGCCTGGCTTCCCTGGCCGCTCAGGAAAGAGGGGGAACCCCGGCGACCCCGGCCCGCCCGGACCACCAGGGCCACCTGGAGACCGTGGAGACATCAGCAACTCCAAACCACAGTCTGCTTTCTGTGTTTCCCGTGAAACCACAGCTTTTCCAAAACATAACAGCCCAGTAATCTTTCACAGTGTCATCACCAACACCAACGAGCACTTCAATGTTAGCGAGGGCAAATTTGTGTGTCACATTCCTGGCACTTACTATTTTGTGTACCACACGACCTCTATGGGAAAGACCCTGTGTGTAATGCTGATGGTTAATGGGGAGAAAAAGTCTACCTTCTGTGATCATATTCAATCCGGAGGCAATCACTACCAAGCAAGCTCCGGCGGACTCGCCGTGTACCTGAAGCACAACCAAAAAGTCTGGTTGGAGACCAGCGCCCAGAACGGCATGTACGCAGCTGAACACAAAGGCAACAGTGTCTTCTCTGGTTTTCTGGTTTATGCACACTGAGGGTTCGTTTACTGTTTAAAAGAACGCAATGCAAACATGCTTCAATTATATTCACATTCTGTACAATCAAGAATGCAAATGGTATTTCTGATTTCTGTGCCAATAAAATGCTACGACATGGACACAACTGATTTCTGCTCCTTCTTTTCTGCTCTTATTATCTTATTCATTTTGATACACAAACATTTATAAAATCTCCAAACTAGGACTACATCTACCTTTAGCATTACAGAGACATTAAACATTACATTCAGGGTTAAAATTATTCAAATGCAGACATTTTCAGCACCAAAGCTGAATGTCACCTAAACAGTCTGCTCTTCCAGATAAATAACAAAAAATATATGTATACATCTTAGGGAGACTTAAATATGGCATTTTCTGCACATTTTAGTACATAATTTCTATTTATTTGAGTTTAACATATTTGAAAATAATGAAACATAAACAATTAATTGTGCCATAACTTTTGCATTGTCTATTGCATTGTCTATTGCAGGTCTATTTTTTCCCCAATAAATTGAATTCAGCAAATAAACAGTAATTATGCATTCAAATATGCAGAAATACACTCTCTGTAGAGGATGTATGAACCTATTTTCACTTAGAAAATCAACAACACCTGTAATTTCACAGGGGGTTTCTAAAATAGTGCATATGACTGCACTTTAGTTTGACATACAGGTCAAATCTAAACATCTGTCTGGTGACGGTCATTTTTAAGCAATTATATGTCTATAGCAAGATGATTCCAAATACTTCTCCATCTATTGGATGTGTTTTTGTAAATAGCACCTATAAACAAAAAATGCACAATATTCAAAAATGCAAAGAATAGGGACAGATGACTGGTGAACATATAACAGAGCATTTACAGGATACAAAAGTTAAATACAGCCAGTATTGTAACTATTGCAACCATATTGTAACAGCATTGCAAATTAAAATGTTGTCTTTGCAAAACAAATAACACAACAAACCTCAGGAAAGGGAGTTGCTAATGACTGTTATACCTGGAGTTAAAATACCATCTAAATAAAATAACTGAGGGTAAACACATGCATCACACTGTCTGATATAAGGCAAATGAACCTCTTCATCTCACAGGTCATTTTGTGAAATGTACTCTGCACAACATGTTCTTTTTCTATTTCCCATATCTTGCAAACTTGCAAACCTAAGCAAAATAAAATGATAAAAAATTAAAATCAAGGACACATAGGTGATGAATAGACATTTTGTGACTTCCTTGTCAGTGTTGGGCAATGATGTTCTCCATTTGAAAGAGAGAAATGAAAGTTAGCACACTTTGCAGAAGATAAAAAAGTTTTCTTGACTTCCACAGTTACTGTCACTGATTTGCAAACAGGGTGCAAACGATTCTTTGGAAAATGGTAAGATATCTGTAACGCATTTGGAAAACGAACCTTTATAGGTTTTAGGGATAAAACGTTCGTTGACATTCTTTCTCTAATGCTCTCTATGGGCTACAGCTGATATAGTGAAAGTGAGGGTGTCTGTTAGGAAAAGTACAGTATAGTCCTTGCATATGTTAACCTGACTGAATCATGTTGTTGTGCATGTTTCATTTATCATTTCATTGCTTTATTTTATTTTTATTGTATTTTACATTACTGCAGGTTTCGTTATTGGTGCATGCGCTTCTCCCTGTAAGCATTTTGCTGTGGACAGTGACCCCCGCCGTCTCAGACACATGCACTGGCTACAGGGGCTTTCCGGGGGTGCCAGGAATCCCTGGAACTCATGGTGCCAATGGAAAGGATGGACCAAAAGGAGAAAAGGGAGATCCTGGTAACAAAATTACTTTTAATATGATATAGTTTACTTTTCAAAGTAATGGAAGATCTTGGGACTTCAAACTTGAGTTTTATTTGTTTTGTAAGTTTTATTTGTGGAGTCCTCCACTCTTTAAAAATAAGCTGCCACATGCAACAAGTATTTCTTCAAGAGTTCTTTAGTAAAGACAGTGGTTCTATATAGAACCACCAACACTCAGAGAACTATTTGCATGATTAAATGGTTCTTTGCATCATGAAAAGGTTCTTCAGATTGACCAGGAATGTGTTGGATATGGTTCTATATGGACCTGAAAAGGGTTCTATGTGGCACCAAAAAGGTTTATTCTACTCTTACAAGCTTGACATTGTAACATTAGCAGAACCCTTTTCAAAAAGGTTCTATATAGAACCATATACAACACATTCTTCATCAATCTAAAGAACGGTTTCACCATGCAGAGAAACACTTAAGCATGCAAAGGGTTCTTTGAGTGTTTGTGGTTGTATACCACCATTGTTTTTACTAAAGAAAACTTAAAGAACCATCTTTTTTAGGAGTGTATATTTAAACTTTAAAAAGATTCTTCACACTTATGCATGTCATTTACAAATGACAGTAGTTCTCAAAAGAACTATCAATTGAACGGGTTTGTAGGGTACCAAAAGTGGTTCTTCTATGGAATTGCACAGAGAACCCTTTTTGGCACATTTATTTTTAAGAGTGCATACCGAAAAACAATAGATACCAATAGATTTACATGGCATTGTAAAACATCTATGTAGCTCTGTGAGCTGCCAGTTTCTGTGAATTAAGCATGGGGTTAAGATTAATCTTAGTCTGTGAAGCCATCACTTTGTGACTGAAATGTAAGCATAACTGTCAGAGGAGGCCTCTCTCTGTTTAGAGAATCCAAACATAAAATAATGAATATACTCAATTTTCTCTTATTAATCAGTACTACTGAGAATCTCTCACTGGAAAATTGTTTGCTTGGTAATGTTCATGGTTGTAGGTGACGACACACAGCAGGTGCAGGGACCAAAGGGGGATCAGGGCATCCCTGGATACCCAGGCAGGCCGGGCTTAAGGGGGGATGAGGGGTTGCCTGGACCCCCAGGACCCAAGGGCCAGAAGGGGCAGAAAGGAGCTGTTGCAGAAGTCCCCGAAGACAAACGTTCGTTTTTCTCTTACAAAAAGATTTCTGCCAGATCGACTTTTACCCCACACAGAATCATAGAATTTGATGGTTCGTTTTCTCCTGAGCATGACGGTGACACCCTGTCTGGTGGTTACTTCACAGCAGAACTGTCTGGCATATACTTCTTTGTGTACCACATCTCTGCAACTCAGACTGCCTGCCTGTACATTAAGAAACAGGAGCAGATATTAGTGAATCTCTGTGATATGTCTCTAGGAGTGCTGGTCACCTCAGGGTCCGTAGTGGTAGACCTGAGGAAAGGGGAGAGTGTGTCGGTGCACACCTCTAGAACGAGCCAAATCATCAGTAAAGACGCTGACAGCACTTTCACTGGCTTCCTGCTCTTCCCATCATAAATATTCATCAAAACCACAGATTTTCACTCACAGCGCCTAACCAACTTAACCTATCTTGCACTCTTAAAGCAGCCGAAAAGATTATTTGGAGTGATGCCACAGAAAAATCCCTTTAGTTTCCATTGCGTTCTTTAAAGAAGCATCTACTGAAAGGCTTCTTAGGGAACCAAAGGTAGTTCTTTTATAGCGTCTCTCTGAAGGAGCCTTTATACCACCTTTATTTTTAAGAGTATAAGATATCTATGTGATTTATGACAGTCATTTTTGCTTCTCCTTTGCATTTCTTCCTGTGTTTTCTTGTCAAACAATGATTTACTGCAGTAAATGCCAATAAAATCATAAACAAATAGATCTGCATCGTCTGTTTCTGAATCTGTCAAACTGTAATCACATGACTGAACAATTAATAAAGCATGTTAAGGCTCAAATGTCAAAAGTCCTAAGGCTCAAATTTCCAACAGTCATTTTCTGTGAACAGCAAAGTCATTTCTAGACTGCTTGGTTAATAACCTGGAAATTTAACATAAAACGAACATGAATTAAAGTGTAATTATTTCACATTACTCTACATATTGCAGCCTGCCACACTAAAAGCACACTTCATGGTTAAGTGTCTGTGCAGGAACATATTAAATTCCAGCTGAAATGAAAGCTCTAGCTCAGTTAGGCTGTAGGCGTCTTACTCTGGTGCCATTCACTGCGTTGAGGCTTATTGTTCTCACCCAACAGGCTCTCTGAAAGAATGGCACAGCCATGGCAACCAGCATCAACTCAGAGTCGCAGTCTTTTTCTATCAGGCCACTGTGTCTCAGACATATAAGAAAAACAGAGTTGCTACACTGGTTGTCAATCGAATCTACTAGAAAAATGTGTATCGTGCAGGATTTCTGAGGGTTGTAAGGAATAAAACTGAAGGTGAGCATTAATAATAAACTACCAGTAAACATTCTGCATAGTACTCATGATGAATGTTAAAAATTAGCCAAAGTTTACTCATAAGACAGTGGAAAAGTACTAATAGTGACCAGACGGGACATAAATACTAATGTACCAACTCGTCAGTACAATTAAAAATTGATGCTCTTTATTGCAAAAAAATATTTTGGTAAAAATTATGGCAGATAATTTTGCTTGTTCAAGAAATAATGCTTAAAACAAGCAAAATCTTTTGCAAATAGAATGACAATTTTGCCTTCCAAAATTACTTAAAACAAGTATAAATGTCTATGAATAGTCATAAATGATTATTAAGCTTACAACAATCCCAAAGTAACAGATATTATATATTCACTTGCCAAGAAATCTTTTTTCTTTGCATTGAAAGAACCCTTTTTCAGTTTACTGACCAGTCGTAAATCATTTATTTATTATGCCTGTCCTTTTGTGCTAAACAGTCAGTTAACTCTTACTTACAGTGTAGTACTTTGTTTGACTGGTTATTTAAATATGCAATTTTACAAATTTAAAATTCCAGTTTGGCCTGTTCAAGAGCAAGTAGTTATTTATATTGTGAGTTTAGCATTTAGAAACTAAGTGAGTGTGCTAATATGTTTCATGGGTTCATTTACCCCACACAGTGTGAACTTCAGGTTAAAAAAGGCCAAAATAAAAATCAGCCAAAAAAATCGTCCACACTGCAAAAAAATAGTATCTTAGCAAGTGAAATGATCTGAAATCTAGCTGATATACCTTTCTCATTTTGAGATTGTTGTAAGCTTATTGTAAGATTATGTAACTTATTTCTAGACTTGTTTAACTTGTTTTAAGTGATATATTTGTAAGTTAAATTATCTCACTACATTGGCAGATGATTTCAAGCATATTTCTCATTATCTGCAAAGTAGTATATCTGCCAAAACAGTATAGTCAATTTGTAAAAACAGCCATTTGACTGTTAAAAACATATGATCAGAATATGTCATTTGGTTTTATATAAACAAACAGTGTCAAACAAGTGAACTAAAAGACAGCAACTGTGTAATGTAATGTATTCATGCGTAACCGACTGAAACATTTGCATCACGCAAATTCAAAGCACAATTCTTTCAGGATAAATGCTTTATTTTCATTAATATATTAATTTATATCAATATCAATGTATCATTAAAAGCTGATAATGTTCTGGTGTTACTCTAACAGAGGCCTATACTCTCTATACTAACTGTGTGCTATTGTGCTTAATGCCCTAATCATTGCCAAGTCATCAATGGCGACACAAAAACAACCACTCACAAAACAGCTGAGACCAACTTCTCGCATTGGCCCTGATCTCCGAGCTGTTTTGCTACGTCTCAAGAACGGTCATAGGACTAAACACTCACAAGCCTTCCCACAGCGAGGGGAACTTCCTACTGTTGCAGGTAAAATGTTGGGAGGTGGTCATTTCTGGGTGTTCTGTGATTTGGCAAGGCTCATTCGAACAGCTCATTCACCTTCATTCTGTATTCTCTATTCTTTATTTGGATCCCCATTTGCTGCCACTAAAGTAGCAGCTACTATTGCTGGGGTCCAAACACAACAAAACATAACATATATAATAAGACATATAACAAATAACAAGTCTAAAAAAAACATAAAAACATATAACCTTTGCATTTCAGGTTTATTACTTTATCCAGATAAAAAAGAGAAAATGGTAACAACTACAGCGATAGCTTTTGGCCCTAAAACTTGCGCCAGGGTTGAGCCAAAGAAGATACTACAGTGCAATCTAATTCTGGAAGGTAAGAAAAAAATAAATACTGAATTAAATGTATGTAATGAACTGCCTAGCTGTACTGACCAAATGTTGTTTCGTCCACCTGTGACTTCACCAACACTGCAGGAGACAGAAGCTTCATAACAACACATAGAGAGGCTTTCCCATCTCAGCCTGTAGATGGTGCTGCACTGACCAAGAGAACAGCCTCGGTAAAAGAGAAGACTCCCAAAGCACAAACGCCGCACTTTCAAACAAACTACCAGAAGAATTTTTCCCCACCGCAGGGCGTTTTCATGAGAAGACTTCAAGTCCTGCCCTGCCCTGATAACCTCGCCGTCAACCCAGCACTAAGGCAAGAGGGCCCACTGGGCAAAAGATTCAGAATTGATTAAATTTTCCACATGCTGATAGTTTCATTACTACTCAAATGTGGTCAGATCTCCAAATCTCCTAAAAGTCTGTAGCCACCTGATCATTCAACATTTCCTCTGAAATCAAGGGCTTGTCCCTGCTTTGCTGCATTAACAGCCTCTACTCTTCTGAGAAGGCGTTACACTAGATGTAGGAACACTGCTGTGAGGATTTGATTGCATTTACCCACAAGAGCATTAGTGAGGTCAGGTTCTGATGTTGGATAACTCATTCTGGCTCACAAACACCACTCAAACTCATTCCAAAGGTATTGGAGCTTCAGAGAACAGTTCCACTGTTCCATAACACAATGTTGGGGGGACTTTATACCTCTCTAGCTGACACTTGGCATCGGGCATGGTGAAATGATGAAGTTTTAAAATAATAAACCATATCTGCATCTTGTAGGGCTGAGTTCAGAACAGTCCAAATGGAGACCTATCCAGGCTGGAACATCTCTCTACATTCTCGACTCTTTCCTGCTCAATCAAAAGAACATGCATCACTTAAAGAGGAGGAGGTGCTCAGGCCAAGTGCTCCCACCACCAGGAAGGTATGTCAAAATATACCTGCATTTGGTTCTGCTTTAGAAGTTAAACAAAGCCTTTGATAAGCCCAGTCCAAAAATGCCACCCTTAGCACTGCAGTCCTCCTCAAAGTCCATACTTTGGTGACATCAGTGACATGAAGACCTGTAGGGCAAAAGACCTTGAAGGCTCTAGGTTTAAATGTGTGCATATGAGACAGACCAAGGCTGCAGTAAGGCCACATAGAGAGAGCTTGTGAGAATCCTTTTGATCACAAACATGAGAAAGGAAGGGGACATGTGACAGCCTCGTGGCCTTAATGTGCACAAGCAATTGTGGACTGCAAGACGGCAAGTGTCCCTTTTGGGACTGGGCTAGATTATGTTCACACATGGGACTAAAGGTCAGTCTGCATTTCTTTGTCTTATATTTGTTCAGGCTTCCAGCTTCATCTCACCAGTCAGCGTTTGAGGCTCCTCTGAAAACGCCCATGCAGAAGCACTGAGGAATTGTGGTCCCACAGTAGGAAGAGAAAACATCTCACATCTGCAGTGAATAACATTTCACCCCTGCTGCTTTGCAAAAAATGTTATCAGACATACATGGTCATTCAGACAATAATTCATTCATTAGACCCATGTGAATGACCAGGAGGTGTCTTCATGGTCACTTGCTCTCTAAAAAAAGACACTTGACATGATACTGTAAGAAACATAACATTTAATAAATCTCAAGGGAAACTTGATGTTCATATACAATCACTCAACCGCTAAAAGTCAGAAAATCTTTGTTTTTATTTGTTTAACCATCCTGGTTGATACTAACATAAAGGACATTTCCATCTGACAGTTCATTCAGATGGGAGCAGCCTTTAAAACGAAAGGACCGGTGCTGGTGAGACGGAATGATACAGTACGTAGGGATGCTTGTTATGGGGTCCTGATGTCTACATGTCCTCCACACTCCATTTGTACGCTTCCTCTTGCACAGCTTTCTTATTTGAAATCCTGCTATAGCGCTTCTGCTCAAACCCATTGGACCTAAAAACCAGGAGATGTCAATCATGAGACGATTTCTGAACCTTGCTTACGAAAAAAACTTCTTAGAAATGTAAACTCTACTTGTACACATATCACTTGCCTACTTAATAAAATAATGCTCAAAATGTCTGTACCTGTCAACTCCGTCCCAGCGATATCCTGGCATGATGTTGAAACGATTTGGGGGTGGTGGTGGACCCTTATAACGAGGTCTCTCTATTAAAAAATAAAAAATAAAAAAAATTAGGTATGTGCTGACTATCTGCAAGATGACTTAACACGTTGGCACTGGCATAAAGATGAACAGAGATGAATCTTTCCATCTTCTGTGACTGAGAGACTAGCTTCTATTCCAAAGCCCAATGTCCAAAGTAGAAAGAGAGCTCATAGCCTGTTACAAGTCCTACTTGTGAAATAAAAAGCTAATACAGATGTATCACATAAAAAACATCATCATTCTAGTAGGTACAGTAACTTTGAAGACACTGTTTTCACACCTTGTTTGTTTTCCAAGAAGTCCAAACCAGAGCTCCAACATAAATCACAAAGCTCCAACAAAAAATAAAACAAAGTATAAAATGCACAAATTCTCATGTGCCACATTGTTTTTTTCCAAACACACGTAGTCTTTTTTTTCAATATGTTAAATTCAGCAAATAAACAGTAATTATGCATTAAAGTGTGCAAGCTTGTTTTCTGTAGATGATGTGTTAACGTATTTTCATTAAAAAAACTGACAAAACGTGATTTGTCCAGGGACGCCCAAACCTTTGCATATGACCGTATATTGTATAGACAGCTACCATAACGTGGTATTCCATTCCGATAAGTACCTCCCCCATACCCCTTTAATTTTTATTGGCATATGATATACTGCAACATTCAAAATGTGGCAAAACCTTGACTCCATCTTTCTTTGATATTTGTTTGTTTATTTCTTCTTACAAGCATCCATTTCATACTGGAGATGATTTCTTTTAGGCATCCCAAGAGCACAAAGAAGCTGCTAGAATATACAAGGGCTCTCAGATCCACTGTTTACAAACAGTAATAAAGCTAGAAGCCAGTAGGGGTGCGGGAAAAAATCGATTCTTAGATGCATCGCGATGCGGACATGAACGATTCTGAATCGATTTACAAATGTCAAAAATCGATTTTCTAAATATGTAATTTATAACGTAATGTTGATGGAACGCAAAAGGCCGAACTGGGAAGTGCGGAAGTGCAGCGTCCGGACAGTCTGTGGCAGCACATAACAAACACACTACTGGATGAGTGAGAAATCCGACCAGCTCCATCTGCATTAAAAGCCAGGTTAGGTCAGGAGTCACAACCCAAATGACAAGAAGAGCCATTTTGTCTTTTCAACAAAAATCAAACCAGCTTGAGAGCCACAACATTTAATGTCCAGTATGTCTCAGTATGTGATAATGTAAATTCATTATGGCTCATTACAAATACTTTGCTTTAAAAGTACCAAGTCACTTTAAATAACAATAACACAGAATCACTTAGTCACTTTAAAATGTATATTGTCTCTATATTCAGTGTATATTCTGTATATATTTTGTGTATATTTAATATATTTCAGTTGGTTTTTCTTGTATTTTTATTTTTACTTATTTACTTTCTGTAGAGTGATTAGCTGAGCCTCAACACAAGCATTTCAATGCATAAATGTCCTGACATGTTGCGCAAATGACAAATAAACTTGAAACTTGAACTCGGAACTTGAGATATATAAATGCTATATAGAAAAAAAGATGCATCGATAATTGTTTTATAATCGCATCGCAGCCCTCTGAATCGGAATCGAATCGAATCGTGAGGTGTCTAGAGATTCCCACCCCTAGAAGCCAGTGATGTTAAGTTTGATGCTGAGGCGTAATTCAACTACATAGACTAAATTTAAATGAAGCTCCATATTGACGCTTGGACTGTTTCCAGAGAATCATGCAATTGATGACAATTAAGGCCTCACTTTCTGCCCACTGGACTTCTTCGGTTTTGCCTATCGGAAGCTTTGGAACCCCAATTGTCACATCAGCAGTTTCAACTGTTCTCCAACACACTCTCTTATTCTTTTAATCTTCTTCCTGTACATTGATCACTTGACTGTCACATCCTCTTGTACTGTACCAGTTAATTGTGGCTGGTACTGTCGTGGCAAATCACAAAACAGTTAAATGCTATTTATGCTATATCATCTTGACAAGATTATTGACTCGTACATTTATTATCACACTTTGATAAGTGAATGAAATCAACTGAAAACAGTTTTGTTAGGGTTTACATTTGCACACATCGAACAGCAAGCCTGTGTTAATGATGTGTATTGGTGCTTTATCCAAAGCAGCTAAACTAATGATCTTGTGCTTGTTGTAATATATGCAAACCACAATATGTCACTGTTTTCAATACTCCTAGGCTTCAACACATTTCTGGCACAATCAGAGAAAAATCTCCCTCTCTTCTTGTGGCTTCAATTGACCCATAAATGCTAGAGGCACATGTTTCTTAGGGTACTGACTGTAGAAATGTGTGTTAATGTGTAAAATCACAGCACTACCTACAATGTAATTACACTAATATGTCTCAAGAAAGACTGGATCTCACCTTTGACTCCTTTGCTTTTAGTGTTCTTTTCCTTCTTCTTGCGCAATAGAGCAGCCATGGGATCTCCCTCCCTCTCCTGCTCCCTCAGCATTCGATCTAGGTCTTCGTCATCAATGTGACGTGCCAGGGGCTTCTGAGCCTCTCGAACTGCATCAGCCACGTTCTGCTCCTGTATCTGACTCTGTGCCAGTCTGAGGGAGAGCAGCATGTAAGTGGGAGAAGGGGAGAAGGCCCTTCATACCTCTTTACTTTGGTGATTTGATTGCAAAGTTTACAGGTGCTGCTTGGAATGAGTTTCACAACCTCTGTTGGAGGTAGCCTGTAATTAGCTGGCATAGCAATGCCACTGAGCCCATTCACACTTATACTTATTCTAAAGACTCATCTATACATTATTAATAACTACTTCATCAAAAGAATATAAAAACTTTACCCTTTGCCCCACTGTGCATATTTCTCATCCTTCTCAGCTTTCTCCCCAGCTTTCCTGCTCTGCTCCGCACGCTCAGACTCCAAGTCTCGTTTCTTTCCCGTCTTATCTCTGAACACAGTCTGTGCATGACGGGACTCCTCTGAGAAAGAGCAACGAACAAGTCAAGCACTACAACAGCAGTTATCTGTAGTATACATAGGAAAATTTTCACTTGACACTTAATAAAGGTTATTACTGAGACCTTCTAGGGGCTTGTTCTGTTTTTCTCTTTTGCGGATTTCTTCCTGCTCTTTACGCAGGGTTTCAACAGAGACCAGGCCAGCAGCTCCACCAGACAACATGCGAGGACCCTGAAAACAAACATTACAATTATACAGAGTTTTTCAAAATTAAGGTAACCCTTCCTGGATGACAACAAAAAACATGAATATCATGATAAAGAACTGTTATTGCAAGGAAAGCATCACGGTACATTCACAATTTACAAACAGTCTCAGCGACATTCCTTGGTTAGCAGTCAGTATGCATCACAAGCTGTCTAGTAAAACACCATTTCACAGCTTATTAAGCAGTCATTTTACATGAGCTCTAGGGCTGTGCGATAAATCAAATTTTTTATTATTAGCGTGATATGAGTTCCCACAATAAACACAAGGGCTGCGATAACAACAGCAAAGTTATGTAATTAAATTGGTGGAAATATAGTGTTAGGAGCCCAATAAGTGATGTCTGCCTGCTCAAGGCTTAAACCAAAAGTACTCCATCCTGCACTATTAACCTGTAAAAATGCTTAAAACATGATAACTATTCTCACTCTCAGTGTTGTGTGTAAAATGCCTAAACTGTAAGGTAAAATGTATGAAGCAGTAAGAGATACAATCACAACAAATCAAAATCAGCATAAGGGACTTTTTATTGAGTTAAATATGTATTTGTTTGTTTTTGTAAGTCTTTGCCGAAAATGAAAACATGCATACATACTTATGTGTAGCCAGAGAGCAAACACAAAGCTGTTCAGGGAATCCTGACTGTATTTAGACAATTTTGTATGTGAAATTACTTTGTCTTTGTATTCAAATTTTTGTATTTTTTTGCTATTTGCCTAAAGGAAACGTTAGTTATATTTCAGTTTACATAGCAAAAAGCGCCAGCACATCTCATTAGGGGCACAATATTTTAATAATAACTTATCAAATCAAATATCATCTTAGTGATATCCAACAACTTTATCAAGCAGCCCTAATGAGATTCACCATGTTCACTACCTGTGCAACAGGAGAGCCTGTCCTGCGAGATGGGGAGAGATCAGAATCTGACCCACGACCGCCCTGGGGCCTCTTCCTGGGTGGTGAAAGGTCCGAATCAGACCCTCTGCCCCTCTGTGCTCTTTTCCTAGGAGGAGACAGATCAGAGTCCGAGTCCTGTCTGGCATTAGGGCGTCTCCGGGGTGGTGACAGATCCGAATCTGGTAGATGTCCACCTGAAGAGGATTTTGACTTTTCTCTCTGGGAGGAATCTACAAAATAAATGTGACACACTATTCATGATCATTCTATAATAAATGATTTAGTGAATCAGTAGAGAGTCAGTGGTGGAGAAGGGACAAGACCATGAAAAAAGAGATTTATGGACCTGTACCTTTAACATGTTTTTGCGATTTAGAAGCTGAGCTCTTCTCATTCTTTCGTGGAGCAGAAGGTGATGAAGAGTGATGTCCCCTATGTTTGGTCTCTGCTTTGAGTCTATGAGGGGAAAGATCTGGAGAATCATGCCGGACTCTTGTCTGTGGTGAAAGATCAGGGGAGTCATGGCGAACTCTCCTTTTGGGTGAAAGATCAGGGGAGTCATGGCGAACTCTCCTTTTGGGTGAAAGATCAGGGGAGTCATGGCGAACTCTCCTTTTGGGTGAAAGATCAGGGGAGTCATGGCGAACTCCCCTCTTGGGTGAAAGATCAGGGGAGTCATGGCGAACTCTCCTTTTGGGTGAAAGATCAGGGGAGTCATGGCGAACTCTCCTTTTGGGTGAAAGATCAGGGGAGTCATGGCGAACTCCCCTCTTGGGTGAAAGATCAGGGGAGTCATGGCGAACTCCCCTCTTGGGTGAAAGATCAGGGGAGTCATGGCGAACTCTCCGTACTGGAGAACTGTCAGAAGAATCATGCCGAGCTCTTCTGTTCCTTTTGACGTCTGAACTAAGAAAAAAAAAAGAGAGACACATACAGGAGATAAGTATAGATTGCTTGATGATTATCCAGTGCAGAAATCTTAACAGATTTTGGGATTACCTGGTCACTGAAGGTGAGACAGGAGATTCCTGGGATTCTTCATTTGTGGCTGTGATATAAGACATTAATGACAAAACTCACGTTACTGTTGGTAACTAAACCGTTCAAGTTTAACAGTTTAGCTGACAAATCTCTAACATCTCACCTCCCATTATTTTCCATTTGTTACTGGTTCTAAATGCTTCTAGTTGTTTGACTTCATCTGGACGTTCATCTATTATCTCTGCAATCTGCGAAGGAGCAAACATCGCTGAAAGAACTGAAAATATCTACACATTCATTGTATCAATATCTTTTGTCACTACGATTCTGCAGATGATAACTGTCTAAATGTATAGTATTGTCCAAGTTACCTCGGTATTGATGTAGTGTTTTTCAGAAAGGAATTTTTACTCATATCATTATTTCATTGACAATTTCAATAACAATACTTTCACTTCAGGTTACTCCACCCAGCTCTGTCCTTCCAATATAAAAGTTGGCTACAGTCTAACTGGTAATCAGGTAAAGTAATATGTACCACAGGCGCCTCTTCCTCATCCTCGTTCTCCTTCTCTTCAGTCTTTGCAGCCAGTTGCCTCCAGTCAATATCATCATCAACAATCTTCATCCTGCAAATGTGCATTCTTTGTAAACACACATGGTTTTGTCTTCTGTTTATTTCATCATTGACTGATGCACTTTTGTTTACGAGTACTAGCTGCTCTCCATCTGTAGCAGCGGGAGGCTAACCGCTAACCGCTCACTGAGCGTTTTAGCTTTAGCTGCAGTTTAGCTTAGCCAAGTTGCCCGGTTTATACATCATAAGTCTCATTTACCCTCTCCCGGTGGTCTTAAGACGCTTTTTCCTGACTTTCTTTTCTTTTGACTTCTTGCCATCTTCGTCATTCGACAGATAGCGCTTTAAATAATCCGCTTTTGAAACAGTAGCGCTTTTGCTCAGACTTGTGGAAGCAGCCATCTTGTTTATATGATACGTCACTGAACGGGAAGCGCTAAAGGCCAAAAAACGCAAAGTAAAATCCTCCAGTGGACCGACTGAAGGCTTCATCAGTCCGCTCGTTCACGTTATGCCTCAATCTCAATTGACTCCCTACTCTCTACAAAGTGCACTGCACAGGTCTTAAAATAATTGATCCTGCACCCACACAGCGCATAAAACGCCACATAGAAAGCCACCTGGGATTCGGTCATGTGTGCACAGTTTCATACTGGACATATAGTGCATTGTTTGGACGAAGAAGGCAATATTTTATAACTCCCATAGTGCACTATGTAGTGAGCAGGGAGTCTTTCTTTCTTTCTTTCTTTCTTTCTTTATTTAATTTCATTTTATCACTCATTTTGGTAAAATGGGACTACTGATTTTTAATAATACAACCTGAAATACAAAATTTATAGTAAATGAAGGTATGAAAGTTCCATGCAATCAAAAAGTTCAAATGTGTAATGTTAGATGTTAATTCAAAATAGTATAATTCTAAATTGACACTAGTTCTATGGCATTTTCCTTATTAATCTAAATGTAGTTGTTGGACACAAAGAAGTAAAAAGATGAATCAGTCTCTTTTGAGTAATTCAGTGTTCAGTAGAGTAAAGGAAATGTAGGATTCTACAGTATTATTTAATTTCATTTCTTCCTGCTTATATTGTCTTCTTTTGTAATGTGTGCTATACCAGTGTGAAGGATTCACAACACAAGACCACAAACAAGAAACTGAAAACTGAAGGACTGAGAGAGACGAGAAATGGTGTTGTCATCACAGTGACTCAAGTTATTAAAAATATGGACAATATGGAGATGTGTAGTTAAGACTGAGAGTTCTCTGGTCCAGTTGTGATTGTGTTTATTGTCATTAATTATGATATTCATCTGAATCAGTATAATGAATCAGTGGGGAAAGTGATTACAGCTGGAGGATGCTTTTTCTGATAAAACTGAATGCCTGAGTTGAGTGGATTTCCCCATGAGTTAGTGAAAGAAAGTCAAATTAGATTGTTTAGACTAGAGTTAAAAGTTGCAATGGCTATCACTGTGCAGCAGAAACATTAACAGGAAGAATGTGGGTGTGTTTTGCTACATGCACTTGGTTTGATTAGAAGAGGAAACAGCTAGTTTTGATGAGGTTTCTCAACACCTCTCTTATCCTTGCGATCATCACACCCAGATCAGTGGCTCTGTTTAGATAAGGTAGGCTTAGCATACATTCTTTTAAAAAGTTGCATTTAAATCCATGAAAGGTTGAAACAACATCTTTTTCAGAATATTGTCTTCTTTTGGCTCCCTGATTAATCAAATAAATGCTTGTGTTTAGACCCATCATGTGGGAGGAGAACGATTTCAGTACGCTTGATGTGCCCTGCCTGGACAGCTGCTTCAGTCCTTGCAATAATCAAGTGTACACCATGTATCATGGCACTTCCAGGGCTGCGGCTCAAAGTATACTGGTCGAAGGCTTCCGCCAGTCTCCAAATGGCATGCTGGGATGTGGTGTTTATCTCAGTCGAGATTTACAGAAGGCCAGCAGATACCCTTTACACCTCCCGGAGCACCAGAGAGTTGTGCTCAGAGTGAGAGTCAATGTGGGAAAAGTGAAGAAGATTGACTATCAAGGTCATCCACTGCAGAAGACTTGGCACAATCATGGGTACGACACCGCCTGGTGCCCCCCAGGGTGCGGCATGGTTCAGAGTGGTCTTGAAGAAGACTGTGTGTGGGATCCACGACGCATCATTTTAGACAGTATCATCTACCCAAAAGTAGCTGTAGATGTTTCCATCTTCTTCAGCAAGATATGGATCCACAAAACATATCTGATTTAGACTAAATGGGACAGGTTGTTTGGACAGAAATGAACATTGAAATAAACATCATACAATGCTGAATGTTACTTTGTGGTATGACCAATTCCTTCAGGGTCCTTATAGCCCAATAAACCTAAATAAACACACCTAATTGAAGTAATTCATTCAATGTGCACATTTGTGTGTATTTGTATGATTTACATTGACATTCTAATATTATGTATTTTGGAGCACAATATATCTAAGTATATCTAAGTTTACCATTATCAAAGAGCATGTTTGAACGCTGAAGAGCTGAGGAATCTGATCTAACTGGAAGTGAAAATCTCTGTGCTTATTTTTGTTCAGCGGATTACGAGGTAAAAGTGAAGAGGAAGTGAAACCTTTGAAAAAATGATTTGATTTCAGGATTATACAAAGCGAGTACACATATCAGTCTCAGCGCACCAGTGTAGCGGCTGGCTTACATGAAATAGATTGTTTGGCTTAGCCCGAAAAAACCTGGCCAAGTCATGTATTTGTATTTATACATTCCTATGCAAAAAATTGACAAACCCTGGTTAAATGGTTCATGTTCTATGTAAAAGCAAGTGAACGTATCCTCTATAGAGAGCACACTTAAATGTGGCATTTTTATACAAATTTCACTGTACAATTTATTTTTGTTTGCTGAGTTTAAACATACTGCAATAAAACACATAAAATAAAAAAGATATTTAATTCAGCAAATAAACAGCATTTGTGCATTAAAGTGTACAGAAGTGTGTTCTCTGCAGACAATGTGTTAACTTTTAATTTAACTGAATCCATTCTTCACTCTACCAGTGAAGTGTTCCCTGTGCCACTGGGTGCAACACAAGCCCAAAGCATGATTGATTCAACCTTATGTTTAACAGTTAAAATACTGCACCCTTTTTTTCTCCAAACATACCATTGCTCACTGTGGCCAAAAGTTCCATTTTAACTTCAGCAGTCCACAGGACTGCGTCAGGCTTGTTTAGATGTTCCTTTGTAACTGATGCTGAACGGTAGAACAGTGCACGACCACTCCAGAGTCTGCTTAATATTCCTGAAGGTCTCAAATGGGGGTTTTGATTTGCCTTTCCAGCAACCCTACGAGTAGTTCTTTTGTAAACTTTTCTGGATCTTCTAGACCTCAACTTTACCTCTTCTATTCCTGTTAACTTCCATTTTTTATAATAACATTATGACCTGAGAAAATGGCTACCTGAAAACGCTTTGCTATCTTCGTAAAGCCTTCTCCTGCTTGTGGGCATCAATATTTAATTTTTCAGAGTGCTAAGCAGCTGCTTAAAGGAGCCTATGGCTGCTGATTGTTGAGACAAGGGGCTGTGTTCCAAATAGCGTACTGTGTACTGTTTACTGCATCGGTATATACTGTATACTGCATGCTACTCTTCATCAGTAGTATATAGTACAGTATCCAGTACACGACACAAGCCATGTTCCATACTGCAGGGAAGGGGCGGGACTAGCCTGCTAACGTCAGAGACTGAGCCAATCAGATCGCCCCATTTTCCTCAGCCCCCCCAATCACTGCTTAGCAACCACTGCTAGCTGCTTATCAGCGTGTACGTTTGTATTTTTGTTGAGAGATGTGTCTGTGTGACCTTTAAAGTACACCCCATACGAAGACAGAGGGCAGGACGATGTTTTCTACCTGTCTTCAAATCTACAAAAAAACTTTAAAAATGTCAGCTTTGGGTTCATCTGTGTGGGAAAACCTGAGTGGTTTCCAAACACACCTGTTTTCCTCCATTTGCAAGTAATTTAATTTTCATTACACTCGCAGTTGGTAATCTGAGCTAGTCAGACTGAATATAATCAGTGTGACTCCACACGGGAGTCTGAATAGCTGATGCTGAGTGGACTGTTCAGCTGATTTACTGTTTTATCCACATAATGCAGAAAGTGAACTTTTAAATAGACAAAGTAAGTAAACCCACCTCAAGACCAGCAGAGAGAGCTGGTGTGACTTCAGTGTGGCAGCAGCACTTTATCAAATTTCTTTCATTTTGCCGTTTAATGTGTAGACGAAAGGCTGAACCAGGGGCCGAATTACAGAAACTTCTAAACTCTTAGATCTTATCTGTTTAGTCACCATGACAACTTCAGCTAGGACTGAATTTAGGACAGAAGTTATTACAGAACAACAGTTCTTAAGTTCGTAATCTTATCCATTCACTCCAGATAAGAAAACAATATCACAGAAACATCCTAACTGGACTGAATTTACTAAATTCTGTCCTAACTTTGACAACCTCAGAGGCATCGTAAGTTCTGTTTTGACCGTCTGTTTCCATTGTTTTATGCAGTGCGCTGGTACAGTTCACTGTAATGATAATGGCATTACATTTATCTACATTGGAATCGTAGTTTGAATAAGTCGAGTTTTTTCTAACAGTGTTTTAAAAGCCCCAGACATTGCAGACATGATCTTCACCGTCCCCTCTTATTACCTTCGTGTGCTAATGTTGTAGAAAACTCATCAGATAAAACATTATAGTGATGGTGGTGAATAATGAGGAGACAGAGCTGAACGTGTGGCTGTTCATCAGGATGGTTAACGTTAGCGCCATGGCAAGCTGTTTTGGCCTAAAATGGGACCAATGATACAAGTCTGTTTTTACCAGTTAGTTACACTGTTTTTACTAATAAAAAGTCAAATTCAAGAGATCTGTAATGCAGTTTCTACCAGTAAAAGCTATAATTTTAGATCTGCCATGCAATTTTAACTAGTCATAATATCAAGTATTCATATCTATAAAGCTATTTTGACTATAGTCATATCACCAGGATGACGTACTGATGATGTAATTTTGACTAGTCATTTCTTATCGTTGATTTACTTAGAATATTTTGTATTTTTTTTCTTGAAACAACAATGATCATTTTCATAATCATTTCTATCACTCAACTTTTTTATTGTAAAGTTTCAGAGTAAAGTAAACACATGCCTTTAAGTAAAATGAGTAATAGCTCAGTCAGATAGGACAGGTCATCACAGATATTAGCAACATGCATTTCATCCTCATACATTTGTTACTTTGACAATACTATGTCTGTGAACTATCAAAACTGAGGCAGGGACACAGGGGGAGGATTCTATAAAGCAAATTTATGATCCAAATGTGACCAGTAAACCATGCACACTGTGCGGAGCACAGCTTCCAGGCATCCTTGCCTTTGAAGTGCGGTAGGCGGATGCATGCCATGTCCCTCTTGCTAGGCTCCAGCTGGGCTCTGCTGCTGAGCCTAACCTCTCCGTTTCTCTTGTCATCTTCCTCAGCCAGCCGCCTTGCTATTGACTGGCAGGACCTGGCAGGGAGGAAGCTCATTACCCCTTCCTCTGGTCTATGCCTCCTTCGCCATCCGCCTTTGAGTTTGAGTGCACTGCTTGACTTATTCCAGCGTGGCGAGCATATCCCACTTCTGACACCAATGTAGTGTTGGCGTAGACGAAGGCGTGGAACACGTGGTGCATATAGGTGAAGACTCCGTCATTTTGAACAAGGAGTGTAGATACTTCTAATCGCTAGTTACATTACAAAGCCCACCCTTCTCAGACACAATAACCCAAATGCAACACATTAACACACACAACAACAACAACAGCTAAAATTAACACGCTTCTTACCTGGGAAATATAAGGCTCTGTAGCAAGGTAAAAATCAAGCTACATTTTTGTCACCTATTTGGAGCAAGGTACAGCATCGCCATCATAAAGATGACACATTCAGCTGCATTTTATTGTGCAAAAAGTGAAACAAAAAGTTCAGGAATATTCGTGCAAAGACACTCCTTCCCTGCACTCCCCTTATAAACTCAGTTTTAGAATTAGCTCAGTCACATTGGACTGTCATAGCAGAAGTGAGCAACATACAATTAATCTCCTTTTACCAGGGCTGGGGTACTTCAGTGCTGGGGGCCAGATTCCTGCACAGTTGAGTGATTTTCCTACTCAGACCTGATTTAACTCACCACTTAATCATCAGATTTAGCTGGTGTGTTTGCACAGGGAAATCAGTAAACTGTGCTGGACTCTGACTCTCCTTGCCCCATCCTTCTCAATCCTTGCCTTATATGTTGCAATCAATATTGCTTTGTGGCTTTTTGAAAATGATTTTTTTTAAAATGTAGGAGTTTTGGAATAGATTGAATTGAAAGAGAGGCCGGGACAAATTATAAGTGCTTGGAGAGAGGCAGAGGCACAGGAGGAGGATTCTATAAAGCAACTTTGGTGGGGGATCTAGGTCATCCAGATATGACCAATGAACCATTAGCTTCCCACTAAAATAAAATATATAAAATAATAATAAAAATATACATATATAAATCTGGTCAGGCCATTTCACCCAAACTGTTATGTTTTTATAAGACATGTTTGCGTGGTTGCATGTTTTTTTGTTTTTTTGTTCTGAATATGTTCTGAGATGGCAGTGAAAAAAGACTTAGTGATAAAGATATGGATACACTGAAGCATGAAGAAACTTAGGGAGGGGTGTTCACGTTAACTGCGCTAATATGTCTGGCTAAGGACAAAGGAAAGAAAGAAACACCTAAAAGCTGCTTTAACACAGGAGAGACGTGTGAAAAAATGGGCTTGAAAAGCTTATGTATCAGTTAATGTAAGCGACTGGGAAGATTCAGAAACATACCAAAGTCATTTAAGTGCAATGATCTTTACTCAACATTTCATAGACTGTATATTCAGTTAAATAGAAGTAATTATGCTCTCTTTGTAAGGAAACTTAGGTTCATTGTAATTCACAAAAATTGCCTTACGAACTATCAGTTTCAGTATGAGGGAACATAGCAGAAAAAAGGTTTATCATGTTAACGTTCAGTGTGCAGGTCTGTTTATTAGCCCTGCAGTAGTTTAACACTTAAGTAACACAGGTAGCTTCATGATATGCAATTGTTTTAATCTAGTACAAGTACAAAAGGTAAAAGGCATTAAAATGCTTATTTTGTTTTCTCTTTGATTTCATGTGGAAAAAAGTATACTGCATCACTGTGGTATTAATAATGAGAAGGATTCATATCTAGTCAAAGTAGTGTAAGTTAAAAAAAGTTAAAGAATAAGCTACATTTATGTCACTCATATGGAGCAAGGTAGAGCATCACTATCATAAAGATAAAACATTTAGCTGCTCTTTATTGTGCAAGATGAGAAACAAAAGTTTCAGGAATATTTGTGTAAAGACACTTCCTTGCATTCCCATTATGAACCTGGTCTCAGAATTAGCTCAGTCATATTGGACTGTCATAGCAGAAGTGAGCAACATACAATTAATCTCCTTATACCAGGGCTGGGGAACTTTAGTGCTGGAGGGCCAGATTCCAGTACAGTTTAGAGATTTTCCTGCTCAGACCTGATTCAACTCATCAGTTAATCACTCTGACCCTCTTCACAGCTTCAGGTAAGAAAGCCTTATGCTGTGCGTACCAGTAAAAACCAGCATAATTAGAATGTGACTGTGGGATCAACCAATCATATTTTGTTTTCCAGTGGGTGGGACCAATTTTATAACAATAAATGTCCCTCTATCCTTTTAGGAAGGCTTTGACACGTCAATGACTGATTGTGAGCTGTAGCCTTTAGGTTTATGTTAGCATTAAGAATGAAAGATGGGCAGCTTTTCTATGCCAGGGGTCTCTATAAAAGGAATTGCTATGAAACTGCAGCATACAAAAGAAATATGTTACTAGAATTTCTGGTGCAATCTTCAGATATCTGTGTTTAAGCTGAAGCCACCATAAAATGTTAATTTAACCACTGCTAACTTGGCACTAACCCAGAAAGAAACCCCAGGAATGCGCTAGCAGAAATTAGCATCATCATAGTCAGAAGAACAAAGCTACTTTTAAAAAGATTGCTAAGTAATTAGCTCACCATTTTGTCACTATATCTGGCTCTAAACAAAATGAAAATGTATATGAAAACACTGGATGACCCCATGTTACCCTATTTGATTCAATCTGTTCTTAGTGGCACAAGCCAGATTGTTATGTCAATTATTTTCCTAATTAACAAACACTGGAAATAAAATTGTGTCTGTAAATTTCTGCTTTTTTCAGATTTATGCCTTTTTTTGTTGCAGTGATCAAAATCTACTTCTCTAAACTACATCATGTGGGCAGAAGATGATTTGGGTCCAGGAGTGCCATGTCTCCAGAGCTACACCGAGCCTGTAGATGGAAAAATATATCTAATGTATCACGGAACCTCCAGATTTGCTGCTCAACAAATCATGGCTTGTGGCTTTAGGCCATCTGCAGACGGTATGCTCGGGCCTGGTGTTTACCTCAGCCGGGATCTTAATAAGGCCAGCAGATACCCTTTGCGTCTACCTGCACATGAAAAAGTTGTTCTCAGAGTGAGGGTTAATGTTGGAAGGGTCACAACAATTAACTATCAATACCACCCAATGCAGAAGACCTGGCACTATCATGGGTATGACACTGCCTGGCGCCCCCCCAGTATGTGGTATGGTTCCATGTAGTCTTCAAGAAGTCTGTGTGTGGGTTCCAAGCCGTATCCAGGTCACTGATGTAGTTTATCCAAGAATAGAGTATGTGAGTACCAACAGTTTGTTATTGTGAATGATTTTTTGAATAACAGTGTTACAATGAGAATATTATGTAAATTTCTGACAATACAAATGTATGTACATATTCCAACAGTAGTTTGAAGATAGTTTGAAGATGACTGTAAATCAATAAAGAACCAGAAACCATCTTTACTTGTCTTTCTTTGCCAAAAAAAAAAAAAAGCATTATAGAAAGGATCACTGGAATGACAGACTTTCAGTTTGTAAAAATGATGTGATAATTAAGATAAAACCACTTACCTGAATCCTGCCACATCACATTGACATAACGGTGCCATTAACATGTCATGGCAGGTGTCATAATCTGTCATGAGTGATGACAGATTTTGTTCAGTAGTGTATTTTGTTTAGTTATGGCGTGTTTATATCAACCTTATGTAGCAGGCTTTAGATTAGGTGACAATTAGCAGCACACTTCTTGTGTTTTCACTATTTTAACACATTTTGTGTGAGGCCATGAGAACACAGCTCAATTACACATAGACTGTGTAATTAAAATACATCTTTGTGTTAAACATGTGAATGCCCTGCTTGCATCAAATAGGATAAAAGACTGCGTTATGTTAAAATGTCTTGTCTTTGACTGGACATGCATATGTCCACATGTGTTAAAAACACAACACACTACTTCCTGTTTTTAACACCTGACTGGAGAATGTTTGGATGACATGGGGAGAGGAAACTTTAGGTAAAGCAAACTTTAGGGGTCATTATGGCTTTGGATATTCTGTTAGGAATGCACTGGACCTTGTTGTTGTTTTCAGCTCTACAACATGAAGTAAATACTTTACTGATCCCACAAGGGAAATTTGTCAGAAAGCTCAGATAATGTGTTGACACCCCTTTGTCAGCAATGACTTTCATTTGCTGTCTCCCTCTCTCTTTCCCAATTAATGAAAACCATTTGTTTCCTGACGTACATCTTTGTAACTATGATAAGTGAGCCAAATGGTCTCCTAACTTAAGAGGTGCCATCATGGCCTGTACCTTTGTTATGATAATCATGCCACTGAGTGCAGCAGGTAAGCCCATCAGTTCTGATCGGAATCCACATTGGACTCAACATTACGATTCTTACAGCGGATGGCAACATTTGCTAAGCAGTGATTGGAGGACTGAAAAATTAAGGCTGAGTTTGGCAGAGAGCATCATGATTTTGACTGACCATAATACATTGACAGCACTCATGGAAAACAAAAATTTCATTGTCTTAAAGCATTGCGGGTTAATAAATATGCTGTCCTTATTTGATTGGGTGGGCTTGTGATTAATCTGGGTAGGCCCAGGCCCACCCAGGCCTACCTGTGGCTATGCCCCAGCTCTTAACAGGAGTCAATGAAATGTTTAGCATATGTGAGAATGTAGGAACAACATTTACATTTACTGCATTTGGCATATTAACAAAGTCTATTTGTTACAGTGGTAGGCAAATGTAGAGTTAGGAGTCCTGCCCAAGGAAAGGGGTGGTGGGCTTTGTCAGATTGTAAATGAACTCTAAATTTTAGCATATTAAAAAAAAATTATTTTCTCTGTTTAAACACAAAAATACAGTAACCATTGTATATTTGTAAAATATACAAAAAATACATTTAACCATACAGTTCTGTAACTTGCCACTGTCAGAACAAAACCTTGCATCTCTATTTTTGTTGTTTTTTTTGTATATAATTTAAAAATGTCAGCTTGCAATTTCATGATTAAAACATCAAAACAGAGAAGAATAAAAACTTCTAACACAAACATTAAAAGTTGAGAATGTTTTTTTTTATTATTCTCCTGTAAAGTTAATATCTTGGAGATTTAGTTTCAGGGTGATTGCAGCAGTGTTGTTGTGAGAGACTCACTGACCTAAGAAGCTGTAATGGCTTCACTGGCACTCATGCCAAACAAACAAAAAAACTTGAAATTTTGTTGTGGATTTCCACTGCAATCAATCTGATCAACCCTACCAGTGGTGGCATCACCAAACTCACCCTAAACTGGGATTAACAAGCCCGGCGAGTGGAGTCAAGTTTGGCTATTTCAAATTAATCACAAATACCCTCAAAACTAAGAAATCTCGAGACAAAAGCCAGTGGAGTATTTTCAGTGAAAATGCAAGATGCTGCAGCTATAAATCAGCACATCCACCTTGTACATTTCTATTCTTTTTGCTTTTCCCCTTTTTAACATCTCTGCAAATATATATTTTAACATAACTGCAAATTTTGGGACCTGTGATTAAGCCAAATGGACGATCTGATCTTGTTCAGGCCCTGATTCTCAGATTTTCAGTTTCAGCACCTAAGAAAAGAAATAGAGAATTATATTTAAAAGGTTGATTGAGTGTGGGCTGCTGTTCTTTGTATTTATACACAGGTGGGCCTTGGGATAGAAAAGATTGAGAGCCCCTTTACTAAATATTCCTAAAGGTCTCAAACAGGGGTTTTGATTTGCCTTTCTAGCAATCCTACGAATAGTTCTCTTGGAAAGTTTTCTTGGTGTTCCAGACCTCAACTTTACCTTCTCCATTCCTGTTAACCACCATTTCTTAATTACATTACGAACTGAGGAAACGGCTACCTGAAAACGCTTTACTATCTTCTTATAGCTTTCACGCTTTGTGGGCATCAATTATTTCAATTTTCAGAGTGCTAGGCAGTGCTTAGAGGAGTCCATGGCTGCTTACCAGCCTGTATATTTATATGTTTATCGAGAGATTTGCCAGCGTGGCTTTTAAAATACACCCTGTACTATGACAGAGGGCGTGATGGTGTTTTCTACAAGCTACAAAAAAACTTAAAAAATGTCAGCTTTGGGTTCATCTGTGTGGTAAACCTGTGTGGTTTCCAAACACACCTGTTTCCTCCGTTCGCGAGTCATTTAATTTTCATTACACTCGCAGTTGGTAATCTGAGCTAGTCAGACTGAATATAATCAGTGTGACTCCACACGGGAGTCTGAATAGCTGATGCTGAGCTGACTGTTCAGATGAGTTACTGTTTTATGCACATTATGCAGAAAGTGAACTTTTAAATAGACGAAGTAAGTAAACCCACCTCAAGGCCAGCAGAGAGAGCTGTTGAGACTTCAATGTTGCACTCAATGCAGCAGCATTTCATCATTTCATCTTTCATTTTGCCATTTAATATGTAGAAGAAAGGCTGAACCCAGGGGCCAAATTACAGAAACTTCTGTAATCTAAAGTCTGAAATCTTATCTGTTCAGTTACCATGACAACTTCAGTTAGGACTAATTCATAATCTTATTCTAAATCCAGATAAGAACAGTATTACAGAAACATACTAACTTGACAGAACGTCCTAAATTCTGTCCTACTTTGACAACCCCAGAGGTGTCTTAACTTCTGTTTTAAGTGTCTGTTTCTATTGTTTTATGCAGCGTCAGACAGTATAGTTCACTATAAGTAGCATAACGACGTTACATTTATCTATATCAAAAACGGTGCTTTGACTGATGAGGTTTTTTCTAACAGTGTTTTAAAAGCCCTAGACATTGCAGACATGATCTCCACCGTCCCCTCTTATTACCTTCGTGTGTTAATGTTGAAAACTCATCAGATAAAACATTATAGTGATGGTGGTGAATAATGAGGAGACAGAGCTGAACGTGTGGCTGTTCATCAGGATGGTTAACGTTAGCGCCATGGCAAGCTGTTTTGGCCTAAAATGGGACCAATGATACAAGTCATAACACTGTTTTTACTAATAAAAAGTCAAATTCAAGAGATCTGTAATGCAGTTTCTACTAGTAAAAGCTATAATTTTAGATCTGCCATGCAATTTTAACTAGTCATAATATCAAGTATTCATATCTATAAAGCTATTTTGACTATAGTCATATCACCAGGATGACGTACTGATGATGTAATTTTGACTAGTCATTTCTTATCGTTGATTTACTTAGAATATTTTGTATTTTTTTTCTTGAAGCAACAATGATCATTTTCATAATCATTTCTATCACTCAGCTTTTTTGTTGTAAAGTTTTAGAGTAAAGTAAACACATGCCTTTAAGTAAACTGAGTAATAGCTCAGTCAGATAGGACAGGTCATCACAGATATTAGCAACATGCATTTCATCCTCATACATTTGTTACTTTGACAATACTATGTCTGTGAACTATCAAAACTGAGGCAGGGACACAGGGGGAGGATTCTAGAAAGCAAATTTGTGATCCAAATGTGACCAGTAAACCATGCACACTGTGCGGAGTACAGCTTCCAGGCATCCTTGCCATTGAAGTGCGGTAGGCGGATGCATGCCATCTCCTTCTCGCTAGGCTCCAGCTGGGCTCTTCTGCTGAGCCTAACCTCTCCGTTTCTCTTGTCGTCTTCCTCAGCCAGCTGCCTTTCTATTGGCTGGCAGGACCCAGCAAGGAGGAAGCTCATTACCCCATTCCTCTGGGCTATACCTCCTTCGCCGTCTGCCTTTGAGTTTGAGTGCGCTGCTTGACTTATTCCAGCTTGGCGAGCATATCCTACTTCTGACACCAATGTAGCGTTGGTGCAGGCGAAGGCATGGCACACATGGTGCATATAGGTGAAGACTCCGTCATTTTGCACCGGTACTTCAACAGGCAACAAGAAATGCCCAAGCTCAGCACTACCCAGGACTACAAAACAGAGGAGAAGGTATACAGGAGGACACAAAAGACAAGAAGGGTAGACATGTCTTACCACTAGTTCCATTACAAATCCCACCCTCCTCTGACACAAAAACCCAAAGGCAACACATTAAAACACACAACAACAGCTACAATGAATGCCCTTCTTACCTGGGAGCCAGTTTGCATGGCTGCACCCACTAAGTTCCTCACAGCTGTGGTATTACTAACGTGAACGGTTAATATTTCTTCAAAATAATGTAGGGCTCTACATTATAGTAGCAAGGTAAAGATCAAGTTACATTTTTTGTCACTAATATGGAGCAAGGTACAGTATCACTATCATAAAGATAAAACATTCGGCTGCATTCATTTTTTTGTGCGAGAAGTGAAACAAAAAGTTCAGGAATATTCGTGTAAAGACACTCCTTCATTGTATCCCCCTTATAAACCCAGTTTCAGAATAAGCTCATTCATATTGGACTGTCATGGCAGAAGTGAGCAACATACAATTAATCTCCTTATACCAGGGCTGGGAAACAAATACATTCTAAGATGGCAGCATCCAGTTTATTGAAAAAAACTTAGGGAGTAGTGTTTATTTTAACTGCGCTAATATGTCTGGCTAACGACAAAGGACAGAAAGAAACATCTAAAAGCTGTTTTAACATGGGAGAGACGTGTGAAAAAATGGGCTTGAAAAGCTTATGTATCAGTTTAGCGACTGGGATGATTCAGAAAAATATAAAAGCAAGTCATTTGAGTGCAATGATCTTTACTCGACATTTCACAGACTGTAATGTACTGAATTCAGTTAAACAGAAGTAATTATGCTCTCTTTGTAACGAAACATGGAGCGTTCATGAGCCAATGATGGTATCTACAGTATACCTAAAAAGCATATGATATTAGGCTATATAAAAGAGTTAAAAACAAAAAACTTAGGTTCATTGTAATTCACAAAAGTTTTACCTGCCTTATGTACCTTCACTTTCAGTATGAGGGAACTTAGACACGAGCACAAACAGGTTTAACATTTCAACATGAAAGTCTGTTTAATAGCCCTGGAATTCTTATGCACACAGGTAGCTTCATGATATGCAATTGTTTTAATCTACATAAGTACAAAAGGTAAAGGGCATTAAAATGCTTATTTTGTTTTCCCTGTGATTTCATGTGGAAAAAAGTATACGGCATTACTGTGGTATTAATAATTAAATTAATAGTGAATGAAAAATAGTGCAAGGCTCTCTTATCTGTAGAAAGGTAAAGATTAAGCTACATTTTTGTCACTCATATGGAGCAAGGTACAGCATCGCTACCATAAAGATGAAACATTCAGGTGCATTTCATTGTGCAAGAAGTGAAACAAAAAGTTCAGGAATCTCAGGGTAAGGACACTCCTTCATTGCGTTCCCTTTATAAACCCAGTTTCAGAATTAGCTCAGTCAGATTGGACCATCATAGCAGAGGTGAGCAACATACAATTAATCTTATACCAGGGCTTGGGAACATGGAGACGCTGGAAGGCCAGATTCCAGCACAGTTTAGTGATTTTCCTGCTCAGACCTGATTCAACTAATCAGTTATTTATTAGGTTCAGCTGCTGTGTTATAGCAGGGAAATCAGTAAACTGTGCTGGACTCTGAGCCTCAGTTCCCCACGCTTGCCTTATACAGTGCAATTAACTTATCAATACTGTATCTGTGAACTAACAATATTGCTATATGGCTTCTTAAAAATTATTGTAAAATGAGTTAGTCAACTTGGGAAAGGAAACTGGAACATAATTATAATGTGACCGTGGAATCAATCATGTTTTGTTTCCCAGTGGGTGGGACCAATTTTCTAACAACAAAAATGTCATTCTAACTCTTTAGGAAGGCTTTGACATGTCACTGACTGTGAACATGAGCTGTGCCCTTTAGGTTTATGTCAGCATTTAGAATTCAAAGATGGGCATCTTTTCTATGTCAGGGGTCTCTACAGAAGGAATTGCTATGAAACTGCAGCATACAAAAGAAATGTTACTAGAATTTGTTACAAGCTTCAGATATCTGTGTTTAAGTTAAAGCCACCATAAAATAAAAATGTGAACCAAGGCTAACTTGGCACAGAAACAAACCCCAGGAATGTGCTAGCAGAAATTAGTGTGTGGTGTGACCAAAAGAGTGCAAGGCAATGCTCTAAGATAAGTTTGCACCACTTCATTTATATATATATATATATATAGTTTTTTTTTTAAATATGAAACAAGGATGTGCGTCTCAAAATAAAATCAAAATTATTTTGACAATACGCAAATAACTTTCAAAAAGACAAAATCAATTATTTAAACCATAGGACATATGATATAACCTTTCTTCAAGCTTAATTTCCACAACACAGTATGTTCTGCTTTAAACATCAAAAGAGGAAAGGTATAACCTTATTTATTAGAATTAACTTTATTCCTTTATTAAAAACAAAGAAAAAACCCACACTAACCAACATTAGCTAAGGGCACCTACCACCTCATAGGTTAGGTGTCACCCCCCCCCCACACACACCCAGTGCAATGATGAGCCGTCTAAGCTACAGTCACCCGCTGCAAGCCACTGACCTCCTGGCCTAGCCCAATCTGAAAGAAAAAGAAGATTTTAAATTTGTATCTATGAATTGTGTGGCTTCTTAAAAATTAAGAGGAATATTGTTTCTGCCTTTTCAGACTTAGACCTTTCCTCAGTTACTTCTCTAGACTTCATCATGTGGGCAGAAGATGATTTGGGTCCAGGAGTGCCATGTCTCCAGAGCTACACCGAGCCTGTAGATGGAAAAATATATATAATGTATCATGGAACCTCCAGATTTGCTGCTCAACAAATCATGGCTTATGGCTTTAGGCCATCTAAAAACGGCATGCTCGGGCCTGGTGTTTACCTCAGCCGGGATCTTAATAAGGCCAGCAGATACCCACTAAATCTACCTGAACATGAAAAAGTTGTTCTGCGGGTGTGGGCTAATGTTGGAAGGGTGAAAAAAATTGACTATCAAGGTCACCCACTGCAGAAGACCTGGCATTGTCATGGGTACAACACTGCCTGGTGCCCCCCATTGTGTGGTATGGTTCCAAGCGGTCTTGAAGAAGACTGCGTGTGGGATCCAAGCCGTATCCAGATCATTGATGCAATTTATCCAAAATTACAGTATGTGAGTAATGACTGTTCGTTTTTGTGAATGAATGATTTTTTGAATAACAGTGTTACAATGAGAATATTATGTAAACTACTGACAATATAAATGTATGTATATATTCCAACAGTAGTTTGAAGATAGTTTGAAGATGACTGTAAATCAATAAAGAACCAGAAACCATCTTTACTTGACAGATTTTGTTCAGTAGTATATTTTGTTTAATTATGGCGTGTTTATATCAACCTTATGTAGCAGGCTTTAGATTAGTTGATAATTAACAACATACTTTTTGTGTTTTCACTATTTTAACACATTTTGTGTGAGGCCATGAGAACACAGCTCAATTACACATAGACTGAGTAATTAAAATACATCTTTGTGTTAAACATGTGAATGCCCTGCTTGCATCAAATAGGATAAAAGACTGTGTTATGTTAAAATTTGATTGGACATGCATATGTTCATGTGTATTAAAAACACAACACACTACTTCCTGTTTTCAACACCTGACTGGAGAATGTTTGGATGACATGGGGAGAGGAAACTTTCAGGGTCATTATGGCTTTGGATATTCTGTTAGGAATGCACTGGACCTTGTTGTTGTTTTCAGCTCTACAACATGAAGTAAGTACTTCACTGATCCCACAAGGGAAATTTGTAATTTTGCTGGCTAACTATGCTCTGGCAGAGCAGCACCGCCTAGGGCAGTGGGGGTTGCCCAGGAACCCAAGAGCTAGTTATACTCCAGTTATATGCCAGTCCTGGGATTTGAACCCACAACCTACTGGCTGTTAGTTCACCTATCCTACCACTGCCTACCGGGCACCCCTACTAAGCATGCTGTACAATAGGTTCAGCTACTTGATAGCAATTGAAATAAAAGCAGTAACGAATCACATGAAAAGTGCTGTAGATGTGACAGGGTCAGACTGAACCCTAATCATCTCAAAAGTCCCACTTTTGGGAAGAATGAATGGACATCAGAAAGCTCAAATAAAGTTTTTTTATTTTCCTGTAAAGTTACCATTTTGGAGAGTTAGTTTTAGGGTGATTTGGCAATGTATAGCTTTGCAATCTCAGATTTTGCAGCAGTATTGTTGTGAGAGACTCACAGACCTAAGAAGCTGTAATGGCTTCGCTGGTACTCATGCCAAACAAACATTAAAAAACAGAAATTTTGTTAGAGTGGATTCTCACTGTAATCAGTCTACCCTGAACAACCACTCAGCACCAGACTGACTTAGATCAACACTAACCAGCTCAAACAGCTGACACAACCTAAACTACATGATCAGCAACCTGCACAAGTGGCTGATCTACTTTAAGAATTTGGGTGCAAAAGATGCCACAGATCAGTCCAGTGAGACAAGTTCAACCCCAACAGTGGTGGCATCATCAAACTCACCCTAAACAGGGGTTTACATATGTTAAACTAGTCAGACAGCAAAGAGTCCACCCAAACATTTACATTATTATTTACATACGTATTTGCATATCCTCCTTATTTACATCCCAGAAGTGTCGGTGTTCAGAACAAATGGACAAAAACATTAATAAAACAATAATGAACATAAATAAATAAACAAGGTATATCCTTTAAAGTAAAGAAATATCAAGTCATCAGTCATAAACTTTAGTTTGTGATCTTGCAATGTTAAATCATTAATGTGAATTTAACAATTATTTGTCTCTAACTGGTGATCATTCTGCTTCAAAAGCAGTAGAGCAAAAAGCAAATGTAGCTCTCCATGTTGAACAACAGCACAGTATGACACGCAGAAGAAAAAGAAACTAAACAGTTGTGGATAAACAAATAGAGCATCCTGTTGGCATGTAGCCTACTTTCCGTGGTCAGGCTGGCCACATAAGACAGGTTTAACATGCTATTCTCAGTAGAATAGACTATGAAACAGAATGGATAAAACAGTTATTAAAATACATTTAGCACAACACATCTTGCTATTTCTCATAGTAGGTGAGATTTTAGTTTAGATTTAGATTTTAGTTTACCATGAGGCAACATCTTGGGGGGAATGTTTCTACTACTCCAGCAGGTCTTCACTACTCAGATATTAATGTCCATGGATCACAGTTGTGCCTGATCTGCTCTACCTGCAGCTACCTCACTCACCCCAGCCTTCTGGTTTCTTTAAATGAACAAACCAAATCAAGGAACCTTTCTTCACTCAGATAATGTAAGTTTCTTTTAAGATTTTGCACAATATTCATGCTATAATGAATAAAAGGTGAGAGTTTTTTTTCCTCAGGCCTGTTATCCCCTTTTCTGTTATTATATTTGTAATCCACTATCAGTGTCTCCTTTTAGTCAGTATTGCAAAAGAACAATTCAGTTGATTCAATTAACATGAGGCAGGTATTTTCACTTTTATTTTTCTACTTATTAACTATTTTTCAGTTGTCAGTTTCATACCTAAACAAATTAAAGTGCCTGTTTTTGTAATTTGTGTAATAATATTCCATACCCAGCCACATATTTGCACCGTATTTTGCAGTAATTTTACAGCTCTACGGATAAGATTCACAGTCTGCTGAGTTGTCTAATTTTAGCAGATATAAGTATTCATAAACTAGTTTTGATCTCAAATAGGCACAATAAGCTCCCATCCTCTAATGCTGGGACTGTATATAGTAGCTGATTTAATTATTATGTTTATTAAAATTAATATGTTTATTAAAAAAAGAAGCTCAGTTCTACAGATACGATTCACAGTCTGCTGAGTTGTCTGATCTTAGGAGATATAAGTACTCACAAACAGGTTTTGCTGCTACTGTTGGTTTCTGACTGGGGTCCAGCACTGCACAGAATGATAAAGGACATAAATGTTTATGTTCATACTTGAGCCCATTCAACCGAAAAACATAAATTAACCATTCTTTTTAATTAGTCATTTTGTTTTCTATCTTACTTTACATACATACATACATACATCATCTAAACCGCTTATCCTTCTGGGTCGCAGTGGGGTGCTGGAGCATATCCCAGCTGTCATTGGGTGGAAGGCAGGATACACCCTGGACAGGTCGCCAGTCCATCGCAGGGCAGACAGACAGACATACATATACAATCACACCTAGGGGCAATTTAGCACGTCCAATTAGCCTGACTGCATGTCTTTGGACCATGGGAGGAAACCCACGCAGACACAGGGAGAACATGCAAACTCCACACAGAAAGGACCCCGGTCGCCCGGCCGGGAATCGAACCCAGGACATTCTTGCTGTGAGGCGACAGCGCTACACACTGCACCACCGTGCCGCCCAGCTATCTTACTCTGTACAGCATTTTACATTCAAAAGCCAAGCTATGCTTTATTTTACTTTTAGTGACCCCTTTATTTGAAATTGTAATGGAAAATTATATGTAAGTGCTTTTTCTTGTGTTTGAGTGTAAGTCAAACGCGCCTAGATGTGTTCTAGCACATCATGGTCTCGCACATACAAATCAAGTATTGACACCTCAAGGTGTTAAACGTATGTAGCTTGTCATCTTCCTTCGAACTGTTTATCCCTGGTTAGAAATGTGTTACCCTCCTTCTCTGAAATGATGACTTGATTGTTTGTGTCATTCTCATTCTTTGAAATGATAGCTTGACTGTTTGTCTCTGCTTAGAGATATATCATCCTCACTTAGAAACCATAACAGGAAGCACCTGTCTGAGCAAGCTCTTTGTGAATGTATATATACTCAGCGCTGTTGGTGTTCGAGGAGCTTCAGAGCCTCAGCTGACAGCTCCCCGCGGTGTTCTTCTACAATAAATCTTTGATTATCTCCTGAGGTTTCCGACTTATTATTAGAATTTCCACCACAAAATACAGGGCATCAAATGTGTTTATTGGCTGTGGAGTTCAGTGTCAGTCTATATAAGTAAAAATCAGAGTCATCTCTTCAGCTTAATGGGAAACCAAAATAATACTGCATAACTACAAAAGATAAAAGTAGACCTCTCTTCAAAATATGTCAGGTCCTGCTTGTCTTTAGTAAGGTGAACATTAAGTATCGTTTTTTGTACATGCTACAGCATAATAAAACTAGGTCGTTCAGATGTATTTTCCTGTCCAAGAAGTGAAACAAAAAGTTCAGGAGTTACCGCCTTATGTTAAAGACACGCCTTCTATGCCTTTCCTTTATAAGCTCGCTCTCCGAATCAGATCGGTCAGGCTGGACATACCATCACAGAGGTGAGCAACATGTAAAAGACTTCCTCACCCAGTTGATATTTTCGATTGTACTACATTTGCTTAACTATTAACATTTCTATGTGACCTCATTTCTATGTGAAATGTATAGTTATTATAAAAATTTATTAGTGGATTATAAACTGGTTTGAGTCATTAAATTGGAAGATTTTAGTGTTACTTTGTTGTTATTAATCTACATGATCTGATTACTCCCTCCTTTTAAAAAACTAACAAGAGAACTAAAGTAACCTGCAGAGCCGATGTTGACTAGTTCAGACTATTATGATGATGTGATGAAATATATTATTACCTCAGTCGTCCCTGTAAATTAGTTGTCATATTGTTTACCATAAGTATTACCTGGAATATTTATAATCTGGAAAAGACAATCTATTTACTATGTCATTAAAAGCAAGACTGCTTACTAGGTGCCAACTCTCCAAAGTAACCTATTTTAGATATAAATTTATACCTGCTTATTGATTCCCCTCCAACACAAAACACAAACTACTGTATTTTTCCCCACTATTTAATTATTGTTTCTGTAATTTTCAGACTTTCCTCAGTTGCTGTGATCAAAATATCCTTCTCTAGACTTCATCATGTGGGCAGAAGATGATTTGGGTCCAGGAGTGCCATGTCTCCAGAGCTACACTGAGCCTGTAGATGGAAAAATATATCGAATGTATCATGGAACCTCTAGATATGCTGCTCAACAAATCATGGCTTCAGGCTTTAAGCAATCTGCTAATGGCATGCTCGGGCCTGGTGTTTACCTCAGCCGGGATCTTAATAAGGCCAGCAGATACCCATTGAATCTACCTGAACATGAAAGAGTTGTTCTCAGAGTGTGGGTTAATGTTGGAAGGGTGAAAAAAATTGACTATCAAGGTCACCCACTGCAGAAGACCTGGCACTATCATGGGTATGACACTGCTTGGTGCCCCCCATTGTGTGGCATGGTTCCAAGCGGTCTTGAAGAAGACTGCGTGTGGGATCCAAGCCGTATCCAGGTCATTGATTCAATCTATCCAAAACCAGTGGCTTTTGGTGGTTATTATGAGGATCGTTACTAAAGTCTGTTACCATGAGAACGTTATATAAATCTTTGACTATGTATTGTACTTATGGTATGCCTTTCACTTACATTTTGATGGCATAGATGACTGTAAATCAATAAAGAAATGCAAATCTTCTTAACTTGTCTTTCACTGCAAAATAAATATATGCATATATATATATATATATATATATATATATATATATATATATATATGCAATCTCAAAAATGATGCGACAATTCAGCTAACACTTTATTTTAAAGTTTATCACTTTGTTTATTTTTATCTGCTACATAACATCTGCAACGTAACCTGCTAATCTGCTACATAGCATAACCATGTCATAAAGATGTGATGGCAGATATCATATGCAGTCATGAGCTGTGATGACAAATTTTGTTTAGACATAAATTTTGTTTAAATGAACAAACCAAATCAAGGAACCTTTCTTCACTCAGATAATGTAAGTTTCTTTTAAGATTTTGCACAAGATTTTAAGCTTGTTCTCTGAATCAGATCGGTCAGGTTGGACATGCCATCCAACAACACGTAAGCAACATGTAAATGACCTCCTTACCCAGTTGACATTTTCGACTGTACTACATTTGCTTAACTATTAATATTCTCTCTCTCTCTCTCTCTCCATATATATATATATATATATATATATATATATATATATATATATATATATATATATATATATATAAATATGCAGTCTCAAAAATGATGTGACAATTCAGCTAACACTTTAAAGTTTATCACTTTGTTTATTTTTATCTGCTACATAACGTCTGCAACATAATCTGCTAATCTGCTACATAGCATAACCATGTCATAAAGATGTGACGGCAGATATCATATGCAGTCATGAGCTGACAAATTTTGTTTAGATATAAATTTTGTTCAGTGTCATGTTATCATTACATGAAATTATCATGACAGGTGCCATAATGTTTGATATCATGACAGCCTGTCACACGCTAATATAATAATCTCTCATTGCTCTACAACATAAACTACTCACTATGCTGTACAGTAGGTCCACAATAAAGAAAACGGAAATTTTTCAGAACATGTGTTTTGAAACTTAGTTTAAAAGTTTCCAGTGGCAGAAACATTTACACAGATTCAGACAAAATGCAGAAAAATCATTTAATTTATTTATTTATTTTTAGCATGAACATAACCAGTAATTGTTTAGAGTTATAACTACAAAAAAAAGCATAAAACAAAAACTTACAAAATAAAAAACTATCATTAATATTAATTTGTCCCTTTTTTCCTCCGGATTAATTAGCTTATATTTCCTTTATGTAAACATGTAGGTCAGTAATCAGACCTTCAAACATACATGCTTATCCATAAAAGCACATATGGTTATTTTACAGGCCCAGCACTTCTCCACAGTATGTTTGTCCAGTGTTTGCTTCCCACAGCTTGTACATGGAACGCCCACTGACCCAGTCTGGCCCTGCCCTGTTCCATTTCCTTGTTGCTTTATAAGGTTTTCCAGAGAAGTCTTTGTGGCAGAGTCAGTGCAGTGTGCAATACCGACCACAGTGAGCCGTTTCGGGTCCCACACGCAGTCTTCCTCATAGCCACCCATAGTGGACGGTAACCAAGCTGTGTCGTAACCATGCTGATGCCATGTGGTCTGCAGGTGTATGCTTTGGGCATCAATCTTCTTCACTTTGCCCACTCTTACCCTCAGCTTGAACACCACCCTGTCATTGGGTGCACAGCCCCCTGGGTATCCCATAGCCTTGTTAATGTCCCTGCTGCAGTACACTCCAGCTCCTAGAGTTCCTCCCGCAGAGGGTTTGAATCCTGATGATATGATAGCTGGGGCGTTGCTCTTGTGAGTCCCGTGGTACATGGTGTAGCCATGACTTCTTTTAGGTGCCTGGCCTGGCTGTAGGTGCTTTGCTTTTTCACAGCAGGCCTCCCATCCACTGAACTTGATTGGCATATTTCCTCTTTTGTTTCTGAATGTGAGAACAGTCAAGTTTAAATTCTGTTAATGCTATGTCCTGTGGCAATGCAGTTCTTATGCAGCAGACAGGGACATGTATTAAACCCCTTTAAACCCTACAGGCCTGTATGTGGCCCACACTTCACATCCTCACTCTCACATCTACATAACATGTATATTAGTCTCACTGCCTTTACCAAACAGTTCATAGTAGATACTGAACTGTCTGAAGATCAGTAACTGAATGCTAAGCTAATGGTTCAAAGGGTTAACTAACAGGATATATCAGAAATATAAAAATACATCACACATTAGCCAAATAACCATAATCTTCTTTTTGTTAAAGTCAAAGCTTATGACTTCTCTTATTAAAAGCAAGAGAAACAATTACCTTAACTTTCTTCTCCACTTGTGTAACCAAAACAGTTTCCCTTTTGTTTCTTTAGCTTGTGAGTTCCTGCAGGTGGGGCATGATCTCTGTCTGCTGATTCACAGGGTGTTTCCTACAGGCACTTTTACTTTCGTTTCTCAGAAAATGATCAGCGTGGCAATTCCAGGATTGCAGCCTTAAGAGAGATCCACTATTTGGCCTCAAATCTAGTGTAGCATAATTCATTTATCCAGTCAAAACAGCTATTAAGTACAAGTTTTTCAGGATTTGTTTTGAGGAGATTAGATATAAAATAATTCACTTGCATAAGGAAAGAAAATGTCAAAGGAAAACGAGTGGAAAAACTTAAAATGTTTTAACTCCAGTGTTATTATTATTATTTTTTATTTTCCTAGCAGACCACCAAAACTTATTTTCCTTTGACTTTCCACGGAGAGCACCATAACTGTCACCATCATATAAACAGAACTTAAAGCTTTCATCTTTGAGAGAGAAAATCAAGCTCCACTCGTTTCAGATCTGAAGCAATTAACAGATGTTTCTGTCCATCCTTCACTGTGGCAAGACAACTCAACACTATAAGTCTGAAAGGATGTGTAGCTGCCAAGAAGCTGTTACTGAAAAAAGAAAAATAGACAAAAAGGGTGTAACTTCGCTAATCAAACAAATGAGCTGTTGGTGTTCTCAGAACCTGAGAGACTGACCACCCCAGAGTCCAGACCTCAACATTACTGAATGTGTTTGTGGTTCCTTGGATTGTGAGAAGCGGAAAGTGCAACAAACTTTTAAAATTAAACTTTGAAGGTGTGGAAAAATATCCAAACAGAATTTTTTTTCAAACAGAAAGCAAGTCTTCAGAAAAAAATGGAAGCTGTAATAAAGTAATACAAAAAAAATCCTGTCACGATAAATTGATTACAATAAAATTATTTTTAATTATATAATATTTGGTTGTTGATGTGTCTGTGTAATTGTCTATCAAATATAATTGTTATAGCATATAAATTAAATATGTGTTTTTTCCCTGATGCTGAAAAATCAATAACTTTTTGATGAGAAATTCAATAAATGAAGGGTGGGCTCTAACTTTTGCTCAGTACTATATATTTCATGTTTCAAAAAGAATTCATTCCCAGCACTGTGTTTATACCTTTTTTATTAGAACACTACAAGCATATTATAATAGCAGCAAAAGTGCAGTGCAATAGACCTGTGAGCTACTGTGTATGCAAGCATTAAATTGAATTTTAGCAGACTGAAAAAGTTTTCTAGCTACTGTGTTGCTAACAGGGCACAGGCTGAGCAGTGATTTATTTCATGTCCATTTGGCTGGTTAACTATTTAACACATTCAGTATGACAGACCTAAGTATACCTGGGCTAATGATAGCTCATGTAAATATGATATCTGTCCTGTTTCTTACTTTCTACTAAGCCCATAAAATAGTACCAACTTGCTTTCGTTTCTATGAAAGTCATAAAAAAGCAGTAGGCATACACACTACAAATAGAGTGAGCATAAGGTGCTGAGGAAAAAGACACTTTGACTGAGAAACTCTTACAGCACACTTACAGAAATCATGTTCCATAATCTTATCCATCCACAAAACTACACTGGCTTATAACATGAGTGTTTGCATGACCTGTCCTGATGTAATGTTGACTTTATGCAGTCTAAAGGCTGTTAATTGTATACCAAATAAAGGCTGCTACTATCCAATCTGATGTACGAACTACAAACAAGATCATTTTATGCAGACTTAGCAGGTTTTGAGCCGCATGGTAAAGCAACAAGCGTAACAACAGATACCATCATAGAGGCAGCTATTGGCACTTACTGTACAGTATAGCACATACATAAGAAAGGCAGCATATCTAAAACAGTGCTGCAGAATTACAGAGATATATAAGAACACGCCCTTTTTTCATTTCTTACTACTTTCATCACTGACGCAACATTGATATGCTGGCAGAGAAGAAACTGTGATTCAAGTTTTTTCTTAAAGGGCCTCCATTAGCTGAATGATGCCGAAGGGAAGCAGCAGAGTCAGCAGCCACGGATAACTCTGGAGAAAAAGACTGATGGCAGAGCAGGGCTGCAGGGAATCTGGAAGATGAGAAGAAGGACACCTTTAGAGAGCAAGTAAAAAACCACATGCCAAACAATTACCCAATGATTTATAACCCCTTAAGCTTTTTATTCAGTCGTTTATCCAAATAATTATTATTTAATAAATGCTCTGAATCATTTGGGTTTAAGAGGTTAACATGAGTTAACACTATTATTAAGCAGGTCTGGGTAATTTGATGATTATATCATCACACTCATAACCCCTTAAAATCCAAAGCTTGTTACTTACTTAGGCTTACTATTCAGTAACTACAGGGACTTCAATGCAAACTGGCTGAGCTATTCACAGATTCTAAAAGTTTGTAATAAAACTGGCAGGCCCCGGCCATTTAAGGGATTAGGTGGAGAGATACTTGCAGAGCAAAATAATGGCCAAAAAAAAACCTTTTTTTTTACCAGAATTTTTCATTTTTTAAATGAAATGGCTATATTTGCATTTGGTTCCCACCACCCCCACTGTAAAGAAATTAGAGTTGATAAGTTTGTCTACAAAGAAACACTTCACATCAAATCACTCCAAAGCACTTCCAAAAGAAATCTCAAAGTTTGAATCATGCAGAAATTTTGAAAATCGGTGGAATTCCCCTTTAAGCTCAGCATGTTTGACCATTAGAGGGCACTCCTGGAAAGTATTTACTGCCACTGTGTGGCCAAATTATAAACTGCAGATTTTCAAAAGAGCCAAATAAGGCCTACAGATTTCATCACTGTTTATGAGCATCTTTAATGTTTTCAAATATGAACAAAACATCATCTATAATGCTAATTTTGAAGAAATTAGTATCACTCAAACATACTTAGAACAGATAAAAACACAGAATGAAAGTATATATATAAGTATATGAAAGTATATATATATATGCACACACACATCTCTCTCTCTCTCTCTCTCTCTCTCTCTCTCTCTATATATATATATATATATATATATATATATATGTATGTATATAAATGAGCAACAAGACATTCACAATTCGCAACCAAGTGATCATGTACCTAATTCAACAAACAGCCTCATCTCAGCCTTGGTCACTTTGCACATAAAGGTCGTGTTCTCTGTCAGGGTGAACCTCATCATGGTCAATCGGAATCCATATGGCTCCAGCTGTTCCACACGGGTATTATGCCTGAACTTGGGCTCAGGCATCGTCCCAGACACGTTGGTGTTGATGATGATCTCTTTGCTGCCCTTGGACATGGAGAACTCATACTCGGTGTGGTAGTTTGGCTTGGGCCGCAGGGGGCAGGTCACTCTCAGGTCTTTATCTTCCTCTTGGCACACGGTCATTGTGTCATCACTATCGTCGTCATCATCGTCATCATCACATAAAACAGGGCTGATTAGAACTGAAAAACAAATTACACACAATATTGCACTGTATTTTGAATATCTTCCATATCAGCTGAAAACTACTCAGCAGCTCACTATGTAATGCAGTAAACATGGTCCTACGTCCAATGATTAATAAGGGAATTTAAAGGGGAAGCATCATTATGTGCAACTTACCTGCCAAAGCAACATTCCACACAAGCAGGTTCACTGCAGCAAGCTGTGTTTTTGTATAAAGAAGAAGATGATACAAAAGGAAGATGTTATTTTCAAGTCTACCAGAGATGGAAACACAGGAAATAAATGTAGTTATAGATAAGTCACAGTGCTTTCAGCAGACATGTATGAGGTGACAGAGAACATACAAATTTGCAGGATGCAGATGAAACAGTCTGTGAAGGTCTAAGGGTATATGACAAAAAGGCATCACCACCAGACTGTGAAGCCATAGCAAATGAATTAGCAATGAGCTCTACATGTGCCTGTTTCATTGCGAATCCACAATGAAAGCAAATGTGAGAAGCATCCCTTGTATCTAACCTGTCCTTTCAGCAACCTCATCCTTTCAGCTGCTTTCTTCCAAGGGCACAAGGCTCCAAAAAGCAGAAAAACAGGGCTCCAGTTCCACCTAAATGGTCCTATATATGCAGATCCCAGACCAGTCTGGATTCTTCCTTCTCTGCAGTGCTGCAGCAGCTCCCCCACCCCACCCTCCTCCTCCTCTGCAGTGGGCCAAACCAAGACACCAGCACAGGATTATTAGGTGGGAGGTAAAACATCTTTCTTCGACAAATGTCTACAGCACATCCCACTCTGATAAGCTATATGATAACTATCTTATAGTGTAAAAATCGATGCTTCTAACGTTAAGCAATAGATAGACCTAACAGTACTTACATTACTGTCCCGTTAAAGGGGTCACATTTCAGCATCTCAGTGACGCATTTACAGGAAATATTCACAGCAGACAGTTTACAGAGCACATAGTTTAGAGCATTGAACTTTATCACACTTTATAAAATGCCACTTCCCTTCTTTAGAGGTGGTTCATTCCTCGAAGCGTAGACTCTGATCAATTTAGGCACTGATCAGAAAAGTTGCCAGAAATGCGTTTATTATACTCTTATTACTGATCAAACATGTCCTCGTGTCCTCCCTTCAGTGGAGCTGCTGAACATTTTTCCAAACACTTCTTGGCTCAGACTGCCACCTGCTGGACAAAACATCCAACTGCTTACTTTTAAATATTTAAGGTTATGGCACAAACGTCTGTCTTCTCCTAAAGCGGAATTCCATTGCTTTTTTCTACGAACATTATTCAGTGTGGTTTGATGCGGAATGCTCCGTTCTAGAGAAACACACCAACTCAGATTAACTTTACAGTGGTGATGTAAAATATCCACTGTAGACACAAATATAGCCACTTTATTTACTATCCAGAATCACCAATACACCTATATGTGTCTTCTGAGTTTATATATATATATATATATATATATATATATTCGTAACATTGTCATGCAATTGCAACTAGATAGTTATCATATAGCTTATCAGAGTGGGATGTGCTGTAGACATTTGAATGTCTACGTTTCACAACAATTGAATTATACAGAAATTTTGAAAAATTGGTGCAAAAAATACACTTATTTGTCTTCGAATAGCCTCACCAAACTCCAAGGTAATACCATATTATTATTATTATTATTATTATTATTATTATTATTTTTTATAGAACACTTTTCATACATGTAGCAGCTCAAAGTTCAGTAAGTGTGATAAAAGACAAAGTGTAATAAAGCTTAACAAAGTGTAGTGAGTGTCTTCTATTTCTGTTACTGTTTGGCAACAACAATAAAAGAATATATTAAAGTTAAGAGTATTAGTTCAAATAAATGATACCGATAACTAGATAATAACAATAACTAAATTAAAATGATAAGTACAAAAAAAAAGGTAGAAGCTAAATTAAGGAGATGTTTTCAAATGTTTCTTAAAAGCGTGTACTGAACTTGACTGAACTGAGTTCCGCAGAAAGAGGCCTCTCTATGTTCTCCGTAATTTATAGAGAGTATCTGCAGAAGGCCAGTACCTCCAAATCTGAACACATGTTGGAACATAAACAGACAGACGTTCTGTAAGGTATGCAATTACTCAGCCTTTTACAGCTTTAAAAACTAATAAAAGAATATCTGTCCTAATAGATACACATAACTAATGCAGTTCTTTTAAAACGGGTTGTGTGCTTTCTTTCTTGTTTGTTGTTACCACCCACGCTGCTGCATTTTGTTCAAATTGTAGTGCATTACAGTAATCAATTCTGTTTGTAACAACTGCATTAACAAGTTTTCTGCTGTGCTCAAAGATAGAAATGGCAGAACTTTAGTAATATTTCTCAAAGGATTTCTCTTTCTTATTCTTTATTCTATTTTTTTATATTTTCTTTGTTTTTATGTGTCCCTGTGTGCTGCCTGATCTGTTAAGTATATTACATGTTATACACCAAATTTCTTGTATGTGTAACGTACTCGGCAAAATAAAGTGATTTTGATTCTAATTCTGGAAAATATAATGTCACAATACTTGAAGACATTCTCAAGATACATGATTAGTTCACTATGTTTAGTTTTTCTGTTCATGTTTTAAGTTGGAAATGGACAGAAACCTTATTAGTGCCACATTTCTAAAAAAACTGTATGAATACAGTGACTTTGAAGTACTGATGATTTCCTGGTAAGCTCTGAAAAGCATATTGGGATGTAATTTATGACAGTAATAAAACATTGTCAAATTGCCCACTGCTGCTGGTAAGCCTAGTGTATCAACAGTGTCTTGATTTTCAGGTGAAATAGAAATGTATAATTACTTATCAGCAAAAGCCCTAAAATTGAACCTTGTGGAACTCCACAAGAAATTTTACAATTTAATGATGTATGAATTGTCCTCCTTAAAAAGCTCTGAATTATCTCCCCTTTCTAACTCAGAAAGTACTTTTTTTTCTGATAGTCAGTATTGTTGGATTACTAGTTCATTGGTTTTTGTTTTTGAATTGAAATAGAGGACATACTACCACCAATGATAAATTATATATTAAAAGATCAAGACTTAATTAAAGATTTCCTTTAAGAATCTTCATTCACTTGAAAGAAACTGTGCGCCCAGTCGCCTTAGTGAAACGATATAGATTGTTGGGGAACTGCACGAAAAGCTCAGTATACACTGCGAGGAACAGGGAAAGAGTGTCTGAAATGGCAGAGAAGCCTATGCTTTTAAAAAGCTCTGACAGCTAACAGTTAAAATTGGTACATTAATTCCAAAGGCTTATTTTGAATTGGTAATTTTACTCATGTGATGATAATGACAGCAGAGATCTGAGAGAAGCTTTTTGCATTTGAAAAGATTCTAAAATAAGACCCGACAACCCAGATAAAAAGTGAAGATGAATGTAGAGGCTAGACACGGAGCTGTTCATTTATTGTCGCCACTCCAGATAAAAATGAAACAACCTCTTCTTTTATTTTGAAAGATTCTCAGAAAATGATCATCACTCATTTTGTTAAATAATGTGGGCCTACCAGCATGAACTCATACACCTTACAGAACTGACCTGGTACAAAACAGAGAGATGCGGTTTAATCTAATTATATGATTCTTTCAGTTTGATTAAATGCTATTCATTTATTTGGAAAGAAAAATGAGCACTAGGCCAAACTAAGCACAATACAAGCTTTTTCCTGCAGCCTCCAGAGCATTTTCCATATAGTCAAACATATACAGGCTGGACATTAAACATTTTTTTAAAATAATTCTTTCTCATAACTCAGTAAAGCTTTTGCTCCATCTAACATTTTTAAGCTAGACTATTTACTGAAGCATTGACTCACCCTCCCTGAACTGCAGACTGCTCCAATTCACTCGATTGGACCCATTCGCTAATTACCAAGCCCACAGAGCTGAATCATGTATTTAAGGAAAGGAAAATCACCAGTACGCAATGCAGGACGGTCCCAGGCCACCAACGGAATTTCCTGATGCTTAAATAGACTGAGACTAGAATTATCTGATATGGATGATTGGGGGGAAAAACTGCACTGGTTTCAGTTACAAAAGCCAAAGCTAAAATGATTTAGGGGTTGCATGAGCATCCATTGACCACATGGGGGAGATGGTTTCTTTATGTGTGAGATACAGAAACACTGAGATACAGAACACACAGATGAATTTGCTGTGTAGTTGTTTCCAATCCCAGTCCAGAGGTCTCCATGCTCTCTGGTTTCTCTGCTCCAAGACCTACCCAGTGTATGAAGTGTGATTATCACAGCTCGTAGATTAGGAACATATGTGGGAAGAGTGGCATCTCTAATAATAGAAGAACTGTTAGTTTATTAAAAATGACTCAAGTGGAAGAAAAAGTATTTAAAAACACTACACGTACAAAAAAGTACAAAACCTTTTCCAGCACTAAGTTCCCTTTAGAACTGAAGTGGAACTCCTCAGAACATTCAGCATCTATTTGCGTAGGAACTGAATGCTCTTAGGTGCTATTCCTCTCTTTTTGGTATCCTCTGGTCTAAAAATAACACGTTAAAGCTGCAGAGTGAGAAGTATGAACAGTCCAGGTGATGTCTCCAACAGGAATTAGGGCTCCAACTCAAAAATGCCTGGGAATTCATCAGTGTAACCTCACAAAAACTGAATGAATATTCAAGCTAATTTGTACTAACGGCTAGAAAGCTAGGCTGACTATAGAAAAGTTTCATGTACGGGTTAAGGCTTGTCCATGCGCATATTTCGCAATGAACAAAAAGTTGGACCAGCTGTGAACCTACACACGCTTAACGAAGCTATTTCTTCGCCGGCGTCTTAATCGAATTTCCGTTCCACCTTAAATGTGAGGCACCAGAATGTTACTGCTGCGCCCTTTAAGGTGGAACGGAAGAATTAGAATGAGAAGCTGGCGAAGAAGACAAGACCAGCCTCGCGCACACTTGCCTGTTAGCATCATGTCAGTTCGCTCAGTTGAACTCCACCTCCTCCTCTACAAGAGCTCTAATCGCCTTTAGTACCTTCATCAAGAGAAACACAGGCGAGCTGTAGAGAGAAGACAGTTCGCGACATTTTGTCTGTTTTAAGGTGGTGTAACTGACCAATAGAACTTATTTGGAGCTTTTGTGACTCGTTCGGCTGCGGAGTGAAGAAAGGCAGAGTTTTTGCCGGAGCTACAGTTACCTGACTGGACTAAGATGTCAAGCCTACAGCAGAGGGAGCGAGCACGGCTAGGCTAACTATCACCCGGACGTCAAGAAGTAAGTTATAAGTAGAACAGACCACCACAGCAGATATCGTTAGATGTCGTTGGACTGTGGGTTGTTATTGGCATTCATTTCAGAGGCCTGTTCGCTAAACTGATTTATGGTCGATCCTCTGCCCACGCGCGGCTCTGAAGTTCACATTTCCAGGCGGGCTCCGAGCAGTTTGTGCGGGACTGTGAGAGAAAACGAGGCTGAGAGTGAACAACGCTGGAGACCCCGTCGGCTTTTTTTTTCTTTCCCGACCGCGAGAGAACTTCTCCCGATAAATGGGAATTTGGACTATCCCTCAGTTAATAACTGAACCTGAAGTTCGCCCTCTACCACATCCACCACTGTGAATAGTTGAGGTTTCAGAAAAGAGAGGCTATGATGACTTTGGCGTTGGTGTTTGCTCTAATGACTGCCCTCCTGGTGCCAGGTAAGTTAAGATTATTGATGTCCCCAGAGAGATGCATTGAAACAACTGTTTTTACAGGAGTAAAATTTGTGTTTACTGAGGCTGGGGTTTGTTTTATACCCATTAAACAGGCTGGGCAGTGTGCATAGAAGGTAAACAGCTGTCCCACTGAGCATTAAAACAGTGATATGGTCTATTGCATGGTCTGCAAACCCCAGAGAGGAAAAAGAAGAAAACTAGGGATGCACTGATATGGGAATTGTGGGACGGTGCCGATAGCCAGTGTACATTTCTGCTAAAATCAATGGCAATACATAAACATTTATACAGTGTAGAAATAGACAGCTGATCCACCTGGTTTGGCAATACAGAGAAATGCCACATTTATTTCTATAGAGTTACAAAATGAATGAAATTTTAGCACAGTATAACCCAGCATCACCCGTACATTCAGCTCCTCAGGAATACAATAAATACGTCATCAAATATCGAAACGTCTGTCTGATGCCCATAATTTTGTTAAGCAGTTACCTGAATTTCCTGAATGACTCTGATATCATTGTGCATACCTAAAGGCTGCTCCAGCATGTACTCTCCTCAATTTAATATGACTAAATTTGACTTTAAGGTTATGATTTTTGTTTTAAAGTAGAATATTCTATACAACTATTGTATTAGCAAGTAAGTCAGTTATATATAACAAAGCTTTTCATGATGCAATAGTGGAACTCTTTAAGCTACCATAGTTTTACTACTATACTTTTTGTTTCTCAGCAAATGCTAGCTTATGATTGGTTTTAAAGGGCAGAAGAAACATCTGGTGTTTTTATTTCTTGTTTTTCCTAATAGCCATGCAAAATCAGCACGAGTGAGAGAACAAAGCAACAGCTCTCACAGTGCCATGTGCACAATGTGTTTGACAGGATTTAGATATCAGGATTTTTGCTGCAATTATTTGTATGTGCTTTATATCCTGCACTGCCAATGTGTTTCACCACAGTACATCAGATTACAGCATGTCATTTAATGAATTGTTCTCGCTCAAGTCATCTGTTGGGCATGAGTATTTTCCCTGGCCACATGTCACAAGGGTTTAGACCCCGAGGCACGAATTTTAATGTTATGCTCTTATAGCCAGGCAGTCAGTTTACAATATCAGAATGATGGGATGCGTGACCGAAGGCACAGTCACAAACGAATTATGGTGAACATCGTTAGTATATGCTGATTGAATTATGAGAAACAGATTGTTCCTAAAATGTGATCTGATCTCCAAAAAATTAAAAATAGTAGGAACACAAAGTAATGTTTTATTCAATAAGCAGAACACACAGCATTTCATATCGCTGTGTCTTTATTGAACAAATGGTTTCAACAGATAAGATCACTGATGGATAAAGTAAATGACCCTCTAGGATAATGAAAAAGAGGATATTTGGAGTCAGGTTCAGGGGTCAGATGTGGGTTTGATTCTCACAGCTGTATAAGAAAATCAGTTATCTAATCTTCAGAACAGACTTCTGTTCTAGTGCAGTATGGCTTAATCAAAATAGACTGCAGAGGAACATAGTAGAGAAGGGGTTGAAAAGGCTGCAAAAAGATTTCTGAAGACTTTGACCTTCATCACTCAACGGTCAGGCAGATAGTTTACAAACAGATGAAATTCATCACCACTGCTCTTCTCCCTAGCAGTGGGCATTCTGCACATACCATTGCAAGATACAATAGAATCCTCAAATAAATGACATACCATGCTAGGCTGACAGCTGAGGATCTGCAGACACCCATTGCACTTCATAGCTCTGTTCATAAGAAAATCATTGGACAAGACTGATCATGGAAGCTCAACCCAGAGGAAACCAAAAACAAAGCAAAAAAAGCCACATTGCCATCTCATGTTTGCTAAAGGCCATCAGGATGTAGCACAGCACTACTGGAGCAATGTTCTGTGGACAGATGAGGAGAAAGCTGAACTTTTCGGTAAACGTAAACAGTGTTGTGTTTGGAGAAAACAGAACATACCAACTCCAAAACCTCATCCCCAACATGCATGACGGAGGGAGTGGGACATTGAAACTTGCAGTCATTGAGGGATGACAGAATCTCAAATTGCATCAGTAAAGTCTACAGCAGAATATCAATAAGTATTTTTGTGATCTGTAACCCAAAAAAGGGTGGGTCATATAACATGACGATGATCCAGAATGCAGAAGTAAACAAAAGAGTGGTTCAAATAGAAAAAAATCTGAACAGAGGAAAATCTTAGAGCGGTCCTGACCTCAGTCTGACCAGAGTGGTGTCACTAGTTGCTAAATTTAAGAGTTTACATAAGGGATAAATGATCTTGATTCTTTTGAATAAACATTTGGTTAGTTTAGATGTGGTATTGTAAAATGTTGTGTATATTGATTTTATTTTAAACAAAAATATCATGATTATGTAGTTAGTATTAATTAATTAAACATTAGTCATCCATAAGGGTTCTCATTTGCTATGAAAAGCAGTCGAGAGGTTCAGATTTGTTACCAGCAGACAGTTTTGTGTGTACTCTCTAAGTAGAGGGGTGTGTGTGTGTTTGCTCATATTTGTCTGTGAGGTATTGGCCTCGGTGAGAGCTTTGGGTGTTTTTATGCCACAAATCCTCATTTTAGAAAGATTATGCCTCAGAAGTGAATGCTTACGCTGGTGGACAAGCCCCAACTGTGAAAATGTAGTTACTCATAGCAGGAATTAAGTCTTATTCATACTTCCATGTGTAATCCTCAGGCCTAATACTATAGCAATATGTTAAGATTACCTAACTAGTTGCCCACTTTCATTTTTTCTCTTTTTATGTTTAATGAACACAGGTTTTTTTGGCTTTGTAAACGGGATTCCTCATAAATACTGGATTAATTAATGTTGATATTTAGATTCACAACATAAACTGTTCTTCCACATCACATTCATTTTTGGGGTTTTTTTCTGCCTCAGAGAATCATGCCTTGCTTTTTATCGCATTGCTGCCATTACATTCCGTCCTTTCTAAATCATAATAATGTGACTTAAAATAAGCAGGCATACCATAATTCCCAAAGTTTGGAGGTCTCAGAACAACATGACACAAAAAGGATGCAACAATAATATTGCTGACCATAATTGCAATGAGAATCTTTCATAGGAGGTTTCATTAATAGCTATTGGAATGTGACTGAGCAATGCTGCAAGTCCTCAGGTTATTACTAGCTGATTAACCTGATTAGTCCTAATGTAGTTATCATTCACGTTCTCATGTTTTATCAAGTTTATTTCACCTATTATCTAGATTTGCATTTATTTCACTGATAAATAATTACAAATGATGAGAAGTTAGAAGTGTTATATGTTTTTTTAAAAAATGATGAGGATTAGGGGATTGCACAGGGCTTTGAAAAACATTTCATTATTTTTGACTGCTATGAGCCTTTTATTCATTGTTCAACACTGATAACAAAGGGCAAAGAAAGATATTGAGAAATCCCTGTTAGAGGCTGTATAAAAGAATGATAAAATAATTGTAATACATGCAAATTTTCAACACCCTGTTAAATCAGTACTTATTAACAACCCCTTTGGCAAATATCACAGCTTGCACGTGCATGCAGCCTGTCGTTCTATTACTATTTTAAGAAATCAGCTTCACCTTTTCAGGAATTTCCTTACATAGCTGTAGCTTATAGTTCTGCAGTATTCTTGGGTCATCTTTCATGTAGATCATATTTAAGATTTACCCACAGATTTTCGGTGATGTTCAGTGAAGTCAGGGAACTGTGAGGGCCGTTCAGCGTGCACTTCTTGAAGTAATACATAGTGGATTTCGAGGTATGTTTTTGATCATTGTCCTGTCGTAGAAATGAGTTTCTTTTCAGCTTTGGTTTCTAGATTAAAGAGTCACATTTGCTTCCAGAAGTAGCTGATATTTAGTGGAATCTATTATTCCATCTATATTTTCAAAGTTTCATGTGTAAAGCCACACAACCCCAAAGCACAAAAGATCCACCTCCCTGGCTAAAAAGTTGGCAGGGTCTTCTTTTATCAGTTGCTGTTCCATTTTTCTCCAAACATACCTTTGGTGATTGTGACTAAAGCACTTGTTTCCAGAGCACTTGTTTCCAAAATGCCTCTGGCTTATCGAGATGTTGTTTTGCATTTTTCAGATGTTGACACCTTTTGTGTTAAGGTCACTGGTAAAGTTCCTTTTCGAATTACTCTTCCATGCAGATCATGTTTGTGCAAGCAACATTGCACAGTAGAACAACTCCCATGTCAGCTGAATAAACCTTCCAGCAAGTCTGTTGCTGTTATATTTGGTTTGGCCAAATATAATAATATAATGGTCTGGCCAGCATACAAACAGTTCTGTCTGATAGTGTTCCAGAATTTGTATTGACTTCCACAGTGCTTTGCAGGAATCAATTAGCTTCATTTTCAGATCCTCAGCTAGCTGCTTAGAGGAGCCCATGGTGGTTGAGTGCTAGCACAAGGTCTGAATACCTACTCTGCGGTGGTCCTGTGGGGGTCCTGACCATTACAGAACAGAGTAAAAGGGGGCTAACGAAGTATGCAAAGAAACAGATGGACTGCAATCTGTAATAGTAGAACTACAAAGTGCACCTATATGGTAATGAAATGGCTGGTTAGTGTATAAATGCTTTTGTATTCTGTAGATTAACAGGTGCTTATTATTGTCCCTACACTTTTGTATAGAACCATGTTTGAAAGCTGAAGCAAATCTAAAATATTTTTTATTGTGGAAAACAGTGAAAACAGAACTGAGCGGTATATGAAATAATGTTATCATTGTTTTCTAACCCAAACTAGATGAAAGGCGCATATGTGTAAGCACGCAGCGACTTCTCTGGGCCTGGCAAAAACGAAAGTGTTTGTAATTTGTCTCGTATGTGCTTACCATACACTCCTCTTTACATATATAAGCATTAGATTCCATGCTGGAATTTGCTGCTGTAAAAAGTCTTTCATGCTGTCAGTAGCAGCCTGTCTTC